AAGTCAAAAATGCCCGAGGTTCGACAGCTGGCCAACATCCGCAGACAGCTCTGTCGGCGGCTCCTTATCCCCAACATTAGCAGGGACGAGGCCGAGGAGTGCAAGCGAGAACTCAAAATCGTCAGACGCAAAGAGGAAATAGCGCTAAAGGCCGCCCGACGAACTCGACGATCCAAGTTCTTCAGCGGTCTCGACCGACTCAATGCCTCAGAGTCGGCCAAGGCACTGGCTTCCGAAAAAAAGCGCAGAGAGATGGCCAATGCATACGAGTTCGACAACTCGGATGAAGCACTCGAGCGACTCGTGGTGCACTATGGATCGGTCTCAGCACACACCCTGGACGCGGGCCGAGAGTACGACCGAACAGCAAGACCAACCGAGGTGGACGGAACACCTCGGCTGCTGGTCGATGATGAGAACCTCCCTGAGGTCAGCAGCCTGGACACTGCCAAGGCTATCCGAGAATCACCAAAGAGAAAGGCATCGGGATCGGACAAGTTGCGAGCGGAACTGTTGCATCCGGCTGCCCATGTCATCGCAGAATGGATGAAGATCATTATCGCTGCAGCACTAAAGGCAGCCGTCGTCCCGTCAGCATGGAACGAAGTACTTATCCACCCGGTCTATAAGAACAAGGGATCGATCCTGGACCCGGCCATGTACCGACCGATAGGACTGACCCAGGTTTGTCGGAAGATTGCCGAAAGAGTAATGTTGCCCTTCTTAACGAAAGAGATTGGACAAATGGACACGGCCCAAGGAGGATTCCGGCCTGGCCGAGGAACGCTCGACCAAATCTACTCGCTCGACTCGATAGTCCGGATGAAGAAGCTGCAGGGACAGGAGTATGCCCTTGTGTTCTTGGACATTAAGGCAGCCTATGATACGGTCTGGAGAGAACGCATGTGGGAGAAGATCCAAACGAGAGGCGCCAGTCCGATCGCACTAGGGATCCTGAAGGCAATGTTCGACAGGACCCAAGTCCGAGTTGCAAGCAAAGGACGCCGGTCGGAACCAGTGTGGCTCCAGAAGGGGCTGATCCAAGGTTCGGTACTTAGTCCGCTCTTGTTCAGTGCGTTTATTGACGATCTGCCCGAGATCCTCAGGCACAAGATCGGACCCCAAGGCTCAACCCCACATCAAGACGTCCAGCTGAGAATCAACGGCCGGTCGTCGATCAGAGTCAATTCGCTCTGGTTCGCAGACGACGGAGTGCTGATCGGGCCCCCGGGATCGACCCAAAGACTCCTGGCACTCTGCGAACAACACAGCATTGACAATCGGTATAGGTTCGCACCCAAAAAGTGTGAAGCCATCTTCTCGGCCGCAAACCCCGATCGGTCTGATGGCATCTATCTCTACGGAGAGAAGCTGCCAGAGGTCCAAGAATACAAGTACCTCGGTGCGATCATCGATGTGGATGGTTTCAGAGTTAGTCGCCAGATCGACCACTTGATCGACAAGACCAAGATGGCGACAGACTACATGATCAAGGTCGGAGCCCAACTGGGAACGGCATCGGCAAGGACGCTTGTCAGAGTCTATCGGACCTTCATTAGACCGACACTCGAATACGGACTGGCCCTGGACCTCCTCCCAAGCGACCAGCAGGACCGTATCGACGAAGCACAGATGACGGCCCTCCGCACACTCTTCCGCGCAGGACCAGGGACATCGATAGGAGCAATGCACATCAGCTGTGGACTGCCAAAGATGTCGATGCGAGCAAAGATACTGGCACTCCAGACATGGGCAAGATGGGACGACGAGATCGCAGACAACTCAAAGATGATATCGATCGTCCTCAGAAACACCCGCTCACCCCCGTTCACAGGCGAGCAATTCCTTGGACACAAGCTGTTGCAAGACAAACACTGGCAACGACTAATGGCCAGGCAGGACACCAATCCTGAATTGACAGCGACCGAGGCCTTCCTTGGAACGGAAGCGTCGGCCTTAAGGAAGAAGGACAAAACCATAGGGACACAAAGGAGCTGGTTCCACCCGTTCCTCGACCCCGATAGACCACTACTCTGCAACAACCCAGAGTGGACACTGCGACTAGCCCGGGACCTACGGAAGAACAGGTATCTTCGAGCATTCCCAGACCCGGCTAACGGACGAGCACGACATCGACAGCGAGCCCAGGCTGCCCAAGAGGACGACTTGGCGATCCCTCTGCGAGAAGCCATCCTCACAGAACACATGAGGACAGCGTTCAAACGAGACCAACAACTCACAGCCGCATGCACACCGACAACCTCGATGTCGGCACTGTGGAGAGCCGAAGGATACACAGGTAGTCAGCCTATCCTCGAGCTAATGATTCGATGGCGACTTGGGATATTCCCAGGACACACCAAGGGAGGAAGCAGACCCTGCCGATGGTGCTCCAAGAACGGAATCAAAGTAGACCTTAACCGTTCCCACGCTCAAAGATGCGTCGACCCCAAAGGCATCCTGGCAAGAAAGGTCAACGAACTCGCACGGACCCACCCAAGCTGGGTCAAACCCACAGTCGAAGGAGTGGGGCCTATAGACATGCTGCTTGACTTGCTGGAGTTTGAAGCCAAGAAGGATAGAGAAGAGCAACAGCAGCACACTGGTGTGGGAACCCAAACACCAGGGAGAGAGAGACATGGCAATAACAATAATAATCACTCGGTGGGGAAGCGAGGGGAGAGACCGGGGCTTTTGATCGCATCAATAGTCTCGGATACAGATGATGACACTGGCATCAGTGATGCTGATGTAGACGACGACTTTGATGATCGAGATCGGCTCTGGAGCTCTCTACCGGGAGTGATTGCTCGGATGGGGAGGCTCCGACTGACTGGCCCCGAAGTGGACTCGGACCTTGGCTCTGAAGTCAGCTCAGTGTCAGACTACGACATTGACTTTGACTTCTTGGTAAGAACCGACCCAACGCCGAGACCAATCTGGGACGAGCTTGACGAACTGTCTCTCGATAGTGGAAGACACTACTGCTGGGACACTGACCAGAGTTTGGACTTAGTATCCCACTCCGATCATAGTGGGGACCTAGTGCCTCACTCTGACCTTGGTGGGGACTTAGTACCTCACTCCGACCAGAGTGTGGACTTAGAGCCCCACCACCCCGAACCGAGCTCAGACCTTGCCTCGGGGTCGAACTGGGGAGGAACCTCAGAGTCAGTCTCAGAGTCTGGCTCAGAGTACTCCCCTGATGGCAACCAAGACTCCCTCCCGAACCGAGACCGAAACCGGGCCAGGGAGACGAATAGACATCCAGTCCCCGGCCCTGAACCGAGAGTGGTTCCCACGCCCTCCCAAGGACGAAGTACTGACCCGATCCCAGAGTCCGACGATGACTTGGGACTAGGTCAGACCCCAGGATACGAGATGAATCCCGAGTACCCCTCCCACAGACAAACTCACACTCCCTTGAGGGCAAGTCAAGACCCAACACCGCACAGCAAACCCTGGAGTGGGTTCGAGCTGATACTAGAGGGAGACTTGGATAAACCAACCCCCGACATCCCTGAGAGGGACCTGGAAACGTGCGACTCCCTCTGGGAGTTATTAGAGGGAGTGTTCACCCGCATGGCTCGCCGTGTGGGCTGGAGAGTCGGCGAAGGCCGCAACAGGGGTGTATGAGCGAGCTTGGCCACCCACTGCCGGGTATCCTACGATACTGATGGCATGTTGAATATTCCTGAATATACAACTATCAAAACAAAAAAAAAAACACCAATGGTTCCTGCGCTTGCTGCTTTCCCTTCTCAGCCCCACCCATCCAGTCGCGAATGACACCAAGTCGCTCGATGAATCCACGACCTGCCTCTCTCCACTGGCAATTCAGCTCCGCGAGTTCTCTGTTGAGACCCTCCAGTTCCGCCACCCGATCTGCCGTTGCCATAGGGCTGCCGGCCAGTGCCCCCATGCTGGTGGCGGTGGATGTATCCGCCAAGACCACCGGCTCATCTGTCATTGTTTCAGAGTCCGTTGTCGATGGCTTTTGCCGCTGCTATGCACCCCCCCCCAGTTCCTCCACCAGTTACTTGATCTTGTTGTCGCGGTCGAGTAGCTCTGCCTCCAACCCTCTCACTTTCGCTTCCAACGTCGCTTGCTGGTTTTGAAGCTCTCCCTCCAACTCCTTCACCCTTGCTTTCAGTACATTCTGCTCATCCAAGAGCGCTGCATGTTTAGCTTCATGTTCTTGCGCCGCCGCTAACTACGAAACGACGAGGGTGAGCCCACCCTGAATTGCGACAGAGTATCCTCGTCGTCCAGGCCGGCGTCCGTTCAATCAGTGTGTCGATTCTGGCTGATATTGTTTCTTGGGCAAGGGTAAGAACGGGCCAGAATCAAAAACATCCCTGTCTGCCATGAGCGATGAAAAATACATCTCCATCCATAAACTCACCAAGCAGTTCGGCCTCGTCCCATCCACCCTGTCCAAGTGGGCCGATGCTGGGAAAGTGCGATACATCCGCCCCAACGAGAATGGGCACAGACTCTACAATGTGCGGGACATTGAGCGAGTCTTCTGCCTCACCCAGCCCATCACAACCAGGATCGTCGTCTACTATGCCAGAGTCAGTTCATCCCACCAGCGAGCAGACCATCACACTGACTCCAAGTCTGGAAACGAGAGCGAGAGCCATACATGGCTGCCCGCAAGGCTCTCCAGAACCAGTACCCCAACAAATAGTGGAAGAATCGCCTTGGCGAGATCCTGATTCCAGAGCCACCCAAGCCCCATCCACCCAAGAAGAAGAAAACAGTCCTCCTGGAGCATCTGAGACAGCGAGTTGGTGTCCTGTCCAACTATGACAATGACCACTGGATCCGCCAGACGGGTGTAGCTGCCGATTTCATCGACGATGCAGTCCGAGACTTTGTCAAGAACTGGTTCTCAAACCAGCAGCGATACTTGTCCCAACAAGCCCAAGGCAACAACCCCAGTCCCTTCGGCATGCACTTCTCGAGCAAGAAACGGGCCAGCCAAGAGTCCTGTGTCCTGCGCAAGAAGCACTGGGGCAAGATCGTCAAGGGTGACAGCTTCTGGAACAGACTAAATCCATTCAAGCTCAATACCGAGGGCCGAGTCGAGCGAGGCAAGCAACTCACTCTCCCCCTGGCCCATGACACCCGTCTGATCAAGACACGCACCAACAAGGTGTATATTGTCGTCGCCGAGCCACTACCCAAGAGGAGCGAAAGCCAAGCTCCTCAGGGTGATCTCAGGGTTGTCTCTGTCGATCCTGGTGTGCGCGATTTCATCACCACCTTCGACCCCTCTGGGCTGGTCACAGCCTGGAGTCCCAATGTCAGTGGATACTCCAAGATCAATGACCTCAAGCGAAGTGTTGGCAAGGTCCAGTCCAAGATGGCCAAGTTGACCAAGAAGCAGCGGAGAAAGAAGAAGTTGATGTGACGGGCCATTGCCCGGCTGAACGAGCGGATCCGAGACCTGGTGGACGATCTCCATCGCAAGGCAGCCAAGTGGCTCTGTTCCAACTACGACATCATCTTCATCCCGAAGCTCAACAGCCATGGCTTCAGACACATCAGCAAGCGCAACCGAGAGCGCATGGTCCAGCTGTCCCACTGTCGATTCGTGGACAGAGTGCAATGCAAGGCACAGGAGTATGGCACCATTGTCAGGGTGGTCGGTGAAGAGTACACCAGCAAGACCTGCACCCACTGCGGGTTCATCAAGAGAGACCTTGGGGCAGCCAAGACATTCAACTGCAACCAGTGCTCCACCGTCATCGATCGAGACGTGAATGGAGCACGCAACATTCTTCTCAAGAGCCTCTGAGGCTCGACGAGAAGTGGGGTGTGGTCTGCACTTTGCAGACCCGCCTCTGTGGCCTGGCACCTCCGAGTTTGCCCCCTGTGCTCGGATGAACACATCGTCTGATTTATTGGACGAAATCAACGCGGGGATCTGAGAATCGACTAATCCCGTTTCGACAAGAGTTCTCATATCTCTTCCAGGCGTGTATTCAACCACCACGAGGAGACCATTGAGTATGCGCTCAAGTACACATGAACCACTCGACGGCAAACCAACAGAAAGCGAATGAGTGGTTCTCAAAGGCTGCTGTCCAAGGATTCACGCTCGCTCAGGCAATGCTCGAGCGGTTTGCCCCCAAAAATATGGCCACTGACGACGATTCAGAGGATGTAGAGGGAGTGGGAACAACGAAGCCACCACGGAAGAACATCAGGTGAACCTTGACAAATGGCTGTACTGATGCAGCGCACCCATAGCGAAGCCACCGGGGCTTTCAGGGCAGCACTCGAATTCGACCGATGGGCTGGATGATGATGATATGGTTTGGTTGTGGCAACGCAGCAGTATGCACAGAGAGGCTGTTGCCCACTCTGGGGCCAAGAAGTGGAGAATATGGGCGATTTGCGAACCCACTCTTTTTCCAATGGTCCCTGTCTCTCATTGACTCCATTGCACTCCTCTTGCCATGCTTGCACCATGTTCTTACAACCGCGCCTCACAGCCCGACTGACATCTGCGCCTTCCATCCCGCCAATGAACGACGCAACTCCACTCAATCATCTCGTGCGTGCCTGGTTGTGATGTGGCCAGTATTGTTGATCCTTGAGTCGATCCTCCCTCACACTGCAACACAAATATCAGTCCATGCCTAAATTTCATGACCGAGTCTGGTCGACTCTGTGCTGTGAATAGGAAGGCTCGATTTCATGTTCAATTCCATGTTCGATGAATGTGGCAGTACTCGTGGCAGAGAGCAACACCGACTCCAGCCAGCAAATCATCGGATCGAGCCAGATTTGTGTGTGTGATCTCGATAGCCAGTGTTTGGCTGGCCAGGGTTTAGTTCCCTCACCAAATCCTGCCCATCTCCATTGCCTGCTTGCCTCCCCTGTCATCCTATCCAATTGTCTCCCATATTCACCATGGCCAGCAGAGCCATCATCCGCCCCGCTCCCGATCGCCCGTCCTGGTACATCTCGCCCAGCGACATCACCGACCGCTCGGCCAACCCCATCGGCCGCGGTGGCTTTGGCGAGGTCTTCACTGGCACATACTTTGGCTCCAAGGTCGCCATCAAGCAGCTCCTTGGAAACTACAACAACCGGGAGCTCGTCGAGTACAACCATGAAATCAACATCTGGCAGAAACTCAGCCACCCCAACATCCTCCCCCTGCTCGGTGCCTGCGACAAAGACGATGATGGCAATCCGATTCCTCCCTTCATGGTCTCGCCGTTCATGCCCAACGGCACCCTTCGCAACCATGTTGCCAATAACAACGTCCCACTCAAGGAGAAGCTCCGTCTCCTCTTCCAAGCTGCATCGGCTCTGGCATATCTCCATTCCCGTCGCATCATCCACGGCGATCTCAAGGCCCTGAACATCCTCCTGGACGGCTTGAACAACGCCGTCGTCACCGACTTTGGCATGTCCCGCACCAAACACACCTCTGCCTCGCTGGACCGCAACCGATCCATGGGCCCGACCGGCGGTACCGACGGTTACATTGCACCCGAGATGCTGGACGATGATGATCCCAGTGGCACGACCATGAAGACCGACGTCTACGCCTTCGCCATCACAATGTATGAAGTCCTCAACGATGCCAAACCAGTCTGGGTCACCAGCAACGGACAAGCCATGCTCAGCCGCGCTATCGAACGCATTTCATGCAACGGCAAGCGCCCCAAGCGTCTCGATGGCATCCCCGACAATATCTGGGCCCTCATCGAACGATGCTGGGCCCAAGATCCCGCCGCCCGCCCTGCCTTCACCGAGATCCTTGCCGTCCTCCAGCCATACAACCGTGCCGCCGTCCCTGCCATTCCCACTCCCGCCGCCGCCAAGACCCCTCCCGTCAGTCAGGTTGTTGGTCATTTCACCACTCTCAGCGTGAACAACCAACCCACGTCCCAGTCCAGTCGACCCGACGAGCTCAAGTTTGACGGCATCGAATCGGCCACTCGTCTCCCTGGCACCATCGTCTCCGACGCCAAGCAAGGTGATCCCGATGCCTGTCTCGATGCTGCCAAGATGGTCTCGGAGGGTCTCCCTGCACGCCACCAAGATTGGAAGCTCGCCGCCCAGCTGTTCAAGGCCGCTGCCGACCGCGGCAGCCTCGAAGCATCTTTCCAGCTGGCCTGGCTCGCGTTCCTGGGCGAGGGAATGGCCAAGAACGACCGCAGCGCCTTCGACCACTGGCAAGAAGTCAGCACCAAGTCGGATGACAAGGTCCTCAAGCCCATCGCCACTCACATGGTCGGTTGGATGCATTATCTTGGCCGGGGCACTCAGCAGGACATACAGAAGGGCATCAAGATCATCCGAGACAACAAATCGGATGAGTTCCCACTCGGGGAAGATAACTGCCTTGCCGGCCAAAACCTCAGCGCTTCAAACGCACCCTCGGTTCTCAGGTTCTTCAAGTTGTGCCAGTTGGGATCGGACCAAGACTGGCTGTGCAGGCATCTCCTGGGTGTGTGTTTAGTTCAAGGATTTGGAACTACGGAGGATCGCAAGAATGCAGCAGGCACCTTTGAGCAACTCGCCAACGAGGGCTACAGCGACAGCGTATATTGGTTAGGGCAATGCTACTACTGTGGCTGGGGAGTCTCGGACAATAGCTCGAGAGCACTGGAGCTTTTCAAAGCATCGACCAGTCTGGGAAACAAATATGGGCAATATCGAGTAAACTCCTTGTCCCCTCTTAGATACAACGCGGCCACACCCAGCGACAGCTCTGGTCATGAAGTCGTCATCGGTTTCAAATGAGTGCGGAGCATCCCCGCTCTCTCTCCATGATCTTGTGAATACCCAGGAGCTCTTGACTTGATTTGAATGGTATGACTCATTGTTGAAAATACAGTTAGTAGTTACAAATTAGACAACTCGCTTAGCTTCAATCTCAAGTCGATCGATAGCCGCGTTTGGGCATTCAGGCTTTCCCAAGTAGCCAAACCACCAGCGACTTGCTCGCAGTCGACACTAGCCAGAGTTGTCATGAAATCAATTGTATTGGACAGCTCCATTCGGCCAATCACATTGCGACACTCGTTCGTTTCGACTGGCAACATCCGATCCATGCTGACACCCCGAGGCCGGCTGGCTCAGTGCCACTCCAAGGTCGGGAGCTATATACTATTCGTCCTTGCTGAACAGCACCGTCAGCCCAAGACCCGCCAGCAGGACCACCTTGAGTTGTGGGTAGTCGTTGAGCAGGATCGTCACCATACCTATGTAGGGCAGGTATCTGTAGCGCATCCCATGAAATCAATTCACAGTCGATACGAATGTCAGTTGCCCTCGGCTTCACCGAGCCATTCATAAACCCAAGACAGCACTGTCCACTCCTTGACAGGCTGGTGTGAGTCTGGCAGCGAGCTCTCGGTACCACTCACCCCTGCACTCGGCCAATGACCTCATCTTCGTGGACCCAGAGCTGGCCTCGATTGTACAGGGCTCGGTCATCGGACGGATTGTTGTCGCCCTTTGTGAGCAGGAACTGCTTGCCAGTCGAGGCGCTTGGAGGACACCACAACGACGGATACGGAAGGTGAGCAGACGGCAGACGGCAGACGGCAGACGGCAGACGGCAGACGGCCGATAAAGGCACAGAGACAGACCAAGCATTTCCAGAGCCAGCCCAGCCATCACCGCATCGACAAACAGCTTTGCGATGCCGCACCGTCCACATACTCATCGTGGAGTCGCAGAACCCGATGCACAATCGGGATCTCCTTTCCCTTGAGCTTGTAGACGCAAATGTCGCCGACACGAATGGGGGAGCTGGGAGTCGCCAGGAAGAGGAGGTCTCCTCGCTGGAAAGCAGGCTCCATACTCTCGCTGGATGGAAGCGACAGAGGTCAGAGGCGGGCTGCGGCAATCACCACCCACCGTCCATGTCCAGCGAGACCACAAATGCCAGCAAGATCAGCGGCGAGTGCACAATCCAGAACCACACCTCAAGACAACCACGATGGGGGACTCGGTGTTCATCACCACCGCCAGGGTCTTCCAGATCATCAGGGCCGATGAGATGATCAGACAAAACTGCAGCAACTGAGTCGCGATCTGTCGTTGCCGAGGGGCGAATGATCAATAGGTCTGTCGGGATAGCGGCGATACTCGCATCTCCCTTGCCTGCAGCTCGGTTCATTCTGCGCCGTCTCTGCTCAAATTACCTGCCGGATCGACATCTTGGAGAGCTTCTTTGTAAAGTCCATGCTGTCTCTGTCTGGGTCGGTCGCTGGGCCTGCTGGGCGATGAGGGCGGCGGCGCATCGGTTGCTGTTCGGCCCTGGTTGGCACCCAAAATGCCCCACGTGACTCGGTTGGTCATACGGGCAAAGTGGGAACGGCCCCGACCAACGAGCCCAGCACCTCACAGGCGTGCTTCAAGTGCTCGGTGCCCTCTCGGCTTAGAGATTTGGATGCATCCAGTGTTGCAAATTCCCACTTTGTCAGAAACTGGAGGCGGAGCGACCCGCGTGGCCGGACTATCTTGCCATCGAGTAATATGAACTGTCAGAGCTCGAATGCATACGCGACACTCCCGCATCGTGGTATCTGTGCCGATCGATAGTCGCGACAAGGATCGACCAGCTGTATTCAAATACTGCGGCTCCGAAACCAATAGCATAGAGTGTTGATGCGAGTACCACCTAGCAAACACACTCTTACATCGTTCGAACAGGCTGTACCACTGCTGGACACTCTCAAATCTCACGCCCCACAGGCACAAGCACAAACGACAATTATGCAACCGTTGCAATCCACACTTTCCATGCAGCACCGCAGGTCTTGGTCGAATCGCCAGAGCAAGCCATGTTGCACTGGCTCGAGGCAACGTTGGTGCCAGTGGTGCCGCCGTTGCCGCCGGCTGAGCCAGAGGTGATGGTGTTGCCACAGTAGCACTCCGAGCCGTACTCCAGGCCGTAGTACCTAATCCGCACGATTGCTCATCGTCAGTGATCGTGCTCAGCGTCCGATTACCAGAAAGCGCTCAACATGAATGGCACTTACTTGGACTTTTTGCTCGAACAGAAGCTGTTGCAAACTGCGGGAGTCATAGAGCTCGAGACCTGAAGCAAGAGAGGCCGTCCGATCAACTTTCCAGCCATCAACACAACATGGATGGCAAGCTATGGGGAAGGGGCATTACCTCGCTGTAGTCGGCCAAAACACGAGCCGAGCCATCGATATAGCAGCCGGGAACGGGATTGGTCGGAGGCGGGGCGACAGTGACTTGGGCGATCCAAACTCTCCATGCAGCGCCGCAGGTCTGAGTCGAGTCGCCAGCACAAGCCGTGTTGCACTGGCTCGAGGCCACGTTGGTTCCAGTGGTGCCGCCGTTGCCGCCGGCTGAACCAGAAGTAATGGTACTGCCGCAGTAGCATTCCACTCCGTATTCAACGCCGTAGTACCTGATGGAGGTTAGAACGTCGACTGTGAGTGCAATGAATTTGACTGACGTGTACAAACGCTGAATAGGTCGGCCCAACTCACGTGGATCCCTTGCTGGCGCAGAAGCTGTTGCAGGTTGCTGGCGTCATCGAGGAGGATTGCTGGAAGGAAGGGGGGGAGAGACACGGACGTTAGCTGATGACATGCTGTGTGGGATGCGTTCGATATCCGAGAAGGCAACGTACCGTATAAAAGTCCTTCAAAACTCGGGCCGAACCGTCGATGTAGCATCCAGGAATCGGATTGTTGGTTGGAGGAGGCGGCGGCGGAGGTGGGGGCGGAGGCGGAGGCGCCGGTGTCGAAGAAACCAGAGCGACCCACACCCGCCACGCAGCACCACAGGTCTGGGTGGAATCACCAGAACATGCCATGTTGCACTGGGAAGTAGCAACATTGGTACCAGCGATCCCACCGCTACCACCGGCGCTACCGGTGTTGATGGAGTTGCCGCAGTAGCATTCGGATCCATACTCAATGCCATAGTACCTGTGCAATCGCAAAGTGCGTTGTGTTAGTAGCATGGAATCTGTCGGATTGCAGTGACAGCGGCCGAGTGGCGGCGATTGTAGTCGGCCACTCGACGTTGCTAAACTCAATGATTCGTAATGCGCTTACTTGAAAGACTTGCCGGCGCAGATTTGACTGCACGAAGATGGAGTCATCGAGCTCAATGTCTGGCAGTGCAGGGAGGAAACGAGTCGATAAGCATTGTGGCACCGCGGCGCAAGTACTCGTCATATTGCATGGTTACACCTGTCTCTGATCATGATAGAGCGGATTGATATCCTACTCACCGTACTGTATCCAGAGAGGACGCGGCTGCTGCCGTCGACGAAGCAACCGGGGACTTGAGCAGAGCTGGCAACAGCCAGGTCGACATAGATCCTCCAAGCGCTGCCGCACATGTCACTAGAGCTTCCACTGCAGGGCATGTTGCAGTCGCTGCTCGGAGCCAAGGTGCCGGCGACTCCGCCGTTGCCGCCAGCAGTGCCCGAGACGACGCTGTTGTCACAATAGCACTCGCTGCTGTACTCGACGCCGTACAATCTGATAAAGGAGTATTGAGACAACTCGTATGAGCAGCGTAATGGCCCACTTTGAGTCACTGCGACACTCAGACGAGAGCATGCCGATGCTGCGATGCGTCCAGCCACAGACTTACTTGTATCCGCTGCTGTAGCACAAGTTTGAGCAGAATTGAAGCGTCATCGAGGACGATTGCTGTTTGAGGATACAAAGTGGCAATCGGTCAGGATCCGCGTCAAGTCCATCCTGGGCCTCCAACCATATGAGCTGCTCGAGCACACATACCCCAGCATAGTACGACAGGACACGAGTGGAACCATCAACGTAGCATCCAGCGTAGCGGCCGGGGAGCGCGGACAGCAGGGTGTTTGAAGAAGAATCGTCATTGACAGAAAACACCTGTGGCATAAAGGGCAAGCGCATTGTCAGCAAGGAAGCAGTCCGGCGGCGCTGTTGAGATAGCAGAGGACTGCAGCCACCGACGATACTTCACCATAAAGCCACCGAGATTCTTGGCGTTCGAGTAACGAGCCTTGGCTGTGATTGCCTGTGTGTCATCGAAAGTTACAAAGCGCAGCTCGGCCGCACTGTATCCGTAGCTGGCATAGGCTTGGCTGTCCCAGTAAGCCGAATAGGTGGTATCTGCGGCGATGTTGGAATAGGCCCAGTTCAGCGAGACAGTCGGGGCAGTGCCGGCTTGACCGAGGCCGTGGGTTCCGCCATCGGCCACGCCAAACCTAAAAGATGATGGAGGCGGTGCGTCAATTGGACCGCATAGTTTCTTGGTATAACTGCTACCACTGGCAAATCAAGATACAAGAGTCATGCTCTTGAGCGAACATTAAGGTGTAATACTGACCAGGCATGGCCATAGAACGGAATGCCGATGACAAGCTTGTTGGAGGGACAGCTGCGAGAGAGATAGGTCGAGACAGTGCTATCGACCGAGGCACCTCCGGCAGCTGGTGAGATATCATAGCCAGAGCAAGTCGAGTCATGTCAGATCACATCCACTCAGAGCACACTGAGCTCCATCAAGCACACACGAAGCACGTCGCATGATACCATCATATCGTGCTCTACCGACTCAAACACCAAGCAGTGGCACACAGCACATGCGACGGCTGTAGGCACAACCACAGGGGGTGCAACACTTGTGTCGACACCCTGGGAATAGAGAATTCACGAGCAAGTTGCAAAGCACGACATACTTGAATACAGAGGCGCTTGATGGCCCGTTGTGGACTGCCATTCGCCAGCCATGTCATAGGTCATCAGCTGCAACAGACAGGCGGGTTACGCAGTTTGAATCAGCGAACGGATCAGCGAGCAGTGTGATGAATCCACATCATCAGAGCCTGTAGTCAAACAGCGCATGCTGCCGATACAAGCGTGAATGGGGCCCGGGAGCCACTCACGTTGACATAGTCCACGATGCCGCAGACAGTCGGGAGATCCATTTTGGAGTTCTCATAACCCGAAGGCGCGGCGACGCTGATCAGGTAGTTTTCGTTGTTGGCAGTCTTGCCGATGGCATTGAAGGCAGCACGGGTCTTGGAGAGCAGGTTGTTGAACTTGATAGTATCGTTGATGCGGGCGGGATAAGCACATTTGCTGGCTGAGCAGTCCAAGACTGAATCGACAGTGCCGGCCGGCACAGGTGCTGATGCATTGATAGCCTGGCCACCATGCTCAAAGACAGGGTACTCCCAGTCAAAGTCGACGCCATCGAAGCCAAAGAACTGGACAAACTTGACGATGCTGGTGACAAACTTGTCAATGTACTTGGCTTCGGTGGCAGGCGAAAAGAGGTTGGAGTCGGTCCAACCACCGATGCTGATAAGGAATCGGAGGTTGGGCGAAGCGCTCTTGACCTGCTTCATCCTAGAGAGTGGACGAGAATGAGCGCAGCATCAGGGCAGAGGTTTGCCATGGGTATCAGCATGGAAGATTTGCATGGGTATCAGTGTGGAAGAGAGCCAGTTGATACAGATCGAGTCAATCAGCGACTAGTGCCTTGGGCACTGTCGAGGCAAGTTGGATGAACAGAGTCAGCGGCTTACAGATACGCATAGCTGCCGCAGATCACCGGGGTGTTGCCGTTGATGAACTTGCCCTGAGAACATGGGAGGCATTAATAGAGCGGCGAGAGGTAGAAGAGCGACGAAGCAACGAGGCGATAGCAGCGCCGCAGCCAGGAGAGCACCAGGCGGAGGCAGATGTCTTACGCTGTTGGCAACAGACGTGCATTGGCCATTGGGGTTGAAGCAGCTGGAATCAGGGCAGTTGCCGCTGGCGCCGACTGGGGAGATGGGAATGACATTGGGTTCAGGCAGGAGGACAGGATTGGGGCTTGCTGCCGAAGATGCGTCGTGTGGAGCAGCAGATGGATGCAGCAGATGGATGCAGCAGATGGATGCAGCAGATGGATGCAGCGACGGATGCAGCGAGACTGGCGGTGGCAAGCTGTCTTACTGTATGGAACCATAGCCAAGAGCGGGTTGGAGTTGGCGCCGGTGCTGCACTGCTGGTTAGCAGGGACAGCAATGCAGCCGCTGGTGTCCTGAGTTCCGACAAAGTCGGTCTGTGGAGCAGCAAGAGGTCAGGGATGAGCGGAGGAAAGGAGGCGCCGACGATTCGGAGCAGTATGGCACAAGTGAGGCTCACATAGTCTGCCGTCACGTCGCTGAAGCTGACGTAGTACTGGTCCAGAGTGGCATGGTACTCAATCGAGGCGAAGGCATAGTTGATGTGGGAGTAGCGATCGGTCACGGCTTGGGTGTACTGTAGGGCGGGATGTAGCGCAGCGACAGCATGGCCGAGAATGGACAAATGCGCATGAGGATGAAGAACAGACCTCGCAGATGGCAGACAGACAGACAGACAGACAGACAGACAGACAGACAGACAGACAGACGGATAGACGGACCAGGAGGACGAAGCACAGCCCGAAAACGGCGGATATGACCCCAATGTGCTCACCTGGAAGGGCTGCTTGTTGGCAGCGAGCTGGTAGTCCCAGCCGACATGGTAACCGACAAGATGCGCGGCTCTGGCTGGCCCAAGGGCGAGCAGCAGTGTGCCCAGGGCGAGAAGCGAGACCATCGATGCAGAGTTCGACAGAGAGACGCAGCGGAAGCTGGACCGATGGGCAGGTGCAGCGAGAGATCGATGGACTGATGGAGCGAGAGACAGGACCGGCCCAAGCAGCTTGCACCGGCGCTGGATCCGGCACCGCAGCCGCAACCGCGTACGTTCCTGCCGAATCGGCACGCGTGCGACCGCGTGTTGCGCGACCGTGGCGCTCTGCACCACGCTCCTGGCCACAGCGGCAGTCCCACGGTTGACGTGAATGCAGCCGCGCGTGCTCTGCCGCGGCTCCTGTACCACCCAGAATGTCGCACGTGTGATACAGTGCGAGTCCTCTCGCCGAGAGCAGCCGAGAGCAACCGAGGGCCCGGGCCAATCTCGCTGATACCCTCCGACACCGTCAACACTCCCGCCTCCTTCTTTAACAGCCGGCCTGAACTCCCGATCGGCATCACGCTCTCTTCGCCCTGCATCGTCAACCAGTCATGCCAAATACCCTCGTCGTTTTCGTCCATGGCTTCCTGTCCTCGGGCGAGTCCTTCCGCCGCTTCCCTGAAGATCTGCTCGAACGAGTCAATCGCAACACAAATAGCACAAGGGCCTTCTTCGACACTCTTGCCTACAACTACAGCACCACCGGCTCAAACGACCAGAGGGTCATCGAGTTCGTCCGGTTTCTTGAAGAACGGTCCCGGAGCTACGCCCAGGTCGTCCTGATTGGCCACTCCATGGGCGGCGTCCTGGCGCTCGATGCCGTCCGCAGATGCCATCCAAACTCGGACTACAACCGCCACGAGGGACACGAGCAAGGCATCGACGGCCTCTATCGTGGCGCCGGATCGCCGCTGCAGCAAAAGATCCATCTTGTGATATCCGTCGACTCGCCCTTCTTTGGTCTGCATCCGCATGTCATTGCCGTCTCCGGAGCGAGGCGAGTCGGCAACGCCATCAATTGGGTATCCGACCGCTTTGGATCTGCGGTACAGTCCCGAAGCGCATATGAAGACACATATTCCAGCCAAGAGACATCCTCTTCTTCACGATCGAGTGGATGGGGACTCCTTGGCTTGGCCGCCGTTGCAACTGTGGCCGTCGGGGCGGCCGCGGCCTATGCGCTTTCTTCCTCAACTCGCTCGGTCCAGGCCGACGAAGACGAGCGAGCTGCCGCACCAGGAATAGGACATGCAGAGTTCTTGAGCCCACTCTGGAATATCGCCAACATGGCCCCACGGTTCGAGGACCTGAATAATCTGCCCATTGAATTCCACGGATTCTACTTGGCGGTAGGCGGACCCTCCTCATAGCCCATATCCTCGAGTTGCTTGATTCCCAAGGAACGAGATCGAGTACTCCGCCAGCCGCCATCACAGGCAGCTCGCTTTGTTGAACAGCTTGCTCTCGTGTCCGGGAAGGCAACTCGGGCGAGCTGCCACACTCACAGCAAATCCGTCGCTCTCGTCACTATCACAGGTATCCGAATTTGGCTCCAGCAACCGCAGCACCAGCCTCAAGAACTTTGTCCAGATTCCCCCTGATCCATACAGACACTATTTCCAAGAAATAGACATCCAGGCGAGGGATGAAATCGAGGCTCACATGGGCATCTTCCGCTCCGAGTTTGACTCGGCGGCATATTATCATCTGCTCACGGCCGTGGCCCGGATTATCGCTGACGTACTGTGATTTACAGGCGATCCAAAATATAACGGGATACCCTTGATTTTTACCATGGATCAAACATTTTGTTACCCAATGCCATCGCGCGCTGGCCATGACCATTCTGTGTTTTGAATCAAGGACGCCACCCAGGCGACGGCGATTCAAGCGACTCAATCTCCAGATGTGCTCACAGTGCCGGGAAGGCAAGCGACACTGGACGGCCGAGTATCTTGATATCGATACATCATGGAACTGTCCAGGTGGTCGAGTGAATGCATCACAGAAAGAGATTGCCAACCAGGACGGGAAACAATCGCATGGCTTGTCCACTGGAGCCAAGACAAGTTCGGCAGGCTGCAGGCCTCTGAAGCCAGAAAGTGACTGTCCCGTTTCTTTCTGGACCGGCTGTAGTATGATCTTCTCGGACATTCTTCGAGTCGAGCAGGACGTCCTTGGACCGCCAGCGTGGTTTCTGGATACCCATACGGTCCTTCAGCGCCGTACATCAAGCGACGAATACACAAGCGTTGCCCCGAACGATGATCAACTGGGGCTTCGGTATATTTGGGCATGCATGGGAGCTTGCAGTGACTGAAGCAAATCAAGACTGTGCTGATTGCGGCACCATGTTGTTAGAATTTGCTCTAACCAAAGATCAGCTCGGTAGGCCCCGAGTAAAGACTTTGGATTGCCTCAGTCTCCGTAATCGCCCTGCACATGACATGTCATCGCAAGGCAAGGATGCTTGGCCATGGTGGACGATGTATTCTAGGTCCGGAAACAAATGACAACCTTGACCCCAACCAAATATGAACAATGTCATGTTTCGCCCGAAGCCAACAAAGTCCAATTGTCACAAAAAGCAATATTCTTTGATTTGTATTGTTCGTCATATCGTCAGACACGGCCAAAGCAGCGAGGAGGAGAGGGGCGAGGATAGTCTATAGGCGGCTGGCAGCACCAGCAACAGGGTCGTAGAAGAAGACATGGGAAAGGCGGAGGACCAACATAGAGAACAATAGAGCAAGATTGAACCTTAGGCACATAGGGGTGAAGACATTTTAGAACAGAAAAGTTGAATGAAAGAAATAGACACCCTTCAGGTTGGTTGGGTCGGAGGGACAAGGTTTGTACATGAGCCTCAGTCGTGTGCGGTTAGATGTTCTTGATCTGATCGCGCTTTCGGACGTAAGGGCGATCAGTAGCGATGGGAACACACTTGTAGGGGCGAGCGGTGCTGGTGGAGGCGACAGAGCCGGTGGATGTAGCGGAGCTGATGGGAGCAACTGAGGCACTGCTATATGAAGGCAGAGAGGAGGTGGGGGTGGCAGAAGAATAGGTCGGGGCGGCCGATGAAGAAGCGGAAGCCGAGCTGGAAGCGCTCATAGTCGCGGTAGAATAAGCAACAGAACTGGTGGCAACTGTGGGGCCTGAGCTGGAGACAGCAGAGGCGCTAGTTGAAACACTGGAAGACACAGTGCAGGGGGTGGAAGCACTTGAGGAAGAACCAGTTGTAACGCCGGTGGGAGCGGCACTGGAAGCAGCGCTGGAAGAAGCCGAGTAAACGAGACTGGAGCTGGAGGAGGAGGAAACTGAAGTGGGAGTGACGGAGGGAGTGGGAGCGCCCGAGGAGGATGAAGAAATCACGGCAGTGGGGGCGGCACTGGAGAAGATGCTGGAAGAAGCCGAGTAGACGAGACTGGAGCTGGAGGAGGAAGTGGAACCAGAAGTGGGAGTAACGGAGGGAGTGACGGTGGGAGTAACGGTGGGAGTAACGGAGGGAGTGACGGAGGGAGTGACGGTAGGAGTAACGGTGGGAGTAACGGTGGGAGTAACGGAGGGAGTGACGGTGGGAGTAACGGAGGGTGTGACGGTGGGAGTGACGGTAGGAGTGACGGAGGGAGTGACGGTGGGAGTGACGGAAGGAGTGACGGTGGGAGTGACGGAAGGAGTGACGGTGGGAGTGACGGAGGGAGTGACGGTGGGAGTAGGGGTGTCCGAAGTGGTCGAAGAGGAAATCACACCGGTGGGAGCAGCACTGGAACTTGCGCTAGAAGAAGCCGAGTAGACAAGGCTCGAGCTAGAAGTGGTGGTGGTGGTAGAACTGGAGGGAGTGGGAGTGTCCGAGGTGGTGGTGGTGGTGGTGGACGAGGAGGAAGGGATGGGAGAAGTGGTGGTGGAAGTGGTGGTGGAGCTGGAGGGAGTAGGAGTGTCCGAGGTAGTCGAGGAGGATGAGGAGGAGGTGGTGGTAGTGGTGGTGGTGGTAGTGGTGGTGGTGGTGGACGAGGAGGAAGGGGTGGGAGAAGTGGTGGTGGTGGTGGAAGTGGAGCTGGAGGACGAGCTCGAGCTGGGAAGAGGCGTGGGAACGCAGCCCGAGTAGGGAGCCAAGTTGACTTGGATAGAGCCGGTCAAACTCTTGGCAAAGACGTTGCCGTTGATCTGCCCGGACGACTTTTGAGAGATGGCGGCGTTGGGGGCCAAAACAGTTCCATGGAAGGAAACACCCGTGATAGTCAGCTGGTTGGCCTGGTAAAAGTTCCAAATGATGTGGTTGCGGTTGGGGAGGAGAGAGTCAATGTTGAAGTTCTTGAGGCTGGGGGCTTGGCCGTTGACGTTCAAGATGAGAGTTCCGGTGAAAGAGCTCTGCGAATAGATGAACGTGTCGCACTGGGCAAGGACGCCCGAGTCCACCGAGACGACTTCGGTATCGAGGTTGCCGTGCAGAGTCAGAACACAGTCCTTGGCACGGGTGGGGCTCGACGCCCAAGTACCGGTGGTATGGAGCTGCGACATGTACGATGACAGGTTGTTCAAGTAGCTGAAGGACGACTTGAAGTTGACCGGCAGACTGTCCGAGTTGCTCTGGTAGGCGTGACAGGGGTTGGTCAGGGGGAAGAAGGAGCCATCGCCAATGTTGGAAGCCTTCTGGGCATAGATGAGATCACCGTACGACACACGGGAGGGGAATCTGCCAGGACCAGATGATCATGGTTGTCAGCCTTTGAAATAGCACACTCGATCTCAGCACCAAATCAGCTTTGGGCCGGACAACGCGCACAGGAGAGGTGCCAGAAGCAAAGGTATACCTCTGGAGCTTGCCACCAACAACGACCGTGTAGCGCAGGCCGGGATAGAGATTGTTGGCGCTCAGGAGAGAGGCGACAGCAGGGCAGGAGTCAGGCTGCGAGCCAAAGTTGGAGTACAGCTGGGCACCAAAGTCGGCAGCGACGTTGAGGTTGCCGCCGATGGCACCGCGGCCCTCGACATCTGTGCACAAGAGACGCCAAGGCAATAGTAGTCAGCGATGCTGCGTCACGGCGGGGGGCTGGCGCACTTGTGAGGCGAGGCGTTGTGCATCCCCTCTGGAACAGGTTAGCGGTATGTGGCCTGTTCGAAAAGCACGGCACTGGGTTGTGGACGGCTACAAGAGCAAAGACTCACCCGAAGTCGACGTTTGGTAGTCCTGGGAAAGGAACAGGTTGTACTCTCCGAGAGGGAGGGTGTAGCTCTGGCCGTTGTAGGTGATCTGAGGACCCCAGGCGGTGGTGCCCTGGGAGCTGCACGAGAAAGTGGTGGCCGAGGCAGAGGCCAGCACGGCAGCGAGGACGGCGGAGGACTTGACAAGCATCCCAGCGTCGAGAGGGAGGAGGAGAGGAAAAAGAGAGGGGGGCGGCTCAGCGAAAGGGGGCAAGAGCAGGCGGAGCTGGGGATAGGAGCAGAGCCAGAACAACAGGGCCGTTTTATGGCCGGGCCGATCGGTGGTCGAAAAATGGTAAAGAACCCACGAGCCGGCGCGTCGCCAGGCCTTGATTCGATCGTGCGACCGATTCAACAAGACACGCGAGCACATGTGCGCGCGCTGCGGGGTTGTGGAAGATTGTGGCGTCGATGGGACATTTTGTTGTTGGGCTGGAGAAAGGGCTGCGCATCCACAGGCATGACACCTGGGTTCGGGGGAATACAGCGCCTGTGCGGACAGGCAGCTCGTCTGTGTCCACGAGTAGAGCATCGCGGCGTCAACAGCACCTTAAAGTTGTGGCAGGCGGCCTTAGTTGCGGCGTCGAGCGCGGTCGGGGGAGGGCCGTGTATGGACGCATGGGGGCACTTTGGGCGACCGGGTCAAGGGGATGCAAAGCACAAGGCCGGCTGCTCCAGGGCAGCAAGGGACGCACCACTGGCAGACGTCGGCGACGTGGTGCGAGCGCACAGCCCGACGCTGTCCTTGGACGATCGGTGCGGATGAGCCTGCAGGGCCCAAGGGGAGCGCGCGGCCAGAGCCCAAGGGCGCCTTGGGATGCATGCGCCCAAGCGGTCCGGCTTTGCTTCAGGATCGAGGACCTGCCGCCGACCAAATGCATACGACTGCCTCATGCACGGCCGGTGGTGGCGGAGCGGTGCAGGGTGGGTGCAAAGGTGGGTGCAGGACGGATGCAGGGCGGATGCAAGGTGGATGCAGGGCTTGTCGTCGCCCTTTCCCGACTGGCTGTGGCTCTGTCTGAGCGCCGGGCTGCTCTTGGGGGGGCGACCATCCCAGCACTGCTCGGCACGGGATGTGCCAGGCACATCACCACAGCTGTCCAGCCAGGCAAGCATCCGGTTTCTGCATTCCGTTGCATTGGCTGCATCCCACTGCATGGATTGCCTTTCATTGCAGATCCCAAGCCACCGCCCGCACAGCCCAGATGGGCCGATGGGATGATTGTCTGTGGCTCCCGAGAGGCTTCCTCCGCCCATCCACCGGACATCGGACATGCCCCCCTGCCCGAGGCCCTCGCGATCGTCCACGCCCCGATTTCCCACAGCCTTGGTTTCAGATTTGTGCTGCAACCAGCGCTCCCACCACATCGAGCTCGCCTGGGCACGACAGACGACGAATGGCCTCTAAGATTCGGGGCCTGGAGCCTGCTGATGTGATATGGGGGGGATTTGGATCGCTGTCTGGCATCTGATTCGCGGTCGGAGTGTGGATATCACGTGATGGGATTGCGCGCAGCATCTCGCTCGTGTCCGCAACCTGGCGTCACTCCAGGTCACTCGTTCCGCGTGGCGCTCCCAGGCGTTCCGACATCGCAATCGAATTTGAAATAGATCGTCGATATATAACCGCCATTCTTGCCTCCTCTCTATCAGCCAGACCTATCGCTCCGCGCAGCCTTTCCATCTCACCAGCACTTTTCCCCCAGTCCACCATGTCCATCGTCGCCATCACCGGTGCCTCCCGCGGAATCGGGCTCGAGTTCCTCCGCCAGCTTATCGCTTCGGACGAGGCCACCAAGGTTATCGCCCTCGTCCGCAACCCCGACGATGCCGCCCAGCTGCAGGAAGAGATCAAGCGCCACCCCGGCCGCGTCCTCGCCGTCAAGCTTGACGTCACCAACGAAGAGTCTGTCAAGGTAGGTATACAGGCAAGAGCGCCTTGGAGCAGAGAGGCGGCTGCCCCAAACATGACGGCAACCCAAAGCCCCACGCTCCTGCCGCGACCGGACCAGGCACTGCCTGTCTGATGGCTATCCTTCGACGCTAACACGTAACGAACTCGACGGCATCAACCCTAGAGCGCTGCCAAGGAGGTCGAGAAGCTCTCTCCCGAGGGTATCGACATCCTCATCAACAATGCCGGCGCCTATCTCGAGCCCAAGGGCTCGTCGCCCATTAACACGTGGGTATCGCGGCTCGCTGGGCCCCGGGGCGACTCTCGGCTGCAAGCTAACATTCTCGGATCCTTTCTGCGTCTACAGGAGCGCCAAGGATATCCTCGCCAGCTATGCCACCAACACCATCGGCCCCTTCCTCACGATCCAGAACTTCTTCCCTCAGCTCCTCAAGCGCCAGAAGCGAACTGTGGTCAACATCACCTCGGCCATGGGCTCGATTGCCTGGAGCAAGCCCAACTCGATCGCTTACCGATCGAGCAAGGCCGCTCTCAACTCGGGTGAGCCCAACTTGTTGTTGTGTTCTGGCCATGCTCCGTGATCATTATGCCCATCCGCCAAATCCAGACCATCTGCCGTGATCCCACATCACCGTGCTAACGCCGTTTCTGATCAGTCGTGAGCATCCTTGCTCAGGAACTTGGCCCTCAGGGAGCGACTCTGGTGCTGTTCCACCCGGGATGGGTCCAGACCGACATGGGCGGTTCCAACGCCGATCTTACGGTCTCGACCAGTGTCTCGTCGATTCTCAAGGTAGGATTCTCAAACCACCACCGCTGCCGCTCCATCCTCACAGCCAGCTAGATGAATGGCAGATCGCCGGATCACTTGATTGCTCATGCAGGCAGACTTGCGCCGGTCCTCAGTTAGTCTCTCTCCTTTCGTGGCTGACCCACCACAGGTTGTTCATGGTCTGAAGCACGAAGACAACGGCAAGTTCTTCAACTACGATGGCACCACCATTCCTTGGTAGAGGACGCCTATATACAGGGTTGACAATATAAATGCAATTGATATACAGCCAAAACGTGAATTGTGGCATCATGGCAGGCAGAACAAAACAGATACCGAATGTGCAAGGTGCAAAACGATCTCCCAAACAGGGAATCGAACCCTGGTCGCCCGCGTGACAGGCGGGAGTACTAGCCACTATACTATTTGGGATTTTCCGCATCGGGGAATCGAACCCCGGCCGTCTCGGTGAGAGCGAGAAATCCTAGCCACTGGACCAATGCGGAGAGCTTGACCTTGATCTCAACTTTTGGATCCACAGGCACAGGCTCTCCGTCGCTCTTTTATTAACAAACCGCTCAACACTCTCAACCAACGACCCCCTCCACATGCCCCCGACCCAAACGGCCATCAACGAGATGGCCATAGACACCTCGGGCAGCCCTGCTGCCCAAGAACCAGGCCAACCGGACGAAAATCGCAGCCTAGAAAGCAACGGCCATCAGGTCAGTAGCGCCAGTATCACCGAGGCCACCGAATCAGCACCCACCAAAAAGCACCGCAGGGATGGTGAGCCCATCCAGCTGCACGTCGGTCGCAAGAAGACCGTCGAAGAAATTATCGAAGAGCTCTATGCAGATTCGGCAATCTTTCCCAACCCGCCCGACGTGGTTGAAGAAAAGAAGTGGGCCCTCTCGATCCTCGAGAAGGCCAAGAACAACACTCTCACCGACCAGGACTTCATCCCGGTCGATTTCAAAGACATCACCTACCGCCGCTTTAGGTTTGTCTTCGCTCTGAAGGCAGACCAAGTTCAATGCTCCCGTTGCAGAGGGAGCAAGCCCCCCGCCTGGCGTATCGACGACGCCCAGCACTCGGTCGTCTGCAAGAACATGCTGATGAGCCCGGACGCCGCCACCAAGGTGGAAGAATGCGGGAAGCATTTTTCCATCCTCGTATTCTGGGGCCTGATGACCCGCCATGACGAAGCCGGATGGAAGCTTTTCGAACAACGGGCCTCCCTCGCCGATGCCAGGGCTGTCGGGAAGCGCGTCTGCGCCACCGACATGCGCAAGAAGCAGAGTCCCCAACAGCAGCTTCAGCACATCCAGAGTGAGCTTCTCAAGAAAGCTCAGAAGATTAACGAAGAACTCGCCAAGCTGGACCTCAGCAAACCCGAGGAAGTTGCTAGACTCAAGGCCCTGACCCAGAGCGCCACCGAGTGCATGCAGACGCTCGCCTCCGAGCTGGAGCATGCGTCCCGGGCCATCTCGGAACGCCCAGCTCCGACATCCTACGCAGCAGCCGCCCAGCGGGGTGCCAAGAAGCAGCCCGACAACAAGACAATCGACGCGCGCAAGCTGGCGGCCCTCGAAAAAGTCCACCAGGAGGCCGATGCCGGCAAGAAGAACGAGGCCATCGGCGCCATCCTCCGCGGCCGTGACCCCACCGACGGCAAGTGGCTGGTGCCCAAGACTGCCACGCCATTCAGGATGATCAGATCCTCGGTCCCTGTCGAGGAAGGACCCTTAAAGGATAGGATGGACAACGCCGCTTGGGTTTACGTCAAGGATATCCCTCGGGGTAGCTACCGCACGATCAGACAAGCTTTCAAGGAGAAGGGCTTTGCCACCAACCAGATTCTCAATATCAGCTTTGTCAACAACAGCGTCTGTGAGTTCGTCCTCAGAGACAAGAGCTCGAGAGAAGAATTCTTGAAGCACATTACGGACATGAAATTCACTGAAGTCGCACACATGGACGTGTCGAAGATCACCGAGGCCGAGAAGGAGTCCAAGAAGCTCCAAATCAAGAGCTTCATTGAACGCGCTGCCAGGATATGTGCGGAATCCAATGACCTCCTCACGGCGACCTTGTACCAACGGAAGATGAACGACCCAGCCGTCGCCGAGCAGATCACTGCTAAGGCGAAGGAACTGGCTCGCAACAAACCAGGCCGCCAAGAAAAAGGCGGACGCGAAGGAACCACTCCTCCCCGCAAATGATGCAGCCCCAACCTACGCCCACTATTAGGTTCGCGACCCTGAATGTCTGCGGACTTGAAACCTCTATACACGAGGTTATCGAAATGGTAAAAGCAAAAGACCTCGACTTTATAACAGTCCAAGAAACGTGGCTCAAACCACAGCAATCCATCGGACCTTACAAGAACCTCATAGTTTTCGAAACCCGAGAGCCATATGTCTCTGTCGACGGCCTCGCAAGAGGCACCGGAGGAATCGCCCTCATTCGGAACCCGAAAACCACCAACCTCGAAGACTTTAGCAACTTCCGCGTTGGACCTCATCACACGAGCATCTGGTTCAAGTTCCGAGGCATCGTCTTTGGATCTTTCTACCTCAAGCCTGCTCTATCAGCCAATGCGGCAGCCCTGCAAAAGTTCCGAGAAGCCCTGTCGGCCATCAAGACCAACACCACAGAAATGAACAATCCTATCCCATCTGTGATCATGGGCGACTTCAACACCCGCATGGGCCAGACAAGCAGAGACACCCATGAAACCGCCAACCGTTTGCAACCACTGCGGACAGCTGTAGCGGGCGGCTTCCTGGAATTCGTGGATTCGACCAACCCCACGGGGCAACACTGGACCCACGTCGTCAACGGGAAGAAACCACAACACTCAGTACTGGACCTCTTCTTTGTCTCGACGGCACTGAGACACAACGCCAAGACGGTGACGGTCCACTCCAACGACACCTGTAACTCAGACCACCGCATGGTGTCGATGGAACTTGAATGGAACGCCGCCAGAGAGCCTGCCCGCCCACCAATCCTCGTGTGGCGAACCAACAAGCTCGAAGATCCCGAAACCCTCCAGCAATACACGGAAGCCTTTAGAGTCCACCACCCAGTAGTCGTAGAGCAGATCACACAGCTGGGAACCCGGCTACCACAAGAGGATGGACCTATGGCACGCGAAGACGCCGAAGCCCTCGTTGAATCTGGGTGGAATATCATCAAGAACCACGTCACAGCGGTGGCACAAATCGTCATTGTGAAGCGAAAGAAGGATGGCCCGGCTCCCCGCAACGGCTTTTGGACCCCGGAAATGGCTGACATCAAGAAACGACGAAACACGGCTTATCGAATCGTGAACCAGTCGCCACAAGGCTCGAGAATCCAACTGCAGGCCATGGCCGACTACGAAAACATGAACAACAAACTCAAGGACCTCATACGACGACAGAAACGCGCCTTCTACAACACCTGGGCCCAGTCTCTCTCCACCAAATCGGACTCTGAGCTCCTCAAGGAAATCAGCAAGCGAGACAAGGTCAAAAGCGGCTTCTTCAACCGGTCGATTCTTCCGAACGACCAAGACAGCATGGACCAGTACCGGGCCCACTTTGGGAACATCTCAAGTCGTCTCGGTGTTCAAGAAGCCAACGATACACCGCGTCCTCAGGAAATACTATTCAGTCGCCTCTTGGGCCGCGAAATCACAGCAGAAGAAGTAAAAACAGCCATCCGACGCATGGGGAAACACAAGGCCCCTGGGTCCGACGGGATCAGTGCCGAGCTCCTACACCCAGTAACCGACCAAGTCTCGGATTGGCTGCGTCAGCTCTTCAACTGGTGCATGTGGACCGGCATCGTCCCTCAAGAATGGAATGTCGCCATCAACCACCCCATCTGGAAGAAGAAGGGCGAAGAAGAGGACATCAAGAACTATCGCCCGATCTCTCTGCTACAAGTTGTCCGAAAGGTATTCGAAAGGATCTTACATAGCCGACTCCTCCAGGAGATGGGCCCCATCGACATCTCCCAAGGAGGCTTCCGCAGCAACAGGGGAACCCTGGACCAGGTATTCGCACTCGATTCAATCGTCAAGTTCCTACAGAACGACGGCCACACCCCGTGGATCGCGTTCATGGACATCAAAGCCGCGTACGACTCAGTTGACCGGGATCGGCTCTGGCACAAACTCGAGCAACGAGACATCCCCCCGCATACCATCCGCATCCTACGCGCGCTCTTCGACAACGTGACCACCGCTGTTCTCGTGAGCGGCACCAAATCCCGGCCGTACTGGCTGGAGATCGGGCTGCTGCAAGGGTCGGTTCTTTCACCCACCCTCTACAGCCTCTTCATGGATGACCTCGCACAGAACCTCCGAGCAGTCACATCACCCAGAATAGGGAACCTCATCATCAACAATGTCATGTACGCGGACGACATGGCGTTGGTAGCAAAAAACCAAGAAGACCTCCAAAGACTTGTTGACATCTCCGAAGCACACGCAGACGAAAACAATTACGCTTTCTCTCCGACCAAATGCGAAGTGCTTACCGCGGAAGCAAACCCGACCCCAATCACACTCAAGGGAACACCTCTTAGCTTCGTCACCAGCACCTACAAGTACCTCGGGGTGCAGTTCGGCCCTGATGGCATCGACGCAGAGGCCCACGTCACTCAACTAAAGCACAAAGCCCAGTTCCGAACCAAAGAGCTCAAGGAACACGGCATCTTCAGCAAGTCAGTCTACCCTGGACTGATCGTCAAAATCTACAAGGCTTTCATCCGGCCCCGTCTGGAGTACGGCCTTGCCATCGTCAACATGAAGGGCCCGATAATGAACACTCTACAGGGGTGCATGCTGGACACACTGCGATCGGCACTCAACATCCGCCAGAACGCGTCTGGTCCGGCTGTCATGACAGCCACAGGAATCTACACCATGGCGACCAGAAAACAGATACTGATGATCAAGTGCTTCGGACGGTGGTTCGACAGGAAAGACGACCCAGGATATCTTGGATCCCACGTGCTCAAGTACATCACCGAGTTGCCCCCAAGAAACCCAAACAAGAAGATACTCTCCAAGCTGACCGGAAGCGCCGCATGGAAGGAGCTCGAGAGACAGCACCGAGACTCCCCAGACAGAACAAGACTGGACCTGTTTGAATCTGGAACTGGCACCGGCACACCCATCAAGAAGGCGGTGATCGTTCACAGTTTTGAAAAAGAGCGGAAGCCCGAGAAAGTAATGTCGATCGCAGGCACCTACAAGTGGGAAGGCGACCCCATCCTGACAGCGCGGATGCCAGTAGCAACAGTTGCCCAAGCAAGGAGAATGCTCCTGTGGCGAGTCGGGTGTTTCCCACCTAAACCCGACAAGGAGTGCAAAAAGACCGGACCCAACGGCCCCAAGGTGTATGTCAACAGAAAACATGCAGCAGAATGTGTCCGAGCCAAGGACCGACTCGAGAAATATGTTCACCCCACATCGATCCCCGAAGGCATCACCTACATCGACCTTGCAATCGACGCACTCCCCAAGTTGGCTCGAGTGCCAACAAGACCACTCACCACCGATCCTGAAAAACAGAGAAGATGGCGTGCCAAGCGCAGCCGAGTACTGAACAACAGACCAGCGATCTGGCTGGATGTCGTGGCGGTGCTGGATGACATCGCAACCAAATGTCTGTCGTGGACAGCGGCCCCTCGGGCTGACCAATCGCAGCAAACAAGTACCTGAGAAAGAAACCCTCCCAGACGCATGAGCAGACACTTGGACAGGGAAGCCGGAGCTGGAGTCCCAAACTGTCACTGAATGGATGAGTTCGGCAAAACTTGACATCGCCGTCCCTCCGCAAACAGGCCCCATGGGATAGAGAGCTGTACACCGACGACCCAAATGTCCCGGTTGGCAAAGCCAACACCCAGTGCCAGAGCCCAAAAGGGACGCTAAGGCAAAGTCTTTAATAAAGACCCACCTATTGACTGACTGGACCAATGCGGATTGTCCAATTTCCGACTAGTGCAAACTTGAGGCCACGTCATCCCATACACGATCCACCACATCTTCCACATTCCCCACATTCCCCACATTCTCCACATTCTCCACATTCTCCACATTCTCCACATACTCCACGTTCTCATACTCCGCGAGCTCTCTGACATCATGAGTACTGCTGCAAGGGTTGGTGGATGGGCTCGGCAAAGCTTGACATCGCCGTCCCTCCGCAAACAGGCCCCATGGGATAGAGAGCTGTACACCGACGACCCAAATGTCCCGGTTGGCAAAACCAACACCCAGTGCCAGAGCCCAAAAGGGACGCTAAGGCAAAGTCTTTAATAAAGACCCACCTATTGACTGACTGGACCAATGCGGATCGATGGCTTGTCTGCTGTCTCTCTTTCTGCCGCTCTGACACCACCACCACCGCCCTGCCACTCTGCCGATTCTGCCGATTCTGCCGATTCTGCCAGCTCCGCCCCTTTAGCGAGTCCTCCTAATAAATGATAAATCCGTATCCAACAAAGCAACCTGACTGTCCCGCAGCACCAACAGCAGTCTCCTCGACCGCACGGCCGCACCAGACCCATGTCATGTCGTCTTGCTGGCAGCATGATTGGTTGTGGCGCGCTTGGCTCACCCAGCCATCGCGAAACCGAGCGGATACCAAAATCCAGCACCAACCCTGGCGTTGCATCCTCCTTTCGCTTTGCTCACCATCACTCGTGCTGTCCATCCCGACCATGAGTAGAACACCAAAGCGCTCAGCTGCGGGTATCTCTTCCCTGCCGCCTTCTCTCAAGAAACGGCCAAAGCCGTCAGCCTCGCCGTCAGCTGGTGCTTCGTCCGCCGCAAAACCAAGCACCAGCGACCCAACGACAAACGCCAACAACCCAAAGCCGAGCACCGGCGATCCAAAAGCAAGCACCAACGATCCATCCACCCACGCTCCAAAGCGACCTGATCCAACTGCTCGATCCGTGCCTGAGTCCGAGTCTGCTGCAAACCAGCCCGAGCCGCACACGACCTCGGCAACAGATCCCCAACCCAGCTCAGAGATCCGCTCCGAGCCGCCATCGAGCTCGAAACGTCGATCGACTGCACAAAATCTGACTCCAAAGAGGACCCGCTCTGGCAACCCTCCGAGAGGCTCCACCCCCAGTATTCGCAACTTTTTGACTCCGCGTGCAAAGGAGTCGTCTACTGTGGCGATCGAATCCCCAAAGGTATCCACAGCAACGGTCGTCACAGAAACGCCGCTGAAACCAAATCCCATCGTCCCGGAGCTAACCGAGTCCCAGAGCGAGTCGTCCGAGCACATATCTCGGGCATTGCCGGCGCCCCGGGAGTCATCACCCTTGGAACAGTCAAGATCTACCGCTCCACATCCGAACTCTTCGACACCGGTGCAACTTCTGCACGGAGCTGATCCAGGCCACGAAGATGCACACATACCCCAGGCTGAACAAACTCAGGAAATCGAGCCCATCCAAGTGGATCGACCGACGCAGCCATCAGAATCAATGCAACCAGTAGAAGTAGTGCAGTCCGCAGAACCAGTGCAGCCAGTGCAGCCAGTGCAAACCCAGGCTTCCCTCCAAACAGAAGCCCAGACCGAAATCGTCCGCCCCTCACCCGAGAGCATCCGGCCTGGGAAGAAAGAAAAGTCTAGGGTCACCATCCCCCGGCGGAAGCCCAGAGTGTCCAGCCCAAAGCCGCCCCAGACCCCGAGCAGTGCACCCAAGGCCCCTTCGCCCCGTGAGTCGCTCCGGCGACTGTTGGATCTGTTTGCCCAACCCATTTCCGCAATCAAGGACCTCTCAGGCACACCCATCCGAAAGCAGGGCCGTCCGCGAATCAACTTTGAGGATGGCGAGCCGCAACATCCTGACGAGCAAATGGTCATATCGGCCCGGCAAGAGGCCAAACGGCGCCTGGGCTGCCCACTGCCGGGATGTACCCAGTCGTTTGGCAATGGCCCGCTCCTGATTCAGCACATCCGCAGCTTCTGCCACAGTCTGCCGCTCCTGCTCGATACCGTCACGACCAAGCATGCGACCAAGGTTAACGACCCACCTATCCAAGAAGCCATCCAGACCCTCCAGTCCGCCGTCCAAGATTCAACTTTTATCTCCGGGACATCGGACTACGTCATCTACTTTGGCGATCTGGCAAAGCCCACGGTCCTTCGGTTCACGCTTGGCTCGGCGATCCCAAGTCCAAAGACTGCATCGACAGAGGACATGTTGGACGAGGACAATCCCTCGCAAGAACGCCAGGCTTCGCAGGAGAGGCCTGGCGCAAAGGAAACACAGTATACCCCAGACGGAGAGAGTCTTGATGCATGCACAGAGGATGCAGCTCCTCTCCCTGCGAGGAGGGCACAACGCCGCGCTCGGAGTTCCCTGGCGGATCTGGACAAGCCCTCACCCGATACAACCCCGCGACGGCGTGGGCCGAATGCTCATCCGTCAAGGGCCCCACAGGCATTTCTTCCAGTGCCTGGAATGCTCCCGTCCCTCGCCGATCAGGCTGCATCGATTCGCACTGATGATGGTTGCTCGATACCACGACGACCTCGGCCATCGGACTTTGAGGCTGTTGACGCAGAGTAACGTACCGCCAAACTGTGGGCACTGGGTCTTGCAGCTCCAGATGATCTGTATGGTGGCGACTTGAGACCGCCTCCACTCGTACTAACATGCTCGTTGGGTATTGATCTGTGTTGTGGCCGCTATTCAGGGCTGCCCAGGGATATCTTCCTCCAGTGCAAGAGGTGAAAATCGAGCAGAGTGGAGGCCGGCCTCTGCACTTGACGCGATTCCAAGGAATATGGTCAAGTCAGTACTGCTGCTACCTCGTGCCTCAGCGGTGTTGGTTGGCCGCTTGGTTCTCTTGGGTGGTGGCATCGGCGGGTACAAAGCTTGACAAAACCATATGTATCCTAACCCAACGCACCCTTTTCCAGGCGGAGCCGAGGGCGACAGTTGCTGCTTCCTGAACACAGGGCTGCCTACTTGGGGACTCGATTGGTGTCCATCGTCCGACGGTAAGATGCTACCGAAAATTGGACATCATTGCACAACGCCACCGTATCGAGCGGCGTGTTTCATGTGTTGGGAGCTCATCGCGTCGAGCACCTTCATTTCCCATTCAGCGCATCAATATCTGGCTGTGGGGGGCTTCAAGGACAAATCTGAAGATCGCCTGGTTGGCGTGCGGCAGTCGTCTGAGGAAGGCAACGATATGCTCAACAGTATCCAGATCTGGGAGATCCCCATCCCGGAGACAGCTCCAGAGGAGTCGTCCGATAAAGCAAGCAAATCCGCACAGACTGCCCGGGACGGCAACCCCAAACTTGTCATGTGTCTGTTGCATGACTGGGGCGACGTCTATGAGCTGCAATGGTGTCCTCGTGGTGCATATGAGAGCCGAAACAATGTGAGTTCGAAGCCGGCGGTGTACAAGAGTTGTTGCGATTTCAGTTGGAACGACAACGCCGACTGTCGCTCTTCTGAATCAACCAATGGACGCTGCTCTCTGCTGCTCGCTTGCTTACTGTCGTGGACTTGCCATAGGAAACCTCGGAGGCCTCCGCACTTCCGTGTTTGGGCTATCTGGCAGGCATTTTCGGCGACGGCACTATGAACGTTATAGCTGTTCCGCATGTCCAACCTCTTGCCTTGGCGCTCGAGACAAGAACCACACCCCTCTTTGGTGAGTGCGTTGGCATCCAAGCCCAGCTCGCATTTGGCTGTCCGATTGCGGGTTTCGTCCGTGGTAATACTGCCTCCGGGAGGAATGACAGGCAACGGGGCTGACAGCGCAATAATTCCTGATCGGCGCAGTTCGAATCACCAAGCCTCTGGTTTCGTGCTCGTTGCCCAATACTGTTGTGTGGAAACTCGCTTGGGACGATTGCGGACGCATCGCAACGGGATGCACCGACGGTGAGTACCCGTCGCTTTGGGGAGGGTGTTTTGAACCCAATGGCACCTGCGGAGACCTTTCTAACCCAATGGCTCCCGCACAGGCTCAATATGTCTCTGGGATGTTTATGAGACAATCCGAGAGACTGAATCGCAGGGGGGAGACTCTCCAGCTGGTGGAAATTACGGTATGAGGTCTGCCGCTCGATGAGCCGGCCAAGCACGGACTAGAGCGCCTGTCAGATACAGAAGCTTAGCCTCGAGATATCTCGGTCGAGTCGAGCAATCGTTAGCAGATTTGCAGCTGCGAATGCGCCACTGCTGACAGCAAGCAATTGTTCCCTCAGAGGTGGAGCCTTTGTTCTTTTGTCTCGCTCACGACTCTTGCATCCGGTCGATTGCTTGGATCCGTGGAGCCGACGGCAAGACCTCTCACCTGGTCTGCACTTTCGGAAGTGACGGGCGAGTGCGCATAATCGATATTCGAGATCCGCACCAGGGCATGACGATCTCAAGATATCGAGGTACGGGACCTTTGCAATCGGCACAATAGTAGCATGCGGATACTTGCGGATGTTGGTAGCACGGAACCATCATCGGCTATGGCGACTGACTCACCATCCGAACCGCCTTTTCGTCCTTGCTTGTGCTGGCGCGTCTGCGCTTCCATTTCAAACTCAAGGACAAATCATGTGTGGGTCTTACGATGAGGGGACGGACGCCATTTTATACAGCGAGCTTAACTCGATCAAAGCACTGCCTCTCGGCGACAGGAGCGGCGACTCTGGGCTTCGTGAAGTGGGAACCGAAGCGGACGCATTCTACTCGATGAACTGTATTCCCCATCGCAGCGTGCGATGCATCGCCCACGACACCGCCATTTGGGTATGTATCTCTTGGACGAGAGAGCTGCTCCGCTCAATCCTTCGATCATCCGGATCCAGATCTGAACTTCAGAGTCGACAAAGTGGCGGCAAACAAGATTATCCAGTCGCCGAGCGGATTTCGGCACTCCGGCCAAACTAACCTGCGCGCTGTACCTGTGCTATGCTGGATATGCTGTGCACCCAGCACTTTGCCGTATCCAAGTTCCTGCCCTTTATGATCTCAGGAGACTGCAACGGCAATGTCCATATCTCCAACACGTCTCGGCGCGATCAGCGGCCTAAGAGGGGTGCAGTAAGTTTGATCTTTGCTATCGCTGGTGATGGATCCATATGGGCTCTTGTCGGACACAAGTATCTTGACGCAACAGGGACAACCTGCGAGTGCCCTGGGGTTGTCTAGGTCTTGGCTGACATGATATTGCATTTACCGCTGACCCTGTAGCCGGATACAAGGACTTACCTTGTCTACAAGCTCGAGTTGGAGAGCCAGAGTGGCATGTATCGCTATGATGGCGTCGGTGGCAAGCCTCTGCCGGTAATTGCATCTTTCTCAGCGCAGAACGACACCGTCTGCAGTCGTTACATTTCATTTTTTGCATTGAGTCGCGGCTGTAAAGGCCCTTTCACACATCCATCTGGCTGCTTGCAGTCGCAAGTCTGGCTCGCTTGATCACTGTGCGTGTCATTCCATCCACTCACAGTCCCTCCCTGCACTCAGGATTCGCTCGGCAAGAGTTGGAGCTTCAATCTCGACGGCTATCGCACCCCCGACTGTCAGATCTTTCGTGTCTGCTGGAGCCCGAATCCGTCAACGGCAGCATGGATCGCCTCGGCTGGTGCGGCGGGATTAGTCCGTCTCGAATCGACACTGACGCTCTCAGCCCACTGACACAGCCATGTGTGGGAAACACTGGCAATACACGGAGCCCGTTTGGAAATGTATTTGCTGATAGTCAAGATGGCAATTGAGCGCGGGCCGATCGTCTCTCTCCAGGCTGGTCGAGCCCCCTCCCTTGGGCAGTTCCATTCCCCTGATCAAAAGAATGGCTGACTGGTGTTGCTCGAGAAGCTGGAAATGGCAGGCTTGGGCAGACTTGGGATTGGCTCGATCGTTGGGTTCACCCGGACCCGAATGCGCTGGTCATACGGCGAGGCCAGGCTCTGAGCGAGGACGGGACGCGATATCGAGTGAGATACAAGAGACAAATCGCATAACCCACACATCGCAGCACCAGCCGCTGTGGAAGCGTGAATGCGGGTGCCCAAACCTGTGCTTGTTTGCGGAGCTTGGCTGTTCCCGGAGTCTTGGGCGATGATGGTTTGCTGGGTGATCGGATGAAGGAGTGCTTCATCGGCGTTGACGGAAGCGCAAGCGATCGCAGGAAGGACTGCTGCTCCTGCTTGAGCGAGTGCTCCGGATTGAGCTTGATGTAGGGCGACATGGGTGTTTGCGGGACCAGCGCCGGGTTGGGTCGACGGGCTGGCGGGGAAGCTGGGGGCCGCTCTGGTCGTGCCGAAGCAACACCGATGCCGTCGTCGGACTCTGGCGGCACAAAATACGGAGTCACATGCGGGGCATGTTCCGAGCAGATGTAGAGGTGGTAGTAGAACGACGTCGGGAAGTCGATTGAGGTTTGGAAGCTCATTGTGGCAGAGGGATCAACAGGCCAGAGTTGGTGGCGGGATCGGGCTGCTGTGGGGCCTGGATGCTGCAATAGGGTTGAGAAGGGGCCACGATCTTGGTGTGGATGCGACGGGCGTCCCGGCTGCTGATCGATGCGATGCGGTCTTTCTGAGGCGGTCTTGCCGATGCGGATGCAGATCTGGCTCGCAGGACAAGCAAAGCCAGGGGGACACGTGCGGCGACTGCCAAAAATGGGACAAATGGAATGGCGGCTCGAGCCGGCTCGAGTGGGGGCTCGCTCTGCTCTCGCCGGGTCTCTCACTCGCTCTCGCCGGGCCTCGCTCGCTCTCGCTGTGCGCTTCCTGTTTTGGGTGCGGCGGCGCATGCGCGGTCGCACAGGCGCACACAGACAGTGCGGCACAGCATGTGCAGGCGTTGCACACACAGCCATAGCGAGCGCAGCACAGAACAGCGCACAGCACAGTGCCGGACATGCGACACAGAACGGCGCGCCGCACAGAACGCTCGCACACACACACACGCCCCCCATCCCCAGGCTTTTCTTCGATTCGCAGCCATCGCCTTCATCTCCCCCAGCTCGAGCTCCAAGCCTGTCCCGGTCCTCCTGGCGAGCAGCATCCCTCTCTCGACTCCTCTGCTACCGCCCGTGTTCGTTCGCCAGGCCCACCCACATGCCTCCCGCTTCGATCCCGTCGCATCTCACCACCACCCGGAGGGATTCCGTCAACTCCCAGACCGAGCCACCAACCTCCCCCACACGCCTTGCCCAGGAGGACGCCGATGATCTGTCGCCTGCCGACATCTGGGCCTCGATCCTCAAGAGTGTCTCGTCCTCCAAGGTCGTCCCGACCAAGAACATCATCGTCGTCGGCGACTCCAACTCGGGCAAGTCCACCATCTCGAATGCCATCAAGAACCCGAACGAGTACTATGCCCCTGACTCGTCCGAGCTGGCCCTTTCCTATTCGTTTGCTGAGGTCAACGACGATGGAGGTACTTGTGCGCCTCGGGGTGTATCCAGAGCTGGCTCGCACCCGATACCGTCGGCTGGGTGAAGCCTCAGCTGCCCTCGTTCCTGCGTATTGCACTTCCAAATGCACCCTGAGCGAGCTGGGCGTGATCCTGCCAACGGTGTATCGCAGAACTTGTCGGTGCATCGGCAAGCCGTGCTTGGCTCTGCTGCCTGCCTGTCTGTCTGTGTGCCAAGCCCTGCTCACCCACGCCTCTCCTCCTTGCCTGTGTGTTGCCAGATGTGATTGCCAGAATCGGCATCTACCAGATTGCCGGGGATACGCAGTACCAGTCTGCGATCCCGCACGTCCTCGACGCCGAGGCCATCTGCGATGCCCTGATTGTTGTTGTCCTGGACTGGAACAAGCCGTGGAGCTTTGTCGAGAGCCTGGAAAAGTGGCTGTCCTCGCTCGAGGATCAAATCAAGACCATCTGCTCCAAGAACAAGGGCCAACTGGAGGAGCTGCAAGAGCGAGGTACGGCAGACGATTCCTCTGGACGATTCCTCTGAATGCTTCCCGGACTCGCCACCGTGCCGCCATGCTTTGACAGATCGAATGCTGTCCTCCATGTCCGTGTGCCAGCCGGCTCGCCCCCGTCCACCTCGTTGACGTGGCCCCTTTATCCCTCCCGCTCTCTAGTCGAGAGCTTTTGGCGAAACTACGCCGAGCCCTCGGATGCCCAAAGCACCACCGGTAGCCTGCGCAACATCCCCAGTTCGGCGACTGAGGTCAACTCGGTCGCTGGAATCGCCGCAGCGCGTGATGTGGTCCTGCCTCTGGAGAAGGGCGTGCTGATGAAGAACCTCGGCGTTCCCGTCGTCGTCGTGGCTGGAAAGGTCAGTCCGGTCATATCCGTTGTCTTGGCTGGCGGAGAAATCAGACCTCGCCACATGCTCAAATCTCTAGATCAGTGCCGCTGATGTCTTGCTTGGATCAATGATGCCGCTGTGTTGGTGCTCACATTCCCCGCGGATCCGCATCCTATCGTCCATGTTTGGGCTACCGACAGGCTGATGCTCATGCCCAACTCGAGAAGGACAAGGACTTCAAGGAGGAGCAGTTTGACTTTATCCAGCAAGTCCTCCGGTCCATTTGCCTAAAGTGTAGGATATGGCCGCACGACACATCCTTGGTCGCAGCAAAGCGCTCGGTATCGGCGGCCACCCCGCCTGTTCATCTGACTGTACTGATGCCGGCGCACATTCTCGTTTCTGTGGGCATGCAGATGGCGCTGCCCTTTTCTATACCTCCAGCCACCGAATCGAAACCATCCGCAACCTGCGCGGCTACATCCTTCATCGCCTCTTTGCCAAAAGCAGCGCGGCCAGCGAGCACAGCGACCCGTTCCGATTCACCGAGCGTGCCAATGTCCTCGAGCGCGACACACTGCTGGTCCCTGCCGGTTGGGACAGTTGGGGCAAGATCAAGATCATCAAGGGCGACTTCCAGCCGAACGTCTTTAGTTCATGCGACGAGGATGGCTCATTAGCCCAGGGCGGGAACATCCAGGCGGCCCTCGATGCTTATGCCAAGGTGATCAAGAACCCAAAGCACAACAAGGTATGAACACCTCATTTGGCGCTCAACACCTGGCATCTTGCATCATCGGATGTCGAGTCGTCCTGCAATAGTCAGCCGTGCGCCACGCGCCGCTGTAACTCCGGATCGATGGACCTATCCGGCTGGTCTTGCGAATAAGCCGCAAACAGTCCCCGCCCCTCCTCGCTTCAGATATCCCTCTTTGCTCCTCCATCCTCGAACGGTCATCACCCTGACCCCATCCGCTTGCTTTCGTAGGGTCTGAAACCCAAGAACTCTGTTCTGGTCGAGGACGAGCAAAAGTTCCTCGAGAAACAGCTGGAGACCCTGCAGAGCAGCGTTGAGCAGCCCCCGACGGGCGATCATCAGGTGGCCAGCACCGGAAACGCTGGCGCCGTGCCGGCCCCCAGCACTGTTATCGGGTCTGGCCCGTATGCCCACCACCGATCAGCCAACAGCGACCTGCTTGAAGACATCAGTGCCAAGCTGAATCGACTCAAGGCCAAGGAGCCGTCGCTGATATCCACTGTCGGCCGGGACAAGATGAGATACGGAACCGAGAGCGTAAGTGTCTGCTGCGGGATTCAATGTCGATCCGTCGTCGGTAAAGCAACGCGCGGATAAAGCCCAGTGTGTCTGGCTTCCCCCGGCCATTGCGGATCGGTGCTGAGCAAGCGCCAGTGTCATTGTCCTCGCCCTGCCATTTAATATCCTGACTGGCGCCATTCTCCCGTCCTTGCTTGCAGGTCGCACTCCCCGCTGGCATGAACATGTCGCCGACATCTGCAACCTCGGGCTCCTCCATCGCCGGCATCCCAGGATCGTCGGCACTGCCGTCCTCGAACCAGAACGAGGTTCTGTCCAACTTCTTCCAGTCGCTGCTCAACAAGAAGGGCACCTCAATATCCTCCACCAGCTCGGACGCCGCCATGTCGCGGAGCCAGTCCCAGATGGCTCGCTCCATGAGCCATGCTGCGCGGGAGCGGGAGCGCGAGCGCGAGCCCAATGCCTGATTGTGCATATTTTGCTTGCCGGAACGTCCTCGAGACCTTTGTGCCCTTTCGACCCATGTTTGCCGTCGCCGATCTTTCCCACCTCGTCAATACAGTATCTCGGCTTTTATCGAATCGCTTACGCTGCTCTGTCGTGGATCTCCGCATGAGGATGCACATGTGTTTGAGAGTATCCCGGCTCGATTTGTCAACCAGCAATCACCCACACGGCGTCCTCGCCTGCTCTCGCCCGCTCTCGCCGAGACCAGGGTTGTGCTGCGCTGGGACATGCCCGCACAAGCAATCGGCGGTTCTGTCCTGCCTCGGTTTGCACGATTGCCCTCGCATCTTCCCCCCCCCCAAATCGCACTCGTATCCGCATCGCCAGCGCCGTCCGCTGCCCGCACGTCCACCCTCAATCGTTTTCATCCTCGTCCCCCACTTCCAATCCTGCCGCCAAAACCTCATCTCAAGCGACGCCTTCCCAACGACATGTTTGCGTTCGAAGGCGACTTCAAATCCCGGCGGAACATCAACCTCGGCGGTCACAATACCCGGCAGGACAAGAGCGCTCTGCTTCGCAAAGCCCAGCTTGAACGGGAACAGCGAGAGGCCGAGCGACTCAGACAGAAATCCGCATCTCTCATCCAGGTAGCCGCATGCTTGAGATGTGTGTCGGGTCTGGGCGACCAGCATCCGACTGCGACGGCGGCATCCGATTTGGGTCCTCATGTTGATTTCCCCTGGCCAGCACGTCCCAAGACTCGGTCGGTGCAGTTGATCAATGGAGGGAGGGGGCAAGAATGAGATGAGAGTCGGCAACGCCAGCGAACTTGGATGGCCGATGCCTCAGCCGATACACCCAGCCCCGTTGCTGTGAGGGATGCTTCGGAATGCCTCCACTTTTGTCAGCCGGTCGCCGAGCGAATGCTAATATTCTTTGCGATGCGTGCATCCGCCACCACTTCCCTAGGCCGTGTGGAGAAGCTATTGCGTCCGAGCCCGAGCCAAGAACGCCGAGCGAGCCATCTGGGACCGGATCGCTGGAGTCTCCAATCCCTGCGACGAATCTGTGCTGCAGCTCGGCAAGCGATTGCTGTTCTTCTTTGATTCCGCAACAGATGCGCAACGGCTGTTGCTGTTTCTAAGAGTCATCGTCGAGGCTGGTGCAGGTATGCATCGTGCGGCAATGTAGGAGTAGCCTCCTTCTCTGCTGCCGCCACCCAAGCACATCTGCTCTCGCTACGAATACAGCATCTGAGTCTCAGGTTGCGACACAGGCGGACAACCCCGATGCACAGAGATCCTGACCAAGCAGGAGCTGGCTGGGGCATGGCTCCATCAGTTGTCCCGGCTCGTCGAGGTGGTGGTCGTCCTGCTCAAGCCAACGTAAGCACCCATGCTCAAACTCCGAACGCTGGATGGCTGCTGAATGCGACAAAGATTTGACTTGATGAGCTACTCACTTTGCAACCGCTCAGCACGAATGCGAATGTGCTTTGCAGCGAACATATCCTGTTCCTCGAGACCATTTCCGATCCGCAGAGCTTTGTTGGCATCCCAAACGGCAGGTATGTACGATCTTGTTAGGGACGACGATCGAACGCAACTGTGGATACCTTCCGGCGCTGTCTGGCATTGACCCACCTCCGGCTCTTGTCGTCAGTATCAGTCTGAGCACACTCTTTCGGACAATGCTCCGCATCAACTTGTATGCAACTGCCGGCCTGTACATCCGCTGCCAGATGGTGAGGCCCCTGGACGCTGTCGTCATGAGCTGTCGCTGGCTCCCACACATGTATTGACTCGCTCCTGTGCATCGGCTTTGCGACGGCTTTATACAGGACCTCCCGGATCCCCAACGCTCGCCCCACACGTCGTCGTTGCTCCAGCTCCTGCTCGATCTCTACCGACACGCGCCGGATCGGGACGTGGCCCGACAGATTCTCTCGCTTCTCATCTCGCAAGTCCTGACGCTTCCCTTGGTCTTCCAGCGAATGAGTAGCAGCGACCGGTCCCGATTTATTGGCATGCTGGCCCTCGATGAACTGTTCGAAACCATACTTGCACAGCTTGCGAGCCAGCCCGAGTCTTTATCCCTCGCCGATGCCACCAACCTGCTTGTCAGCATCATGGCCATTGGCAAGGATCAGCTCCAAGGCGCCCCGCTCTCGAGTCAGGTATGCACTGCCATAGCTGTGAACGCTATTAATGGAGAGCGCAGGCCTTTTCTATGGCCTCAGACCCAACCTCGAGTGGTGACGATGCACATGGTCGAGTTACTGCGACCAAGCGCGGGCTCTCCAACCCAAACGAGTCGCATTTCGCTGCACACCTTGTGTTCCGTTCATGCCTATTCACTAAACTCGCGCTTCACGCCAGATACTATATTTCCGAGCCCTCAAATCCGCACTGCTGAGGCTGCCGAGAGGATACCTCGCCATCACGGAGGGATCAGGTAGCGTGGTTTGCCGGTCGCCAGTGTCATATTTCGGGCGACGGAGTGTGTTTGCCCCAGTTCGAGTGACTCTGGAGGTTGCTCGGCTATCGCTGATGGCGGTACATTTCTCCTATGCATGCTTTAGAACCAGACGACAGCGACAGCGATAGTGAAAGCGATGACCCGTCCTCCGGCCGTCGCAACCAGCTAGGCACAGTGGATCCCGCACTTCATCCGCACATTTCTCAGCTCATCCACCCGGGCTTTCTGTCGATCTTGTCGACCCACCTGGGATCGGCTACGCTGTCGGCCGAAGTCATCAGCGAACTTTGCGCCCTTGTCTGTGTCCTGATCTTCCAGTTTCGAAACAAAAAGTTCCGGATCGTCAACGCCTTCTTGTACAACGGAAGCAGCATTCTCCGGAATCTCTTGACTTTTGTCATGGGCACGACCATTTCCCGCAAGATCGACGAAACAGCCTCCCTTCAGTACGCTGATGTCGTCGGTGAGTCGCCGGATCAGCGGCGTCTGGCTGTGCCAGGTCGCATCCATCTGACAGCATCGGCATAGCTGTGAACACTTTGCCCCCCCCCCATGCCGCTCGCTGGTGACCACAGCCCTCAACGTGGGCGCCGCGTGCCCTGCTAACATCGGTGCTTCTACAACAGACCCGACTCGGGCGCAAGACTGGGCGGTGCTCCTTTTCTTTGCCGAGACACTTAGTCAAGCCATTATCATCATGGGCGATGATGAGTTCTACGACGATCGCAATCCCGTCAAATCGCACGTGCCGAACATTATCAACATCTTCAAGGTGTGTTTGCTGTCCACGCAAGAGTCTCCATGAGCATCGCCTTGCCATACCGATGCCCGACTAAAAACTCACCCAGACTTACCCACGCATTTGGTACCGGCAGCACTGCGCATTTACGATCTATTGGAATGGTGCCTCCGAGCCCGACGGCTACATTGACGGCATGGCTGTTCCCATCAAGTGGATGAACGAGGCCTTCAAACTGCTGCTGCACCAGATTTATGCCCGCCAGTAAGTCGGATGAGTGTTAGTGTGCTGTCACCGAGGCTGTTGCTCGAGAACGGTGCTCAAGCGCCTGGTCTGCCTCGCCCATGTGTCGATGGATTGCCACTACTCACCGGCTCACTTCATGATGATATCGCATCAACGACAGCTCACGACGCGAGTCCCGCCTTCCCGAAGTCTGGCTGATCTCATCCGATCTGGACACCAACCTGTTCATGCAGCAGGCTGTGCTTGAGGATGTCAACGCCGAGGAGCCCGCGACGCTCTCGCAGCTCAAGATGGTTCGCCCGTATCAGGCCGTCCTGAGCAACATACCCTTTGTGATTCCTTTCGAGGCTCGGGTGGCAATATTCCGGGAGTGCATCAACCTGGATCGAAGGAGGTCTGTCATCTGAGGAGGGTGAGAAGGGGCGGGGTTGCAGCGAGCACTTGTTTGGAAGTACCCCGGTACGCACTCGGCTGCAATCTCCGTCTGTGATCTGCAATGGCTTGTGTGGCTATCCTGACGCTTCGAGCACGAATCCTTCCCATAGAGTTGTTGGAGAGCTTGGATGGATCGCGCCCGCGGCCCAGATCAAGATCCACCGAAGCTCAGTGTTTGAAGATGGATTCAAGTATCTCCATCCTCTGGGTGCGTTGTTGCGCGACCCGCCCGCAGTACGGGGGACTAAGTGCACCCGAAATAGCGCCATCGATCATGTCGCAGCCCACTGATCTGTTGCCCAAACTCTGTCTGGCCGATAGGCCCTAATCTGAAGAAGCGAGTGGCCATCTCGTTTGTTAGCGAGCATGGACTCGACGAAGCAGGCATTGACGGCGGAGGTGAGAAATGCATGGGTCGCGGCACCTCAGCCAGTTTCACGGCGTAAATTCGTTGGCATTGACACTCTTGTTCTGGGGGCGTCGGATCGGACTGCAGGTGTTTTCAAGGAGTTCCTGACAGCGTGAGTGACTTGCACGAGCATCGCGCTGGCATCGAGTCAAGTGGCACACAATTCCACCGACACTCCCCGATGCTCCCCGATGCTCCCCGATGCTCCCCGATGCTCCCCGACACTCCCCGATACTCACCACGATCTTTCCGCAGACTATCGAAACAGGTGTTTGACGACAGCTACGGGCTCTTCATGACGACATCCAAGCATCTGCTCTATCCAACCCCCTGCGTCTTCCGCGCCGATCGTATGTGCTGTGCAAACTAAATGAATCTGTTGGATGGGAGCCTGTGAGATCGTTAGTATGGCTTGCGGACTCCTGACTCTCCCCCTCTCCCGACTCTCCCGACTCTCCCGACCTTCCCGATTCTCCCCACTCTCCCGACGCCTATCCACCGCCTCTCGAACATACTCTACAACCACCAGCACAACGGCTCGCCTACTACGAGTTCGTTGGTCGGATCCTTGGCAAAGCGCTCTACGACGGCATTCTCCTTGATGTAGGCTTTGCTGGATTCTTCCTGTCCAAGTGGCTGGGTCGACAGAGCTACCGTAAGTTTGTGGGGCCGATGGCCTCCAGATGGGCTTGAGGCTCACTTTGCCACAATCAGTTCGTTTAATGGCACTCGACGCACCGCAGACTCATCTGGTGGTATGATACTTCATGAACAGTGGATGATCTGGCCTCGCTCGATTCGGAACTGTACTCGGGACTGGTGATGCTTAAGGACTATCCCAAGGATGTCGAGAAGGACCTTGGCCTGTACTTTTCGATCAACGTCAAAGGTAACCACGATTTTGTATCGATATAACCGCCAGAGATTCCACGATGTTTCCATGGTCTAATGCCGTCGCACCCCCACTCACCCTCCAGCGGAAACGGGAGAGATCGTCACAATCGACCTCGCCAAAGACGGGTCCGCTATCCCAGTGACCAACGAGAACCGGCACCGATACATCTACATGGTGTCGGACTACAAACTCAACAAGCAGTTGGACCAGCAGTGCCAGGCGTTCTTCAGAGGACTGTCGACGCTGATCGAGCCGCGGTGGCTGAGGATGTTCAATCAGGTCGGGGTGAACCGCCAATGCCAGTGAGGCCTCCTGGAAAGCCGCGCAGTCTTGGTCGATGGCCGCACCTTTTATTTTCAACTGATCCGTGCGTTTTTTTTTTTTCGTTACGGGTTGATTCCAACAGCAAGAGCTACAGATTCTGCTCGGCGGTGCCAGCACTCCAATCGACATTGACGACCTGCGCAACAACACCACCTATGGCGGCGACTTTCACGAGCTCCACCCGACAATCCGGCACTTTTGGAAGGTTGTTGAAGGCTTCGACAACGAGCAGCGCCGCAAGCTGATCAAGTTTGCGACGAGCTGTCCTCGGCCACCACTGCTTGGTTTCAAGGAGCTATCGCCCGGATTCAACATTCGATCGGCCGAATACGACAATGAGCGGCTGCGTGAGTATTGCTTTGCGCGGGTGTGCCCGTGAGCGACCGAGTGAATGCATCCTTTGGTCGCATGAGTAGACGAAGTGCTGTGGCATGTGCATCGTGCAGATACAGAGTATGGGCACTACACAGATACGCAGTATGGGCACTACACAGATACATGGCGTGGCTCTGTCGCTGACTGGATACGGTTTGTCGCACTTTCCCAGCAACGGCTTCGACCTGTGTCAATCTGCTCAAGATGCCTCCGTATACCAGCGAGGAGATTCTGCGAAGGTAGCGTCTATCTCTCGCCAAACGTCCAGAGTCTCTTCGGCTGTGGCGTGTGTCTGTCTGCACTGTAATGGCCCTGTGCTGATGATGCTCACAAGCCAGGACCATTCTGTGGATTACTGACATGCTCTGTCGCCCTCCTCGGTCTCCTTCAGCAAGCTGCTCTACGCTATCAATGCCGAGGCGGGCTTTGATTTATCATAGTGTAGCTGCAGCCCCGGTCATGATGGATGAGGAATACCATCGGGACAGTTGATCTATTCCCCGAACATCCAGTTGTGGTTGGCTACATAGCAACGACAAAATAGTTGCGAGTCAACATAGCAAAGAAGGCGGAAGACGAGGAGGAAAGGGGAGGAGGAGGAAGAAAATGAGGAGGAAAGGGGGGGGGAGAGGTGTGGAGCAATATGAGCAGGAGGCAGGAGTGTCAGCACCAGGAGCAGTATGATATGAGGATAGAGGCGTATTGGCAGCAACTCCATTTCCGGGGAGAAAAGAGTTCGATCCATGGCCCGGGTCGCGTAGCCGAGCGTCACCAATAAATAGCACGTAGCAGCGGGCAAAGCAAATATACATAGAGGTGGCGAGCTGGAGCCATAGAGGGCAGAAATGGAAGTTGTCCTTTGCGCTTGTGCATTCCAGAGGCCTGCGCAGAAGCAAGGGGTTACGGGAAGCGTCTCCATGGGAGTTGGTGAGCGGCATCTCGCTGAGGGGGGGGGAGATGGAGATACACGCTCTACATCCGGGAGGCTGCGGTGCTGAGGAACTCGACGTATCGGGGCATCTCGATGATGAAGATGTCAAAGTTGTGGGCGATATCCTGCGGGAAGCTGATGGGATCCTCGAAGTTGTACGAATCAATCTCGGGGTGATCCTTGCGATACTCTTGCAGCGGCACAAAGCCCTGGCGACGCAGCTGGATGCGATAGGGGTCCACATAGGTCTTGGTGATGGTGTTTTCGGAGAGGTCGCTGTCGACGGTCAGGGGAGAGCCAATGTCGTCGTGGGCGGTCGTGGTCCGGTCGGACGGCTTGCGGCTCATGAACCAGGCATACCGGCACGGTGGAAAGATGAATCCAGAACTGCGTGCCTGGGCCTCATCCTGCAGAAATTGCTTGATCATGCGGTAGACCAGCGGGATCATGACACCTCCGGGGTCGTCGTGGCGCCGGTCGATGCGGTGGGTCAGCTGGAAGGTGCCCTCGAGCTGGCGCCAGGTGCCCGTGCAAAAGGCTCCGATGGCCCTCTCTGAGGATCGAGCGGCGGCGGAATCTTGCATCCGCTTGAGCGCTGCGGCTGCCGGGTTCTCACGGCGCGCCTTCTCGGCCCGGTACTTTTGCTTGCGCGACTTGATCTCAGGGATGAAGCCTAGCGTCAAATAGTTCTTGCGGTGGGGCTTGGTGGCCGTCAGCATCGGCAGAATGTCGTGGCTCCAGAGGGTCTCGATGCGGTGGCTGAGTTTCTCAAAGCTCGAAAAGTCGTCAAAATGCTCCATCACGCGCGACTGCCCGAGCTTCATGTACCACATGTCGACCCACAGACACCGCATCTGGTCGATCAGGGCCTGGATCTGCCCTTGCGACATTGTCACAGGTACGAACGAGTATCCGTCCGAGTTGAAGGTGGACGAGCTCTCTGCGACCAGCGGCAGGTGCAGTGTCCGGTACTCGACTGAGTTCAGCTCGCCGACTCGGTCGTGCGGCAGCCGGCAGGTCCGGCGGCCGTTGCCGAACAGCTCGATCGGCCGCCACTTGCCCGTTCGCCAGTATCCACCGCCGCCGCAGTTGGTGCAAAACTGGTACTTTTTCTGGCAGACGGCGCAGACCGACTATCGGAGACGCAGATCGAGACCGAGAAGAATAGAGAGCAGGAGGAGAACAGAAGGATAGCAGGAGGAGAGTAGAGGGAGATTCATCGGCCCGTGGACACGGGAGTATTAGAAGAAGGAAAGAATAGAGTTGGACCGGACACTGCTGCTGGTTTTGGGCATCCAAATACTCGCATTCATTTCAGTTGAGCGGGCTGGCTGTCCAGACTTACCTCAACGCCGTACTCGGCATGCTTTTCGTTCAGGTTGATGGCGGCAACACCTGTGCCGATGGACTGCTTGCAGACATGGCAGTCGATCAGCTGCGGTTGGTCCGGCGAGAAGGGCGCCATTCGGGCACGCTTGGTGCGCATAGCCAGGAGACCGGCGGACAGGACCACCGTACCCGAGGACGAAGCTTGCTCGTCTCCCCGGTCGCCATGCTCCGAGGCGGCACCCTCCGGCTGCGACTTTTGTGACTCGGTGGTGCAGATGAAGCACGAAAAATCACGGACGACCGTTGGGGACAGATGCTGGATCTGCCCGTGGAATGTCAGGGTGATGCGTTGGACAGAACATGACTTGCACGCCAGCACCTCCTCGAGCTTGCCCTTCTTTTTGGAAAGGTCGTCGAGGTCCAAACCCTTGGGCGAGTCCGACACCGATGTCAAGGTCGAGCCCGAGGGATTGGGCGATGACTCTGGAGCCGAGGCCATGAGATGGTCCCAGCGCTTGCGCTTGCCAACGAGGCCGGCGGTCGGATCGAGTCCATCAGGCTGCGGCTCGTTGGCGGCATTCGGATCTGTGGCTGAGTTGAAGCTGGACGAGCCAGCAAGCATATGGCTCGATGGCGAAGCCTGGCCCAAGCCAAAGGGATTAGCGCCAAGCAGCTGGGGTACCGGTGAGCGGAGATCGGCAAAGGCGGCAGCGGTGACGGGGTGGCTCGATTTCGCGGGCTGGTCGGAGGCGAGCAGAGTTGTGCTGTGGGTGGGCTCTTGTTCAGGGTACTTGATGCCAAGGGTTTCAAAGAACTGCTGGCTGGTAAGGCTCAGTGGGAAGGACGGGCTCTGCTCGTAGCGGAACTGCGAGCTGAGAGAGAGGGAGAACGAGTCTTGGCTTGACGACCCATCGCTGTTGGCGTAAAAGTAGTACTCTGGATAGGCCGTTCTCTGGAGCCCTGCAAGTGGCCCTGCAAGTGGTCCCGCAAGCGGCCCTGCAAGTGGTCCTGCGAATCCTCGCTGGATCGTAATCATTGCGAGTGCGATTGAAATGCGTTGCGAGCGATGTTGCCAAATTGTCGAATTGCAGAGGTGCAGTTATCGAGAGATAGAAAATGCAGAGATACGTTGAGTCGTGGGCAATCGCAGGGCAGCCAAAAAGTCGTTCGTAAGAAATCAAAAGCAAAACAGCGAGACAGTGCGACTCGACATCAGGGCAGCTCGCAGCGGACTCGGTACATACCGCTGGATCCGAATTTGGCACGAGGACGGACGGCGGTGCATCGGAAGGAGCCCACAACTGCGTTGGGGCCGCCTGGGTCGACAGCAGCACGGGGGCCGGATCGAGCCCCGGCAGTGGGCCAGACACAGGGAATTGCGACGACAGCCGATCCGAGAGCAGCGATGGTGCCAGCGACGAGGGAGGCGGCGGCGGCGGCGGCTGGATGACGAAAGGGTGGTGCGTCGGGGCCGGCAGCGGCTTGGAAGCCGAAAACGGCGGTCTCGGGAGGAAGGTCGGCGGGGCCGAGTAGAGATCGGACTGGGCCGGGAGGTTGAGGCCAGGGGCTCGCCCTGGCAAGGACGGCCACGATCCAGACGGAGACGGAAGGGCCGGTTGGAACGGGGTCGACGACGAGAGCCTCGATGGGTCCCGCCGAGGCAGTGGCGACATGGGCTCCCGTTGCGGTATCGGGAGCGACGAGAAGCCTTGGCTCGGTATGCGCTGAAAGCCGGACTGGAACTCGGGCTGGAATTCGGATTGATATTCATGTTGAAAGTCCGGTTGGTACTCAGGCGGGATCAGGGGTCGTTGTTGATGCGGATATGGCAGTGCTGACGACGATGCTGCCGACGGCGATGAAGACGACGGCGGACCGGCCGAGGATCGGGGCTGCCAGGAGGCCGACGGGTTGCTGGCCGGATAGTAATGCGATTGCAGAGGAGGTGCGTTTGGATTGTTCATCGAGAAATGTGGCTGCAGCGAGCTAAGAGGTCAAGTGGAAGGAGGTCAGGGACTGAGACAGGGCAGAAGTGGAAAAGGATCGAGGACACCAAGAGCGACGGCAAAATGAGCCGGAAGAGTTGCGAGATAGAATAGGAGAGATACAAGGCAATTTGAAGGAATGGCGAGGGCACGCTGCAGGAATGGCGAGGCCAAGCGCAGAGAGAGAGAAGGCGAGCGATGCAGGCCGGGACAGCAAGGCGGGCAAACGGGTCCAAGGAGAGACCACAGAGCCGGACCAGCGGATCCAGCGAGGTTGTCAGCAGTGGATCCGCAGACGCAATGGGCGATCGGGAAGGACGGAGGCAATTTGGGTGGCCGAGAATGGTCGCGGAGGGCGAGTCGTTGATGAGGGCAGCGAGCCGGCACCGACCGAGACAAGCAGAACAAACGCTGGGTTAGATGCGAGTCCAGCAGAGGTGGCAGATAAGCAAGAGTATAACGACGAGCAGGAACGAGAGTGGGAATGGGGACCGGGACTGGAGCGGGAATGGAGTGGGAAATGAAGCGGGAAACAGAGCGCAACCGGGATGGGCCGTTTCGAACAACAAGCGAGTGCCGACTTGGAGCGGTTGTCCTGGTGGTCCTGGTGGTTGTCTGGTGGCCGACCAGTCCAACACAGCAGCGAAGAGCGAGACGGGCCCGGAGGCACATTTGCATGCTTGATGCTTGCATGCAAGCATTCTTGCACACCCAGCGCAGGCACATCCGGGGCTCGTCCCAAGGCACATCCGGCACAGCCATATCCACAGACACCTCCTGCCGAATGATTTGCACAACACCGACATACCAGACGAGCGAGACGGCAGGACGGCAATTAGGCCACTGCCATCAAAACCAGAGTATGAAGTGGAAAGGGCAGCAGGACCGAGGATGTCCAGCGAGCAGATGAAGCGATAGACAGCAGCGCCGACCAGGCGCCTGGGTCCGGTGGCGGTGGGGCTGGTGGGTTTTGGCAAGTGGTACTCCCAGCAGAGGCCTCGTGCCGGCGAGGTTGAGGGCAGACTGGCCGGGATGCGGGAGCAGAGACGCAAGAGCAGGAGTGATGATGAGCAGGGGTGGGGAAGCGCAGGGCTGGCCGCTTGAACCGGACAGGAAGTGGTCGGTGGTGCTGGTGGTGCTGGTGGTGCTGGTGGTGGACCAGGAGGAGGAGGAGGCCCGGCACACGGCGCGAGCGGTTGAATCTGCAAAGGCCCGCGAAGGAACAACCGGGCGGCAGCACTGCCCAGTCCTTGCTGCGGGTGTACCTGCCAAAGGCCGGGCTGGAGAGCGCTCTTGTCGGGCGGGCGCTTGTTGGGGGAGCGACTCCCACGAACGGCGGGTGGATGGAATGCCGTTCTTGTGCGGGCGAGTGCGCTCTGCTGCGCGGCGAGCTTGTGTCGGTTGAGTTTTTATTGTTGATGAGTTGGCGGTGGTGTTGATGAGTTGGCAGTAGTGTTGTTGAATTGGTGGTGGTGGTGTTGAATCGGCGGTGGTGTAATCCGCAGATTGCTGCTGTAACATACATGTCGCTGCAATCGATTGAATGGCACTGGCGTTGGTCTTGGGACTTGGTCGCCCACGTCCAAGCGCCCCCTCTTCCCCATCCCGCCACGGCCGCGATGCCAAAACGTGCGCGGACACTGCCACGGGTGCTGAGGCTGCGGGCCGTTGCGCTGGCGACTCGGCCATCTCCAAGCATCGCCGAGCATCGCCGAGCATCGTCGCTCATCGTCGCCCATCGCCCAACATCGCCGAGCATCATCCAGTTTCCATCCGGCTTCCATCCAGCATCTACCGCCGGCCTTGGCTCGAGTGGCCCTATATGCGCCAACAATCAATCTCGTGCTGCGACAAGGTCGCAAGCCCATGGGCGAGGACATCACCGGCACATCGTCTTCTCACCACTCCCGCATCGGTGCTTGGGGGCAGCCCTTCGAATGGGCCAGCAAAGCCGACGCGCCTGGCTGCACGCAAGGAGCGCCGGCCTTTGCCCCTCGCAAGAACCAAGCGGGTCTGGGGCAGCCACGATTCCTGGCCGGGGGGAGAAGGGATGCACAAGGGGCCCCTGTTGGGTTGGGGCTGTCCTTGGGCCGATCCCGCAGGCAGGTTGCTTCCTGGTCGACCAGGACCAAAGCGGCTCCAAGAGGTGGCTCCGGGCTGTCGGGCTGCTCATGGGGGAGGGAGGAGAAGCGAAAGCAGCACGGGCGATCGAGGCGATCCAGCCCGGGAACCACTGTGGGCTCAGCTCTGTCAACCCGGCCGATCCAGTGTGCTCGGCGTTGCCACAGCGCAAGCGACGAGCGCAAATTTGCTGGCCGGGACCAGCTGTGCGTGAAAACCATGTGCCTTTGGACCCACCCACCTTGACACTCGGCCGCGACTTCTATCGAGATCTGCCTCGTCGCAGCGCTGTCCCGCCCCTTCCCTGGCATAGCGAGCGCGGCCTGCCGAGCATGTCCAGAGAGTGGGCGCCACCCCGGCATCGTTCCAAGCAGCATCGGCAGCATCGGTCCGCTGTGAGTCGGCTTGGGACGCCCGATGTGTCCATTCGAGTGCGCGCCGTCTTGGCCAATGGGGCGAGTCTCGCCATCGTCCTGCACTCAGCTGCTGCGATCCCCGCACTCTATGAGGACTCGTATTCCTTTCAGCTCTTGTCAAGGTTATATGCCGGATGCTGACGACAAGCCAAGAGCAAAGTAAAGATGGGGGCATCTCGTTTCGTTTCATTTCATTTTTTCATTTTTTTCATTTTCCATTGTCTGGATAGACTGTACATGGGAGGCACCTCCCTCATCTTCTCTCCGTACACCTGTATTCACACTCATCATCTAATCGCGACATTCACCGATCCGGATCTGGGTTCCTTATTAGATACATCAAAGGCCGTCTTGCACGAGGTCTCGGTAAGAGATCCAGACAACTATCCAAAAAAAAAAGAAGGCGGGGTAAGAGCACGACGGGGGGGGGTGTCGTTCCTTCGACCCAAGATCGGGGGAGGGAAGGAAGCAGTTGCCAAGGTCGAAACGGTGGTGCTGGAGAGCGAGACCAGGATCAGGAGGGCTGCGATGGCACCGTCTGGTAAGACGTCCTCTCGCACTCTCCTTCTCCTGCTCCGTCCTGGCCGGTCAACTCTTGGCAATGTTTCGCCTCAGGTATTCAAAGTATTTCGAGATCTCGATCACAAAGATATCATACTGCTGGACTTCAAGGCGCGAGTCGGCGCCGTGGTCGTCGCAGAACCAGTACTGGTCGACTTCGGGGTGCTGCTTGCGGTACTCTTGCAGCTGCATAAAGCCCTGGCGGCACAGCTGGATGCGGTACGGATCGACATAGGTTTTGGAGCCGGTGGCCCGGGCGTCGCCTCCAGAGTCGGATCGTCCCGCGTCCAGAGTATGGGCCGCATCGCCAGTATCGGCCGCCGAGCCCGTAGTGCTGCCTCCCGGAAGCATCTCGGCCTCGGACTTGCGGCTGGCAAACCAGACATAGCGGCAGGCCGGGAACGCAAATCCAACCTCGCGTGCCTGGGCCTCATCCTGCAGAAACTGCTTGATCATGCGGTAGATCAGCGGGATCATGATGCCTCCCGGGTCGTCGTGGCGCCGGTCGATGCGGTGGGTCAGCTGGAAGGTGCCCTCGAGCTGGCGCCAGGTGCCCGTGCAAAAGGCCCCGATGGTCTTCTCGGGAGGCTTTGCCGGCAGAGGATGGCCCCGCTTGCTGGAGGGTCCGCCGTCAGACTCGCGCAGGGCTTTCTCGGCACGGTAGCGCTGCTTTCTGTTCTTGTACTTGGAGATCAGCCCCAGAGTCAGGAAGGACTTGCGGTTGATCTGATGGGTGGTCAGCAGCAGCACAATCTCGTTGCTCCAGATGCGTTCGAGCTGCTGCGAGATCTTGCGGAAGGTCGAGTACTCGTCAAAGTGCTCCATGACCTTGGGCTGGGCCACTTTGGCCATCATCAGCTCCAGCCAAATGTCCTTGAGCTTCTTGAGGAGCAGGTTCAGCTCGGGATGCGAGAGCTTGGCCAGGTCCCAGTTGAGCCATTGGGTCGCATTGATGGGCTCGTCTCGCCGGGCGGCCACCGACGCAACCAACGGCAGGCTGCAGGTGGTGTATTCGATCCACTGGACTGGTCCGACTCGGTCATGCGAGAGGCAGCAAGTCCGGCGATGGCTGGCAAACAGCTCCTTGGGGCGCCATTTGCCCGTTCGCCAGTATCCGCCGCCACCGCAGTTGGTGCAGAATTGGTATTTCGCGTCGCAATGACTGCAAACCACCTGTGGCAATGGCCAAGTGTTGAATGTATCGCGGAGAGGAGCCAGACGGCATCGAGCAGATCAAACAGCACTGATTAGACAAGGTACAGCACCCAAGTGTCGCAACCATCACAATCATCACAACCATCACAGCCATCACAACCATCACAATCATCACAACCATTACAGCCATCACAACCAGCACAATCATCACAACCATCACAACCATCACAACCAGCACAACCGTCGCCACCGCATTACCTCGATGCCGAATCCATTGCTGTGCGAGTGGATCCGCATATTGAGCGCCGCCTTGGCAAACCCGATCGGCTGTTTGCACACATTGCATTTCAACAGCTCGAACCCCGGCGGCAGACCCGCGCCGGCTCGGGCGGAATGCGTTTCGGCCGGCGACTCGAGCTTGATGTGCTCTCGCCGAGGTGTCTCTGTTGGTATATTGCTCTCGGCCGCCATCGCCACCGCTGCTGCCGCTGCTGTTGCTGCTGCTGCGACCGAGCCTGGGATCGGGACACCTAGCGAGAGCACAAGGGTTGGGTCGGGAGGACCTCGGGCCATCGCCGCCTCCAGTCGTGCGATGCGCTGTTCTTCGCATGCCTGGCACACAAACTGGACAATGAACGGCCGTGGCACGTTGATCGTCTTGCGAGAGCCCCCCAGGAATGTGATGCAGGCCTTGGTATCTTGGCAGGAGAGACAGACCAGCGACTCGACCGGATGCGTGGCAGCGGTGTCGGGCTCCGACGCAACCAGCGCTCCTGGCCCTGGCGAGAGCGCGTCCGGCGAGAGCCCCTGCGGCGGTGCAGACGCACAAGTAAGTTATCGTGGGAACGCACTCGGCCAGCCGATTCCATGCTGCCGACGACTTGCAAACGCCAGACGCCATCCACTGGACAGTCTCCTGCTCGAAGCCGACCACACTTCACAGACTGCACGGACTGCACTCGGACACGTTCTCGTGAGAGATGACCGACTCCATCCCCGCCCCTCAGGTTTAAATCACAGCCGGGCTGCATCGCCGCCTGTCTTGACCTCGCCGACTGGTACCCTCCGCCAGTCGGCATGAACCACATGCCGAAATATCCTGTGCCTGCCGTCCTACACTACCCCAATCGCATGCCCGATACTGATGACAGTGCTCTGCTGTGACTCCTGCCCCCGTCATGCCTTTCTGCCCGCATCGTTCCCCGCTCCGACCACACAGACCCATCCCCACACACACTCGCACTTACTTGGTCCTCGTAACCGACAGGGCTGGGGTGATCGGCGACGGGCTGGCCCAGCGACGAGCGCTCAGCGACCGAATACCACGGCCACGGCGCGACCGGAGAGCCGGTTAGCGCATCGAGCGACTGGGCAGGCGCGGGCGGGAGCTGCTGATGGACGAGGTGAGCCTGAGCCGCCGTCGGGCCTGGCGATCCGTGGCGAGTGGACGGCAGCAGCGGCGGCGGCCATGGCGTCCCATGGAGCGGCCTCGTATCTGACCCCGAGGGCAACACCAACTCGACGGCTTTGTTGTCCACTGGCAGGGGCATGTGATGGCTTGGACCGTGGGACCCTTGTGGCGGGGTCTGCTCGGCAAGGTGGTCACGGCGGTGGTCCTGATTGACGGCGGTGGTTCCCATGTCCCGCGGTGAGGGCACGAGAGTCGGCCGCCGGTTTGCCGTTTCCGAGGCCACGGTTGAGAAGGGGAGGGGAGGCAGCAATAAGCAGATCCCAGACAACAACGACACAAAAAAAGGAAAGAGAAACAAGGGTTGGTTAGGCGGATGGACAGCGGTGAACGGCACAGACCCTCAAATGCCAAGATGGCGAGTGCCAGAACAGCGAAGCGCTGGCACGACCCCCCTCCCTACAAAGCAAACAAGCCCCTTCGCCAGGACGAAAGGACGAAAGGACAAATCCAACGAGCGATACAGCCGGGTGCTGGTTGTCGCCATGAGTAACTCTTACCCAGTATGACGGTGTGTCTGGACGGACAGACTCCTGCCACCGCAGACCCGGGGAGGCCAGACCCAGAGGCACCGGCGGAAGCAGCTGCGGCTGGGGCTGCAGTGTGTGGAGATGCTGGTGCTGGTGCTGGTGCTGGTGCTGGTGCGGCCGAGGCAGTGCCGGATAATGATACTGAGACTGTGTTTGGGATTGGGGGTGAGGCTCCAGTTGCGGTTGCGGTTGCGGTTGCGGTTGTGATCGCGATTGCGGTTGCGGTTGCAGTTGGAAGGGTAACTGCGGCTGCAGCTGCGGCTGAGGTTGTGGCTGAGGTTGTGGCAGTAAAACGGAAGAGGATTGCAGTGGCGGAAGCAACAGCGAGTACTGCTGAAGAGGTGGGACCGGCGAATTGGACGGAACAGACCCTGATTCGCGGCTGACGAGAGCTTCGCTGCCCGGACCGAGACTGAGCGATCGATAGTTTTGCCCAATCGACATGGTCTCGGGATAGCCGTAGCCCGGGCTGCTGGCAAAGTTGCGGTCGAGGGCAGGGTGCGGATGGTCCTGGGAACGAAATGAGGCGGTCGATGGCTTGTCTAGTCCTGGGTCGTGGTCTGAGCCTGGCTTGGATGCATACGCTGGGCCGGCGACCCACACAGACCCAGAGCCGAGGGTCGAGGAAGGATCCAGCGACTCTGATTCGTAGCTGCCCCTGACGGAACCAGCCAGTGCCGGCTGCAGATACGACGGTGGCGAATACGGCCACAGCGAAGAATTCCAGTTCAAAAGTTGGGCCTGAGAAAGCTCGAGCGGGCCGCCGGGCGGGGGCTGAACGAGTGCCTGGGCGGGATGGGCATGGTCCGGGTACTGAATGGATCCCAAATCGAGGGCGGGCTGGTACTGAGCCGACATCCTGCTCCGATCCCTCGAATAGCCAAGGCGATCGACTTGGCCGCGGAGAAGGAACGACGGGCTCGCCAGGGTGTCCAGCGACGAATCGGGCGTCACAAAGGTATTGACGGGCGCCGGACCGGCAAGGACGGAATTGCTGGAGACTGTGGCGTCGGGGGTGTATGCACCGTGCGAATACTCGGGTCCAAAGAGCGGATGTCGGTCCATGGGAGGAGCAGTTGGATGGATGCGATGCAGAGACGGCGATGCGTTTGTGGGGTGGTGTGCAGGCGACAGGCCGGTCGGAGCAAACGGGACAGCATCCCGAGTCGCAGCCAGCGGATAGTGCTGCTGGAACAGCGCAGCACGGCTGCCGTCCTCCCGAGGCAGCGGGTAGTGGGTCTGGCTGCTTACAGATGAATTCCCCCAGTGAGAGCTGGATGCATCGGCAGGGTCCTCTTCTGGGTGGAATGGAGATGGGTGCTCCATTGTCGGAGCCGATGCGACGGTGGGAGACGAGACGGACGCAACGACTGCTGTGCTCTCTCTTGATGGAGGTGTATCCGGGACCTGCAAGCGAGGCAATACATTAGCACATGTGCCGGGAGACAAAAAGTATCCGGGCGGTAGATTGGGGAAGGGGGCGTGGACAGCCAGGTGCCAGCGATGGGGGGAGAGTGCCAGCGAACGAGCACCAACAGACAGGCGCCCGCAAATGGGTGCTGTACGATCGACAGGCTCAGCGAGAGCCGAGATGCGCAGATTGGACGGAGACGAAGACGAGACCGAGTGCAGGCGGGGTGGGTGAATCTGCTGGGCCTGGGACATGAATTGGTGCGGAAGCGTGGTCGGTGCGAGCGAGGGCGATGGGGGGGGGCGTGGAGGGAAGGGTGCGAACCGGGGACCAGACGCAGCAAGGGACCAAACCAGAGCGATGGGGGAGGCGGGTACCTATGCGATTGATCTTTGGCGACGATCCGAGACCGGTCCGACAGGGGGTGGAGCCGAAACAGGAACTTTATAGCAGATGCGACGGAGCAGTCGACCGACAGCCGAATCGCGGGATTAGATGGACAGGCGGCGAATGGACAAGGACGGGCCCGAGGCGAGGAGGCACTACCATCGAGCGCTTTTTTGGGGAGAGGGAGGGCGAGCGAGCGAGAGGAGAGCGAGAAAGAAAGCGCCGACAAGCGGGAGGGGCCGAAGAAAAGATCTTCAGGAATCCGAGCCGGCACGGAGTGCGACATAGTTAACGTTGTTACGCGCAGCAAGGGCGAGTAGGCCCATCCATGGCCTTGCTGCGGGCGGCGACGGGTATAGCGCGGGCGGCCAATGGCATTGTGCGGCCAATACCGGCTCTGGCTCCGCGACACAGACGCAGCAGCAGCACGAGCGATAGAGATAGAGATAGTGATGGCAACGGCGACGGCAACGGCAACAACAGCAGCGATGGCAACAACACGAACAAGGGCAGGAACAACACCAGCATCAACATCAACAGCAACAGCAACAGCAACAGCAACAGCAACAGCAACAGCAACAGCAACAAGCAGCTGTGCAGTATTAAGAGCCGCCGGCAGTAACAACCCTGCAGCACGAACGAGGGCCTTTTGTTGGCCCTTTCCGCTTTGTCCTGTACCGCCAGCAACAGCACTTGACCACAACAACACTTGACCACAGCGCCAGTACTTAATCACAACAGCACTACTTAATCACAACAGCGGTTAATCGCAGTACTAACTGCGACCGAGCGTTCGGCGGTGCACATTCGCTGCTTTCCACCCCGCAGAGGCAATATACACACATCCCTGCCCCCCCCGTTCTGGCCAAGGCCGGGGTTAATGCCAAGCGACGGTCTCGACATGGCCGTTGTTCGCACACCCGTCTCGGCGCAAAGCTTTCACCCCCTCGGTCTCCCCTCGGTCTCCCCTCGGTCTCCCCCTCCCACGCACGATCCCACGCACCAGCCCATGCCGCCCATCCAAACCCATGTGCCGTCCTGGGTTCTCGCTCGCAGAGCCGCTCGACCCGGCTGCATCGCCCGGCCGCTGCCCCGACGACGGGCGCAATCGGCGCCCAGCTTTCCTCCCCACGGCTGCTTCGGCGGTGCTGGGCCGATCCATCTTGGCCACGCAGCCCTCCCCCCCGGCAGGCAAGGCCCCGCGAGAACCGCGTGAGCCCAGGGCCGAGGCTTTGTCTCGGCCTATATTGCGTCTTGTGCGCCCCGTGCAATCTCGGCAGGACCAGTTCGATTGGTACGCCCTTGCATTTTGTTTGCGCTTTCCTCTTTTTTCGGGTCCTTGCCTCGTCGCAGCCCGCAAGGGCCGCCGCCGTCACCAATCAGCGGCTGCAGGCGGCTGCCTCCTGAGCCGGGGGGCGTAACGCACACAGCCAAGGCAACCAGCCGAGTGTGTCCTTTCCTGGCAGTCTCGGCCTGGGAGAGCACTCGACTGCCCATCGGAGAGCACCCGGCTGCGCCTGGAGTGCACCGACTGATACAGCTCGCATGGAGCGCACTCCCTGGGCCTGGATACAGCAAGCATGAGCCCTGCTCCCCCCCCCAGGCCGTCCAGGGCCTCGGATCCGACCCACTCGCAAACTGCCGCTGCCGTGGCCGGCGACCTCAGCACCCAGCATGCGCGCCTGCAGGCCGTCCTCTACAACCTTGCTGGCGGATTTCAGTGTCTGTGGCTGCGGGTGGGAGCGCTGCGTCTGCTGTCGCCCTTGTGCATTTCCTCGGCGCTCGCCCAGCAATCCAGCCAGCTCGGGTGTGCTCGCCCACGCCCAAGAGCCACCCTCTGTTCAGCCCTGAGCCTCCGCCTCGCCTCGCCTCGTCTCGCCAAAAGTGCTCACCCTTGCACAGCACAACACCGTGTCTGGTCGGGCTTGCCCTGGGCCCGTCTGCTGAACCGGCACTGGCCGTTGTTTCCCACGTTCGTCGTCGACTGGATAGCCTAAATCGCAGCCAAGGCGGCCTTCTTGGCTGAATGGCATTAACAGCCGGCCGCACACCTTGCTGCTCTCCAACCCGGCCGCAAGAACCACTCGTGGTAGACCGCCCGCGAGCAACAAGCCGCACGACGGGAATATGCTGGGTCTGGTAGGCACAAGGCGGGGAGCCTCGGCGCGATTCGGCCGTGGACCAGCACGGGTCCGACAAGGTCATGGCGGGCGGTGGGGCGAGCGGGCGCAATGCGATGCAAGTCTGCCATGCGATGCGATGCAAGTCTGCCATGCGATGCGATGCGATGCAGTCATGGACAATCCTGTCACATACCGATCGACATCTTGCAGATAACGAACGGACACACTCCCCGTAGCCCTCCCGATAATGAACTGGATCCCAATGCACCTTGGTCGGGATCATGTCGCAGCCGTGACGAGCACCAGCTTGTTGTCCAGTCCCATTCCATTGCGGCATGCGACCAAAGTGCCACTGCCTCCGTGGCTGGCTTCTCTGCAAGCTTATCTGTCAGTCGTCTCCATCTCAAGCCGCTCGTTTGTCCTGCCGGCAACTCTGTTACTGCCATTCCCATCGCCTTCAGAGTTCAGCCAGTGCCTCATCGGTCACCCTCCTGCTCCTCCTCCTCCTCCTCCTCCAGACGCCACTCGGTGGATCCAAGATGGTGTCATTGCCCAGCCCGAGCCGGTGCCACTGCCCCAATTCAAGCGAGGCGCCGCGGTGCCGTTTCGAACAAAGTGCCACCCTTCTCCGTCCATGCGAAACCACTCGGGCTGTTTCATCTCACTTCAGCACATTTCCGGCTACCCTTATCTCTAGCTCTTTGCCGCTGGTTGTTGGACACAGCCAAATGCCCATCACCAGGGCTTCAGCTTCGTCTCCTCCTCATCCCCCCCCAAAAAAAAGAGTGTCCTTGGGACAAGGCATCGCTCTCGCGACCAAGCAAACAAAACGACACATGCGCATCTCCCTTCCTTCGGCCGCATGGGCGAGGGCACACATCCGCCGAGAATCGTCCATGTCCATGTCCATCTGATGTCCATTCAGCACACACACCCCCTTGCGACAAGACGCTGGTCGTCGCGAACCATTGGTGGTGCTCGACATGTTTGCGTCGGGTTTCCTTTCTCCCCCCACGACGCCCGCGCTGCTATCCTTTCGGCTTCCTGGCGAGATACCGCTCCACACTGACGAAATGGGCTCTCGATACTCTCGCAGCGAGGTGCACATCGTCGTGGCTTCTGGTAGAGGCTCTTCGGGCTCTCGTCTCCCTCCTCTTCCTCCCCCCACACCAGATCTGCCCATGCGCATTTCGGGTGGGCAAGTGTCTGCTGGCCTCGTATGATCTCCGCGGCTTTGTGCTGGGTGGGCTTCGTCCCACACTCACCTTCGCCAGGAGCTGGTCCATGACCATTGTTGCTTCGGTCACATAGGCGTCGCCGCTTTCCGGTTTTGCTTCTCCTCCTCCTCCTCAAAACCCTCTTTCTCGCCATCGCACCCGCGATCGTTGTCGCCGGGATTGCGTGTGCCCCTCCTGCTCAGCGTCGTCTCTCGGTCCGGTCTCGCAGAGGCACACCGGATCAGTCCGCCTCCTCCTTCTCGTACCCGCTCCCGTGTGGCGGCCACTGGCCACACTCCACCGCCGTCGGCTTCTGATCGGCCAATGCTCAGACAAAGCTCAGACAAAGCTCTCCTCCTCCGTCCATCTCTGCGATCCACCCGCCCGCCTCCGAGCACATTGCGTGCACATCATGTCAGCTGTGCACCACTTCCTCGTTCGTTTGTAAAGGTGGCATGTGCTGAGGCATAGGGCACTCACCCGCCCACCTTTATTTTCCTTTCCTGTCCTTTGGGTGATGAGGATCCCTCCCTTCCTCGGCTCGAGCACTGAACCAAACTACATTCTGTGTCGCCTTTCCCACAGACGTTTCATGACAGGGGGTGGCTCGATCGATGGGACCTGGCGAGGCGAGGAGGCCAGCGGTCGGGCGGTGCCGGAAGAATTGCAAAACTATGTACATGTGCGTTGCTCCTGCCGTCCAGCCCCACTGGTTGTCCACGAAACCCGCACGTCTGCTTGCACAAAGAGCCGGCTTATCCCTTGGCAAGGCCCAATTCACACGGTCCAGGGCGCTTGCGACCATGGGTCCCGCGGGAGAGGGTGCAGGCGAGGGCGAGAGACGCGGGGTGGGCTGGAGCCTGCCTCGTCTCGCTGCCGACGACATGGCCGTCTCGCCCACCCCGCTCCCAGGCCCTCTTGCAGGGCCCGGAGGGACGCCAAATGAGAAAGACTGCCATGGGTTCGTCGCTGCCGCGCTGTCGCAGGCACGCCCCGGCCCGGGCAGAGCGGCCGCCATTCCTCATCTTGATCGTCACAGCACCCGGTCGGTCGATCGGTGCGGTGTGGTGCGGTGCGGTGCTGCACAGCAATCTGCCTTGGGTGCTTGTGCTTGCGCCGGAGGATCGTGCTTGGTCCATTGCAGGTTTTGCATATCCACGGTATGTCTCGCACGTCCATCGTATGCAGAGGCATTCTTCCAGACGAGTATAGATCGACGGATCCTGTCGAGCCATTGGCGATGTCGGCTGTCTGCTCGGGTTGCTGCTTTGGCTGTCCCATCCGACCAGTCGCGATCCCATTCAGCTGTTGGTTTTTGCCTTTGGGCCGCCGGCCATATTCCCACGCCCCTTCTTGATCAGTTTGCGGCCACTCGGTGTCCTGGCTTGTGCCGTGTCTTAATGCAGTCGTGGTCTCGACAGGTGCGACCAACTAGGCTCAGCTCAGCTCGGCCCAGCTCGGACCGGGGCCGAGTCGGCTCAGCATGCGGATGCGACGAACCGACCAACATGGGCTATGGGATCCTGTCCCTGCTCACCCGGCCAGCCAGTCAGTCAGTCAGCCAGTCGGTCAGTCAGTCGGCCAGTCGGTCTGCCTGTCCTCGCTCAGTAAGTCGGTCTTGACGCTGTCCTTCTTGGACGACCCAGCTGAGTTGGGTGGGCGCTGATGAGATAGATTGGGCTGAGCTCCTCCTTGGCCGTGTGCGACGCATCCACCCCTCCCGATTGGTGTTGTGCGGACGATACCCGAGGGAGGAGGGGCCCAGGTCGATCCCGGGCTGATATGGAGTGGGCCGGACTGCATTGGTTGCGCTGGTTGCTGGCCTTATCGGTGGCAGTTGGATCGCTCCGATGAGACACTGTTATCGTTGGGTGGGTTCTCATCTTGGATTCAGCCGTTCTTGCCGCCGGTGGAGAGCGAGGGAGAGGAGGGGGGCGAGGAGAGAGAGAGAGAGAGAGAGAGGCGCGATTGGAACTCCTCGGAATCCAACCGAGCATGTTGAGATGATGGAGTCGGGAGTTGCGAGCCGGGGAGACCTCTCAGTGCCAAGAGGGAGGAGCCGCAGACTCACCGCACCCATCCTTCACACCATCATCGACACAGCCGAGTCCAGATAGTCCACAAACTTTGCAATCTCGACCACAAAGATGTCAAAGTTGTGAAGCACCTCAGGTGGATAGCTGTCGTCTTCAAAGGTATAGTCGTCGGCCTCGGGGTGTCGGAGACGGTATTCTTGTAAGGGCAGAAACCCTTGTCGGCGAAGCTGGATCCGATACGGGTCCACAAAGGTCTTGGCCAGATTGCTTTCGTTCGCGGTGGGGGGCATGGTGGCATGGGCCGCGGGCGCTCCCGAGGCGATGCGTTGTGGAACGGGCTTCTTGAGCGAGCTTGGGGTGGACCGAGGCAGTTCCGATGGACCTTGGCTCTGCCCGGCGTCATCGTTGTCGCTGGCGAGAGCGGCGACGGTGGTGGTGCTGGTGGTGGTGGTGGTGGTAGGTTGGGCAGTGGCTTGCGACGGCAGACCAGGCACCTCGGGCTCGCTGCATATCGGCTGCATGTCACCCGAATGCTCGGTCGCCACGCCGCTCTGTGCATCGGATTCGGTGTCGTCGCCAAAGATGGCCGAGGTCAGATCCGAAGACTTGCGGCTGACAAACCAGGCGTACTTGCACACCGGGAAGATCTTGCCCCCAGCTGCTTCGTGGCGAGCTTGCTCCTCGTCCCGCATGAACTGCTTCATCATCCGCTGCAGCAGCGGCACCATCATGCCGCCGGGATCCTCGAGTCGCTTGTCGACTCGATGGGTAAGTTGGAAGGTGCCTTCGGTCTGCCGCCAGTTGCCAGTGCAAAAGCCGCCGATGATCTTGTCGTGCGACTTGCGACCCTTGTTTGCCGCCGACAGACCGACGGCCGATGACGAGGACGAGGACGAGGACGGGCCCAGGAGAAGCGACCCGGCCGATGACGACGACGCCAGCGACGACGATGACGACGATGCCATTGCCGACAGAGTCTTCTCGCGCTGGGCCTTCTCGGCGCGGTACCGCTGCTTGCGCGAGATCAGCTCCGGAATGAAGGCGATCGTCAGATAGCCCTTTTGGTTGTCCTTGCGCTGGGTCAGCAGCGGCAGGATGTCGCGGATCCACATGGCATCCAGTCGCTCTGTGATCTTCTCGAACGTGGAGAAGGATTCAAAGTGCTCCATCACCCGCGACTGCCCGAGCCGAAGCAGCCCCACGTCCGTCCAGATGCCATGCATTTGCTCGAGAAGCAACTGTCGCTGCCACTGCATAAAGTCTTGGTCCGACGACAGGCCCGTGATGGTCTGGCTCTGGACATTGGCAGTGAGTGGCAGCGCCCAGGTGACGTACTCGATCTCGTTGACTTCGCCGATGCGGTCGTGCGGAAGTCGGCAGGTTCGGCGGGCGTACCCAAACAGCTCGGCCGGTCGCCACTTGCCCGTGCGCCAGTGGCCGCCGCCACCGCAGTTGGAGCAGAACTTGTACTTTGTGGTACACGGATCGCACACGAGCTGCCAAAACGGAGAGAGGGTAAGTGCAGGACGGCGGTGTGAGAGGCATGGAGAAAGCAGTGCGCGCTGCCGGGGTGGCGATCGACATGGGCGGCGATGCAGGCAGCAGCTTATCGCCCACCTCGATGCCGACGGCGTTCTTCTTGGATCGCAGGCTTTCTTCCTCGATGGCAACCCGCCCAAACCCAAAGGCTTTCTTGCACACGTCGCAGGTAAAGTACTGGTCTTGGTCATGTTCGTATTTACGCTTCCGCTTCGAGGCGCCGATCAGCCGCGAGGCGAGCGGCTGCCCAGACCTGTCTGGGTCGTCGAGCCCATGGTCTTGATTCAGATCCTGCGGGACTGCTTGGCTGGGCGCTGTTCCGTTGCTTGCTTGATGGCACGACACACAGTCGAACTGAGAGATGATGCTGTGCGAAACGAAGGCTCCGGACGCCTTGCCGAACAAGAACGCCTGGCCTTTCTTTTGGTTGCATCCGCGGCAAAGCAAGGCTTCCTCGAACTTGTTCTTGCGGGGCGCCGACTCGACACCCCCGGGCGGGTCGCTCTTTGTGGACGCCGAACCTGGCACTTCGGCACCGAGGTAAGCCGCATCGGGCGGAGAGGTTCTCGCGGCATGTGCCAGAGTCGGCCGGACATCGGACTGAGGATCGGAGACTGTGGACGGGTGGGGTGCTGGTGGTCGGGCAGAGTCGTGGGCGAGGCTCTTGGTCGACCAAGATGGCGGCACTTGCGATATGGCCTGGTTCCGGAGCTGGCTTTGAGAGTGAGGATCCGGGTAGACGTCGGTCCAGTCGGAGCGAGTACCCGAATACGATGCAGATGTTTGCGGAGGCTGCAGTGCCGAGAAGATGCCGGGGCCGGCCGCTCTCTGAGAAATGAACCAACAGATGAATGGACGAACGGATGAATGGATGAACGGGCAGAGGCGTATGTGCAAGACCAAGAAGCAACCTCGATCGCAATTCCCCCGCCTGGCAGCGTTCTCGGAATCAACTCGGAGCCCAAGAAACACTCCTGCTGTCGACACCGACTTACATGTTGCGACGGAGCCTCGAATGCGTCCCGAGGATCGGCCAGATTAATCGGATGCAGCGGCTCTCGTCCCGAGCGAGGTGCAGGGGCGGCATACTGTGCCAGAGTGCTCCAGGATGCCGGAGGAGACGAGTGCAAGCCATCGCCAGCAGCCGGACCCGAGGGCCGGGCAGCGGCCAGGGTATAAGACGACAGGCCCGGTGGCAGGGCTGACGAGGAAGGGCGCAGGTCCGAGGAGCCATGGTGGTACGTTTGCTGATACGGAGGCTGGTGCGGCGGCGGATATGGCTCCAGCGAGTACTTTTGCGGGTGCTGGTGGAGCGATGGCGGACGGCCAGAGCCGGATGTTATCGGGTCGGCCAGTGGCGGAGGCAGCCGCCTCAGCGTCGAGGATTCGTTTACAGGCAACGGACGATGGGCAAAGGCATCGATCGAGTACGCCGAGAGCGACGAGGCCGGCGCTCGGTCCCGGGCATAGCTGGCCGGGCGTTCGGAGATCCGTGGAGGTGGCAGAAGAGGAGGAAGGGACGAATCGCCGGGTCGGCCAGGGCCGAAAAAGTCTCGAGCACGGAGAGGCAGCAGCGCGGACGGAGGCGAGTCGCCTGGATAGAAGGCCGGCGGATGCTGGTCGTCTCGCCGGAAGGGCAGCTGGCCAAAGGACAGAGGATTACTCGGCAGCGGGGCGGCCGGTCGGCGATGCAGATCGTTGGGTACCTCGGCGGGATCGAGCGGGCCGTATGGGTTTTGATAAGGGTGGTTTGGGATAGACATGGCGGCGGGGGCGGCGGGAAAAAAGAAAGGATATACAGCGGCGAGTTGGATCTTGGATGGCGGGATGAGTGTCCAAGGATAGGGGGTCAACGCACAATCAGCAGCGAGACCACCAGGGGTGGATTGTGGGGAGGGACGCCAGCTGGGCGAGAAGAACGATTGCTGGCTGTGGAGAGGGGCACTGATGGAATCGCAGATGAGCGGGGGAGGTCGCAGGACTGGTTCTCCAGCAAAGGTGTGTACTCAGCCCAAAGAAGGAGAGGGGCGACAGACGGGAAAGAGTGGGTGCGAACAGAGGTAAAGAAGCGGATCGGCTGCAACAAGCAGACGAACGGACGGAGCAGGACAGCAGACAGAAGCGGGGGGGGGGAAATCGACTGCAGACGGTGCCGTGGGGCCGAATCGTCAGTGGGGATGGGCAATATACAGCCGCAGAATCGGAGCAGAGGCGAATGGGGACTGGTGTGGGAGACGGGGAAGGGCAGGACAGGGGAGCGTTGCAGGTCAGAAAGTCACGACTGAATGCCCAATCCAGGAGACCGAGTGTTCCAGAACAGAAGAGCACAGAGGAGATGCTGTTGGTGGGGCTTTATACCGCCGTCGCGGGGGGGGGGCACTGGAGTATGAGGGTGGTAGGAGCGACCAGTGGCCGGCTGGAATGCTGAGGATCGGCGATCGCGAGGCGGGTGAGCCAGGCGAGCGACATGGGGGGAATGGGGCAGAGCGGCGGAAGGGAATGGGATGGGGACGGGGGTGACGAGCCGAGATGGGCCCGGAGAGGCCGTGGTCGGTGCAGCAAGGGATCGGGCGGCGGACGGCAGTTGAACGGCAGTTGAACGACAGTTGAACGACAGTTGGACAGAGGGGGGGGGATCGACCGTGAGAGGGTGGGGAACAAGGCTGGCAACGGGGAAGGAAGTTGGTCGAAAGTGGCGGCTGGGGTGGGGTGCGGCGCCGGAGATGGGCATTGGTGGGAGGGAGATGTTACATGTTGCAGCCGGTCGTTGTCGAGCTGCGGGTGGTTGTTAACTTGCGGTCTCGCAGCATGCAGTTGTTAAATTGCAGGTAGGACGCTGCTGGGGTGGTCGTTGGTCGTTGGTCGTTGGCAACATGTGCTTCTTCTGCCGCATGGACCAAATTGCCGGGGGGAGACCACGCCGAAGGATTTGCATCTGAGCCAGCGCCGTCAACAAACACTGGACGGGGGAACGGCGACGGGGATGCGGTGGACGAGGGCCACGCAGGTACCAAAGGCACATCGTGGGGGGGGGAGGGAGCGAGATGCTGTTATACGGCGGGACAGACCGGGTGGCTCCTTCCCCACTTTACCCCGCTGGGTCCGCTGGGTCCGCAATCGAAGCGGCATCGTTGGATATACACTCGTTTGGGAGTAATCACATCGCCTTTGAGAGTCATTGCATCGGATGCACCTCGATGGAGGCAAACAAGGCCAAATGCTTCCTCCGGGGAAATGCACCTCCGACCGCTGATGTCGGCCTGCCCGTGGTGCAGCCGGCCTTTGGTGGTTCAGAGCACAAGGACTCCATGGCGACCATCCTTTGGCTGTCCTGTGTGCACCGGCATGCCGCCCGGCCCCCCCCCCAACATCCCCGTCGAGAGGATGAGGGGTGGAATTGCCTTGTGGTTGTGCATCCACCATGGGCCTTGCCGATGCCACCGACGGATCACCTCACCCGAACGGCCGAGCGATTCAGCGGCATTGCAGCGTTCACGAAATGGTACGTGTGGCATGCAGCGTTCACGAAATGATACGCCATGATTATCCGCACTTGTGTTTTCCTCTGTGGTTGCCAGTTGCGGGATTGGTCGTGTGTATTCGGTGAACCAGAACGAAGAGCCACCAGTCCTCGACCGGGTGTCGCATTTGCTTCGCAACTGCTCACATATACCGACAAAGACAGTAACAAAAAAAAAGGACCTATTTGGGAGACGGAAGGACCCGAGAAATAGTCGGAGCGATTTTAGGGACTAGGCCAACAGTCGTAACAATTTTTAGGGATCGAGAGGTGGTCGGAATACCGATGGGCGGAAATAAAGGAAAGAAGTAGAAAAAAAAAGAGGAGGGAGGGGAGGGGAGAGTGTCAAGCAACCAGGCTCGAAATTAGGATAACGGGGCAGCGGTTTCTAGGAATTCAAGAAAGCGAGTCAACTCAGTCACAAAAATGTCAAAGCTCAGCGGATTCTGGCCGGCATAGGACCCGAGATCGGCCGTAAACTTGTACTGGTCCACCTCGGGATGCTCGAGCCGATATTCGTGCAGCGGCAGAAAGCCCTGGCGTCGAAGCTGGATGCGGTACGAGTCGACATAAGACTTGAGCGACTCGGTTTCTTTGGCGAGCACCGACGACGGCTGCTGCTGCTGCTGCTGCTGTTGCTGTTGCTGTTGCTGGATTTGCAGTTGGTGCTGCTTCTCCTGGCAAGGCTCCCAGCTGGCGGTGCTTCCGGTCTCGGAGCAGGACGGGTGCTCGCACGACTTGCGGGCCATGAACCAGACGTAGCGGCACTTTGGGAGGCCGTGTCCGGCACGCTCCATCTCGGCTTCGTCTTGCAGGAACCGTCGGAGCATCCGGTGGATCAGCGGCAGCATCATGCCTCCGGGGTCGTCGTGGCGCCGGTCGATCCGGTGGAAGAGCACAAAGGTGCCCTCGAGCTTCTTCCAGTAGCCCAGGCAGAACCCGCCGACGATGGTCTCGGACCGCTTGCAGGCATCGGGGCTTCCAGAGCCGTCGATGGTGCCTTCGACCTCGCCATCGCCGCCCTCGCCAGCGATGCCTGCTGCCAGCGAGGCCGTCACCGCCCCCCGGGTGATGCCTGAGCTAACCGTCGTAAGGCCGTAGTTTTCTCGCTTGGCCTTCTCCAGACGGTACTTTTTCTTGCGCGAGATGATCTCGGGGATGTAGCCGAGCGTCAGGTAGCCCATGCGGTCGGCGCTGGAATCACACAGGAGCGGATCAATGTCGGCTCGCCAGAGATGCTCGATCTTGGTCTTGGTCTTGTCAAAGGTCGACAGCCGCTCGAAATGCTCCATCACACGGGACTGAGCCAGCCGGACGAGACCGAGCTCGATCCAGAGCTGGTTCATCTGGTTATAGATCTCATGGTGGGCGCCGGCGGTGGTGCCCTGGCCGCTGGCCATGGCCAGGGGCAGCTGGTAGGTGCTAAAGTCGACGTGATAGCTGTTGCCCATGCGGTAGTGCGACAGTGCGCAGGTCTTTCGGCCGTTCTGGAAGAGCTCGGCTGGCCGCCACTTGCCGGTGCGCCATTGACCGCCGCCGCCGCAGTTGGTGCAGAACTGGTACTTTGACTGGCACGGGGAGCAGATGAGCTGCAGCCAGGGATGGGGGGAGGGCGGGCAGGTTAGAGATGGGATCGCAGAACGATGGCAGCGCTGACGATGTGTCTCGGATCGAGACGAAAGGAGTGCCCGGTTGCTCCATGGCGCCGTTACCGAAACCAGACGATTCCCCAACGAACCAACAGCACACCTCTGCTTTGGCTCGACGATCCCGTTCAGCCGCACAAGCACCCAGCACCCAGCACACATGCATCCGCCCGCACAACCCACCTCGACGCCAAACTTGTTGTTGCGGTGGTAGATATCAAAGGAGAGCCGGCCCGAGCCAAACGAGCGCTTGCAGATGCTGCAGTCCAAGACCTGGTCGCGATTCGGGTAAAACTTTTTGCGACGGGAGGTCCTGCGATGGCTCTTGACGGGGGTATGGATCATCGGCAGGGACAGGGACAGGGACGACGCCGACGACGTCATTGTCGATGCCAATGCCAATGCCGATGTCGATGTCGATGTCGATGCCGATGCCGATGCCGATGCCGCCTGGGTATCGTACAGCAGCTCGGGGTCCATCGGGGGCACACGGCAGTTCGAGCAGTGGAAGCGGCTGATTGCCGGCTGCGGGAATGACTGGGCGTCGCAGTGGAGCAGAAAGAGTGCCTGGTAGCTGCAGCTGCCGCATCCGAGCACCTCCTCGATCTGCTTGTTTTTCTTGCCGGGGGTCTTGGGTCCGCGCGGCGCCGCGGCGGCAATGGTTGTGGCTCCTGTGACTGCTGTGGCATCGTCGGGCGACGACCGGGTCGAGAGAGGAACTGTCGGGCTCTTGACCATGGCATCGATCGCGGATGAGGACGAAGACATGGAGCCACGCTTGGCGCTCTGCACCAGGACGGTGTCGCCGTACCAGTCGACGAGCCGAGGCAGTTTGTTGGAGCCCTGGATGGACGGCTCGGGCCCGCGCTTGTGCAGACCCGTCTTGAGGGCCTCACTCCCAAGAGGATGGCCGAAGGAAATGAAGCTGGGAGGATCCAGACTGGACATGCACGGCGAATGGTACTTTTGCTGGACTTGACCGACGACGGCGTGCGGGGAGCCGGGATGGGGTGTCTCGACTGGTGAAGGAAGCGGCGGTGTTGCAGGACGGAAGCCGTACAGATGCCGATGGGAGGAGCCCGAGGGCGGCGAGTCCAGCGGCGTCGCAAAGGAGCCGCGGGGATAGCCAGTGGAATAGCCGGTGGAATAGCCGGTGGGGACAGGGAGCGTGCGGGCCAGGTCCGAGGGCGAAGGCGAAGGCGAGGACGATGCCGACCAAGAGAGTCTGTAGGGATGGTGCTCGGGCTGGGACGAGTATCTTGGTCCATGTGGATCTGTTGGGGAGCCACCCCCATAGACAGGATCCCACGGATGGCGAGTGGGCCGAGGATGGGCGGAATGGGGCGACGGCTGAAGGGCGCAGGATGAAATCGCGAGTGTGGCATGTCGGTGCGGGGGGGGGAGTGTATGTCCCGATGGGATGCAAGAGCGGTTTGTGAGATGCAATGCAAGAGCGGGATGCACAAGACATGCATGCAGGCAAGCGTGCGGATACAGGTCGAGCTAACGACACCACAGCCGAGCAAACACCACAGCCGAGCAGGCGAACAAACACAAGCGAGTAACCGGGCGATCGCAGCGGCAAGGACACCCAAAGGACCAATCGTCGCCGCGACTGCAGCCTCGGAAGCGATTCCCACCCTGGTCGCTCCTGGCCCACCCCCCGCCGCTTCCCATGGCTGCCCCTCCCGAACCAGGACGGGCCAGCCCCGCTCTGGTTCGTCCTTCGCGGCGACAACCCACCCAACACACACGCAGGCATCATATGGCACCGCCCCGTGGTCTTACCGAAATGGCCGGCAGCGTCGGCGCCGAGTCGTGGCCGGGGTGTGGATGGTGGGGCAGTCCTCGGGCGAGGTCGCCGCCGTCGTTTCTGCCGGCAGAAACGGGGCTATGACTATGGCCATGGCCATAGCCATCCGATCGGAACACCGGGGCACCAAAGAGAGGCTGGCTTCGATCGACAGGCGACGCCAGCTCGCTGTCGCGGAAAGTGGCCAGGTCCGGGTAGTTGTGCGAGAGCCGGGTTTCGGGCTGGATGGCCGGCGGGCGCATGGACTCGGGCGACTTGAAGTCGCCGTGCCCGGGATAATACTTGTGGTCGCCAGAGACAGGATACTCGGCGGGATATCCCGCCGGCCATTTGGGAATCACAGCGGACTCGGGCGAGGGCAGCGCCGAGTTCTGGTGATGGTATGCTGGCCGATAGGAGGCCGCAGCCGCAGGAGGATCCCGGGAGACAGATACAGACTCGAACGAGAGAGGCGGCGGACGCAGGTGAGACGATTGGCGATACTCATCAGCAGACCGGACCGCAGGTGAGAGCGAGCCCAGGGATAGCCGGAGGCGAGCGGGCAGATCCTCTGAGGCGTGGGAGGGAGGCATGGAGTAGGTCGGGGAGGCTGACGGCGAGGATGGGCAACTCCAGGGTCGGGGCGAGTTGTTACGGAGGGGGCCACTCTGGAGGAGCGACGCACGACTCGACGAGAAGGGGGTGGGGTGAGACGCAAATGAGGAAGCACTTTCGATGGCAGTCGATGGCAGTCGATGGCAGTCGATGGGAAGGCCGGCAGATGGAAAATGATATACAACGATGGAGCAGTGGCGAGACGCAGTATCCGCAGAGACAGGGCAGTGCCAAGATGGAGCAAACGGGTCGGGCGATCTCGGGAACGACGACGCAGGCAGACTTTGGGGGAAGGGTGGCCCTTTGGGGAGAAAGCTGGGGGGTGGTCTCGCGGGAAAGAAAAAGTAGTTTGGTCAGAGAGTGGTGTTGCTCGGGCCAGGTGCAGGCAGGAGCAAGCAGCGGACTGGAGGACCAGGAAGCGGGCTGGTTAACGACGGGGTGGCTGATATATCTCTGGAGGCGGCGGGGGATGTGGCAATGGGCCTGCACCAACCCCCCATGTCGGCGACGAGGCCACAAGGAACGTTCGACATCCTGTGTCGTCTGTTTGGGCGAGGGGCAATCGGAGGACAGCCGGGCGAGCCGCTTTCTCCCACCCCCGCGACAAGGCCAAGGCGGCCAAGGCGGCCAAGGCGAGAAAGAAGGCCAGAGTTGGACCCAGCCGACCTGCCGCGCGTGGGCGCCTGGGGTGGGGAAACCAAGTCGTGCCGGCGGGGAAAGATGGGAGGGGGAGAGTGATCGGCCGGAGCAGTGTTGCCGGGGCGATAAGGCATGGGCAAAGCAGAAAGATGTCGCCGGGGGGGAACGATGGGGGACGAGCGAGCAGTCGGGGGGTGTGAGATTGTGGGTGTACTTGTGGTTGTACTTGTGGTAGTAATTGTGGCTTTGTGGATTGGATTCACTTGCAGTCGATATACCATTGCATTGCTGCTGAACTGCCGTTGTATTGCCGTCGCATTGCCTCGGGGGATGCACATTCGCTTCCCAGCGGCCACTAACGACTCTCGGACGCTGCGGTGCACATCGGACATGCCCACTATCGCTTTCCACGAACGACTGCCTCTGTCACAACGCTTTGCATTCAACGACCATGATCTGCAAGGCCGGTGTCCCTGCATCTTCCCCCCAGCCCAACCAACCGACCAACCGACCAACCAAACCAACCAGCCGCGTCCCACAGCCAGGCGCAAAAAGAAAGGACGTGCTGCCGAGCCCACCCGAGCCGGGCCGCGATGCTTTGTTGGAGGTGTCGCCGCGAGAAGCAGCGGCTGGCGCGGTGGGAGGGTGGGTGCAAATCCGGCCGGCTGCTGAAGGGGCTGGGCTCCAACGTGTGTGTACCAGGCGCGGGCAGCAAGGAGGAGGGAAGCGACGGCTGTGGTGAAGGTTGTGGTGGTGGACACGGATGCTGGAGCGGTGGATGTTGACTTTCGGATATCGAATGAAGCGCTGAATGCAATACTGAATGCAGTACTGAATGGGGTATCGAGTGGAGTATCGAGTGGAGTATCAACACCACTATCAACACCACTATCAACACCACTATCAACACCACTATCAACACCACTATCAATACAGGTATCAACACAGGTATCAACACAACTATCAACACCACCATCAACACAGGTATCAACACAAGTGTCGACTCCACAGCGCCGGTGCTTTCCCACCGAGCATCAGTGTCAGTAAACACCACCAGTGCACACCGCTAAAACACCACCACTTCCCACGATCAATGTCGTTGGCCCACAGACCCCCCGCCCCATCGCATCATCTCCATCCGCTGGTCGCCCATGCTTGCATCATTCCGTGGCGCCTGTCCATCGTCCTTGCGTCTTCCTGTCCATCCATTCCACCACTGCCGATGTCACCTCCCGTCGATACCACTCGGCCATCGTCACCTCTTGCCCATCAATGCCACCCAGTGACCCTCCTGGCCGACTGGGCACCTCGGCCCACGCATCCACGCATCCAGCACACGCATCCAGCCGTTGCTCCACAAGGCCCTGTCGTCCCCTGCCGGCTGCTCAGCACGGGGACGGCCCTGCTGGCCCATTTGCTGCTGCGGCCACATGCACCTTGTTCCATGGTGCGGTCCCACCCGCTCGCACCACCCGCCACGACATCCGCTCATCTCATCGCATCGCTTCTTGTTGGTCTCCCGTTCCGGTGCTGCAAGAGGACAAATTTGCCCGCCTGGTCCTGGATGCTGTCGGCCCTGGCTTTCCCACGGCCAGGATACTCGCTCGCACCGGTCGCACGCCCGTCTTGCTCCTCCCCTCACATCCATGCTCCTCCTCCCGTCCATGCCTCCTCGAGCTGCTTGCCTCGTCTCTGCTCTTTCCCAGAGGCCTCGCTGTCCATCGCCACCCTGTGTTTCCGCTGGCGCATCCCCACCCCCAGTGCGAGATGGCTTGTGCCCCGACCGGGATCGGCCTGCCGCTCTGGGCCTTGCTGCCAACAAGCAGCCCGCCACGGCCTCATGACAGCATCATCCCCCTTGCTCTTCCATCTCATCTCTTTCCTTGTCGCCTCGGGTAACGCCCTGATGGCCGCATCACGATCGTGGGGAGGGCGCCCGCGCTGCCTGGACTGGGCCATCGCCGGAGCCACTTTTCTCCTGTCGCGGCTGGTGCGCAGGGTGGGTCCTCGCTGCCCACCTCCCGTTCTGCCCTTTCTGCCTGTTTGCCATGCCGCAGGGCTGCCGTGGTTCCCTCGCCCACCCTTTTTGGTTGTCACAGCCCGGCAGCGCCCAGACAGAGCCAGTGTATCGCCCCGCGACATCGCCCAGGAATCCCCTTGGGACATCACCAGGTCGTTCGCGGCTGGAGGCAAAGGATCCCCTCACGTCCTTCCTCTTGCTTTTGCGCTTCCCTGCTCTGGGCAAACGGGAAAGGCTGGGCCAACTGCACCTTGCGGGTGGTGTCGAGCCCGAACCGCAGCGCAAGAGATGACTCCCGCTGGAGCCGGGGGAGAGAGATAAGCCCTTGCTCTTGCAAAGGCGAAGGGGGAGACATGCGACCCGACTGGGCAGATCATGGCGCAGAGCACCCAGCATCGGGGCCGCAAGCAAAAGGTCCAGTGCTGCCGGGGCGCTTTGGGGGCTGGCCCCTCGAGGCACCCCCTCGAGGCACCCGCTTGCCGCAAGTGTGTGCAAGTCCCCCCTCCCCCGGCAGCTCCAGGCCAGCCTTCCTCCCCCAAACCGCCCCTCCTGCTTCTCAAACTGCCTCCCATACCTGCCATTTCGCAGATGGATCAACATGTGTGAGGCACATACTCGGAGGTGTATCGCCGGGCAGTACCGACTGGCCCTTCCCACGTCGTTCTATTCGGTCCATCAACCCTCTTCTTGGGCCACCCGCGTCTGCCGCTTTCACACCAGGCGCCCAACGTCGCCGCCCCGGGAGGCCATGTCGGGTTGGTACAGATTGACGAGCTCGGGCCGGTTCTCGGGAACAGCCGGCTGCAGGTGCGGGTCATAAGCATACCAATAAGTCTGCTCGTGCAATCCCCATTTGCCGCCGCGCCTCCGGAAGCTCTGTGGGTCGTGGCGTGAGAGCGAGCCGTCCGACTCCATGTCGTCGAGAGCCACAATGTCGCTATGGCCAGCGTTCTCGTCCACAATCGTCACCTCGGCCGTAATGTCGTACGATCGGTGCTGGTTGACAACCAGCTTCATGTGCCCGACAATCGTCTCGAAGGCGTTGACGGCCAGCGGCTCCTTGAACAAGAACCGCACTTGCTGCCAGTGCGTGCGGTCTGCGCCGGGCGCCGTCGATAGGTTGATTCCGCCAAGGTCAATGTCGAACCAGCCTGCGATGCCGTGGATGATTCCTGGGACAGACAAGTAAGGTCAGACCCGCCTCGCGTCAACCAAACCCGACGCCGTGAATCTGCTGGTCGCAGCGGCGCCTGGCTCGAGCTGGTGGGCAAGAGAGCGACGCACTCACCCGTGTAGGGAATCTTCCACTTTATCGGGATCGTCATGTTCTGCAGCTCCTCCATGGAGATGGTGCGAAAGTCCACTGGCAGTGGCAAGCGACGGGCACCGTTGAGTGACTTTGGCGAAGGGGCATCGACGTTGCCAACCGTGCTGATATGGTTCTTGCTGGTGCTCACTCACCGATATGACGCACGGCCTCGCCGAGCACCGAGCGCGGGTCAAATGCACCGACAACCGGCTGGCGGATGTGGATGTGGATGTGGATGTGGATGTGGATGTGGATGTGGATGTGGATGTGGATGTGGATATGGATGTGGATGTGGATGTGGATATGGATGTGGATGTGGATGTGGATGTGGATGTGGATGTGGATGTGGATGTGGATGTGGATGTGGATGTGGCCGGGTGGTTAGTCTTCGCTGTCGAGGTTGCAGGAGCACACGGCCTTTCGTTCCCGTTTCCCGTTGGATGGCCGTCCCAGCTGCATTTCGGGTCACGTACCTGTCCAAAGATCTCTTCCCGAGCGTCATCGACCAGCGGGCTAAAGTCGACACCGTAAAAGTTGTCCTGCTCCCAAAACCGGACCTTGGTCATGGTCGTCAGCCACAGGTTGTGATCGGTAAACTGCAGCAGAGCCAGATGGTGTTGCACACCAAATCCAAAAACGTCAGCCATCCATTCGCTGGGTGCAAGGTCGCCCAGAGCCACATTGTCCTGCTACCCTGAAAGCCTTGCTTGTTGTGACGGAGGATCGAGCATCTCGCCTTACCGGTGCAATTGCGATTGTTCCAGCACTTGGGATCAGGGTTCCTCCGGGCTTCAGGAAGCGGTCGCGGGCCACCAGATACGACTCCAGCATGCGTTCATGGACCAGCAGCACGCCGATCGGCTCGCTGATGATGGTGTCGACGAGCGGGATGTCTGTCACATCCTCGATCTTGCCTACAGAGGGTCCAGAGACAAAGCAGGATATCGATTGGAACATGGCGAGCCAGACAAGTGCGAGCCCAACGCCGAGTGCGGGATTGATGGTGGATTGCAACCAGCCATAGTTACGCCCTCGTCGCCATGCTACCGTCGCCTGTCTGCGTATCCACTCTGGTCTCTGGTGAGCTGTGCGTGGGCTGCCGATCCTCTGTCTGTGATGGCTCGACTATCCTCGAGTGGTATGTTGCTGGAAGCTGACCTCACCTTGGATCACCTTGATCCGGCCATGCATCCATGGATTCTTCGTGATGGCCGCGTCGACCATCTTCTGGATCCTGGTCGCCATTCCAGATGCCTCGACTGCGTACACCATTTTGGCTCCGGCCTGGAGGGCAAAGTACGAAAGGATGCCTGTCCATCGTTCCGACAACCGATCGTCCCCGAGGCAAGCATGAGCATATGTACCCATACACATACAGACAAACCGTTCCCGGCAGCCGGCCAAGCCAACAACTCAAGGGCAGCGGGGGCCGCTCTGGCTCGATCGAATACACATCCGGAGCCACCCTCCCCCCGAGGCGGAGAGACGATCGTCGACATTACCACTTCCGGCTCCGACGTCCATCACGATCTTGTCCTTGAAGTGGTCGGGTCCATTCTGGGCGATGGCCGACTGGTAAAACGACGTTCGCACCGTGTCCTGCAGCATATTCTGCTGATGGACAAACTGCGCTGCAGTTCCAGAGAAGCGATCGTGCAAAGCAGAAGCTGGGTGTGAGTGCGCTGACTGGCGGCTGCAACAGTGCCGATCTGCAGGGCGGCACCGAATCGAGCCGACCGATTGCCCAGGACATTCATTCTTTGGTGCTTGCTCGGCTGGCTGGCTGGCTGGCTGGTTGTCTGGTTGCGATCCGGGTTTGGATCGGATAGCGCCCCTTGCCGGTGCATCCTGGTGTCGTGAGGCTCTGCAGACTTGGGCCTGCCGCAGCGCCACAGCACGCAGGTACTCACCGTAGTATGCAAAGTATGCCGGGTCCTTCTCGTTCGACATGCTGCAGGATGGCCGCTGGAATCCGCTGGATCGCTGGCGATCAGTCGCAAGATCAGGCTGGCTTCCGGCTGGGTGCCAGGGCGCAATCGATTCCAAAGGCAGCCCGCGTGTGTGTGTGTGCGTGACTGGGGCGGCGCTGATTGGCCGGGATCGCGGCGAGACGAGACCGTCCTCGGTCGGGCGAGAGCGTGTGGCCAGGGGCTCTCTTGGGCTGGCTCGGATTCGACAACGGGCTCTGACCATCATCACCCGGCCTTGCGCGATCGTCGAAAGCAGCCCTCTGCTCCCGCTGGGCCCCTCCGTCGCAATCGCTCCGCCATGGGCTCTGCCAGATCCTTGATGCGTCTCTGTCTTCGCAGCTGCCTGCTTCTGTCGCTCGCGCTCTTTGCAGCGCCGGCGCAGGTGTGGGCCGACTCGCCTCCCGTTCGCTCGGCGCTCCTTGCCTGGGATGCTCCCCAGATCCAGCTCGAGCTTGTGTAAGCCGTCCCAGTGCAATCCAAGAGCATCGAGCCGCATCGCTGGAGGAGGGAAGGGCAGACCGACGATGTGTCCGACCTGCAGCGAGTACTCTGGCGCATTCACCGACACGATTGTCTGATGATGCTCACGCTATCTTATCCCGCATTGCCGTCGTCATGCCTGTGATTACTCATCGACGATACCCGCTCAACGATGCCCTCTCCCCCTCGGCGATGCATGCTCGACGGGATCACACTTGGAAACTCAAACGCATTGACATGTCTCCAGCGAGCAACTCTATGCCACACAGGGCTCTGCATTTGTGTTTCCCCTGGTCTCGCAGTGGGCAGAGTCGGGTCTCTTTGCCTCGCAGGACTCTCCCAAGCACCTCTATCAGCGGCTGATCGACGCCGTCGCTGAGCTGATCCCAGAAAACGATTTGTCGATGCTCAAGCTCTCGCTGGCCATCCATGAAGCCGCCCCCGCCATCCAAGCGTACCACCACTTTTACAACAACACCGTGCTGCCTGCATTCCAGTCGCGCGGTGGGCAATCCAAGTTTGATCCCGAGTGCGCTGTTTGGGCCGATGTCAAGGGCCGCCAGGCATGCTCGGTCGCCGCCTTGGATGACCTGATCAAGAACGTCGGGCAGCTCAATGGACATTTGTATGTGCGGCATGTGGACAGACTCTTTGTACTGCTCCTTGCAGCGCACAGCCGATTCCAGACTTGTCGCCAGCCAGCTAACTAACCCGATGCAAACTCGAATTACTCGTCCAATCTGCCATCAAAAACTCGTGCCGCCGCTCTGCCCCTCCACCAGCCCCGAGGAGCTCCCCCTTGACCATATCTACGGCAAGACAGGCTTCCCGCTCGTTCTCTACGCCAATGTCGCAGCCGAGAGCTTCGCCCCGCTCCACAAGCGACTGATCCGCCTTGCCGACTCGGGTGCCTTCCGGTACATCCTGCGGTACCGCCCACCTGCGCACTCCACCGCCGAGCGGCTGCATCTCTCTGGCTATGGAGTCGAGCTGGCCATCAAGAGCACCGAGTACAAAGTCACCGACGACCGCGATGTCGCCGAAGGTGTGTAGGGAACTCATGGGCCGATGCCGATGGGTGGCTGTCGGTGCTGATCAACATCCGTCCAGGCGAATGAACGGCCGCTGAGACCAAGGAAGCACTCGATTTGCCGAGCTCGTGCTCCGAATAGCAATGGCCAGAGCCGTGCATGTCATGGATCCAAAGCTTTCCCTCCTCGGAACCTGAACTGACTCTGTGCATGCGTTTGCAGGCACCGAAGCCAGCGCAACACCGGAGCGCGTCGATACTTCGAGCGAGCACGCTCTTGATCTGGACGAAGAGACCCCTGTCGTCAAGTCGCTGACCTCCAAGGATCTGCGCGGTAAGCTCCCTCGAACCAAGCCGCCATTCACGGTTGCTCCAGCGCTGGACAGCCACCTTCCGTTGATCGACTTGCTCGCGCATTCACTCCTTTATACAATCTGGCGTTTCTGACGATCCATTTCCGCGCCTCGGCGGACTGCTCGCCCCTCCTTAGAGCTGGGCCTGAAGACGGCTCAGTACATTCTCGACAGCAGCGACCCTCTGTCGACCCTGGCCAAGGTCAGCCAGAACTTCCCAAAGTACTCTCACCGACTCGTCGGCCAGGCTATCAACGACACCCTGCGTGATGAAGTTGGACAGAACCAGGTCACGATCATGAACGGCGGAACCAGCGCCTTGTGGCTCAACGGAATCGAGCAGGACATTGAGCGTCTTGACATCTATCGGTAGGTGCACCTCCAGCCTCAACGGTGTGTCCATATATGTCTCTGGCACGATGGCTGGGGCGCCATGAGGCAGATCCAATTCGGCGCCTCGTTCATGCTGCCTCTTCCCATCGGCGGACTCCTTTGCTCCGTCTCACTCGCTCGTCCTGACAACCCCTCCCATCGTTCCTACCTTGGACCCCAAGCCTGATCAAAACCATTCGATCCGAGTCCAAGATTGTATCGAGCCTCAAGTCGCTTGGCCTGACCTCCAAACAGTCGGTCGACCTCCTGACGACGTCGCTGGTGGACACGTCGACCCCACAGGGTCTGCCTTGGGGCGAGAGCTTTGACGTGCGCGATCCCAACGTGCTGTGGTGGAACAACCTCGAGAAGGACTCTCGATACATTCACTTCCCCAACTCTCTTCGAGAGGTACGACCAACCTCCAGTGGGCAATCGATGTCGACTTCTGGATCGTATGGCCTGGCGACTGGTTGCATCGAGTCAAAGCCGAGTGAAACGTGCCTCCGCTCGAAGCGAGATCCGGGGCGGCCTCTCTATGCCACCCCCCCCCCGACAAATCACCCCATCTGGTCACTAACTCAACACTGTTCTTGTATGCGCCGGCGCTAGCTTCTCCACCCGTCCTACCAACAGGGTCTCCGGTACATCCGAAAGAACATTTTTTCCGTCGTGATCTGTGCCGACCTCTCCTCCACCGACCACCTGCACATCCTCAGCGAGACCCTGGACTTTGTCGTCAAGGGCGTGCCTCTCCGATTTGGCTTCATACCACTGGCAGGCGACGACGAGACTTGTAAGCAACGACTCGGCCTTCAGTCCACAGCAGCGTGATTGAGACTCTTGTTTTGGCAGGAGAAGGGCGGAGGGACCAAGGTGGGAACGTGCGCGTCCGCGGACACCGTTTGCTGACTCGATTGTACTCCTTGTGCTCGCTGCGCCAGCAACCCTGGCCGTCAAAGCTTTCCAGGCCCTCTGGATCGCCAACCGCAAGAGTCGGAAGCATCAGCGGCACTATATCGAGCAGGTGCGATCGCTATTTCACTAGCTGGTTGCTTGTATGCAGCCTTGATCGGCAAAGTCGTCGCGGTCGGCAGGATTGGACGACCAGAGCTAACTTGTACCCACTGTCGTGTGTCTGATGCCGATCGGCTGTATCCCTACATCTGTACCCATGGGTGCATCTCATACTACTCCATGATCTGGCCTGAACGCACCAGTTGCACAAGCATCTGGTCAGTGCAGCCGCCGGATCAGTGTCGAAGGACGAGATTGTCGACTCGATCCACGCCATCTTCAAGGACATGACCGGGACCGCCCTTTCCAGCGCGCTCGCTGAGCACAAGGATGAGATTGACGCCTACATGAGCCAGATCCACGAGTTCCAGTCCAAGTTTGGACTGTCGCGCAAGGGCGGTATGTTCTTGAATGGAAAGTATATCGACCTGGACGAGGTAAGCAGCACCGCCAGTTGCGAGCCGGCTCGGGGGCATCGTTGACTCGAGAATGACTTTATTCATTTGTCCTCCTTCGCCTCTGATCGCTCTCCACCCCCATCTACAGTCCTACCAGCAGGCCATGATGCAGGCGTATTTTACCCAGCTCGAGTGGCTGACCCAGCAGGTTCGTTTCCCTCTCAATGTTGCACGGCGTCGGCATCGATGTTCTTGACCTTGTCCAAGCGTGCCGCACCGCTCTAGCCCCTCATCTTGTCCGGTGCAGGGCTGACGCTTCGCATGTGGCCATGTAGATCTACACCCGCCAAGTGAGCGACAGCACAAAGTCTCTGTACAACTTCTTCCTGGGCCTCCCCGGCGTCTTCAAGCGGCGCAACCCATACATCTTCACCTCCGAGGCGCATCCGCTCCGAATGGTGAACCTGATGGGTCTCAAATCCGAAGAGCACACCAATCGCTTCGATAAGCTTGTCTATCTTACCGGCGTCGAGGCGCCTCAAGCTGACGACAGTGCTGAAAAGCCCGAAGCCAAGGCCCCGAGCAAGAGTGGTAGCGATGTCTCCCTTGTGATCATCTCTGATCTGGAGTCTCAGGATGGAGTTGACTTGGCTCTCGAAGCACTGGAATATGTGGTAATGACTCGTTAGAACCGGCACTGCCGCTCCCGCTCAAGCCAGTTGCTGGCATTTCTCTGGCTGGGGATCCGATTTGCTCCGTTGTCTGGTCTGCTCGCCTTGATTGCTCACGACGATTTGCATCGACTCTGCCCCGTTGCGCTTGCTCTCAGCGCGGTGCACCCGACGTCCGCGTCAGCTTCGTTCACAACCCTCGGCAGCCCACCAAGGTACTCAACATCAATCAGGCTCTTGGCCGTCACGACGGAGGCGCGCTGGAGCGTATCAACCATGCCAGCGAGATTCTCAAGCTTGGTCTGGCCTCGATTCGCGCCGACCACGATGACGCCGTGCCTTTGCTCAGCCAGAGCTTTGTGACGGAGGAGTTGGGCCTGAACTCTGGCGATCGCGCCATCCTGATTAACGGTCGAGTAAGTGTTGCTGAGAGAAGCCAATGGCCGGGACGAGTCTGTTTGTGGCTGCCTCAAGAGACAGCTAATCTGCCGGGTCCAGTATCCCGGGCAGCCAATCTCGGCATGCATTGGTTTGCCATACCCTGCCTTCGTTTCTGATGCGCCTTCATTGGATGCTCTAGGTGGTCGGACCGCTCGCTCCCCAGTTCCAGTTCGCGGCCGAGGACTTCAAGACCCTAGTCCAGGCCGAGCTCCAGCAGCGCATCGGCACGGTTTCCAAGAAAGTCCGTGGGATCCTGGGCGATAGCAGACCTGCGTAAGCAATGATACGGGTCTGGCTCCTGCCGTCCCTTTGCACCATGATGGAAATGCAGCTTGGACTTTCTCGCAAGCGCCAATGACTCACCAGATCGTCGCCTCGCTTTGCATTCTGTCGATCGATACGCGGTTGCGTGACTCTGCAGTGATGAAATCTCGTCGATCATCCAGAAAGTGACATCCCTGGCTGGCGCTGTTGCTGCCGAGCCCGCCGGACTCTCCGCCACAGTGCAAGATCGGGCCTCGGCTGGAATTCTGGTCCAGTGGAAGGACAATCACTCGTATGTATCTCTCGCCCATCAGGTGGGGATGGTGTGCCTCTGCAGCGTCGCTGACACTTTCTCCGTTGTGACTCGCTCGCGCGTGGCTGCCTCAGTGCCTTCCAAGTCGGAGATGCCGATTCTGCCTCAATCCACATTATTGCGGTCTTGGATCCGGTCAGCAAGGAGGCCCAGAAGGTCTCGTCGATCCTGAGCGTGCTCTCCAAGCTCGGCGGGATTCACATCAAGGTCCGGATGAACCCGCAGCTTAAGCTTGTGGATGTGCCCCTGATCCGATTCTACCGCTACGTACTCTCGCCCGAGCCTGCTTTTGACGACTCTGGCGCCGTCGCCAGGGTCTCGGCAGAGTTCTTCAACATGCCTGTGGATCCCCTGCTCACGCTTGGCATGGACGTTCCCGGGGCCTGGCTTGTCACCGCCGTGGAGTCTGTCCACGACCTCGATAACATCAAGCTCTCCAAAGCCAGCTCGGTCGAGGCCACCTTTGAGCTCGCGCATATCCTGACCGAGGGCCACGCGCGGGAGATTCCTGGAAATCGCCCGCCCCGTGGCCTGCAGTTTATCTTGGGAACCGAGTCGAGTCCGGCTATGGTCGACACCATCACCATGGCCAATCTGGGCTACCTGCAGTTCAAGGCCAACCCGGGTGTCTGGCGGCTGGGTCTCCGCGAGGGCCGCAGCCACGAGCTCTACACGATCGAGGGCGCCAGCACCAGCAGCACCTCGACCTCGACCGGAGCCAGTGACAAGAACGGCGTCGTCCAGGTCGTTCTCAATTCGTTCGAGGGCGTCACGATCTACCCTCGAGTGCGCAAGCTTCCAGGGAAGGAGAAGGAGGATGTTCTGCAGCCCGAGAAGCAGCCCGAGGCAAACACTGGCTTGTGGGCATCGCTCAAGTCGCGGTAAGTGGCATCGCGAGTCGATAGGCACAATGTGCAATGTGCAATGTGCAATGTGCAATGTGCAATGTGCAATGTGCAATGTGCAATGTGCAATGTGCAATGTGCAATGTGCAATGTGCAATGTGCAATGTGCAATGTGCAATGTGCAATGTGCAATGTGCAATGTGCAATGTGCAATGTGCAATGTGCAATGTGCAATGTGCAGTATGCAATGTGCAATGTGCAATGTGCAATGTGCTTCGGTCATATTTCGCATCCCCAGCCCCTCCCCGCTGGAGTCGGTGATGGCATGACATCTGATCGGCTCGGTCCTGCATGGTACTCTCAGGGTCTTTGGCGCCCCCGCCAAGAACGCAACGACCATCAACGTCTTTTCGGTCGCCTCTGGTCATTTGTACGAGCGCTTCCTCGGCATCATGATGCTCAGCGTCGTCCAGCAGACACAGAGTCCCGTCAAGTTCTGGCTGATCGAGAACTTTTTGTCTCCAAAGTTCAAGGTAGCATTTGCGACTCTGTTTGAGCGAGCGAAGCACATCATGGTCTTGGAAGATGCAGCATGATGCAGTGTCGCTTTTGTGGATCCTGCATGGTGGAGGGTGGACTGCATATCGAATATCGAATCCATGGTTGGTTGCGATGCTCATCAGCTTCGACATTCACTCCTACCTCCCGTCGCACTTGCACTATCCGACAATCAGAACTTCCTGCCTCATCTCGCGCGAGAGCACAAGTTCGATTACGAACTGGTGACATGTGAGTGTTCGTCCAGACAGTCGCTGTTGTTGCACCCCCCCCCTCAACGCTTTGCTGCGAGTGCACCGATCCGACGGTGCTGCAATCCCGGCCCTCCGAGCTGCAGCATTTGGTAGCCAATAACTCATCCTGGCCGCACGTCCCCTTAGACAAGTGGCCCCACTGGCTCCGAGCGCAATCCGAGAAGCAGCGCACGATCTGGGGGTGAGTCGATGGATTGTGTGGCTGGTCTGAAGGTGTGCTGTCTCGGAAGCATCCGCGACACTCGCCTATCCCGACTAAATCCGTCTTTCTATCGCCCTCCCATGCCCGGCACCGCACAAGATACAAGATCCTGTTCCTGGATGTCCTCTTCCCCCTGAGTCTCGACAGAGTCATCTTTGTGGACGCTGATCAGGTATAGTCGCTGTCGGTGTGGTGTATGTCTCGTTTGCAATGGGTGATACTGCCAGGTCGCTGAGCTGCCTCTTTGGTTGTGTTGCTAGGTGGTGCGAACAGATCTCAAGGAGCTCGTCGAACTCGATATGAACGGCGCCCCGTACGGCTACACCCCCTTCTGCGACAGCCGCAAGGAGATGGATGGCTTCCGGTTCTGGAAGCACGGCTACTGGCAAACGCATCTGCAGGGCCTGCCTTACCACATCAGTGCCCTCTACGTCGTCGACCTGGTGCGCTTCCGCGAGATGGCGGCGGGCGACCGCCTGCGCCAGCAGTACCAGATGCTCAGCGCCGACCCCAACTCCCTTGCCAATCTGGACCAGGATCTGCCCAACAGCATGGTCCACCAGATTCCGATCTATTCTCTGCCTCAGGAGTGGTAAGCTTGAGTGATTCGGCCGGCGATATGTGGGATGCAAGTGCATGTCGGTGGCAGGAGCCTGCTGGGCTGCCGTTGTGTGAGAGCAGACTTCGGGGTTCTGACCCATATGCTCGAGTTTGCTGACGATTCCGTCGGCTTGCTAACAACTGTCTGTTTGACTGCAGGCTTTGGTGTGAGACCTGGTGCAGCGACGAACAGCTCAAGACGGCCAAGACCATCGATCTGGTGAGTGTTTGGCATCGACGTCACGGGCGATGTGTTGGCCGACCACGACGGCTCTCCAGACATGGCCGAGGCAGCAAAGCCGACGCAAATGATGCACCTTGATGCACCATGGCCGTTTTGCGGTGCTGTTCTAATCCGACGTGTGAATCTGTAACCGCCAGTGCAACAACCCGCTGACCAAGGAGCCCAAGCTCGAGCGAGCCCGCCGGATCCTGCCAGAGTGGGAGGGTCTTGACGAACAGGTGCATGCAGTCGAAACCAAGGTTGCGACTGCACAGCAGGACGGCGGCGGTGGCAAGTTCAAGGACGAGCTGTAGGCAGACCCGATTCTCTTTGAGTTGGTTGGTTGGTTGGTATGCGACGGCTCGTCCGTTTGCAGTACAGCCAGCTCCGCTTTCCTCTGGGATCAATAGAACTCGCACCAGCGACTCTATCTGCTGCTGCTCGTGCACGGCAAAGTGATAGCGGACGTGGATGCCGTCGACATGCCGGGCTTGCCCTGCATTCCCATGCCAGATGCAGCATGGTTCTGCGGATTGCAGCGACAGCGCGTGCTGCGGAACCGGGGTTTGAGCGGATCGGCACCGACCTGGAAGCGCCTGCCCCCACTCCGTATCGCCAGGCACGCCCTATCTGCTCGTGATCAAGCTTGTCGCTGCAGCAGATCCGAGGCAAAGGCCTCCCAGAAACGAGCACAAGCTCCCCTCCCCTGACACAAGCGAGGGACAGGCTGGGAGCACAGCATCACATGCGCTGTCGAGACGATGCAGAGCAGGGTTTCGGCTGCAGCAACGCACTGAGGCGTGGTGCGCTCCAAGGACATCTGTATAAGATGGACGCCAGGCGCAGGATGCTGCAGCCGCTGATGCCGATCGACGACAGCAGGTGGATGCAGAGCCATGAGGGAGGGGGAGCATGTCTGTTTCTGCAAGACACGGCTGGCACACACTGCGGCCGCACCACACGCAATATTCCCGCGAGCGCAACACAAGCACCGAGGACAGGAGGCGAAAACCTTGAGCCGCAACAGCTTCCCGACGAACCCAGAAAGCGAATGCTGAGCAGCAGGCACAAGGATGCGATCGCTCCGCCTTTCTTTTTCTTTGTTGGCGGGAGGGGGTGCGCCACCGCCGCATGAGCACCGACAAGTTCGCGTGGGCAGCGACGATCTCTGGCAGCGAGCACGGACAACAGAACGGGCAGAGGCACCGTGGCGACCCGGGGGGTGGGAAGGGTGGAAGGATGGGAGGCGGAAGCCGCCGACGGACAGATGCCCGAGCATGGGGTCGGCCTGTAGCCACATGAATCGCAGCGAGCGACGATCGCCTGATGCGCAACGGCAGCAGAGGCAAGAGCGGCAACCGCCCATGCAGCCAGCCGAGTCAGGCGCACAGAATGCAGCGAGGAATGCCGCGGGCTGGGCGATTGCCCCGGGCATCAGCAACAACAGCAGCAGCAACAGCAGCAGCAACACCAGGCGGCTGGTAGTCGGCTGCCGCTGCCGCCAGTGCGCTTTCGCTTTGCATCCATCTGCTTTCTGCATTTGCCGGCAAGGCAGATGCAGGAGCAGGACCTGACCCCTGTGGACTGGCCGGCTGAGCCAGTGGGGGGGGGGACGAGGCGGCAGCCAAAGCAGAAAGGCGCTGCAGCCCGACCAAAGCCGACAGGACCGAGGCCAAGCCGGAGGCCGAGCGGGAGGCCGAGCTCGACAGGGAGGCAGGACGGCGGCGAGACGGACACGTTCGAAGGATTGCTTATCGCCCGAGGGGGGGGACGACGGAGAGCGCAATCGGTCTCCACCACACCCGCCACCCGCGGACACGGATAGACGGTGCTCCTGCGGCTTCGACTGCCGGCATAACTGGCTGGTGGTTCCAGCTGGAACCCGGTGGTGGCGGCCTGATGCGGTGGGCAGCGCAGACGCCCGGCGATGCTCGCACCAGACGGCCGCAGAGCAGTGGCGCGCCAGCGACAAGTACCCTGTGGTGCACACCAACCCACCGGCGGTTCACACGCACCTCAAGGCCTGCAACAAGCGCAATTCGCACTTCCATTTGCACCGACACTCGCATTTGCACCGACACTCGCATTTGCACCGACACTCGCACCGCCCGGCCAGGTGGCGGCCGCCCGCGCTGGTCGCACCGGCCAGGAGTGGCAGCCGCCTGCCCCGTCGCTGGCCCAATCGATCTCGGGTCTGTATGGAGGAGCGCTTGTCGTATCGCCGCAAGCTCAGCAGGCTCGTCGGCCGTTGCCCATTTATAACGGATGCTCGCTGCGGGCCTGCGCCGCCTCGTCTTTCCCCGACCGTCTCTCGATCTGCCTCGGCCCTCCAACCTCCCCCTCTCGCCCGTGCTTGGCCGGCGCTTTCCTCTTTCTCTTCAGCAATGGGCTCTCCGATTGCGTTCCTGGCCCGGTCGGTGGTTTCCAACTTCAAGGACCGGGTCCGTCCCCACAAAACCGAGCCGCTCGAGCTTGTTCTGCGGCCAGCCGACGGCAGCGACCAGTCGCCGATACCTGCAGTGCACGACCACGACCACGACCAGACCGTCTGCATCAAACAGGCGCCAATCCCTGCGAGTCCCCGACCTTCTCACAGCCTGCCTATGCGGCCCACGAAGCTGCGTCGCGGCTCGGACAAGAAGGCGCCGATGGACAGCAAGTCCAGTAAGTCGCCTTTCTCTTTTGCGGTGTGTCTGAGGAAAGAAAAGATGCGTGGGATCCCTCCATGTGCGATCCCTGCGTGTGAGATTCTCCGTGTCTGTTCATGCACATCCGCCACGCTTGCGTGTCGGGGCTTGAAAAGGAGCACACCCCTCCCTCGGAGTGCCCCAGGCATGATCAAAAGTGCCGCGGCCGATATCGTGGTGGTTTCGGGGCCTCGGTGTTGCTCAACCTTCCTTTCTAATGGCAATGCTCTCTGCCTTTGCAGCACCTCCTTACAAAGAGGACATCAAGTACAAGTACGAGGCGCCCACCACCATCGCGGATGAGCCCCTCGAAGTCACCCTCGTTGCCGGCACCATCACCATCGCTCCGCTACCACCCGTTTGCCTCGATCCGTCCCTCAGCTTTGAATCGGCTCTCGAGCTGCTCAGGAGGCTTCCCATCCAGCGACTGACCGACCACAGCATGACGCCCTTCACCGATGCGGCCACTGGTCTGCCTCGTCTGCGACTGGACTACGAAGCCTGCATCTACATCCTATCAGCCCTGAAGCTCGAACGGAGCAGCACACCCTTTCGCAACCAGGCCCTCATCTGGCGGCTCAGATCGCGCATGCTCGTTGCCGATCCGACCATCGATGCCGCTGTCCAGCTGTCGCAAGAAGTGTTCAAGGTGTGGCCGCATCTGCAGTCGTATTTCCCACGCAACATCAGCAGGACGCTAGAACTGAATGCCGCCGATGAAGTTCACTCAACGCCATTACTGGTGGCCTCGGTACGGCACCGCCAGAGCAACCGCATGTCCTCGCCGCTGTCACAGCCGCCAGATGAGTCGATCGAGGACAGAATCCTGCAGGAAGTGTCGTGCAAACTCTCACTCCTGATGGGCGACGAGGCCACCCTGCCAGCCGAGAAGCAGCCCAGCAACCCCAGTCCGTCGTCCACACCCCCGCCCCAGCCTCCAGCAAGCAAGCCTGGAATGTGGGCCCATTTTGGTCGAAACCGACACCTGTGAACCCTCCCCGGACGGGTCCATACATCCAGGATGACGGCGATGCTCTGGCCTGTCGAAAGGACCATCGATCGAAAAACTACCACTGTCGAGCAGGCTTCTCGTACATCTCTATCCTCTGTCCTCTCCGGGAGAGCCACAAAGAAAAAAAACGAAACCCCCCCCCAAAGCATATCCAGCCAAACCTGCGACCCTTATCTTGCTCACGGAGTGGGCTTGACTCTTCTCTAGGATACATCTCATATCTGCAACCCTTCAGCCCGCTGCTCCCGTCCCCATCCGATCCCGTACTGGTGATTAATCTGGTTGCTCGGCTCAGCCGTTCCGGCTCCATGGCCCAGATCCCCTCCTCTGCTTTGGCCTATCACCGCCACCTTTTTTTTCTCTCTCTTGACTTTGCTTTCCTTTTTTTTTTTTTTCCTTTCTTTTTGGTTTCGGTGGCTGTTTTCATCTTTCACAATGCTTGCTTGGGCGGGCTTGACCTGCCCACATGTTCTTGGCCGGTCCTGACACGGCCACTCCTCCCTCGGTTGTCTTGGTTTCTGTTCCGCATCCATGTTCTATATATATTCGGGACCCGCTCCAGCAATATCGCTATGCGACATCGGAGCGGTCGTGTCTCGCTTGTCAAATACAGCCTCATTTCAATGACATATGGCGAGAACGCGACACACCCACCCGTTGACCGTCTTCGGATACCGCCGATGCCAGCCACCAAAACTCAGCAGAGCAGAGCCACCGTCGTGGACATGGATATCCCAGCGAGGGCACATGCGGCACACACCGCCGTACGCTTTTGTCCATTCATGGCGGTCGGCCGGCTGAACCTGCTCATCCATGGCGACGCGCCCAGCGAGCAGCCGATCCACCGTGTGCGACTCGGCGTGTGCCTGCCACAAACAAACGCGACGCGCGGCACTCTGTCCAACGACACCCGCGTCTGTGCAACCAGAGCGCGCCAGCCACTCCAGCCACTCCAGCCAGCCTGGATCGATCCGAGATCGGTCCCGGCTTCTCTCCTTGGCATCGGCCTGGCTTTCGTTGTCGGGTCCAGCATCCCCTGGCGTCTCCAGCATCCCCTGGTGAGCCCAGCATATCCCGGCGTCTCCAGCGTCCAGGACACTCAAGTGCGCACGATCGTCGACATGGAGGAGCGCTTTGCAGTTTCGTCCGAGTCTCAGCCGGCCCCGCCGCAGACCCGCTCGCTCAAGGAGATGTACAAGGAGGCCTTCCGTCTCGCAAACATGGCCGTCGCTGCCGATCAGGCTGGCGATATGGGTTTGGCGACGACCTTGTACAAGGAGACTGTCGAGGTGGGCATGCGGACGGCATCTGGATGAACATGGCGCTTCTGTGTTTGAGCGGTGCCGGTCAACCTGGGCAATCAGAGCAGCGGCGATCCAGGCCGCACATCTCTCCCATCCAACCAAGACCATGACCAAGACCGTTGCCATGACCAAGATCATGGCCATGATCATGCATGCCTTCCACAACTCACATATCGACCATGCCGCTCTCTGTTCCGCCCATCCGAATTAACGCCAAATCAATTATAATCAATCGACGCTCTTGCCCCAGCTTCTCATCGAGATCTACGAAGGTAATCGCTGGGCTTGACATTGGATGGCATGGTGTCGCCGCTCACCCCCCGATTGAGGGCGGCTTTCCAGTCGCTGACCTTGGACCCGGCCGACAGGAGAAAAGCCCGAGGACAAGAAACAAAAGGCTCTGTCGAGGGCAAACGAGTACGTCTCGAGGCTCGAGACTCTCAAGAGCATGGGGAAATGGACCAAGAGCAGACCCTCGGCCACGCCGCTCGAGCACATCTGCCAGCAAGCGCAGGTAGGCAACCGGACGACATTCAACTCGCTCACGGCCGGCGCCCATTTCTGCATCGCAGGGTCGTAGCCGCTCGCTCGCTCGCTCGCCATTGAGATCCTTTGTTTGTTCATTCATCTCTCTGGCCTACCCATGTTCAGTTTGCTTACGAGCAAGCCACGGAGCTGGACCAGTCCGAGAGCTTTGACGAAGCCGAGCAGTCGTACCTGGTCGCCATACAGATATACCAGAAGGCAATCGAGAGTACGTGCCATGTATTTCGACAGCAGACTTGCATCCACCGCATGGATGTTCAGCTGCCTGTGTTGCTTGCTGCAGGGGATTGCCACTGTCCCGAACCCGTTGCATCTCAGAGTTTGTTCTGCGGGAAGCGTGCACTCCCCCCCCCTCCGACCTGTGTCCGTCAATCCCCATTTCAGCTGATCGGTCCTTGATTCCTGTTGATTGCAGTGGGCCCCGACAGTCCTGTCCTGAGTGATTTAGTCAAGCGGCTCGAGAATCTCCAGAAACGAGCCGCCGAGCTGGCACTGAACCGCGTTGTGGTCGATCGTAAGTCGGATAGTGCACCATGATCAGCCGGATTCCCTTACTTCCTATTGCTTTTGCGCCGGAAGCCTGATTCCAACACGATCGCATGCTAACGACCCGCAATCTGGACCAGGCCTGGGCTCGCTGATGGTCTCCACCACCCTGCCGGTATCTCGGCATGCACCGCCGGGGAGTGAAGGCCCAACTCGCCTCTCCGAAGCCGAGTTGGAGGTCATCAAGGGCTCGTCCGTAGTCAACGGCCGGATCTATCCGCCCTGGCTCGAGACCGACAAAAAGGAACGCTTTGCCTTTTCCAGGGCTTTCGAGGACCCCGACGGCCTCCTGGCCATGTCGGATCAGCAGATCGACAAAGCCGCGGTCTGGAAACGACCGGCCGAGTTCATGTCCAAGCCGACGATCTTCTCGTTCATCTCCGGCACGACCCTCATCCAGGTATACAGCCCCTGTGTGTGTGTGGAGTCCTTTGGCTGGATGTGGTGTGGTGTGGCTCTGACTGTGGTTGAGGTGTGGTCTAACCTCTCTTGCCTATTTGTGCACACCGCGGGTGGACAGGACACCATCACGGACTGCTCATTTGTGTCCTCGCTCAGTGTCGCTGCCAATTACGAGCGCAACTTCAAGGAAAAGGTATCAGTATCGTGAAGCAAGCGAATCGGAACCTTGCCCCGGCTTGGTAGGATGCCACGACTCCCACCTAACCGCCCCTACTTGTTGTTGCCCAATCGACCCATGTCGCCGCTCGACATGTGCCGTCCAGCTCATCACCAGCTGCATCTTCCCACAAGATAAAGACGGGAGACCCATCTACAATCCCTCTGGCAAGTATCTCATCCGACTGAGATTCAATGGCGTCGAAAGAAAGGTAACGCTGAATAACAGAATGTCTCCTGCAGGCCTCAATGGTCGCCGCGGCCGTCAATTAGGTTCGCCCCCACACTCCCAAACACAATCTCTGACGCTAGTGTTATCCGCCATTTAGATAGGTATGGTGCCCCTTGACTTCGCTGCTATTGCCGATCAAATCTCGAGTGCCAACGCGGCGTGAGAACATGCCAAAAATCCAACCCCGTATCGCCCTGCGAACTTTACAGTTGTGGACGATCTTCTACCTGTCGTCGGCGACAGTAAGTACTGTCTGCGTGTTGGGCACCGTTGCGCGCCGCTCGTCGCCGATTTCGGCTCTGCTTTTGGCGGTTCGTGAGAGATGGCTTCGACGTGCGCTGATGCGCCAACACATATGGGTTGCGATCTCAATAGGTGCGCTGGCGTGCACGTACTCGACAAACAAGAACGAGCTGTGGGCCAGCCTGATCGAGAAGGCCGTAAGTACACCGGCAATATCCGAAACAGGAGATGTGGGGGGGGGGAGAATGGAGTGTCCCGTGCGGATGAACACTACTGCCTCGGCCTTGCTCACACATGAACGCCCTCAACAATCCTTGTGTCGATGCGACAGTACATGAAGCTCGCTGGTGGATATACCTTCCCAGGATCGTAAGTGCTTTCTCGTCCGCCACGAGCACCGATAGATGCCCAGGAGAAGGCTTGTCATTTGGGAATTCGGTACGGACACTGATTTCCATTTAACACCTGTACGTGTTTCTGCTGGCACAGCAACTCGGGCATCGACCTCTATGGTATAATCGCGGCACCTGGACTGCTTGACTGCTAGGCGCGACAGACTGCTACAGAATCATGCGATGCAGGTTCATAAGATCGCAACTCACTCTCGCCTACGAATCCACTGCACAAATGAAATTCCCTACCCCGTAGCTCTGACCGGCTGGACGCCAGAGCATCTCTTTATCAACGAGTGAGTAGCGACGTTTGCAGTATCGAGTCCACCCCTTATCATGGCGACTTCAGTCAGGATCGATATGCGAGCTTGGTGCTGTGGAAGGTTGCTGGCTTCGTCTCTCCCTGACTCACCCCTCCTGCGTCTGCATACGCTTCTTGCCGCTGCTCGTTTTACCACAGTGCTTCATTCGACCATGAGAAGCAGTGGAAGGCCCTCTACAATGGCCATGACAAGGGCAACATCCTTGTGACCATTGCCACGGTATGTGTGATCGTCGTGCTCAGTCGCTCGGGCACATCTAGCGCTCGTGGAGCATCGGCACCGGCACCGGCACCGGAACTGGGCAGCTACGCCAACTCATGCTGCGATCTGGATCCTCATCAATCAAGGGAACCTACACCGAAGAACACGATACCATGGGGCTCGTTCCCGCGCACGCTTATGCTGGTGAGGACCAACACTTCAGCAATCCATGAACGAGCAATTTTGCCCCATGTCCCATGATCTTGACTGATATCGAATCTTCCCTGTTGGGAATGCACCTAAGTCTAGTTCTCAAGATCAAAGAAGTGCTCGGCCACCGCCTGCTCCAGGTGAGCACCACAGATTGCTGCTGGACGAGTTTCACCGACTCCATAAAAGCATTCTGACAAGCTAAACTCTACGTCAGGTCAAAAACCCATGGAGCCACAAGCGATGGAAAGGTATTTCCCGAGCACCAGCCGTGTCCGGATGTGCTGTGGTTTGGTCATGAGCGTGGTCCACCGTTGCTGTTTGACACGGTTTAGTGTCGATGGGGAGAGGGATTCTATCGGCGCACATTCCCTCCGAAAAGGTTCGTCCAGTCCAGCCAACACCCCTTTGCTGCTTCATGCTCCGTGTCCAGGACCCTTCTCGCATATGGACCATGTCCGCTGGACCGACGATCTCAAGCACGCCCTCAACTACGACCAGCTCGGTGCACGTCAGATCGATGACGGGCTGTTCTGGATCGACTTTGAGTCGGTGTGCCGATACTTTGAGTGTATCCACATCAACTGGTATGGGAGCCACTGGAGCAGTTTTGCCGCAGCCTTGCCGCAGCAAGCGAAAGCATGGCAGGGCATGGGCGTGAGCTTTCGGGCGGACAGTCATTCTTCCCCTTGGCTCATTGCGCTTTTGTCTTTGGCAGGAATCCCAAGCTCTATGCCTACAAGCAAAGCACCCATTTGTAAGCGCCTGTGGGCCTGATGTGGGACTCGTGTGTATAACGGTGTGCCAGAGTCGCTGTGGCAGCTTCCCTCTCTCCCCTCCCCACTCCACTAACGCATCGATACCACACTCTTCATCAGCACATGGTCTCTCGGCCAGGGCCCGTACCGAGACCGGTACAATCTGGGTGTGTTCTTGCGCATTTCTTGACACGCCATCAGCCTGATTCACAATCGGCTTGTTCTGGATGGCCCTGTACTCACAGGCTCTAAGGGGGCCAGAGTCCTCATCCTTGTTTTCAACTGACGTGCTTGCTCATGTTGGCTCCTCTACGCTTGGACAGCCCTGAATCCGCAGTACTGCCGTAAGTATCCCCCCCATGTCGGCAGAGGTGTCGGCCATATTGCTCCTCATCGAGTACTGCGCCTTGATACTCGTTCGCTGATATCAATGTCCGGCCTGACGATAGTCAAAGTCAACAACTCTACTACCGAGCCTGTGGAGGTTCTCATTCTCCTCACCAAGCACGTCACTCGCTTGGTACGTTGACCCTCCCTTATCGTCCAACGAAGTTCCATGCCCAAATCCTCGATGCTTGCTCAGCAAACGCTCGGCAAACGCTTGACCCTGCCGTATGTTGACTGTGATATCTGGGCGACAGGAAGACAACACCGACTTTATCGCTGCCCATGTGTTCGGCAACGGCAAGAAGAAGCGCATCTACTATCCATCCAATACGGTGCACAAGGGCGTGTATATGAACAGCCCGCACAATCTGGTAAGGGGCGCGGAGTACCGAATGGACAGTGGTACACGACCGCCCCACGCTGCATTGGTTTCGAGGACGGTGCCGTCATCATTGGCGATGCCACGTAGAGCCGAAGGACCAAGCCTGATGCCGCCCACACTCTCGGCCGGGATTGGATAGGTCCGCCTTATGATCAATCCAGGCCCGCACGCCTATGGAATCGTCATTTCACAGCACCGCCAGACGCAGGCCCTCAGCTTCAGCCTGAAGGTCCAGAGCCTCTTGCCGTTCTCGATGACGACCATCTCCGACCCTCCGGGCACGCTGGAGCAGCAGGTGACCGGTAACTGGGAGGACGAGAATGCCGGCGGATCGATCAGCCACTGGACACACATGAACAATCCCAACTACCGCGTCTCGATTCCTGAAGCCACCTCGATGGTGGTGATGCTGGAAGGGCCAAACGACGTCCCGATCAACATCAAGATCCTGCGTGGAGGGCAGCGAGCGGCGCAGTAAGTCAGGTTTCCGACGATGAATGGCCAATAAGAGAATGCGGCGCTGACGATTCGCATTCCTCCTGCCCACAGCATCACGAGCTCCAGCGACATTGTTGTGTCGTCTGGCGACTACCGCCATGGATTCTGCTACCTTGAGCTTGCAAACATCAACGGTGAGTGCCGGTTGCCCCTGCATTATTGTGCAGATTCTGTTGGTTCTGAACCTTGGCCCGATTGAGCACCCATATCTGCGATCCACCAGGGGGCCAGCAACGCTCCGTGGATGTTCGAGCAATGATCTGGCAACGCAGGCTCATCAACAACCTCGCCGACATACAGCGGGCGAGTACACCCTCATTCCGTCAACCTTTTCGCCGGGACAAAAGGGGCTCTACGTGCTCACGTTCAAGACCAAATGCCCGTTGACGATCACGCCGATCCCGCTCGAGGGCCATGTAGGTGCCGGAGCGAGAGGAAGCGGCATCGGCACCTGGGCCGCTTCGCTGCTCCTGCTGCTTTTGTTGGCCTTGTCGCTCTGGCCAGACATATGGTTCGCAGACAAAGTTGCCTCTCACATATCTGCCTGACGATGCACTGTCACTCCCTTTGCCAGGGCATGATCAAGCGAGTGTTCAAGTCTCAATGGTAAGTCCCGGAACGCCGGTCCTCTGTCATACCGAACAACTCGGACTGACAACAGCGTCCGGGCCTGGTGTCGCCATGCAGGATCCCCGATGTCAACGCCGGAGGCAACTCACAGAGCCCCAACTATCACAAGAACCCAAAGCTCATTTTGCGGGCCACGAAGCCGATGATGTTCAAGTGAGTGTGCGGGGCGTGGGAAGGCTGTGGACGGACGCCAAGCACGGGTCCTGCTCAGCCAAGGCAGTCCATACAATCGATGCAACCGCCCGACCAGCGCCGTCTGCCCGCCTGGGTCTGGTGGCTCACTCACAGGCTCTTGCCAATCCACCCGATTTGTTGGGCAGGACTCGACTCATCGTCCCAAACGGCAAGCCGCCGCTGCCATGGATCAACGCCGCTGTGTTTGTCCACGACCGACAGGCCGAGCATGGCCTGGGAGCCGAGATCGCCAACTCGGGCCCGTACGCCCAGCTCGCCCAGGGCGTGTCGATGCACTTTGCCGTCCCAGCCAGCCAACACGGTGGGTATCTGGCTGCTCGCATGTGGCTGATCGCATGTGGCTGGCCCAGCGCACGAGGACATTGCCCCGCACACCCATGAGACCCTCCAGACCACCGAAAGCTACTGACGCTGCACTCGGATTCGCCGAAAATCCCACCTTCCCTCCCCACCCACAGAATGCATCGTTCTCTTTGCGACATGGGAGCCGCAGGCATCGCCGTTCGAGTGGTGGGTTTACACCGACAGCGACGAGTACGAGATTGTCGAAGTTCGATAGAACGTTCCGGCTGCAACAAGGTGGGCTTGCCCTGTTGTACTCTGGTGCGACTGTGCAGACCGCGGTGGCAGCACGGCACAAGACGATGGCTGTGGACGCAAACGCCGCTTGGTGGCCGTGGCGCTTGTTGGTTCTGGCAAAACTGGGCGGGGGGGTATTGTGCTGAAGAAGAAGAAAACATTGAACTGCAGCGCAACACGACCGAATCGAGAGCGAGCGAGCATAGAGTGCTGGAGGAGGAGGAGCGAGAGACCCGGCATAAATGCATCGATCAAAGTGCAATTCACACCGAATATCATCCGTAACAACACACCGAATATCATCTGCGACGATACAGTCGACACACGGTTGACTGCCAACAAAGCGCAATTTGCTCGCGCTGTTTGTTTGCCCCCCCCGCCCGCTGCCCTGTGCCTCGGCCGCTTTCGTTGTGGCCGGTTTTCGGCTTGGGCAATCGCCTGTCCCGCCTCTCTTCCCTCTGCGCTTCCGTCGCCGTTGATCGACATCGACATCTGCATCGACATCTGCATCTGCATTTGCATTTGCATTTGCGTCGGCATCTGCATTGCGTCGTATCCGCATCCGCATTCCTGCCGGTATCCGTCGGCCAAGGCGCCTCACCCCGTCGTTCCACCGCCCACAATCCACACCGGCCCTCCAATCTGCCCTGGCGCCTCTCCAAGCCGTTAAGGTTTTACTCCCCCGTGCACGTTCTGCCACCCATCCCTCGCTCTTGCCCATGCCCAACATCATCACGACGTTCATCAAGACGCTCTCGTCGAGGTCGGCGAGGTCCAAAGGCTCAGCCGCCTCCCGAACCTCGCCCGTTGGCTCGGCCGAGGCCGCCCAGAGCCAGGGCGCCGTCGTCCGGAAGATCTCGGCCCCCAAGAAGCGTCGAGTCAGCTTCTCCAAGGTCTCGTCCTCGCAGTCGTCCCAGGTCCGTCGCCGCCGCTCGGTTTCCAAGCAGAGCGACGACACCCTCGTCGACTCCCAGAAGCTGCCCATCGCCTCGCCATGCGTCGATTCCGACCTTGAGGACTTTCGGTTCTTGCATCCGTCGTCGTTCGACATCCATCTCGCCGCGATCGAGGGCATCCATGTCTCGTTCGTGGAGGCCATCAACATCCTGCTTGCCCAAGTCGCCAGAAGCAAGCAGCGCCGCCGCGAGCTGCCACCGCCGCCGCAGCCCTACTACGAGCCCATCTCTGGCTACATCCGCATGCGCATCGATGAGGAGGTGTTGGTCTATCTCCTCATCGAGCGCAAAATCTCCCGGCAGATTCCGCTGCTGCACCAAGTCTTGCTCTCTGACCTCGTCAACCAGATGGTTGCTGCGGACGCATCCATCGTCGAGACCCTGGAACGCCGCAAGGACATTTACCGTCTGTGGCCGCATCTGCGCCGTCACTTTCTCTGCGCCCCTGCTGTCCCGTCCGGGCCAGCCCAGTCAAGCGATTCTCTGGCACCAGGCACAGCCCGTCCGTCGGAGACGGTGCTGCCATCCCTCGCAGCGGTGTCTCCTTCGCCGCCTGTCCCGACAGCAACCTCTGCCCCAGAGTCGAGCCCGGCCGCGACCATCGCTGCCAAGCCATCTCCATCCAACGAATCCGTGGGCGGACCCATCTTCCAGTTGGCTCAGTCGATAAGGCAGCGAAGGTCGTCAAGGATTCCGTCGCCCCTGCGCAACGCTGCGTTTTCGGATGAGGAGCTGCTTCTGATTCAGTTGGTGGAACTGGAAAGCTGGTAATGAAGAGAGCCGGCCGACTGGGGAGCACCAAGATGCCGGCCCGATGGACATACTACCGGCACCCGTCAACAGCTGAACTCGATCCGGATCAGCACTGCATTCAACACTACATTCATATCCTCGCCGACATCACCCTCACCTGCACGCCATCGACATTCCTGGGTCGGATTGGTATTGTTCTGCCGACTGCCTGTTACCGGCCTGTCTGGGCTACCCATAGCACCACGGTCGACAAATGGCATCGACCGCCCTCACGAGGTCGTGGCCGCCAACCGCCCGCGGATTGACCCCGTATCGGGATCCGATAGCTCGGGCGGTGGCATTCGATTGCCCGGCGCTCCGCTCTCATCCGTTCTCGCAGACTCTCCGTCTCTGGACAAAGTCCGGGCCTGCGTGTTCTCGAAGCAGCCGATGGAAGAGCAGCTCCGTCGGCGCTACTGAGTATCACCATCATCCCTCCCTCCCTCCATCCCTCCGGCGGTTACTTCCTATTTTTTTCTTGCAAGCACATCTCATATTCCAATTTGCTCGTTCGATTCGATGTACACACACACACCCTGCCCCCAACTTGAATATCCCGGCCCGTTGTCGATTGTCTCAGGTGTGGTTTGTCTTGATCCCAAGTGAATGATTTTCGTCCTTGCCCCCTCATCGTCATGCTTGTCGCTGCCTTGATACCATTGAAGATGCACATCGCACCAACCCCGATGTGCATCGGAGCAATACACTCGACATTTCCGCAAACACATGGGCGGTGCAACGGGTCGACACGATAGGTCGAGGTAATAGGTCAAGGCGATCGACCTCCAGTTTGAAGTGTGTTCTGGAGCGATTGCTAATCTCGACCCGACGAACCGGCAACGGCGGCATCGGGGACGACGCCATCGGGACCAAATATCCTTCGCAGCTGATCGATGTGGGCCGGCGAGATGCCGCAGCAGCCGCCTACGAATCCAACGAGCTCGTATCGCTGGGCCCACTCCGCCGCAAAGGCCGCATAGACGGCGGGTGTGATCGTCTGGCGTACATAGGCAGGCTCGGGGTTGTCGGCCATCGTCCATCCTTCGGGCACAGGCTCGAGGGCATTCGCAAAGGCTCCCAGGGCAATGCCACTCCCCCGCAGGCCGTCGGCGAGGTCGCTTCCGATCGAGTCAAAGGCGGCAGCGACGGACTCGGGTGTGCAGCAGTTGACCAGAATCGCTGCGAGGAAGCTCGGGGGTCCCCGAGGTCGCTCCAGAACGGCCAAAGCCGCCTGGTCAAAGCTCTCGAGACTCCGTAGCTTGCCCTCTGTCTGGATGGTGAAGGAGGCCAGGACGGGCCGGGCGGGGATGTGTCCAAAGGCCTGGTCAAAGGCATCCAGAGCCATCGCCATTTCGCCAATGGACGAAATCGTCTCGATGACGAAGCCGTCGACAAAGGGCGAGAGCGCCTCGATGATCGACACATAGATCGGGATGCACTCCTCCGGGGCCCCGACGAGGTCGGAGCGGTAGCTCTCCATCAGCGGCGGCAGCGACCCATAGATCGCAACGGAGCGGTGCGCCGGCGACGAACGATAGTGGTTCTCACGAGCCTCGACGGCGAGTCGACCGGCGACAGCGACGTATCGAGGAATGTCCCTGGGATCAAAGGTGTTGCCGGGGGAGATGCCATAGTTGTTGACGGTGATGATGTCGGCACCGGCGCTCATGAAGGCCTCGTGAACCTTGCGGACCTGCGGGTGGTACTTTTCGTCGGCGATGCAGAGGCCCGACCAGAGGATGCGGCAGCGAGGGTCTTTGCTGGGATCGGTGCTGGGATCGATCAGGGGCACAGTGCGGTTGTGGCCGAGCAGCTCCTCGCCGGTCCCTCCGTCCAGGATCCGGATCTTGCGCTGGACTGCGTTGAACATGGGGGTCGTTGGCGAAGATGGAGTTGGCGGGTGAAGTTGTTGATTGCGATGGTGAGTTGACACGATCGATGGATGCGCCGGTGAGATGGAGGGACGGATCGCGACGATCGACAGAGACGAAGTGAGTCAGTGATGATGATTTGGATCCGTGCAAATGATGAATTGAACCCTGCGAATGATGATTTGGATCCGTGCAAATGATGAATTGAACCCTGCGAATGATGAATTGAACCCTGCGAATGATGAATTGAACCCTGCGAATGATTTGAATCCGTGCAATGATTTGAATCCGCGCGGACGCATGGCGCAATCGGGCTTGGTCGTCCTCCACATGTGCTTTCCCCCCCCCCTTGCTTTTCCTGTTTGTCCATCTCTCTCCCTCATCCGCTCAACCTCAGCATGTCCCAAACCTCTTCCAACCTCAAAGTCCTGATTGTCGGCGCCGGAGCCGTGGGCCAGGTTCGTCTCGTTCGTCGCTATGGGGGCAAGGTCATGGCTGTCTATCCTGAGCATCGACATGGATGACTTACCAGGGTTCTGCGGCTCTTCTCCCCCCCCCTCCACAAGATCTATGGACACCATCTGCACCTCGGTGGCGCCAACGTCCACTTCCTCGTCCGGGACTATCAGGCAGAAGGATTCCGCACCAAGCCGATGCGACTGCATCGCATCCGTGCTCCTGGGGAGGGCCTCTTTTCCAAGAAGGAGACCAAGACAACGCTCCTGGCCTTGCCGCCCGACGCAATCCACAGCCAGAAGGATGTGCAGGACAAGTCACTGCCCAAAGTAAGCCGTCGTTGCCAAAGGGCCGCTCGATGCATCCACTTGCTCGATGCATCCACTTGTTCGATGCATCCATGTGCCATGCAACCACCACTATCTCTGCTCTGCTCGCACACTTCCCTGGGGCAGAATACATCTCCAGGCGCATCGGTTGGCCAGCAGTGTCGCCCGGGTCGGCACCAATGCCGCCCCAGTTCTTCTCGCACCTACTCACCCAACGACCATACTCTCGCTCCCGCCAGGACTTTGACTGTATCATCATAACGGTGTCGTCGAACGCCCTTCGTGGCCAATGGATCATTGACCTCATCAAGCATATCCAATCCTCGGCCGTCATCTATAGCTTCGGCCCTTCCTTCCACGACGTCGAGTTTATCAAGCGCGAATGCAACATCGACACCGAGCGAGTCGTCCGCTCCTCCATCAGCGTCGTCGCCTGGCAAGCCCCGCTCCCGAACGAGCGCTTCAGCCCGATTTCAGAGCAAGAGTTTCAGGTTGGAGCAGCGGAGGGCGCCAATGCCCTCATTGCCTACTTCTCAGGCGGCCCCCAGGGTCTCAGCAAAACCGACAACGCCGACACCGAAGCCACCAGCAAGCAGCTGATTTCGTACTTCAATACCGGCGGGCTCCCGACCCAGCCCGTTACCAACCTTCCGCAGCTCAGCCGATTCATGGTCGGGGTTCTGGTGCCTATCCTTATCGGACTGCAAAGCGCCGAATGGAGCTTCCAGAAACTGAGCCAGGACCGTGCTCTGCTCAACAAGACCGTCCGGGCCTCTCGCGAAGGCATCAACCGCATCCGCAACATCTACAGCGTGCCCGATCTCGGATGGGCCCTGTGGTTTGCCCACGCCCTCATCTTTGCGACGACACTCCGGATCGTCATGTTTGTGCTGCCGCGCATCGCCAGCTTTGACATCGAGACCTTCCTGGGATACCATTTCACCAAGGTGCAAGACCAGACGATCCTCCATGCCGAAGAAGAGCTCGCTGCCGCCCATGCCGCCGGTCGCGATGATCTCGTCCTGGATCTGGTGACGCTCTTGAACACCAACCCGCGCTGGCTCGAGCAGCAGTCCCAGAAAGCTTCGGCTGCCTCCGACGAGCAGTGATTGCGGCGGATTGAGTGGTTTGCGACACGATGTACACTTAATTCAGGCGGAAATGGGACACTTGCCCATAACCCATATGTCAGCGTAGTATGCGATGGCATGCGTCAAGCAAAGCCACAAGAAATAAAACAGATCACTTTGGCAGCCCCCGAGTGAACACCGCCGGTCGCTCTCCGGTCTCCACAATCGACCTGCACACTGGTCTCGGAGTGCCAGCGGTGAATGGTGCTCTTGGACACAGGTAACGTCTCTCAGGCTATGAATGACAGTGTAACACCGCTTCACAGAATGACCAAGGCCAGCACGCGATGGTATTGAGTAACAAAATACTTGATCAATGGTCATCATCAAGGGTGTCTCGTTTATAATTAAATCGCCTGTAATTGTGGTGTGGTGCTGCCGATGGGGCAGTTGACTTTGGCATCGCAGGTGGCAGCGGTGTTTTGTGGCAAGTATCGGTCGGCATGCGCCTTGGTGCTGGAAATATCAAACAGGACAGTGCCTTTTGCAAAGATCTTGAATACATGGGTCTGTTCAAGAACCGTTCCTGGTGGCTGTCATGGACGAATCGCACTTTGGAACATGGCCGCAGCGGTCCACACAGCGCCGCATAGCCCCGGAATGGCGCACTCTGACTCGAGCGCTGTCCGACTGACTGGCGAACCGACTGGCTGGCTCCAAGGAGACGAAGCAAGAAAATAGCGGCTCTGACGTTTATTTGAGACGGGAGACATGCAGAGAGAAACGATAGACACAAATACGCAGGCTCGGAGCTAGACCCTCGTCAAAGATGTAAAGACACCCACCGATCCCAAGCGGCTTATTGCTCCGACTCAGCGAGGGGCTCAAGCTCCTCGATCAGCTTGGCAAAGATCTCGTAGGTGATCTGGCCGCTGGGGTTGGTCTCGACCTGGTCCATGATGCGCTTGATGTCCTCCTTGCTGAACTCGGGGTTGGTCTTGAGGAGATGGCGGAGCTCCTTGTGGGTGAGGACGCCGTTTCGGTCCTTATCGGCCATCCGGAAGGCATCCTCGAGGGTGACCTCGCGGTCAAAGTAGCCGTTCTCGATGCACGAGACAAGCGATGCGAATTCCTCAAAGTCGAGGACGCCATTGCCGTCTTCGTCAAAGAGTCGGATGACGCACTGCACGGCGTAGTCGCCCGTCGAGCGGCCGGTGATGTTGGCGACAAGCTCTGTGCACTCGGTCTGGCTGAGGGAACCGTCTTGGTTGGAGTCATGGGCCAGGAACTGCTGGCGGAGGGACTCGAGACGCTCGGGGGCGAGGGAGGTGGACTGGCGGCAGATTCAACGGGATATGGTGAGCCGGTATTGACGATCGCCGACGAGTGCGCAACCCAGCCGCGATGGCCAAGGCAGCACATTGCTTACCATCGTGCAAGCTGGCAGAGACGGCAGGTTCGAGGTTGGACGGGGACAGAGTAAGATCCGGGGGGATGCTGCGAGCAAGATCAAACGAACGGCGAAACGGGCAGGGCGGGGAGACGAGCAGCAAGTCGGCTGGGTGGCGCAACCGGACAAGCAAGGCCCCCCCCCATGATGTGTCCTGGACACAGCGTTCATCTATCTGGGCTTTGGTCGCTTTTGATGATAGATGGGTGTGTATTCAGGACTGCCGATACAGATGGCCCTCGGAAAGAAGTGTCCCGTTATTGATGTGTCGGCGACGAGCGTGCTGCACGATCAACAGCGTACGATCAACAGCGCACTCAAGCCGACTTGCTGGCGAGCCACTCCTTGATGCCCTCAGCCAGCTTGACATAGTCGTCCAGGTCGTTGTAGACCTCGACCGAGATGCGGATCCACCAGCGACCGGCATGCTTGTAGAACTGGCCGGCAATCTGCTTGCTCTGGAGAATGTCGGCGCGCAGTGTCAGCATCGTCTCGTCCGAGACGCCGGCGGGAACAGGCAGAGCGATATTGGCCATGTTGGCGATCAGGCCGGTGCCGGCGGTGCCGTCGCTGCCCAGACCCAGGAGGACCTCGGTGGCAAAGATCTCGGCGACCTTGTGGGCAGCCTCGACGCAGAGCTTGTGGTTGCGTTCGCGGATGACCTGTTCGCCGCCCAGCCAGCGGCGGAACTCGAGTGCGGCCGGCACCGTCAGGTACGGCGTGAGGTCGGCGGTGCCAGTGTAGTCAAACTCGGAGCGGAAGCTGGGGTTGGCATAGCCAAAGGAGATGACGGTAGGATGGATAAAGCTCTGGTATTCCTTGCGGGCATAGAGCACGGCGGCGCCGCGGGCGACATAGAGCCACTTGTGCAGGTTGGTGAAGAAAAAGTCTGGCTCGGTGGCTGCCAGATCGAGCTCGATCTGGCCGATCGCATGGGCGCCGTCGACGACCGACAGCACGTCGTACTTTCTGCAGAGAGCGCAGAGCCGGCCAAAGGGAACAATGACGCCTGGAACCGAGGTGATGGCATCGAGCGATGCTGCAAAGACGCTGCCGCCCAGGCGCTGCTCGTCGAGAATGGCTTGCTCGACCCGGCCGACGAGGTCGTCGTCCGAGATGGGATATTCAACAGGGACATCGATGACGTTGAAGCCAACGGTGTCGGCGACATACTGGACCACGGGCCGGACGCCACCGTAGACGGTCGAGAGACGCAGCAGCGAGCGCTTGCGTCCGTTGGGCAGAACCGAGCTGGAATGGCCCTTGGCAGCGAGCAGAGTGGGTGCAGAGCGCAGGACGGCGTTGGCACCGGAGGTGGCATTGTTGACAAAGGCTAGATCGGCAGCGCTGACATTGAGCAGGGGGGCAACCTGAGCGAGCGACTCCTGGAGCTTCTTGCGAACAATCAGCTCGAACCAGCGATCGGGCTGACAGATGGTGTTGTCCGAGGCAAGGCAATGGGAAGCAGAGTTCGATGGCGGTCCGATGGTGGTGTGATGGTGGTGTGATGGTGGTCCGATGGTTGTCCGATGTAAAATCAAAGTGAGAGTGAGTGGAATAGAACGTTGCATGTTGATGCACAAGCCCGAGCCAGATATCGAGTTGCAAATGTCAGGTGGCAAATGTCAAGTGGCAAATGTCAAGTGGCAAATGAGGATCGCACGTTCGAAGCAAGCGTTGAGCCTCGAGTTTGGCCAGGAACAGCATTGGCAGCGGATGGGCGAGGCGCTGCTTACGTTCTCCTCCATGAGATGCAGCAGCTTGATGCGCTGCTCGAGGACATAGGCCGGGGTGGTGCCAAACGAGCCGTTGTTGGTGGGGATGCACTCGCTGGCGAGGTGGAAGTACGGACGCAGGGCATGGCCAAAGGCCGGGGCGGGGACACTCAAGTCGGTCTTGGCGGACATTGGGAAGTGATCGAGACGGGTGGGTTAGAGGAGGCGAGTGCGTCGAGGCGAATCTGCTCCAGCAGGGGGGTGGTGTTGTTGCGATGCAGGAGAACGGGGGCCAAAGGACGGATGTCGCTGTCGAGAGTTTTATGGCGTGGGGGTTGGCCGGGCGGCTCCTCATGGGGTTTGGGGCCGCAGCACGGCATTTGTCAGGGGAGGTCGTTGGGGATGTGATCGAGCATGTGGCTTTGTGCGGTGTGGGTGTTGGTGGGTGTTGCCAGAGATATACCCGGTCGGTGCGAGCAACGGACGACACAGACGCCGCTGCCGAGAGGGTAGATTGCCCTGGTGAAGCAGCACCATGCATCGAGAGGTATCGACATGGGCATCAACATGGGTATCGACATGGGCATCGACATGGGTATCGACATGGGCATCGACATGGGCATCGACAAGCCGGCATGGGACGGGTGCGCAGCACATACGATATGCGCAGCACTGTCCCACACACACGCGCAGCATCATGGCTGCAGCCGTCCCCGTTTCTTGGTCGCTGCCGATTGATCATTCGTCTCGATCCTGGGGCCGGCACCACCCTGCACTCGCCTGATCCAGACGCACCCCAGCGACTGCGATCGCCCACGGAAACCGAGCACCAAAGAGTCTCTGCTCACCCGCTCTGGCGTCATGTCGCTGCTTGTTCGAGCGTCGAAGCAAGGCGCTGCTCCTGGTTCCCGCTCCCGGCCCGATGCCAGCAACAACCCGCTGCCTCCCGACCCCATCTACGTCTTTCGCTCTCACGAAGCGCAAGTGCAAGCCATCTGTTTTTCCAAAGATCCCACTATCATGTGCTCCGGGTATGCCTCGGGTCTGTGGGGCTGTGGTGATGCTCCTTCGTTCGTATTGATATCGCCACTGACAGTGCTTCCGTCCTCCATTCTGCAGAGATTCCGATGGCGTCGTGATTGTGTGGAATCTGAAAATCCGCCGGCCGCTTTTCCGCTGGACACCACATCCAGAGAAAGGGGTTTTGGGTCTGGCGCTGGTCGAGATCCCCAACGAGCCAGTTCAGCTGATAACGTCCGTATGTCGAGGATGCTGCAGCTCCTCCAGCTGCCTCGTGCCCAATGTATACCACGACACTTTGGCGCTGTTTCGGCTGACCGCTGCGTTTCCATCCAATCGACAGCCACGGACGAGATATGTGTCTCCATATATGGGATATGAGCTGGCTGTTACCCCAGCTCATCCACGACGACGACGAAAACGACGACGGCAGCACCGGCTCTGTGAATGCGGGCAATGACAAGAGCGATCATGTCGGTGGAGGCGACGGACCGGCGCTGCTGGATAAGCATATCGCCACCATCCCCGTGAACCCATACACATTCTGCTCGTTTTCTCTTCTCTGCATTCCACCGAGTCCGACTGGGGGATCGGCAGGCGATGGACAGGAGGGCTTCATTGGTATGTATTGGGCGCCCATGTCAAGCAAACCCGAATATCCGAGCAGCATCAGACGCACGAACAAGCTCGGGCTCAACTGCGTTCTCTCCTGGCAGGCGTCCCGGAGAAGATTATCGCATATCCGAATCTCCACGAAGAAACCAAGGTAGGCGTTTGTGACGAAAGCACTATCGTACCATCATCTTGTGGCTCTGTGGATCAAGCCCTGAACCCTCCTGTTGTCGTGCTGTCGATGTTGCGCGAGCCAGGTCGACGTTCTGGACCTTCGAACCAAGCAGCCACTTCATGAATCCTTCCACTTGCCGGACTCCAAAACAGGTGCGCATCCTCTCTAACAGCCAAAGCGCTAGGTTGGTCCAGGCGCACTAAGGTGATGCCTTGACCCTGAAATGAAGGAACGGTCATGGTCATCAAGCTCTTCGTAGACACTGCCAGCACCCCGCTGCTCATGACGGGATATGAGAGTGGTTCTGTGGCTGTATGTAAGGTCAAGTCCGGCGAACTGCTTTGGAAGCTCGATCTGCATCAAGACAGCGGTACGTTCGATTTCCAGTAGTTGTTCTTACATCTCCGACCCACTTCCTCCCCCGCGACCGCTCGGGGGCGCAAAGATGTCCAAGGCCAAGAGGCCAGTCATTGACGCTTCGCCCTGAGGGTTCACAGCGGTGGCTCAATCTGACTCGGCAGTGCGAGTGAAGGAAACTGTTGGATGGGAACAGCCTGCTCTCTGACTAATATGTTGGAATCCCACTATCTCATTGCCATGGATACATTCCCAGTGCTGTCGCTCGACATCTTTGATGGCGGCTCAACGGCTGTTTCGACGGGAGCGGACGGAAGGCTGGTCAAGTTCTCGCTCGATAGCAAGGTGAGGCAGTCCCCAAAGAGCATATACAACCGAGTGAGCAAACACCCTGACTGGCCAACTATTTGATCCAACCCCAGCAGAGCCCACCCTCGGTTCTTGATCTGGACTCAAATGGCATCGCCACTGTGGCTGTTCGACCTGACGGACGCATTGTCGCCACTGGAGGTTGGGATTCAAGGTATGCTGCAAAGTTGGTTGGGTGTCTGGAGTTGTCGCCTTGCTGAATCACCGACAGAGCCAATCGCACATTCGCTGCTGTCATGCAGGCCGGTGTTTCGCAAATGCAGCGTCATCTCAAGGGAAGGCTGTGGTGGCTGTGCAGACCAGGGCCCACTCCGACCATTCCTGCATATTGCATTCCTCACGACTGCCGACAAAACCACCCACAGGATACGACTGTTCACTTTGAAGAAGCTGAAGCCCCTCGCTGTGCTGAGCCACCACCGCGAGTCGATCCGTATCGTGGCTTTCCAGGATCTGCGATGTGGAAGCGCAACCGAGGCGGAAGTTGCAGAGAACGGGGCCGCAGACCCGCTTGTTCGGTTCTTGCTCTATGTTGGTGGAAAGGATGGACACATCAGCCTCTGGGATATATATGGCTCGGTCTGAGCGAGGAGGACTTGGCCTGACAGAGAAACAGCTTGGCTCACAACTGACATGATCGCCAACTGAGTTTCCTTGACTGGATCTGATATGGGTCGAGTGACGATGTCGATTCAACGCCCCAATCATCAAATCAAACGATCACCCTGGACTTGTGCCGTCTGTTCTCATGTTGATGAGGGTTGGGTGCTGAGTTGAAGACGCTCACGCAATGACTCCTCATCTTGGTTTGTTGTGTGCTGAACAGGACGAGGGGGAGGAGGCATTGCTTTCGAGAGGCTGAGGTGGTGTGTGTGAAGGAAGCACACCGACTGCGACGAGATATGGCTCTACTTCCTCATGGGAGCAGCCATCAAGGCGTCCGTGGTCCCAACTGAGTGGAGTACAGTGCTGATCCACCCCGTCTACAAGAACAAGGGATCGCCCCTCGACCCCGCAATGTACAGGCCGATTGGACTGACCCAGGTCTGCCGAAAGGTTGTCGAGCGAGCACTGCTGCCGTTGCTCAACCGAAAGCTCGGACTGATGGACATTGCCCAAGGTGGATTCCGGGCCGAGCGAGGCACCCTCGACCAGATCTTTGGCCTGGACACGCTCATCAAGGACCGCCAGCTGGCGGGCGAGGAGTACTCCCTGGTGTTCCTCGACATCAAGGCGGCCTACGACACTGTCTGGAGGGAGAAGCTCTGGGACAAGATTGAAGAGCGCACCCCATGTGACGATCACCCTCAGGCTCTTGAAGGCCATGTTCGACGATGTGAAGATTCAAGTCGTTAGCAAGAGCCGTCGGTCCAATCCGGTCTGGCTGCAGAAGGGACTGATCCAAGGATCGGTGCCTGAGCCCGCTGATGTTCAGCGCGTTCATCGACGACCTCCCTGGGAAACTCCGGGCAGACGGTGGAACGACCCTAACCACCACCCGAGGACGAGCCGTCCAGGTCAACTCACTGTGGTTTGCCGACGATGGGGTGCTCATCTGCCGCCCCAACCAGACCCAGCGCCTCCTCGACATCTGCGAGGCCCACAGCATCGAGAATCGATACCAGTTCTCGCCCCCGAAGTGCGAGGTGATGTTCACCGAACAGCACCCAGAGAAGGATGCCAAGGTGTACCTGTACGGCAAGGAGCTGCCAGTCGCCAAGGAGTTCCGGTACCTCGGAGCCATCGTCGACATCAACGGCTTCAGGATGGACCGCCAGATCCAGAACCTCACCCACAAGGCTAGAGGTGCCGCCGACAAGCTGGTGAAGCACGAAATGAGTCTGGGACGATACTCGGCCAAGACAGTGACGAGGGTGTTCAAGACCTTCGTTCGGCCCATGCTCGAGTATGGACTGACCCTCGAAGTGCTCACGAAGCAGCAAGCCGTGATACTCAGACGAGCACAGATGCACTGTCTGACCCGACTCTTCAGAGTGGTGCGGAACACGTCCTACGGAGCGATGCACCTCGGATGCGGACTCATCACCCTGCCCAACCGCCTCAAGCAGCTGGCCCTCCAGAACCGAGCCGTCTGGGAAGACCGTCTGGACCACAACGACAAGATGGTCTCGATGGTGTTGAGATATTCCCGCATCCAGCCCAGTCTGATGGATGCATCCCTCGGCTCCCAGTTCTACCTCGACGAGTACTGGCGGCAGCTGATCGTGCTGAAAGAGCAGTGCCAGCCGGACTACCCGATGAAGGAGCTGTTCAGGAATGGCTACTACCAGCTCCCAGGGCCACCAGTCAAGCTGCAGATTCACATCGAGGACGCGCAAGGCTTCGACAGGTCAAAGGAACTGACCTCGGCCCGCACCGTGACGACGACCATGTCGGGACTGTGGGCCGAGCGAGGGCCCAAGAGAGATCGATACTATCACAACATGATGGTAAGATGGACCCTCGGTGCCTTCCCCGGACACCCGTATGGCCACTATCGGCTGTGTGTCTCCTGCACGAAGAGCCGAGGAGAGTTTGTCGCGATGTGCCGGACCCACACCCAGAGCTGCGTCGGAAGAAGCGGCTCGTGGCAACGGATAGTGGACGAGCTCAAGCTGCGGCACCCCGAGTGGCAAGAAAGCGGCCACGAAAAGGTCGGTCCGATCGATAAGCTCCTGGACCTGACGAACGTAGTGGGTTACTACGAGCTGGATGGCATGAGAAGGTTCAACTGGCAAGACCCGGATGTCCATCTCCTGTGGCGAACACTCCGAAGAGTGTTCAAGACGCTGATCATCGCCAAGGCGGGGTGGAAACCCCCCAGGCGATAGGCGGCATGGTCGAAGCAGAGCGAGAGATGAGGGCATATAGCTTTCATCGAACGCAAACTGCCCATTAGGCCTATGAGTATTCCATCCCTTGTTATTTTTCTCCTTCTTTTTCTTTTTCTTTCCCCCAAGTACTGCTAGGGCCGACCAGGCCTTGATAGCTTTTAAGTGAAATATATAATAAAAAAAAAAACAGACATGAAGGGGGGGGTGGTTGTAACCAGACGTGAGGTTGTTCATGACACAATGTCGACTGGAATGATTGCATACATACGGAAGGAAGACACAAGGAAAAGACAGACCGAGAGAGAAAGAGAGAGGGGGAGCGAAATGCGATTCTATCGACCCACCGACCGCGCATGGCAGGCGGGACCAGGTGTTTCCGCAAGTGCCCAAGCGAGCAAAAGTGCAGAGGCATCGTTACGCAGGCGGCGCTCCACAGCCGATGTCCAAGCGGGTGCGGCAAGATTCCAAACAGTGGCGAAAGGATCCCAGGGCATATCCAGGTCTTCCTTCGCAACCCCACTGAGTCCTTGTCGGCAAACAGCGGCGCATCCGGGCACTCAGCCGCACAGCGACACTAGCGCGCAGGGTGCGCCGCCATCAAGCCGCCGCTGTGCTGAAGATGGGCTCGCCCGCCGGAGCAACAGGCGAGAACCGCACTTTTTCCTCCGAGACCATATGAGCAAAGTCCTTCAGCTCGGCCTGGAAGACAATGTCCTCCCGGGCGTCGTCAAAGAGCTGGTTGGTTGCGTCGATGGGGACGCCCTTCTTGAGCTCGGCCATGGCCTTCTCGGAAAGGGCCAGGAAGGTCAGCTTGACCGAGTTGAGGAGCAGGAACTGGTAGCGATCGATGTCAGACCGCTGGTCAAAGGACAGGCCCTCCTCGGCAAGGGGGTCGTTGGGCGGAAACAGGGCCTGCAGGCTGGCGACGACTTCTTCAAGCTGGTCGATAAAGAGCATATAGGGAGCGGGCTGGGCCGGCAGGCGCGGCGCGGCATCGAAGATGGCGAATTGATGGCCGAAGCGGTTCTTTGGGGTCGGCTGGACGAGCTGGTGCTTGACCTTGAGCGAGTGGAGCTTCTCCGATAGCCGGACCTTGGAGACGTTGAGGGCACTCTCGCGCTGGATGCCCAGGGTATCGGTGTTGGTGCTGTTGTTGAAGGAGAGGACGGAGAAGGGCCGGAAGGGCTGCATATACCCGGGCTTGGGCACGATCAGCAGCGTTATCGTCTCGGGGGGCCGCGAGATGATGACGGCCGTCGGAGTGGAGCCCCAGTGGCCCAGGTGTCGGTAGAACAGGTCCGTCAGGGCCGTCCGGAGATCGAGGATGCTGTACTGGTAGTGGCCAAGCACCTGCAGATTGGACTTGTATCGGGAGAACGAGTGATGGACGCATTCAAAGTCGAGCCGGGCGAGATTGGGATACTGCTCCAGGGTCGCACACACCGACCTGCCCCAGCCCTCGCTGAACTGGCCCTTGAGCGGGATGCCTCGGTACTGCGAAAGGTTGGCAGCCATGATGAGCGAGCGCAGGGCGGCCTCGGTCGATACCAGCGCGCAGGCCGATGCGGGGGTTGGGGTGCCGTCGCTTGAGGATATCGGGAAGGAGATGCTCTCGAGGCTCGATGGCGGTGATTGAAGATGCTGGCTCATGGTGGACAACACAGCGAGCTTGGACAAGCGGCTAACGACAGAGAGAAGCTCAGGACAGAGCGAGGCTTGCGATGGACAGACGACTGAGTGGGGTTTGGGAAGGACCGCGAGGAAATAGTGGGGCAAGCGGCCGCTGGGGGGTCGGCTGCAGGGACGATGTAGACCGATAGCGAGTGGGTGTAGGAAGACCTGCGCTGAGGATGACCGCAGAGAACGGATGCAAGCGCAGACAGAGACAGCAGCGGCGGCTTTCTTTGCGGGCGACAGATGGGGGGGGAGGCGAGATGATATCGGCGGTCGACGATGCAGCACAGCGAAGCGGACAGCCGCGAAAGTAATGTTCACGTGGGGGGCCGCATTGCGCCCAATTGCAAGGATCGAGGCCTTGGCGCCTTGGCTCGGCGGACTGGCCTTGGGGACGCAGGGCGGGATGGATGTGATAAAGGAATGGATGCGATGAGAGATGGATGTGATGAGAGATGTGATGAGATGGCGATATCATGTAATGCGAGGAGTGAATGGATGGAGACGCTCTGAGGTTGATGCTCGGTGTCCGTCGCGATGATACCACTTGATAGATGATACCAATTGATCGATGATACCACTTGATAGATGATACCTCTGCACAGATGATACCACTTGATCGATGATACCGCTGCACAGATGACACCACTTACACTGTATTCAGAAAAAAACGGGACAATATAGCCGTTTCCATGAACATGTAGTATGTGCTGTGCTTGCGTCAAGCAAAGCCACAAGAAATAAAACAGATCACTTTGGCAGCCTCCGAGTGAAGACCGCCGGTCGCTCTCCGATCTCCACAATCGACCTGCATACTGTGATCATGTTGCGCGCCGCATTGACGTCGCGATTCCACACTGTCCGGCAGCCGGGTTTCTTGCAGCTCCTGACAAAGTGGAAATTCGCAACACTGGGCGCATCGAGTCCTTCCAACCGAACTGGCTCCAGGCACTTGGAGCACACTTGCGAGGTGTTGAACTCGTTCGTCGAGACTACCTTGACGCTTCCATGAGGGTGATTGGGACGGCGTCGGTGGTGCTCGAACTGCTCAAAGTACCGAGCAAACCGCTGCCTCCGAGGGCTGGATGCATAGCCCTTGCCTTGACGCCATGACGCATTGCCAAAGGCGATGACCACATCGGTCCGTATCGGGGCGTGCTTCAGGACGGACTTGCACATCTTGTCGACGGCCACTTGGCGCCTCTTGTGTCCCGTGAAGCGATGGTGACGGGCCTTCTTGCCAAGGTGGAAGTCGAGCTGCACTCGCAGCTCCGGTCGCAGGACATGGGTGAGATGGACCTTGAAAGCCTCCGAGGACGACACCTTGGGCGAGGGGGTGGTCGACATCCAGGTCTCGATGCTGAGTCGATACTTCATGATATTGTGCCACTTGGTGTTGGACGTATGGCCACACATGTGCTGGTAGTGGCCATTGGAGAACGAGACCACCTCGTCTTGGTGGCCCGGTGCTTGGATGACCGCCGTGAAGATGGAGCCGACTCCAGGATCGATGCCAATCCAAGTGGTACGGTTGGGGTCTGGGTCGCCGATGTGGGCCTGGATGCGCTGCTCGGCAGTCGGAGGAGGCTCGGAGGTCTCGGTGCGATCGGTTCGACGCACAAACTTGACGAGGCCGATGGTGCATCCAATGCCATCGGTGCTGATCTCGTAGTTGAACAGCTTCTTGTTCACGTCCCGCTCTTGGAAGAGGGAACTACGCAGCTTGAAGCAACTGCGCCAGAGACGATCCTGGTTGTTGACACCGTCCTCACCTTCTTCCTTGAGCTTGTCCCTGGTGAGTCCAAGGCGCTTCTTTGGACCCAGGAGCTCCCAGAGTGCGACGGTGTCGATCTTGACATACTTGGCCGTGGCAGTGCATAGAGGAACTATCGTGCACACGGCCGGAGGAGTGTCGACGGCGAGCTGCTTGAGGGCCCACTTGATCCTGGCGGCCAGCTTGTTGATCTTGGCCTTGGTGGTGCCGAGCTCAGACTTGGCCGTGGTGAACCTCTTGTCGTCGGAGGGAATGCCTCGGGCAGTGAGCTCGTCCAGCTTGGCCTGGCGCTGCAGCTCGGTGACTCGGAGGGCGGGCATGTCACAGTCGATCCACTTGTGGACATTGTCGACCATCTTGTCCCGGGCGAGGATTCCCACATGGTGTGAGAGGCGATGGAGGGCCCGGAAGCGGTCCTGGTCGTTGCTGTACCGAAACTCGTCCAGGACGTGGCCAAACTCGGGATATAGGAACTCGAGATCGGCCTTGGGTGGAGTCGAGTCCGGTTTCTCGAAGAGCTCGAGACAAGCCTCGATGGCGTCGTGCTTATGCTTGTTGGCAGGGAAGACGGCAGCACAAAAGCGACGAAGGAGTCGCCAGTATGCCAGGTTGAGGTGGGTGGTGCAGTTGGTAGCATAGGCATTGACAGCCAGTGTGAGAAGCTGACTGTGAGCACCATCAGGCAGACGAGGGGCCGGAGGCAGGTCTGCGTGCCGAGTGGTCTGGTAGTCGCGAAAGGAAGCGACCAGATGCTCGTTGTATTTCTCATTGTCCCCGGTCGGGGAGAGGGCACCGTCCTGGACAATCTTGAAGCACTGGCGGATGAAAGCAGGTGTGGCCTTGGAGATGACGGGGACGGGAAGATCCTGCTCGATGCACCGGAGGATGTGCAGGTTGAGCAGCCTGGATGCCTCGAACTGGATCTGGGTCATGGCCTCGACGGTGGCCTGGATCTTGTCGCGGAGAGCGGGATTGAGACAACAGCCATCCATCGTCTGCTTGAAGCAGCTGAACTGAGGGGCCGATGACCTTCCATCCACGAGTGGGACGACAGAACTCTTGAGGGGCCGGTATTTGGGACACTTGTTGGTGTTGCAACGTTCGTGATCGGTGCCATCGCACTGGCGACATCGCTTGCCGGTACTCGAGGAAGTAGATGGACCAGGCTCGGTGGGATCGACATCCATTGGATCTGCAGAAGCAGTGGTGGTGAGCAACGGAGCAACAGACGACCAAGCATGCGTGGGGTCAGAATACGAACCAGAGACAGGCTCCGACTGTGACTTGGCTTTCTTGGGCCTGGGTGGCCGAGGCTGGTCATCACCGGCACCCTTACGCTTCGGAGGCATGGGGGCAGAGGATGCTGGATGCCTGCCAGTGGTACTGGTCAGAGCAGAGACTTTTTTTTATCGTACAATAGCGCGATGATCAAATCAAGGCGAGATGAGGGAAGAAAGCAGCAGGACGAAGATGTGGCATTTATACCCGAGAGCAGGAACCCGTCTGCGCGGGCTGGTTGGGGAAGCGACCTGTTCAAAAATCGCCGAGAGGTTCAAGCCAGGGATGTGAACGTGAGAACGGCGGCTTGATTGGAGGGACAACCCCAAATTGGAGGAACTCAACCCCAAATCGGTGGGGACTCAACCCCAAAGAAGTTCTCGATGGGATTGAAGTCGGGCGAGGCAGGTGGGGTGAAGATCACTGACCATCCTCGGCGCTCGATGCAGTCCAGGACAGCCATTGTCTTGTGCATGCTGACATTGTCCATCACAATCACAGAGTCGTCTGGGAAGGTCGCTCGCTCAAAGAACTCGACTATCGAGTGTGTCTTGAATGATGTGGGGATGTACATGCGATGCAGCACACCAGAGTGGTTGATGGCAAATGCAGCCGAGACAGACTTGTGTTTCATGTGATTGCGCTGACGGAGTGGGACGCCCTTCGGCGAGTATCCGTAAAGAGAGAAAATGGATTTCCTGATCCCCGTCTCGTCGACAAAAACGAATCGCCGCGGGTCGATGGAGCGGACCTGGTCCCTGAACTGTGCCACTCGCTCATCCAGTCGCTTGGACTTGTAGAGGTGTGTTGCACTCTTGTGTGAGAGACCTGCTCGCTGGATGGCAACGTGGCAGAGTGAGAGCGATACTTTCCTCTGGAGGATGGACTCGAGCTTGCATCGCAACACAGGCCCAGTCTGGAACGGGTCCTGTTCAATCAGGGTGCGAATGACTGGACATGCCTGCTCGAAGAAAGTGGATCTGCGAGCTGGGACCCGGGATGGGTCATCCAGCTTGCATCCTCGGTGCCATCGATGGATGGTGCTCTTGGACACACTGAAGATGGAGGCGACCTTACGCAGGCTATGGATGAGGGCGTAGCATCGCAATGCGGCGGTGCGAAAGTCGGATGTGTGGCGAATGGTCATGGCCAGCGCGCGATAACATTGGGTAACAAAATATTCGATGAATGGTCAAAAACCCGGGTGTCCCGTTTTTTATTGGATTGCCTGTAATACAAGACACCACTTGATAGATGATACCGCTGCACAGACGACATCTTGGTCCAGAAGCAGTTCGCGGTGGCCTCCCTGGTCGGTGCCCCGATGACAATGGATGCGCATCGAGTGCCGAGAATACATCCGCATCTTGGCTTCGCAAAAGTGCACCAGAGATGTTCAGCCGATCGAATGCATTCGCCGAATCACCTGTTGTGCGCAGCGGTATTGATTCAGCCAGGGGCACATGTCATTCCGCGTTGTCGTCCTGTCCTGTTCCTGTCTGCTTGAATCTCCATCGCTCGCCCGAGTCCCCGTCGACTGCTCAAATCTCCGGAGCGCTCGAGCCTGCATCTCCTCCGTCTGTCTCCAACAGCAAGCACGCTCCTGCCCGCTGAAGCGCAACCCCTGCCATGCCCGCCCTGCTGATCTTTGGACGCCGGTGGCCCATCGCCTCCGACGACCTCATCTTCTCGGCGCTGTACGGCATAGCCATCCACTCGTTCCGAGCCGTGGTGCATCTGTGGCTGCTCTATCCTCTGGCCGTTCATGAATGCACGCACCCGCTCCTCTCGGCCTTCAACTGGCTGCTGCTGCCGACGCTGCTGGCCCTGGTCTGCACCGAATATTTTGTCGCCACAGTCTCGCTGCGAGGCACCGTGGCCAACGAGATCCCCCGGCTGCCGATCCGGTAGGCACTCTGGACAAGACGCAGTCGGCGGGATGGGATGCCGAGCATGTCGTGAGGCAGAAGATGGCAAGAATCGCTGTCGATGGAGACGAGGGCCACTGCCGAATGCCGGTCCAGAGAGCGACACTTGCTGGCCAGCCAAGACAGCACCCGCTGCCTGCAGATTAACACTGGAACGCCGATGCCTCACGCCGATTCCAACAGAAAGTGGATTTACATCCACACCTTCTTCTCCATCTGCGATTTTGTACGTATCCCTGTCCTGGCCTTGCCTGTTGCATCGTGCCGTCGCCCAGTTGTCCGGAACTGATGCCTGCTTGCTCTTGCATCTGCAGTTGCTGCAGCTCTTTGCGCTTTTGATCATCTTTGGCCATCCCGGAATCGCTTGCGAGGCGGGTGGCATTCCCGTCCTCTACTTTGAGGTTTGTCGATATCGCTCAAATCCAAGCCCAGAGCAGCACGCCGTCGCCGATCCGCTGTGTGGCTGGCACCCCTGATGCCCTCGCTCGACATTTCGCTCTGCAGCCATCGCTCCGGCATTATGCACCCGATACCATATCTTCGACACATGCGTCTGATACCTTTTCCCAATCTATCGCTCTGACATTATGCATCCGATATCACCGCTCGGCCACCATCGATTCAACTCCGTCGATCCGATGCTGCCATTCCCGTCCTCCCGATCACCCAGATCATCACCCTCGCCACCATCCTTGGATACCTGATCTTCTTTGTCGTCATGGTGGGTCTCTTCATGAGGTCAACATCGCCGCAGCCGGTCAGCCAAGCCTCTGCCGAGAGCCAGTGGCGCTTCTGGATCTACGTCCTGTGCTTTGGACACCGCAAGGCCGTCGCTTCGCAATCACAATCCGCCAGCACCTCGGGCGATCTTCTCTCGTCGTTTGCGAAAGCCATCGCCGACTTTTTCCAAGACTCCGAGACAGTGCCCTCGGACATCCTCGTTGGGCTGATCCTGGTCCGCCGCTCGCAAAAGATCCGTCAGCGCATGCAAGAGCGGCTCAGCGCCCAGGTCGGAAGCAACTATTCCGAAGAGCGCCCGCCCGTCCGGCTTCATGAGCTTGCCGATGCTGCACACTACATGCAGTACGCCCTGTCGATCTACGGCCTTCCGCTGTATCTGTTTGAGCGCTTCCCGACCCGCATCTTTGAGGTCCTGTGCCCGACCCGCCGGTCCTCAGCCGCATCCCACGTCTCACGCAACGTTCAAACTCATCTCGGCAACGTCGGCTGGCCGTGCTGCTGCGTTCCTGGGCATCCGCCACCCCTTCCTGACGAGCGCGGCGGGCATGGAGGCCATCCGGATCTGATCTACTTCTCGGGAGACAACGGGCTCTTCCGGTCGCCCTACTACATCTGCTTTGACCACAAGAAAGGCGCCGTTGTGATTGCCATCCGAGGCACCCTATCGACAGCGGACTGTCTGGTCAATCTGCACTGTGACTTGGCTCCCTTCTCCTTCCCCAGCGATGACGATCTGGAAGCCGGCCGACCGCCGCTTTCACAGGCCGGTGGCTTGTCTGGGTCGGCACAAGCGCATGCAGGCATGCTGCAGACGGCAAAAAACATTTACGATGAAATTGAGCGGCTCAATCTACTCCTGCCGATCTTTGCATCTGCCCGGTATTCGAGCTACAAGCTTGTTTGCTGCGGACACTCCCTTGGTGGCGTAAGTAGTCTGGATGCTGTCGTCCCGATATCAACGGTGTGAGCCATGCCTGGGCCGACACAGGAGTGGCGGGTACTTGGATAATGTGAGGGGGATGCGGCGGAAAGGGCTCCTGACGTTCTGTACGTGACGGCAGTGCCTTGCTTGCTGATTCCCGGACTGCCGGCGCCCAAGCAATGCTCCCCGAATACTCACTCACATCCCAACTATTCTCACGGTCCACTCTCGACCATCAACGCTCGATCGTGCTTGTGCCAGGGCGTTGCAACGCTTCTCTGCCACTTGCTCAGGATCTCGCACTTCCCCCAAGCAACATGCATTGCCTATGCGCCGCCGGGCTGCCTGAGCACCAGGGAAGCACTGCCGTATTTTGAAAGATTCGTGACCTCGGTTGTGCTCGGTGCCGATGCAGTGCCGCGGCTGTCGTGGCGGTCGGTCAACTACCTGCAGCACCAGATCGGACGTTTCCTGCGGAACTGCCACTATCCCAAGGTCCATGTCCTGAACTCGTTCATCGTGACCGAGTGCTGCCGCTCCATGTACCGCCGACACCGTCTGGCCCGACTCCGACGAGCGCTTTGGAGCGACGACGACGATGAAGACGAGTTCGAAGGGTCTGGCCTCTACGGGATCGAAGACGGCCTCAGCCAGGCCAGCACCCTTGAGGAATTCAACCGATCGATTTCGGAGGAGCAGGAGCAGTCGGTGCGTCGGCTGCACTCGACGCTGTCTGTGGACGACTTGCCGGGCCAGGACATGCACCACCCCCAAGCCCTGCGCCATGCCCGCGGCGAGATCCAAACGTTTATGCCCGGCCGCATCATCTACTTTGTGAAGGAGATGGCCAGTCGACAGAACACCGGCCGGGAAAGCACAGGCCTGAGCCGTCCCTCGAACGGCGATCTCGAGCGACAGCTGCTGGACAGCCGCACCGGAGGGCCCCACGAGCCGTCCGACAGTCCCGCTGTCGTTTACCGACCCGTCTGGGCCCAGCAGAGCGACTTTCAAGAGATCACCATCTCGGTGACGATGCTGACGGATCACTTCCCGAACCACTTGCAGAACATCCTGGACCAGGTCTTGGCCATGGACACGGACGATCCGGCACAGCCGGTCCCTGGTCTGTCGCTGGAGTTTTCCAGCTGAATCGGTGGCCCTCCGCATATGAACCCTCCTGCTTGGCCCGTCCCGGGGCTCGACTGGGCGTCAGATTCTTGGCCATGACAACAATGCTCCTGACTATGACCGCAACCGATCTTGGGTCTCCCCTCCCTTCCCGCGTGATACTTGGGCTTCACAGAACACACTGCCTCTGTCGTTGCAGACAAGCTCATGGGGACCAAGAGCGGATTGAGGGGCCACCCGGGCAAGAGCGGGCTGGGGGGGGGGAGAGTCGCTTCCCCGACCGAATGGCGGGTGAATGACAAAGGGGATGGAGGGAGAAGCGGGTCACTGGTCGACAAATGGAGTACTCGTGAACTGCTTCAGAGTGATTCCGGACGACTCTGACTGTCGCCCAGGGACGGCGTCCTTCAGGCCAGACAGCGAGTGAGAGAATAGAGGGAGAATGGTTGGCTGTGCTGGACGGAGGCATGGGGTTTGTTGTCCCCAGCGACCAAGAATGTCGCCCACCGCCCGACTGCTGACCCACCCGGCGATCGCGTGGGAGCATCTTCCGGGGTCGATGGGGCCAGGGTATAAAAGCAAGATGGAGGGGCGGATGCCGACGGATCGACACTTGCCGCTCGCAATCCGCCGGTACGATCATGCTGCCTTGTCGTTTTGTCGTTCTGTCGTTCTGTCGTTCTGTCGTTCTGTCGTTCTGTCGTTCTGTCGTTCGTCTGGCTTTGCTGACCCACGCTATTCTCATGTAGATCGGCCTTCTCTCCTTGCACAGCTTTGATCCATCCCGCTCCTCATCTTCGCTGCACGACCATGAAGCGCTGGCTGCTCTGGGCCGCCATGGTCCTGGCCGTATCGGCCCACAACCACAACCACCACCACCACCACGATCTCGTCGTTCAAGATGATCACCCCGGGCTCGCCTTCAATCCCGTCCTGCATCATCCGCGCTCGGACGTCTGGGTCCGCGCCGACGTGATCTTGGATCCTGCTCAGGAGCAGTGCTCGGTCGTCTTTCGAGGCCCAGCCAATCCCCCACGTCTGGACCAGGATCGCCTCTTGACGCTCCCGGTCGTCGTCGAGGACGGCCATCTGTATGCCCCACACCGCCGCCAGGACGACCGCATTCTCTTCCGTCTGACCGAGCCCGACAGAGAGAAGCTCGACGCCGCCATCGAGGCTCTCTGCTCCAGCCACAACGTCGTCGACGAGTGGGATGACGGCGACTTTGATGTCATGGACCTCAAGGATAAGCCCGAAGTCGTAAGTCTCGGCCTGGCCAGTGCTCGCAGCCCCTGGCCCTACTTCTGGTCCTGCTTACGTCGTCACTTATCGCCAAACCTCTGCGCTACTCTGCTCTGCTCTGCTCACTCGCTGTTTCTCTTTCTCTTTGACACTTGGACCACCGCTAGATTAAGCTCATCGACGGCGGCGATCCCAAGAACCGCATCGATGTCGTCCTGATGGTACGGCACTTGAGTATGCAGGGGATGTCGTGCGGCGTTTCCTTGTCGCAGCCCGGTCAGCCAGGAGCGCAATTCAGGCACCCAACCATTCGAGCGGCTGCCGACCGTTCATGCAGTCGTCAGCCCAGCCATTCATGCAGACGATCCTGACACACATACATCTCTCCTTTCTATCTGGATATATGTGTGACTCGGTAGGGCGATGGATACACCTCCAAGGAGCGCGATCGATTCTTCGACGACATGAGTCGTCTCATCCACGACATGTGGATCGGAGAAACCTTTGCTTCCGTCCGTCCGCTGTTCAACATCTGGGCAGTGTATGCACCCTCTGCGCAGAGCGGCATCGGAGTCGGTGGCAAGCCCAAGGACACAACCTTTGGACTCTATCGTGATGGTATGTCGCAAGGGTCTCTCGGGTTGGTGTGATTGTCTCGGATGCCTGGACAACAGAGAGTCGAACGCAGTCGTAGCATGGCGGCAGCGTATCAGCTCGCCCAGATATCACCCAGAGCGTCAGTCTCCAGAATATCAACTTCCAGAGCGGTCGATACACCCTGTCCATATCAGACTCATGTGCGGCAGGCCCAGAGATGCTGATCGCATTTGATATTCGCTTTGGCTCTAGGCACTGAGCTCCGTGGAATCTACTGGTAAGTAGCCGAGTCCATGTTTTCTCTTCCTTCTGGCGCCGCACATAACGCTGCTGAAAGCCAGCGACTGCAGCTTCCCAGCAGTAACACCCAGACATTCTTTGGTATTGCTACTGTCGCTACGCAGCTCCAAGCCACAGGTTGCTCGAAAGATCTGCAAGCTGACTGGACCGCACGCTTGCGACTTTCCTTCGCTGATCGCCAACGACGAATATTACGGCGGACTCGGGGGCGAGTTTACGATCTCTACACGGTAGGTCCAGCCGCCTGCGATCGACATTGCGAATCGCGAATGATACCGAGTGGCCGCTGACATTGCCCTCCCTGTCTGCGGCATCGATCTCGCCTCTCGCTTCTCGCCTCTCGCAGCTCCAAAACCTCCGGCACGGTCGTTCTCCGCCATGAGATGGGCCACAACTTTGTCAACGTCGGCGAAGAGTAAGCCAGCGATGCCTTGCCTGTCGATCCGCAACGCAGCGTCGGGCATTGGCATTGGCATCTGTAGTGAGGCAAGGAGCAAATCTTTGAACAGCTGTGAATCGTGTTGTCGCAAACAGGTATGACGGCGGCGAGGTCTACAGCGGCTGCAATGCCGCACATAGCCTGAAGGACCTGAAGTGGGCTCACTGGCTGACCGAGACCGGCCCTGTCCATGAGGTAAGTTGCCGCGCAAACCCCTGAAACACCACCGAGCTACTTGCATTCCGCACCCAGGCTTTCGGAGCCTGGAGCTGCGCAGCTCGATCCCGCCGTGTTGTTCATCTGGCATCTGCCCCGCCCTTCCCCCCTCCTCCTCCAATTCTGCTACACTGTTTCAAACATCGCTCACGCTCCCAGGAAGAAAACGACCTGCTGTTGCAAAAGTGAGTGAATGTGCGATGGAACGGGGGCGCTGCAATGCGAGGGCGCTCTCGTGTCGTTTGTCGCTGACCACTCTGGATGGGTCTGCGATTCTCCTCCTCAGGTACCCGTGGTATGATCTCGGCAAAGGCCCGATTTCGTTCAAGTTCCACAGCAAGGGCGAATGCAAGCGCTGGTATCTTCAAATGACGGCGTCGGGTGTCGACGTAAGCCTTGAAACGCTCGCGAGCACGAGGGGCATTGCGTTGAGGCTGGAGCAAACTTCCTGCACCGGCGTCTCGTGGGGGTGGTGGGGCCGAGTCCTGGCATCATCATCCCCCTTTTGGGTTCATCGATGCTGCAGTTGTGTGAACCAAGTTTTCAACCATGGCGCCGCGTCTGTGTTGTTCTTTCAGACTGACGGCTCGATGGAAGTGCTGCTCGATGGCCAGCCACTCGAGTGGAAATCGACCGGTATTCTTGACCGCAGCACCTTCACGGTGAGTTTCGACCTTTGCCTCAGTTTGGGATAGTCCCAGGATTCAGAGAATCTCTGGAACAGAAGCAGTTGCTGAATTGTGGGCAAAGAGCTGGATAGTGTCGCGAAGAGGGACTCTTGCACCGGTTTGGAACCCCTGCTCACTCGCTCGCTTGCTCGCCCACCCTTAGTGGACGGAAACGGAGGCTCCGTTCTCCAAAGGAAGCCATGTGTTGGAGGTCCGCCAGCTGACCCGCCCGAACAAGACCGCACCCATCCGACAGCTATGCTCGCTTAACCTCCATGAGTATGCCGACGAGCCCAATTACCGTGAGTATCGTATGGTGCCCGTATCGAGCAGGAAGGCGCGCGGCAAGGGCCGAATACGCTTTGCCAGGAGCATGAATCCTACACATTCACTGGTTGGGCTTGAAGGCTTCGATCAGCTTTGCACGTCACCACAATCTAAGTGCATTCCTCCCCTGCCCGTGCAGACTTTGACGACAACACCTATGTCTCGGCATTCCCCACCTTCGACATCAACAACCGCAAGTCGTTCCGCCCGACCAACGAAGGATGCCTGATGCGCAACATGACCTCGTCTCACTTTTGCTCTGGTAAAGGCGCTCACTGCACTATCCCTTGGCTATCGCAGGCGATGGAAGGTGTCAATGGGGTCAACCTTGCTCCCCTCGATACTCACTCTGGAACCCCGCTCTCCATCAGTCTGCAAGGAAGGCTTGTGGATCCAGTTTTTCAAACAGATCTCGGCCATCGATAAGGTCGACTACACGTGCAGTGGAGATCTGACTCATTTCAAGCTTGACCTGATTCCGCTGGCCCACCTCCGCCCCGAGTCCGAGCGCATCGACGGCGAGTACTACAAGATCGACTGGATCCGCGATGGCGTCCATCTCGACAAGTACGCCAACCTGACGGACTTTAGCATCATCCAGGAAGAAGGCCACGGCCGTTGGGATGTGGTCGTTCATTTTGGCACCCACGAAGTGCGCAAGGACCACGGCCTGCTGCGATTCAAGGAGACGGTGCATGTGCACTGCAAGAAGTAAACGGCCACCTGGGCTCCAAGAGCGACGCCTGAGTTTTGCACCACGCCCGCGAGCAGGTGTGCAAACGAGTCCCAAGCCCAGGCAGTCGCATATGCCCAGACCAAAGGATGTTGCTGTGATTGGAGTTGGACGAGAAGAGGGCTTTTATTCGTCGATAGGTGCAATCAGCAGAAGGACGTGAGTTGGTCTCTTTGGTATCGCAACGCTTCCAAAGGAGAAAGGGGTAGGGAGGGAAGGTAATGCCAACCTGTTTGCCCGATGCAGTTCTGACAAGAAAAATGTGGGAGCCTCGTATACTGATAAATATTGGATGGATTCGAGTGACGTTCGCTGCAGGGAGGGGAGAACTTATTCGTTCATGGTGATTGTTGTTCCTGCTGCGAGAGGATTTCCGCAAGGGGCGATCAGTCTTCGCTCAGCGACCATGGCTCTGATAGCGCACTGCTGAATTGCAATGCTGAATCGCAATGTTGAATTGCAATGCTGAACTGCAATGCTGAATTACAATGCTGAATTGCAATGTTGAATTGCGTGCGGCAATGAGATAGCTTCCCAGACAGAACACCTGCGAATGACCGATGTTTCCGCTCTGCCAATCAGCCGAGAGGAGCCATTCAGAGAACAGTCTGGCCGATGATGATGGTTGCTGAGGCTCCGTCCCGGCCTGGTCGCTTGGTCGCCCAGCATCGCATCGTTGCGGCTCTCGACTGTCCCCGAGCCACACCTCGACCGGTACTGCTTTGTCTTGTTTCATGGTGCCCCCGGAAGTGAGCCTCCTCGTTTCAATATGACCAACCCAGCACCAGATATCCGTGAGAATCGGCCCTTTATCGACTCAGCGACAGCTCGACAAACTTCTCTCGCTCGTCCAGGCTCGGGCAACCTGGATGCACCCAGACAGAGGACCGACTCTGAGGATCCCGCAGTCGCTCCCGAGCATTCACCGACTCCAACCCTGGATATGCGAGGACACCGGCTCAGGGTCAAACGAAAGCGAGGCTCGCGACGTCTCTCTTCTCCTTTGGCGCCTTACTCGACCGGCTCGGATGTCAACCTCGATGGTTCGTTGCGGGATAGGTCCGAGACTGACTCGGATGACGACGGCCGCATCAAGATCCCAAAGTTCTCGCTGGATGGCATTGGTCGGTCGAGGTCGTTCCCGCCGAGCCAGGCTGCTCGAACTCGCCGCACTCGGCCCTCTGTAGAGGCGATCGCTCCAACCCCATCCGGTCCATCAGGCTCATCGGGACCGTCACGGCGGCCGCCTCAGTCGACCTCACCGAGTCCGTCACGATCGCTGCGGCCGGTTTCTGCGTCGGCTGCCTGGGGCCCACCCACGCCGCAGCTGCGTCGACGGCGAGCAAGTCTTCCCGCCAACCTGCAAGCGAGCTCCCCAATTTCAATTACGAGCTCGCTGTGGAGCTCATCGAGCGGGACGGCTGCAAGTCCCGGTAGAAGCGGGAGTGTGCGCCTGATGGCCAAAGCAGCCACCGGATCCAATTCCCACGCCCGGCCAGCATCGATCCAGACGCCGCCCAGATCCTCGCCCACCCAGCCCAGCCCAGAAGCCCCGCCATCGTCGAGCACAAGCCCGACTCGGAGCCTGGTTCGGAGCCCGGCTCGGAGTCCAACAGCTAGCATGCCTGCGACGCAGGACGGGTTTCAGCGATTCGTCGAGAAGGTTGAATGGATGGATCGGATGATCCGGCAGCAGGGCCATAGTGAAGGCAACTGCCACGATGAGTGACTCGGTCTCGCGAGATGGGTGCTGAGCAGGCAATATAGTCCACAAACCGCCGCATGGCAGTGGTAGCGCCGCACTCTATTTCACCAACGATGGAGCGGGGACGACAGCCGCAAGGACCCGCTATGCCAAACCGCACGAACAATGCTGTAAGGAGCAGCGTCAAGTTGTCGATTGGAATAAGGATTTGCAGTGGCCCCTTGAAGGATATAGACAGCGCCTGCTGTCGTCAGCCGGGAGAATGATTTCAGCGTTCCGATGTCCAGGCAGACGACAATCCATGTGAGCGTTGCTGGTGCCCAAGGGGGCAAGGCTGGACGGCACCTGCGAGTGATCTCGAAGCCATGATTGGAGATGGCGGGGCCAAAGCGATGAATGCAGCACGGAACCACAACGCCAATTGCACCCGCAAGAATCATTCGATGCAGTGTTGAGTGTTGGTATGGTGCATTTTGATAATGCTCCGGCGACTGATGCACCGGAGACCAATGGCCTCGATCAAATGGCCCGGCTGGGCATGCAACACCCTTCGTCCAGCCCAGGGACGGATGGCTCTGATCAAAATGCAAAGATTCGTACGAGTGACGATACTGTCAGGATTCGGAGTGGACGGCACTGCTAGAACAGCGGCAGCAACCGGCCACTCGCACCCCCATCCTCTCCGCTCCCTCAGAGTCATCTTGGCAGCAGCACCGACACCGCTTAGAGTGACACTCGGGCAACTGATCTGACGGCCACACCGATACTCAGCCATTTTGGATCTGTGCGGCTCGCCATCCTGACTTTGATGATCATCGCTCGAGTCGGGAGATTCATAAGCGATCGACACCAGCGCCTCTAATCTCGACTGCAACCATCGAACGCTCCCTCTGGCCGATTCAGTCCCGCTAGGTTGCCGTGCGCGTTGTCTGTTGCTCGGCATAATGTAAGACCAGCGTATCTGCGTGTGCTGTCGTCTATCCAAGCCAGAGTGCGAAACGACAGCCTCGAACAGGGGGGCTCCTGTGTGTTCGAAATATTCCTTTGGCTTCAAGGCCGAGATTCAGCGTATTCGCAGCTCGACGCGACCCAGTGTTCGACTTTGGCTGCTTCATGAGGGTGTTGTCTGTATGGGCCAGCACTCATTACTCTCTTGAAGTTCGGCTCAACGGCCTAATACTGTGCACTCCTACAGCCCCGTCCCTCGCTCCGCATCCGCACAACACTCCCATCGACAATCGCCTCTGGTGAAGCGCCGCACGACGGGCTAGTATCACACAGCCTCTTGCTGGGTGACTCCCGGTCCATCAAGACTGCTGTCACAGACTCCAGCACCGCCTTGGACACCCCCAAGCCATTCCCACGACCAGTATCCACGCGCCCTGCCATCAACTTTCGCAACCGACACAGCTCCTCGCTGCCGGGATGGACACCGGCACCCGATCTGAATGGCTGGGCCTGATACATATCGTCTCGTTCGGCCTATGCTGCTACGGCATGCGGTTTATTCGATGGGCCCAGCTCCACAAGCCACTCGCCGTGACGCAGCTGCTTTCGATCGTGTTTTGGGGCCTGTGTGCATTCTTCGAAACCATGGCACTGCAGACAGCCTGCCAGCAGGACCAGCACGTTGTATCATGCTCCCAGATCTTCCAGACCCTCTCGGTGGTCTGTCAAGGATGCGGATTCGGCTCGCTGTCGCTGGGCTACTCGATTCGCCTGCGCGTCGTTATGATCAAGTCGTTGCAGCGGAACCTGACCTGGATCCTGATTCTGCTGTCCTTGGCTCTGCCGTCGGCACAGATTCTCGAAGCCTTGCACCAGTGCTGCCAGCTTCTTCAATCGTCGTTCTACCGCCCATATGTGGGATTCATGACACTGCTATTTTCGCTCATCAGTCTCATCGACAACATCGCCTTTGGATGCATCGTCATGCGGCAGCTCATCAAGGGCTCGCAGAGCTTCTCACAGTTCCAGCGGGAGCAAACGATCCTCGTCGTCTTGACGTGGGCTCTGAACATCTCCAACTTTTCCATGTCGCTGCTCATCCTCCTCTCCCAGGACGAGAGCATATACAGCTTTATGGTGATTCTATGGAGCTTTGAGACTCTGGTGTTTTGCTGGGTCAACGACTTTGTCTCGCGGGTGATCAGGCGCGGCGGCGTGTTCATCATCATGACCGATGAGATCTATTCGTTTGAGTTTGGCAGCAGCGATAGGGCGAGCTGACCCACGTTCGTCTCGACTGCTCGTTCGTGCGGTTACATCATGCCCAGTGGATGCTGGATAGCCCACTACCTCTCGTTGTCCCGCCACCCCCCTGATCTATCGACTGCTGCTGTCGCTGTGTCGCAATTGCCGTGCATTATTTAATATAAGACTTTCCAGTGCATGCTTGGACATTTCGCTTTGCTGTGCATGCTTGGATATGTAGCCTTGCAAAGCGAGGCGAGATGTCCTCGATGTTCTGCCCGCGGCCACCTGAGTTTTGGATCCGAGGAGATCAACCCCGCCCTCCGTGAACACGTACATTCAATAGCAACTCCGATCTACCCTGAGCTCACCATCGTTCTTGGACAGAATCAGCGGGCAGTGCGACAGATGCACGGAGGAGCATTGCCCGGCCACCGTTTTTGAAGTCGATGCTGGCGAGCTGGACAGGTCGTGGCGCAAGCGAACGTGACGTCCGTCCGTGTCCAAGTCGGAGTTTTGACTGGGTCGCACACGAAGGCAGCCACTTTTTTTCTGTTTTCTGTTCCAGCTTCGGCCCCGCCCGGGATTCAACAACAGCGACGGCGTCTCCAAGCTCGATCCCGCAGCCAAGCACCCTCCAAGGCCGCCTCGCACCAGCAGACAATCGCACATATCAAAGGATGTCTTGGGAAGATGACGAGCGACCCTCGTTGGGGTCATCGTCCGCCTCGGTGCTCAACAGCACCTTTGGAATGAAGGATCAGGGCAACAGCGGCCTCAGCTTTGCGCAAGCGCAGCTGAAAAAGTTTGGATGGGAAAAGGGACAGGGCCTGGGAAGGAACCGAGGTACTTCTTTTGGACAGACTGGGGACGGGGACCTGCACACGGGCTGCTGGGCTTTGCATTATTGCACAGGCCTCACACCCTTGACATTCTTCAGACGGAATCAACAAAGCAGTCTCGGTTGGATACAAGAACGACGCCCTTGGAGTAAGCAGCACGACAGCGGGCCGAGGGGGTCGATATGTGCCACTGAAAGCGACCGGACTGCCCGGATCGACTCTTGGGACCATGCCGATCCGACTGGACGAAGCCAGCCGATGCGATGACCGGCGCAACACTGACAGGGTCGGGGTCACCGATGACCGAATGGAGCTCGGCGGTTGCTTCCTCTCTGTGTGCTAACTTTTGTTTCGACTGCAGGTGGGTGCTAAGCCAGACGAGTGGGGGTTCGCTTGGTGGTAAGTCTTGGCCGGCCAACGAGCCAGCATGTTTTGTTTGCTGGATTGCCTGCTCTCAGCGGCTGATGGCCTGCCAATGGATCGCTCCCCAGGGACCATGTTTTCAATCAAAAGACAGCCTCGATCAAGATCGAAAAGGACGACAATGGCGTATGTACTGGCTCGGCCGGTCCGAGGGGCAACGGCCATCGTTGTAGCATGGCCGAGAGGATGGCCGGACAAAGAAAGAAGGCGCCTGCCGTGGTGGTAGCCCTGTGGGAGTCTGACTCGGTGTGTCGACAACCAACAGACCGTCCAAGTCAAGGCCGAGACCGAGGCGGAAGAAAAGGCCAAGAAGGTCGCTCTCTATGGTGGATTCGTGAAGGGAGGGTAGGTGACTGCGGGTGCACAATCGGCAATGTCTGGGGATGATGCAGGAAGGTGGCAGCCCACATCGATCGGCGAGGCTGGGCTGAAGCAAGAGCTAGCCACCCGAGCCGATGGTGTCTCGAGGAGAGCGCCGTTTGGCAGGTAGTAACTGTGCGAATCTGACTGTTTGGACGCCGCCCAGCACGACCGAGAAGAAGAAAGACTACTCTATCAAGGTCACCGATGCGGAGCTGCTCAAGGCATGCGAGGGCCGGACAGCCCGCAAAGGTGCCCGAGCAGGCAACCAAATGGCAAAGCTGGAGCGAGTCGATGCCAAAGCAGCCCAAATGCTGCGGGCGGCCCAAGGCAGAGTCGACGACGATGACCGGAGCGAGGACTCTGGCGACGGCATGTCTGATAAGGCCCTGAAGCGGCCACTGGAAGCCGATGATGCCCAAAGAAGCGACACCCAGCAACCGACCAAGAAGGCCAAGAAGGAAAAGGAGAAGAAGGCCAAGAAGGCCAAGAAGGAGAAGAAGGAGAAGAAGGAGAAGAAGGAGAAGAAGGAGAAGGATAAGAAGAGGGAGAAGAAGAGGGAGAAGAAGGATAAGAAGGAGAAGGATACCGATATGGCCGAGAACGGAGAGAAGAACAGTAACAAGGAAAAGAAAATGAAAAAGGCCAAGAGCGAGACCACTCTCCCGGAGAGCGGGTCGGCGGTGCTTGCAAAGAACCAAGCGCCAGCCGGTTCCCATGGATCCGAGAAGCGCTCCAAGAGAAAATCGCGTGTCGATACCGAGGAAGCTAGTTCATCAGGAGCCTCGGAGACCAAGAAGCGGGCCGCGACCAAGTCGGTCGACAAAGCCCCTAAAGCATCCAAATCCAAGCGAACAAAGTCCGAGCAAGCGTAGGAGCAGTGGATCCTCGGCTCGGAGCGAAGGGGTCGCAGATGTGTGCTTCGGGTTCGTCACAATCCTCGTAGTCCTCTCAGTCCTCGCAATAGAGAATCCTCCAGTCCAACGAATGTGGCCGTGTGTTTTCGGCAGTTCCCTTTGAGCACATCCCGAGGAGACGAGGAGGATAGCATCTGCGTGGTCGAGGGTACGTTGAGTGTAAAAAAAAGGCAGGTGCAGTTTATTGTTCCGCAGAGTTGTTCTTCCAAAACCCGTCCAATGCAATACCACATGGGGCTATGAGAGACAAGGGATATTCAAAGCATGGGCGAAGATTGGTATGTCGCTCAGTTTTTCTGCATCGTCAGAGTCGCAAGAAATGTAGGAAAAGGATCCGGGGGTTAGATGTGAGTTGCGGGAATGCACGTCGCAGCCCGACACTGTGATTGCAGGCTCGATGAGATACGTACGCCCTTGATGGCAAGAGTAGCGGCATATCCGGTCCAGGCGACACCGCCAAGGACGCCGATGATAGAGATGCCGTAGAGGACAGAGTCGCCACGAGCACGGGCAAAGACGGGAGTGCCAGAGGGCAGCTGGTGTGGTGGTCGGTCGTGGAAGGCGGCAGCATGGTTGATGGCGTATCCAAGGCAGACGCAGCGTACGCAGGGAAATAGCAGGTCAGGGTGATTAGAAACTGCATGCTCGAACGCTTTCATGCCAGCATTGCATGGAGTTGCGCCCAGTGTCCCTGCGGCCTGGGAGGCAGGCGGATCGGAATACTCACACTCCAGAAGATGCGCTGCTGGACGTTGGCCTGGAGTTGGCGTCATTGGGGAAACGAATCGCAAGCAGTGGTCAGTGTCGGAGGCGGCAAGTGCGCGTGGACATTGGCCATGACCAGCCGGGTTTGTTTAGTGGATATGAGCATCAGAGCGGCTGCGATTGCCCGCAACCGGTGCCGAGACTCGCTCATCCATGATGATTGCTCGTTGTCAGCCCCGACAATCGCTCAGGGTCGCCGGAACGTGGCCTGTCCGTTGCTAGGACTCCATCGTGACGCTGTACCTGGCGGATGGAGGCTTCGCCGGACTTGAGGATCGAGCGGGTGATGGACATGATGAGGAGCAGGCGTCGGGGTGTCGAGCTGGCAGAAGTGATGGGGCGGAAGTAGGCAAAGGAAGGCGTTCTTGATGAAGCGAAAAACGAAAAAAGCGACAGCGAGCAGGGGGCAGCGAGAGTCCGGCGAGAGCGCGGCGAGACGCACGCCCATTGGCTCTCGCTCCACGTCCGTCTCGCCTGAAGGCTCACAGTGACTGACTCATCAAGCACTTGGGCGCTGACGTAAGCACGGCAAGGCGCAAGGACAGCCAGGGCAAGAGGGAAGGAAAGGGGACAGGGCACGCGCAGCAGCGGTCGTCCCGGCTCCGTCCGTCCCGGTTCTGCCCGCGGCGGTGCTGTGGAAATAGCACGGACGAGACGCGCCGGCCGAGACGGTCCTCGGCGAGAGCGCAGACAGCAGCCCTTCTCGTCCGGCCGAGAAGGCGTCCGAGGCCTCCGTTTTTGGTTGCGGCTTTGACCCCCGTGGTCTTGATGGCCTTCATCTGAACAACCGCGGACGCTTCTCCTCGACGCATCCGCTTCGCCGCCGACCACTACTGCAACTCCCGGCCTGTCGTTTAAGCCATCGGAACGCATATTGCCCTTGCTGCCGCTTCTGGTCTTTGTCCTGCCTCCGTCTGCTGCCCGGACTCGTCTGATCCTGTCGCTGCGATACCCCCCCCCGGAGCCCTGCTCGCCACCGCTTCGACCCCGGCCCATCCCATCGCCATCGATATCAACCCCCTTCCGTCTCTGGGACTCTTCAGGACCCTTTGCTTATCTTTTCGAAAGAACTATCATCATCGAGCCTTGGCGATTGTCCCCGTATTGGCCAACAGCCTCCCTGAACGCACCCTCTTCAACCCCTCAGCCATCCACATCCGCCGATTCGCATCATGAGTCCCTTCTACCCATCGTCGGATCCATCGTCCTCAAAGCTTGCCCTCTCAGTCATATCGCTGATGTCTCGGGCCCTCGCCAACCCGTCCTCCCAGTCCCTACGCAGTGCCGCCCTCAATGCAGCTCAGCTCTACGAGGACCTCAACTTTGGCCCACCACACCATCTCCGCTTCGCCAGCCCGCCCGTCACCCGCTCCAGCCATCCCGGCCCGTCGTCCAGAGCCGGGCGGCCCTCGCCCGCAGCTAATCTGCCCGTTGAGCTGCTCGATCTTATCTTTTACCATGTACTCAACTCTCCAGTGCCACCGGCTCCGCCACTTCCTCCACCTCCGCCGACCGAGGATGACCGACGAAAGCGGTTCACGTGTATGTTGAGGGATGGTGTTCGTCTCGATGCGCAGGGTTCTGTTCGGTCATGCACCATGGATCCTCCGCTTTCATCCAACGCTGCATCGATGTGTGTGTGCGACGCGCACCTTTACCAATCAGCACGGATTGCCACCCTGTTGTTGGCTGCTTGCTCGCGCTGATGTTGGGTGTCCGTACTGATATTGGGTATCCGTACTGATACTGAGTGCTCTTTTCCCTCGTGCAGCTTCTTCCTTCTGGTCAGGAGGCTCAACCGCACCATCATCCTCCCTCCCGCACGACTCCGTCCCAAACATCGACCCTATCCCCAGTACTGACCCTGCGGATGCGGCTGGCTCGATGGACTCGGCTTATGGTACGTTGTGGAGATGGGTTTTGGGCTATGCCCTGTCTGGCGACATGTCCTTGTGATCAACCTAGAGTGAAGGTCGTTTCCTTCATGCCTCGTTGCGCTGTCAGCATGGGCGATCGACCATGCGTGCTCGCGCTGGCTGGCCGGCGCGCTGGGTCGTTTCTGGCAACAATTGGGAACCAACAGAATGGCTGGCAATCGAACCGGCTTGTGGTGGAAGAATAACTGGCTTCTTGTGCTCCCTCCCTCCAGCCACTTGGAGTTCCCTGCCATTTGCGGGAGTGCTCCCACCACCTCCGACAACAGCAGCTATGCCCGATTCGTTCTCCATGAACTTTTTGGGCTCGTTCCAGGAGCATCCCGCAATGGACATCCTTTCCGACGACGACAGCTTCTTTGCTTTGTCCTCGAATACCATGCATATCGGCTGTCTTGATTCGCGTCCATCCCCAAGCTCTCTTAAAAACCAGCGCGTGCTCGTCAACTGTGCCCTCGTCAACAGATATTGGAGATATGTCGCCGAGGCGCACCTCTGGAGAGACCCTATGGTTGCCACAATCACGCAACTGCGCCGCCTGCTCCTCGGAAGTGTCATCCAAAATTCCATCACCTCCCCATCGCTCCCGACCAGCTTCAAACTCAACCAGTCTGTTCGCCGTCTGAACCTCGACAAAGTCGCTCTGAACTTCAATCACCTGCGGCTCCTCGAGCGATGTCTGGCCGAGTTCCCGCGCCTCTCAGAGCTTCGGATCAACCTGAACGAGTTCACCTTCTGGGGCCTGGAGCGGCTATTCTCGATCGAGTCCCAGGTTGAGACGCTGTATATCCACGGCAGCTTTGCATACGATCGCCACAGTCGTATCAGCAGGTCCTTTGCCGCTCAGCGACAACCCCCATCCAGATCTGGTTCGGCCTCCAACTCAGCTTCCAGCACAGGCTCCAGCACAGGCTCCAGCACAGGCTCCAGCACTGGTTCCAGCGACACACTCAAAAACCTCGTCAACCTTAGCATCGTGTACAACGAGACCCTGTCGCGGTTACCCCACCGCTCAGTCTTTCTGGAACAGCTCTCGCGTCTGATATCCAGCGCCGCGGGCCCGAAACTCAAGCGCCTGCATCTCGAGCGGTCTGGCCGCAAATCGCCATCCATCTCCCTCCTCGGAAGTCCCCTTCCCGCGGCCCCCAGCTCGGAGTACATCCATGCTCTTACCAGCCGCTGTGCCCACCTGCGCGTTCTGTCCTTGATTGACGTGGGCCTGGATGATGCAGGACTGCGGGCTCTGACCTCGTCCTGTCCGCAGCTCGACTCCATTTTGCTCGACTACAAGCGCGCTACAAAGGACGGCTTCCGGGATCACGTCGCAGCCCTCACCGGCCTTCAAAACATCGACCTGTCGTTGGTGCCCATGATCTGGAAAGAGTATGCCGTCAAGTGCCTCACCAAGTACGGCTCGTCCTCCCTGACGGGCATCTTCGTCGACCTCCCTTCCAACTTCAAGGATCCAAAGGCATCGGAAGCCGTGCGGGCGGCAATCATCGAGCTCCTTCGGGCCAAGAGCGGCCATCTCAAGGCATTCGCGGCCATGTGTGATGTCCGTGCTCTCAACCGCCGCTATCGCGCGTTTCTGCGGGACACGACGCCCATGCTGGAAGGCACCAACTTGTCTGTTATGGCCCGCGATGAAGTGTGCCACGTTCGCAACTGGATCGTCGATGTTGTCCGTACCTTGGCTCAAGTCGGAACGCTCTCCAATCTGGAGTACCTCGGTCTGACTCTGATCGGGGTTGATGGGTCCATGTTTGGCCAACGTGAAGCAGCTGGATGGAGGTTCAACCCAAACAACCCCGCGTTCATGCGCGACAACTGGAACCCTCCCTCACTGACGTCGTCCTTCGAGGTCATTGGGGATCCATCGAGCGAGATTTCAATGTGGCTCGATCCCTTGATGCTCATGCACACTGATCCATCTCTGATGCCGTCTCAGGTCCATCTCCCAACCCCAGCCCAGCCCGGCCCTCATTCTCAACCGCACTATCTACCGCATTCCCTGCACGCTCAAGGACACCATCCCCTGTGGCACGGCCAGCATCCCCTGTCGCACGGCCAACATCAACCACCTCAAGCTCCCAGCCAGAGCCAAGGCCAGGACCATACCCACAGTCAGAGCCATACCCAGAGTCAACCGCAGAACCAGCCCACGCATCCTTCCAGCGCCTTCCACCCTCCTGTGGCTGTCGATAGCGCAGCAGCGGCATCCAGCCTGCTATCCCAGCTCCTCACAGAAGGCTTGATATACCACCCACTCCCAGGCGCACCGGACACTCCAAATCCCACCACTCATCCCATAGCCCTTCTGCCGCTGCCGTCGTCTCCCGTCGCCCCATCGCAACAAACGTCGTCGCCCTCGTCGCTTGGCTCGCCCTCCCTCCCGCTCGCTGCAACACCCACAACAATCCCGTTCCCCCCAATCGGGATTCCCTTTGCGCCACTCTCAGTGGAAGATGAGCCCATCCATCCGTACTGGTTCCATGTTGGCGAGGCTCCGTCTGCTGAGAGCCTTCACATGCATCCTATCAGCCCCATGGCACCGACATTCTTGGACATCCACAGGCCCCACTACCGTCGAACGAGCACGCGCCAGGAGGAAGATGCCATCGATGAAGTCCATGCCCTCGCCAACGCCGAGCTCGAGGTGTTGCTCCAAAAATGCCCCCGTATCAAAGCCGTTTGGGGCTTTGGAGGGTCCCGTCAATCCAAGCCCGCGCCTGGTCCAGGTCCTGCCGGCGGAAGCAATAACAAGGGAAAGCGCAAATGGGGCGACGGCGCAAGTAGTGAACCGCCTCGGCCGGCTGCCACGAACTCGCCAAGGTCCACGAAGGCTCTTCGGTTCTCCAAGGAAGTCTGGGCTGTCGTCACTCAGTTCCAGATCTACTAAGGCCGCCGCCGCCCCTCCTCCATTTGAAACAGGACACACCATTTTGCTTTCAGTTGCCACTGGTTTTGGTTTTGGTTTTGGATGGGAATACAGTTTGCTCAACATCTTTCACACCCCCGACCCTGGTCGCTGCTCTGTGATGCGGCGGTTCAATCGACAGCCTTTATGGCTGCCATTGGCTTCAGCGGACCCAAGAATATCGCTGCTCGCCAATCCTATGCCCAGTTGGCGCATCGGTGCCCAAAGCAGCGCAACGAACTGATGCTTCGCACATATGCAGCGGATCGGTTGCCCCCATCCGCATGCATCTTCCCAGCGTCCTGCCACAAGCAAAGTGTTCTTGGCCGTCGACGACCCACTATATTTGAAGAATACCACGACAGTTCGGAGCGCCGCACATGCACGGAAGGTCGAGGCTGTCTTCATCGACGCTGCTCTCACGCTCGTCAGAGTCCTTGCGGGCTTCGCTCCCATGAGTCGAGGTGGCGTTCGATTGACTGCCACCAGTCGGCCCTTTCTGGTGATTGGGCTGTTTTGGACTCCGGGCCTGGGACGCCCTTGGGTTATATGTGAGTGACCGGCCTTCATAGTCGAACGTTAGTTCGTCGCCTTTGGCAATGTCCTGGGCAGCAAACAAGGCCAGGCGGTGGAGCATTGTATCTGGGGCATCGATGAAGACCGGGTGCTGGATAACGTTTGGGCAGCACGAATGGTTGATGAACCTGGCAATGTTGCCCCGGTACCGGGCATCGATTTCGTACTTGAAGTTCTTGACGTCGTCGTAGTCGAGGGCAAAGCGGTAGGTTGACCGTTTCTCCACGTCGTTTTTGTGCCGACATTTGCCCTCCTCTGCCGTGATGATTTCGCCAATGTACTCGCACAAGAAGGTGCCCTTTTTGATGGCCTGGGTGGTCCGCAAGGCCCAGCCCTTGTACGGTGCCCGGAAGATCTCAAAGGCCCCAATGAGTTCCGGCAGCGGGCCCTTCTGGATGACTCGCGACGGGCAGTTGGGTCCGCAGCCGCAGATCGATCCGCACTCGGCGATCGCTTCGCCAAAGTCGAGCTGCAGCAGTCCAGCGTCATTGTAGGGGAACCTGAAATCCGTACCGCCATAGCAGCTGCAGAGGTTTGTTGTTGCTGAGTTGCAGCCGCTCGATTGGGCGGCGCCGAGCAGCGATCCGTTGCTGTTCATGAGCGAGTCTGGAGAGCAGTCGCATCCCGTAAAGAAAACTTGGTCGTACTGGGGGATTTCTTCGCCAAAGACGTTGCGATTGGCCCAGCGAAGCTCTGCTGGAGGGCCCTCGTCGTCGATCTCGTTCTGGACCTGGATGATCGGTCCGGAGACGCACGACGACAGAAGCCTCTCCCACTCGTCTCGCTTCGGCAGGTTGGCATTCTCGGTGGCAAAGACCGACGTCTCGGACCTGTACGCATATGCCTTTGCTTTTGCTTTTGCTTTTGCGTTTGCTTTTGCTGCAGAGACAGGACGCCCGTGCCGGCGCCGTAACATCAGATCGAATTTTGCAATGTACGGGATGGCGACTTCGACCTTGGTCGTCTTCTTGCCTTCCAGTATCTGAAGCTTCTTTGCTCGAGCACTGGATCTCGATAGCGCAGATGCCGCCCCAGCTTGGTGAGGTACAAGCGCTGCAGCCGGCCCGTATCCAGAGTCGTCGGCAATGCTCTTCCTCTTGCTTTCGCAGCCGGGCTGGGTGCCTCTGTCGATATGGTAGATCACCTCTGGCGTTGATCCGGCCGACACTTGGCTCGATTGGCGAGGGGCCAGCCGGAGCATATACCGATCAATCATCCACTTGCAGCCTGGCAAGAGATTGGATTCTGGCTCCCAGGTAGCTTCATCGTATCCTACCCACTTCACCAGGTATATTCTCGCCTGTTTGGCCATTCGGATCACGATGGTTCCAACAGCGAGAAGACTAGCAGTCAGTGCGATGACGGCGATCACTCAAAATGGCAGTGTCCGGCTTTGACGCTCAACCGATACCGCTGCTCGGACGCTGTCGATGGCTGCTCTCCGCCTCGGGCTTGTATGAAGCCGATCGACTGCCCATCGGGTCTGCTGACGACGACTACACCACCTCCACGTTGCAATCTGTGATATCTTCGACCTGAGGAGACGAGGAGCACACTCGGTTAGCGTGAGTGTGTGCGGGAACTACCCATATTTTGGCGAGCGCTGACAAAGTGCCGGTGCAGCCGCCCTGTTCCAGGATCAACTCGACGAGTGTCGTAGCCGAGTGTCGTAGCCGAGTCTGCACTGCTGGATCAGGCCGCAGAGCCAGACGGATCGATGCAGTGCGGAACCAGCAGCCATCGAACATGGCCGGCATGGGCTGCTCTCGCTCACCTCATACTCGGACAGATCCGCAGCTTCATCCCAGCAGATTTTCTCAGATCTCCTCGGGCTTTGTATTTTCCGTCGCTTGCTGACCATGGTTTGGAGGTACGATCGCCTTGGGCAAAGAGAACAAGAGCGAGTTGCGGCTCGACAGCGAGGACGCGGCGGATTTGAGGATGTCGCTTCCTCCGGCCAGCGGACACGCAAACGAGCGCCGGGACCTCCTCAGCTTCATCGACAACAACAGCAGCAGCAGCAGCAGCGCAAATCGGATGCAGGCACCAGAGTGAAGTGAGTCAGATAACCAAAGAGAAATGAGACATATACCCAAACGCACCAGGTGCGTCCGAGACTGGGCTGCTATTCTTTATTTAGCACTTTGCAGTCGCAATCAATATCGGCAAGACCGTTGGAACAGAGATCTAGCCGGGATGCACTGCGACCGAGCATGCCCCGGGTGTGCTGTCTATTGCCTCCGGGATCTACAAGGCCTTGGCCATGTAGACCCCGCTATGATGTCCGCGCTGCTTCCCCGAGCCGCTGCGTCAAGATGGTGATGAAGATCTGCATCGTGTAGCACGCATCGTTTCCTGCAAATAGTAGAGCGAGTCAGTCTCTGTTCTCTGGCGCCGCTTACCATTTTGCCGTTACATGGAGCTCGACAGCGCTGGCATCCGACCCCACGCTGAGCACATGCCATCGGGCTGCTCACCTGCGTTGTGGAGGTGCCGCGCGGGAATGCCAAGGGCCTGGGCCATGCGAGTCAGCGAAAGCACCTCGGGCTTGCCCGTCAGACCCTGGTAGACTCGCTGGGTATCGTATGATTCCATGGATGCGACGGTGATGCCGATCGACTCGAGCATCTTGGCGTCGCCGTGCAGAGCGTGCCCGACAACGATCTGGCCAGGCAGTGCAAGATCCCGACGCAGTTCCTCGCATACTTTCCTCAGAGACTGGAATTGGGTTGTTCCAAAGGAATAGCGATAGCGGTTGTCCGGGACAAACGTGCCGTTGGAAAGATGTCTGTTTTCCTTGATCAAGAAATGCTTGGCGATGACGCCCTTGGGAAGCACCTTTGACCACTGCAGATCGGCCGGTGGCGATCCTGCACCTGAGGCCAATGTCGATGTCGATGTCGATGCCGATGCCGATGACGGGGTCGACGATTGAGGCACGAAGCCGGATCGTGAGTCCGCTTCGACCGAGCTCCACGGTGCGTAGATGGACGGGTCCCAGATGGTCCATCCGATCTCCAGCACGATGTTCTGGTCCCGCTCATAGTTCTCAATATCCAGGGCGAGAAACAGTGTTCCGCTGTCTGACACAGCCCTCGCGGCCGCGAGATCCAGCGAGCGCTTGGAGTGCCGAGCACTCTCGGCAGACTTGATTTGCCGCTTGTGGTCCCTCTGTTTCTTCAGAAAGGCCTTGTAATCGCTGGCGTCCTGGATGGCAATCGGCTCGACGTGTGTGTACGCAAGGTACTCGAGGGGAGCCGGTGCATGAAGCAGCAGCGGCATCTTCTTTTCGTTTTGGATATAGCGCTCCAGCTCTGCAAGGATTGTCGGCCAGGCCTGTGCCGAGACGAGGAGGGAGAGTCCCTTTGGCGACTGAGAATCGAACGACGGAGCAATGCCTATCAGAAAGCAAACCGGTTAGCTGCGACTGGAATACATCGATAAGCCTTCAGCCCAAGGCAAGAGAGCAGCTGCAATATCAGAAGGGTACCAATGTAGTATTCAAGCGATCCGAGGCGTTGAAAGACATCGGGCTCGACGAAGAACTTGCGAACGAGGCCAGCGAGCGCCCGGTCGAGATTGACGGTGAGGTGTTTCTCGAGGAAATGGAGAGAGCAGAACGGCGCCATTGGATGTGCTGATTCGGACGATGAAGATGGTGCTGATGACGCTTTGGTGCTTGATGACGGCGGTGTCGCCGGGGCTGATGCTGGGATTGATCTGGAACTGAAGGTCGCGGAGGCCCGCAGAGACGAAGTGGACAGCAGGGCTCCGGTCAGTAACGACTGAGATGCGGCAGGTCGGCAAGGCAAGGGCAGAGGAATGAAGACGACGGCCGAGAGTCTTGTCGGCAGCCTCAGGGTCTTATTGAGGAACATTGGCGAGCAGATCAAGGCCAAGCCGGCTCGGCTTGGAGGCAAGCGCAGAAGGCGCAGACGAAGGCTCGATTGCGGACGGGGTTGGCCTTGATCTTGCTCCGCCTCTGGGGCCGCCTCGCCTGCATGGTCGCCATCGGACGCTAGATCTCGGAGTCGAGCAATGAGAAAATGTAGCGTCCGAATGATCTGCATGCACGCAGGCTTTGCTGATCGACACTTGCGCCGGATGATCGAAACAGTCTTGTCACTTGGCAGATGCGGTCCTGAGCGACAGCAACTATGATTTCGCCGAGCCATTGCTCCTCTGACCCTGCTGCTCTTGCTTCCTGATCCACCAGACTACTGCGACCACTGCCAAAAATGGATTCCAAACCATCGAGAGGCACGGAGACAGGTGCGGGCTGTCGTCGAGCTGACTCCGTCCCGGTCGCAGATCCAATGCTTGGGCTTGGTCCGCCAGCAACTGGCACTATCACTGACGTCGATGTTACGGCCAAACAGCATTTCGATAGCCTCAACCACCGAATGGTTGCCCAGGAGCACTACCAGCAATCCCAGCGCCATCAGCCTCTGCCCCAACGTCCATACAGACCCTGCCATCGTTATTTCCAGACAGGACTTTGTCCGTTTGGAGCCAAATGCCGATACTCGCACCAGTCCCCGAGCCCGTATGGTCGTCCCGAGCCAAGACCAGTAGCAGCACATCAAACGCCATCATCGCTCCATCAGGCTTTGTTTCATCAGGCTTTGTTTCATCAGGCTTCGTTTCATCCGCTGACGCATGTCCATGCCCAGCCGCCCCAGCCCGGACCGATCAACATCGCCGGGATGCCACCCGAACTCGCGGCGTATCCAAATCTCCCTCCCAGCCTGTTACCGCCGTCCGCGGGCTCGACTGCTCCGCCGATCGACTGGGGAATGTAGAGCACCGCCCATTCATGGCCCTGGGCATATGGGCAATCCGTCGGGCACATGGGCCATCCGTCGGGCACAACCAACCCGATTGAGAGGCCGCAGAGCGCCGATGATATGAAGCCATGAGCAGATATGCGCGCTGTCTCCAATTTCAACAGATCGCACATGGCTCGGCGAATATGCATCACATCCGAGTGCCAGGCAAACAGAGTGCGTTTCGAAAGCGTGGTGGTTGCCGATGTTGCCGATGCTGCCGATGTTGGACAGCCGTGGCGCAGGCAGGGTGACATCCACCTGACCGAGAATCTGTGGCTGGACACGTTTTGGCTTTCGCCAAACAACACCACTTCCCTCCCCATCGTTGCCTGCGATCCATGATTCGGCCATGTCTTCGGAAGAAGCCAGGAAGCAAAAGGAGCGCCAGCATCATCGGCTGTTTTCCGCCGACTTTATCGTCTGGCTCTCTGTGTTGGCAGTCGCTGCATCGACCCTTCTCTACATCCTCCTGAACCCAGAAGTCTCGCATCCAGCTGGCACACCTCCGCCCGATGAGACCCAGGCTTCCGCGGAGCATCACAGCGACCACGCCCATCATCTCTCACTGGAGCTCCGAAGACTTGAGCAAAAGGAGGCGCTCTCAAACCAGTTTCGAAAGGTAGTGTGTGAGCCCAGATCGGCGTCCGAAGCACACAAACTCGCTCGACTGTTGTCTGACTTGCGTGCTGGTCGATTGCTCAGGTCTATCCAAAAGAGATCCTTCCGCTCTTCTTCAACCACGACTATGAGAAGCTCTGGATTCCGCTCTATACCTGGCCTCCGCCGTGGGAGCAGCACTACCAGATCATCAGCAACGCCGAGTGCTGGGCTCGCGATCATGAGGACTCTGTGATAGGTGTGTGTGCCAGAACAGCAGCAAGCCTCACTGGGACTGGCTGCAGGGGCCGTTTGTCTGTTCTTCAGGATCCTGCCGGAATGTGGATGAAATAATGCGCCTGGCTGTTTATGGAGGTAGCACCGGGATGGTCGTGTTGATCTGCTTGATCAATGTCCCGAGGAAGCGCTCACCAGCCACCAGACCGCACGACACCGCAACTGCTCCAGCCTGGACTGACAGCCCTGTGTTCTCCAGACGACAAGCTTGTTTCCAGCTACGTCGGCTTTCAATCCTCCAAGACAAGCGACATTGAAAAGTACTACGACGCCATGAACAGCGCCGCGTTCGAATATGTATATCACCACGAAGCATTCGAGCACAACCGCCTGAACTACTCCGATACCCTGCTGGTTCTGCAGCAGCGCCAGAGTCCCTCAAAGTCTGTCCCCATCGACGACATCTTTTCCACCCTCAACCACTTGAAGGCTCTGGCCTTTGCCCTTGAGCATTCGAGCCAGACCGAAAATTTCTCGTTCTCGATCGAGTTCCTGTCCAAGCTGCACGTCGATCTCTCGTCCAACCTCCAACTGGCCGTTCCTGACTCGGTCGATGCCGAGCTCGGCGTCTGGCGCAACCATGACGCTGCTTTGGGGCTATCGCATGTGCTGACTCCCTACTGGATCGAGGTCTTCCCGCTGATGGATCGCTACATCGAGTGGCTCAATCGATGCAGCACCGAACTGCAGGAGTCGCATAGCGCCTCCGACGATGGCCGAAACTGGATCCGCTCGGCGCTGTTTGCATTCGAGGCCCTCTATCGCTTCACAAGCATCAACCCATTCTCTAACGCCAACTCCAAGATCGCGCGACTGATTATGAATATCATCCTCGTCAAGGGCGGCCTTCCGCTCGTGGTTATATCGGATCCAGATGCGACCGCTTACTACAGTCTGTGGGAGAGCCCCAAAGACAAGCTGCCGTTCCTCCGCCACCACCTTGAGCTGCTGAATCGCAATCTGGCTTCGTATGTATGAGCCGCGGCGCCTGTCCTTGTGGGAACAGCGCAACGCCGCATACGCTTTGCCAAATAGCGCACGACATCCAAATCTAAAGCAATGCGGCTCCTCACAGCCTGGATATCGGATCCTGTACTCTCAGAACACTCTGCAGAGGCTCTCGCCGGATCAATACACCCATGCGCGTGCATTGGCCCATACCGCGTTCAGGAACAGGCCTGGTTATATCCTGCTCCTTCCGCAAAGTACCCTTCATCGTCCGCCCCGGGTCTGCGAGGGTGGAGCAGAGCGCGAGTGGTGCCATTTAATCGGCCTGGCCTCTCCGATCCTCCCAAACGGCCCGGCATTAGACTGCCAGCCGGCTGAGGGACTCGACATCGGGATGAGTCCGCAGCCAGTGCCAATGTTCCGTTGGTGCATCGTCCTATTCCCGGCCAGGCTCAAGAGTTCTGGCTGGCTCTCATCCGCCACTCGATCGGGGCGCTCTGTCGTGGCTCGGCTTCTCGTCATTGTGGCTTCCCTTTCGCTTCGTGCACTCGCCATCGTCGTTGGCCCGATGGTTTCTCGGTCTTGGGTTCGGGTCGTCAAGGATCACGTGCATCACCCGCACTTTCCTTCGAGCGCTGGCGATGCAGGCCTCTGCGTCTGCATCTTTCCGAATCGCCTCTCAGCGGTCGCCCCGGCAGCAACGCTATCGAGCGAGCCGAGGCCTCTGCGCGCACCCTCCGTCCAGCGGCACGATCCTGCATTTCGCTTCTGTTCGTTCCAACCGGTCTTGGACGCGTCAGAGCCCTTGCCCAGCCAAAGCCCGCATCTGTCTCCGTCGATCAATCAACTACCCGTCATGTCGATGTCACGATACCGCACCATCAAGCTGCTGGGCGACGGATCCTTTGGATCGGTCCTGATGGCCGAAAACAAGGAAACGGGCGAGGTGGTATGTGGCACATCAACTCGATCGGCAGGGCGCTGTGGCGAGTGGAGCCCAGGCCGACCCGTCCCATCGCTGGGCAATTGGTGATATGACTCAGCAAAACGAAGCCGAAATGACTCGATGCCGTTGATGGAATCAGGAGATTGCGCAGGGCACCAGGGTCCGGATCTAACGTCCAGGACCACACGGTCAACCTCGATATGTTGGGCTGGGGGCATTCCCACACGCAGGTCGCCATCAAGAAGATGAAGAAGAAATACTACTCCTGGGACGAGTGCCTGAGTCTTCGCGAGATTAAGGCAAGCAGTAGCGATGCCGCCAACGCAGCTTGCTGTGCGTGGCTCGAGCGTGCGAAAGGCAGCGCAAACGATCTTGGGCTGACGGTATATCACGTTTATGCACGACTCCAGTCCCTCAAGAAGATCAACAACCATGTGAACATCATCAAGCTGCGGGAAGTTGTCCGAGAAAGCGATGAGCTGTTCTTTGTGTTTGAGTATATGGAGGGCAATCTATATCAGAAAATGAAGGCTCGCGAAGGCAGGCCGTACAGTGAAGCTGAGGTCAAGCGATTCATGTAAGCCTGTGGCTGGCAAGGCTGTTGGCTGGAGAGATTTGAAGCCGAGAATATGGCAGAGCCCACAGTCGAGTTGCTCGGTGGTGATTCTGCCTGCCGACGCCATGGCCCTCTCTGAAAACGATTGAACCGAGTTGATGGCGATCTGTCCAATCCGTGCCTGGCATTCCACGAGTATTCGATGGCCCCAACGATTCACACCGCTCACTGTCGCGCTGGTCTGGGTGGTTAGATTTCAGGTTCTGCTTGGATTGGCGCATATGCATAAGCACGGGTTCTTCCACAGAGACATGAAGCCTGGTGAGTGGTCGCAATCTGATGGGTGGATTAACGGGTGGATCAACGGCGCCCCCGCTGTCAACTGCATCTACTCTCGTCTGCAGCTTTGCGCATGGCTGACCCACTCATTTGAACTTGAAAACTGGAATAGAAAACCTGCTTCTTTCGGGGGATGTCATCAAAATTGCCGACTTTGGTCTGGCTCGCGAGATCCGAAGTCGACCACCGTACACGGAATACGTCAGCACTCGATGGTATGCGCACATGAAGCCAGAGCCGAGCCCATGCATTTGTTGATCAACGCATCGGTGGCTTTCAGAATGCACAGCTGCATCCTATCTCGTACCCCGAAATCGACACCGCATCATCGGGCAGCTTGTTGCCTAGCTTTATATCCGTCCACTAGCGTCGTCGTTCCTTGCGTACCCATGACCTGTCTCTGACACTCCAACTCATCCAGGTATCGGGCGCCAGAGGTTCTTCTAAGATCGACCGTGTATTCTTCGCCGATCGATGTTTGGGCCATTGGCACCATCTTGGCAGAAATGTTTACACTCCGACCCCTGTTTCCCGGAAGCTCTGAGGTGGACGAGATCTACAAGATAGTGTCGATCCTTGGCTCCCCAACGAATGAACCCGATCGTGTGCAGACGCCACGCCGGAAGCCCGGAAGCTACTATTCGCCCGACACACCTTTCTCGGATCGACATGGGATCAGGGCCGGTGGTGTCTGGCCAGAAGGCATTCGGTTGGCTGCAGCCATGGGGTTCAAGTTCCCACACATGGCCTCAGTGCCCCTCAGCCAGATCATTCAAAATGCCCCGACAGAGGCCCTCCAGCTGATTGCGGACACACTTCGATTCGATCCCAACGAGCGTCCCACGGCGTCCGAGTGTCTGCAAAACCCTTGGTTCAGCGATCTGTGGACGACTGACCTGGCCCGGAATGCCATGTCGGCTCCGCCGCCTTCTGTCAAGTCGTCTGTGGTGGCAGCAAGCCGTGCCGATGCATCGCTGGCTGACCCAGAGTCTTACAGCTCCATTGATGAAGTAGCACACTTGACTCCTCCTTTGCAGCCGTTTGGCTCGAGTCGATCGCCTATCAAGGGCATTGGAGGCCCTGGACACACTGGCAGCAAGCCAGTGCAAGCAGTCCTCACTCCGACATTCGAAGAAGTACCGGAGACTGCGCTGAAGGGCAGCAATCACGATCTCGTTGACCCACTTCTGGAACAAGAGAGCAGTGATCTGGTGATGCCGCTGGGGTTTGAAAAACCCCGGGAGGGTCGATCGCCGTATGAGGAGATCGTATCAAAAGGTAAGATGGACAGAAAGCGACCCCGGAGCTGCAGTTCGATGCCTGACACAGTCTGCGAGGAACATTTGATGGATCAGGAGGCTGGATACCCTACTTTCCTGGTGTGAACATCGATGGCTGTTGCCGTTTCGCTCATCGGCGTTGCCTCAAGCCAAGCCCATCCGCTGGGCTCGTGCGCATGCCACCATCGAGCATTCACATTGATCATGCGTTTCTCCTCCAATAGCCCAGTACACAAAACCCGATGCGATAGGCAGGCCATATCTGCCCCTCCCAAATGTGCACGCCGGTTCGGGCAACACGCCGACACGGCTGTCTTCGCAAGGTGCATCCAATGCAGTCGGCTCTGGATTCGAAAACATCCCTCCGAGGGCGGCTGGTGCGATCGGCTCGCGATCAAATGCAGAGTTCCCGCTATCATCGACTCCCGAGGCACATGAGGCAGACGATCGCATCGAGGGACTCTTGGAAGAGATGGACGAGATATCCGGCTTGCGACAGGAGACAAGGCAGACGGAGCCCGCGGCGACGGCTGGTAGGATGGCGGCGAGCACAGCGACCTACAACGACTCGTCAGGATACTATCCGATCTCAAGCGTAGGACCAAAGATGCCGCTTCGGGATGTGCCCAAGATCCCTGGTATCGGCAGCAATCCCTTGCAGCTCGCCAGCTACACTTCTGCTCAGAACGGCCTCGACAGCTCCGCCATGTACCCGCGGCATCCAAATGCATCGCAATCGCAGCTCCAAAGGCCGCCATCACTCTCTCCTTACCAAGAAGCTATCCGAAATTCCACAAAACTACCAGAATTTATTTCAGATAAGGTTCCTTTGAAGCCAATATCGATATCATCTTCGATCCAGCTCCAGCAGAGAACCACACAATACGCATCGCCGTCCACCAACCTGGCCCCGATCGCAGGTCGGATGCGCGAGCAGTCGCCGACCCAGCAGAGCAAGGGCCACACAGACCCTGCATTAGCGGCGGCTGGTGCCAAGTCCTCCAAGGTGACCTCGTTTTTCTCGAATGCTGCATCTCTTCTGCAGAAACGGCCGACTGGACAGCAAGCTTTGCCGCCCGCCGCTGCCTCTCCAGCTGTGGCGACGACCTCGGACCGGCCGCCACGGTTAGACAACCTTCGGGTGAAAGGTAATAGCCACCCTGGCACGCCGATGCGTCTTGGTATCTGCTCTGACGGCGTTGCTTGCGAACTAGGAGAAATGAATGGGCAGTACCCAGAGTTGATATCTTCGCTAACCTGGCCATGCCGGGCTTGATCCTCGCTGCAACCCCTGTCCATGGCGCAGGACTGTCCATGTCGAGGACCATGCTCGCCCAGCAGCCAACTCATCCAGCCCACGCTAACCCAAATCGTCGAAGCTCCATCAACCCCTCAAGCAACATAGTTGGCTCTGTTGGCGCCAGCCAAGCTGCGGGCGGATTTGGTGGAATCACGAGTCCATATCAAAGCACCTCGAACCTCAACAGCATCCTGGGCTCGTCCTCGAACCTGCGGCCGTCCAACATAGCTGTGCCCGGAGGACGCCTGCGCTCTCACAGCACTCAACATGACCCGCTGTATGCCGGGACCAGGAACGCCGCTGTTTCATCTCCGTCAGGGCATGGCCATGGCCGCGGAGCTCATGAAGGCGGCAGGGCATCACGGCGCCAGTCTATCACCTACAACCCTAACGTGCACGGCTCCAAATCCAGTCTTGCCTTCCCCACAATTCCAGAGTCAAGGCGCTTCGGCAAAGACGAGTGGTCAATGGCTGGTGAGCAGGGAGGCCTTGCGGGCTGGAACGCCTCTGACAGCAAGAGCATCATAGGGCAAAGCGCCACTAGCGGCATCAATCTACCTGCTCTCTCGAATCCCACGCCGCACCACGGCAAGCGACCAAGGGCCAACAACCCGAGCCAGCCGCCTGCTCAACCTGCCCAGCAGTCGCCCGGCATTGCACACGGACAACGCCCCCCAAACGGACGCCCAGATGGCTCCAGCGGCGAGAATTCCAAGTCGGACTCGCGGCGCAACAAGATGCTCTTCGGAGGCATATACTAGTGCGACAGAGGACATGTTCTGGCGGCGATTCATGCTGCTAGCAATAGCGTTATTTGTCCGCCTTCTTGATTGTTTCGTTGCCTGGTTTTGACCCTGCCCATTCTGCTCCTGTTCTGTTCGAGGAGTCTGCCTGACAAGTCTCGAGCAAAGGAATACATGTACGATACAGCACACAACACATGGCCATACCTGGCTCGATCAAACTCACCCATTGCCTGCACATCAGTGGATTTGGTGCAGCCACAAGCAACGATCGTGGGGACAGGACTGGGGTAGATGAGGCGCCTATTACGCCAGCATGTGGAAAACTGCGTCGTAGAAGTGGCATGGCGGGCCAACAACCATGGCGGGCCAAGAAACATAGATCTGGGCGGGAAACAGGATGGCCAGCTGCGTCATTGATATTGGAACCTACAGCCCAGTCCATCGTCGATAGATCCACCGCTCCATCTACCAGGGTCGTACTCGCGCGGGGCATTCCGATCACCGAGGCGGCTCACACTGGTTACCTGCTCTCTCAGACGACTGGAAGCATGTCCGAAATCCATGTAGCTGACCTGGCTGATCTAGCCAAGGGAGCAATGTAAGCATGCCACAGACAAGCTGACCGGAACAGCCGAGCATAGAAGCCATTCCCTTCTCCCAGATCAGAGCCTCGCTACTGAGTTCGTCGTCACCTTGCCTATCAGGAAAGAAGTCTCGACTCCGGTCGGCAAAGTCCTGCTCTCCCGAATTGAGGACAGGGTCTATGCGACCGCCGCACTCTGTCCGCATGCCAAGGCTTCGTTGGTCAAGGGCACCCTCTCAAGCGACGGGCGTCTGATGTGTCCCTGGCACGGCGCCTGCTTCCATGTTGCCAGCGGCGACATTGAAGACGGACCTGCCATAGATCATCTGCGAAGCTACAAGGTAGACCACGAGCCCGCAAAAGCACTGTGTTTCAGCTGCCTCTACGAAGCACTGCTCAGGTTCATATCTGTGATATTCTTCGCAGGTGTCAGTTCGGGATGATAAGGTCATGTTGGTTCTCGAAGGCAATGGTGAGCAGTCACACTCCTTTCGCGAGGGACTTACTTCTCCGCAACTGGGAAAGCGCTGAACAGCATTGCGTGCCATCGACATTGTTCTGAGTCCTTGAGGCGTCTCGTCTAGAGCCCAAGGGTCCCGGTCGAGCGCCGCGATGCCTCAAACAGTCATCCAGCGAATCCGAGCAAGTTGTGGTTTTGGGAGGTGGCGCTGCCGGCTTTGCGGCTTGCGAGTCCCTCCGCGAGGTAGTAGCCCTTCAATCTTGGTCGGTTGTACCTGGGCCGTTGGTGGTGGCTTATGCTTTGGCCTTCATGGATACAAGCTGCGACTTGGTGCAATCTCGATTGCAAGCTCAGTATCCCTGATTCACGCGACCGGCTGGCTCGATGTTGGCACTGGTTTTCAGCTTGGCTTCTTGGGTAGAATCCTCATGATCACCAGCGAAAGCTACTTGCCCGTCGAACGGTAGGCTGTCAGGAACTCTACTAGCTTCTGTGCTCAGTACAATCCCGTCGATGCTGCTTACATCGGTCGCTCGATTCGGTTCTCTTGGACAAATGCGACTGCAGTCCAAAGATTGGGAAATCGCTCAAGATCGACGCGGCCAAGATTGCCCTCCGCGATGCAGCCTACTTTACCGAACGGGATATTCTCGTGCGCCTCAATACGGTCAGTCGGCCCGCTCTTCGAGACCGCCACGATTGGGGATAGTCCTCCCTGAGATTGCTCATCGCTTTTGATCAACTGTTCCAGGAAGCTGTGTCAGTGGATACCGGCGCCAAAACAGTAGTGGTGCATAACATTACGTCGGATCAGCGCGAATGCATCAGCTACAACCGTCTGGTGATTGCGACTGGAGCCAAGGCAAGCTGAGCCCTCGTTGTGAAGCCAGCCACTCCGTGTCCAAGCGAGCAGCAACTCGTGCAAGAGCCTTACACTGCCATAACTCATGCGAGATCTCCTCTTCTATACCTTCACAGCCACGAGTTCCCCAGATTCCAGGCCATGAACTGAGGAACGTGTTTACGATTCGCCGTGTCGAAGACGCCAATGCCCTGGACGCCGGTACCATTTCTTGCGATCGCACGGCAGCCCTCATCCCAGATTGAGACATGCACATGCCCATGCTCACTTTGGAAGCTGCATACGAGCCTGGCGACTTGGCCCAAAATCGTGGCTCCAGTTGATAACGATGCACTCTCGACACACATCAATCCCCAATCCCTCATGTATCCAGCTCTCGCGGCAGTCTCTCAAGGGCAGGCGGCTCTTCCCAGGATTGTCATCATCGGGTCCGGGTTCATCGGACTCGAGGCGGCCGCGGTGCTCGCCAAGAAAGCCAAAGTCGAGATTGTCGGTCGAGAACGCATTCCGCTCCAGAAGATTCTCGGCCCACGTATTGGCCAAGCGATACAGAAGCTGCACGAACAGAACGGAGTTGTCTTTCACAATGATGGCCAGGTGGCTGAAATCCGTCCCTCTGGCAAGTTCGTCTTGCTCCTTGTTGCTGCCGGCAGTATGTGTGGCGAATACGTTGAAATGATGCATTCTAATCCGCAGTGCTGATATCGGAACTGCAGACTCTAATCCAGAAGTTGCGGGCTCCGTTGTTCTCGCCGACGGAAGAGTTCTGGAGGCCGCCATCGTGATATTCGGAGTCGGTGTTGTTCTTTCGACCCAGTTTCTGGAAGGGAGCGCCATCCAAGTGGATGCAGACGGTGGAATTGCTGTGGACAAGTACCTCGGCGTCAAGGGGCAGGAATATGTTTATGCTGCTGGTACGTCAGCGTGGGCGAGTGCCATCGAACCGTCCGGCGGATTTGTTTAACTCTACGATGCTTATGTTTGCCAATCTGGAACTCGGTGCTACTGCCCAGGCGATATTGCGAGGTACCCCTACCATTTGGAGGGGGCTGCCGTTCGCATCGAGCACTGGAATGTTGCTATGGACCAGGGCCGCACTGTGGCCAGAAACATCTACGCCAGAATGACAGGCAAATCCGAGCTCCAAGGCTTTCAGTCGGTTCCATATTTCTGGTACGCCTACATAGGAGGATTGACCCACCACATCCCAACCCAAGTCCGTCTGTTGTGGATGCATTTCCTTCCCGAAGTGGCTCTCACCACCCAACGGCGCTGCTGCACATGTTGCGGGCCATAACTTCATCTGACACAGGAGCACCCAGTACGGAAAGAGCCTGCGATACTCGGGGCATTGCCGCGAAGGTTTTGACGAGGTCATCATCCAGGGATCCACTGATCTGAACCCGGACGGGTCTGGTCTTGGGTTTTGTGCGTTTTACGTCAAGAACAGCCAGGTCGTCGCAGCATCCAGCATTGCCCGAGACCCGGTCGTGTCGCATTTCAGCGAGCTCTTGCGACTTGGCAAAGCTCCAACCCCGGAGCAGCTGCGAAACGGGCTCGAGATCACCACGGTTTCGATCTGAGATTCGCGGCCGGGCTACCGGGTATGTGCGCGGTGTATTCGCTCAATATAGCTGTGCACTCGGCGGAACGGCAATGTCGCCCCGCTGTCGGCGATGATTCACGAATCTGATGCGGTATTGCTGCCGGATCACTCGTCATCCAGCTCTCCCTCGGACTCCAACTCGTGCCCCTCTGCCATATCCATCATTCGCTGCCAACGGTCCTCGAGGATAGCCTCTCGCTCGTCCGAGAGGATCCTGTCGGGATCGACCAGCTTGATCTGTTGTTAGAGGGAAGGCTTAATGAGACAGCATGCAACTCTGCTGCCTCGTGCGAACGAAGAGCCACGGTATACGGCAGCCTGACAGCAAAGTTTATAGAGTATGCTGGCGAGGCAAGACAGCTTACATGCGGAATAGGAAACTTTTTAGGCCTTTGCCCTGGCAGAGGTGGTAGATCGATGAGCGTTCCGCACTTGGGTAGCCCTTTAACCCATTCGCCGTGGTACGACTGCCGCTTCTGCTTGTATATGTATTTTCCGGGTCCCTCCTTGAGATCATCCATCCACATTCCTTCGTATCGATCCCCGTTCGCTGAGGTTGGGCCGTCCAGAGGGCCCAGTCGGGCAGTGTGCGACATGGTTGCGATTGAATGTGCCGGTGCGATACGGGTGGGATGCGGGTTCAGGAGTGAGTTGAATGAAACCTTTCCACGCTCTTCAGAGTTGCAGGCGGGCAGGGCAATCGACAGCGCCTCAACGCTTACCCAACAGCAATATGCCCTGTCCTTGCCGCTTTTCCTCGTGCCATTCACCCTCGTAAACTGATCCATCGATGTAGAACATTTTGCCCCAGCCCTCCTTCATATTGTTTTCCCAGTGTCCCTCGTAATGGCTCCCGTCTTCATAGTAGTGCGTGCCAAAGCCATGTCGCTTGTCGTTCTGCCATTCGCCTGCGTAGACCTTGCGCAGCTGGGCCGTGGGCTCGCTGATGTCGTCTGAGGGCTCTTTCGGGACGCTGAAGGTGCCATACCCATGTCGCATATCATTTTGCCACTCCCCTTCGTAAACGCTTCCGTTTTTGCGGTAAAAGTAGGTTCCGTTGCCTGCGCCAACGTATGATCAGCACCCGTGATGGAAATAGCAAGTCCAGCTGCAGTCGGAGAAGGACACTGTCTCTGCGTCGAGGACATGGTTCGCTGAGGGCGAGCCGAGCCAACCGTGATAACAGCACGAAATCATGGCTCGCGCGTGCCTGCCGATCTCTTGCATGGCATGAGCAAGAAGCGCCTACCGTGCTTGAGATTGCCCTTCCACTCGCCAAGATACTGGTCGCCGTTGATCATGTACACGGTGGCGTGAGGGCCATTCTTCAGGGCGAGGGCATCCTTCAGCTGCCACTTGGCCGCATTTCGGATGTGGGAGTGCCGATTGATGGCCAAGGGATTGACATTGGGGCGAATTGGACCGTGGATGGGTTTGGACATTGGGGCGAGGGTCCGTGCTGGAAGGACCGATGGATGCTCAATGTCGGATACCCGAACTGCAATCGGCGCTAGCAGAGACGCTGAGGGCAACGGTGGTCGCCGAAGCGAGCAAAGGACTCAAAGCGCCGCGATGAGGTCATAGCCAATGGCCCAATCAGAGCACGGATGATCGGTGGTCGGGATGGGAAGCAGGAGGGAAGCAAGCGGGAAGCAGGAATGAAGCAGGAGGGAAGCAGGAGGGAAGCAGGAGGAAAGCAGACGGCAGCTTGGTCCATTCCGGAGAGCTCTGGCATTTATTCACATCGATATACTCGAGTCACTTGGTCTCCAGTCTCCTTGGACACGCCGTTTGGTCATGACGGGCGATGGTGTATATTCAGGACACAGAAATCAGCAACTCAATAGGGCGACCCGTTTCGCTTTAAGTGAGCTGTATATCGCCAAGACTACATTCCTCTATGGAATACGACAAAACGGACTGGTCGTAGCGACGGTGTTCAACATGTCCCCCGGCACAGGCCCGTGGAACGATTGACGATGACGAATCGAAATGCCAAACTTGACTCGATCCCAACGCCATGGAGGCGGCCGAAGATGCGCGGTGCCTTGCAAAGCATACTCAGTCGATGATGCCCTGGTTCCGGAGGGCGCTGAGGATGTTGGTAGCATCGGTCGACCCCTGGGCCTCCGCCAAGCGATACCAGTGGGCCGCTTGCTCAAAGTCCTGCGTGACCCCAAAGCCGTGCTCGTAGCAGCTTGCAAAACCAAACTGGCCATCACAGTAACCCTGCATGGCTGACTTGGCGAGCCACTCTGCGGCTTTGTTGTAGTCCCTGGCTACACCCTTGCCGGTGTAGTAGCAGCGACCGAGTGCGCTCTGGGCTTTTGGATTTCCCTGCTCTGCCGACTTGGCATACCACTCGGCCGCGACGCAGAAATCCTGGTTGATGCCCGAGCCGGTGTAGTAGCCCTTGCCGAGGTTGAATTGGCCCCAGTGGTTGCCCTGCATGGCTGATTTGGTGAACCACTCGATGGCTCTGGCCGGATGGAGTGTGACCCCGTGGCCATATTTGTAGCAGAGGGCGATTCTGTTCATGGCGTACGAGTCGCCCTGCTCGGCAGCCTTCACAAACCACTGGACGGCTCTGGTATCGTTTCGACCGATGCCCCAGCCGTTGTAGATGCAAAGACCGCTCCAGTGCTGGCTGACGTCGTGGCCCTGGTTACCAAGATTCGTAAAGATCTGGGAGGCTCGGGTCTCGTCCTTGCCGACGCCGTATCCACCAACATAGCAAAGGGCCGACAGGTGTTTGCACAGCCAGTCCTGATTGCTTGCAAACTGGCAGAGCTTGGAGAACTCCTGCGCTGCGAAAGTGTCGGACGATGCCGGCTCCTGGTTGGGCTCGAAGCACAGACCGCCGAGATCAAACTCGTCCGTGGCGCTCGCATGGATCAGGTCGATTCCCTCCGGCTTGTCCTGGTCCGTCCCTCGGCCAAGGTAGTAGCACCAGCCAACCATGAATGTGGCAATTGGTTTCAGCGCCGGATCGTCCGAGTCGTTGCGGACGCGGCTCCAGCACCGGAACGCAATGGCATCGCTTTGGTCCACTCCGATGCCGGCCCAGTGCAGCCAGCCCAGATGGAACTGAGCCTCCAAGCTGTTGTGGTCGGCGCCGGTCTGGAGCAGTCGGGCGACCTGGGGCCACAGCGGATCGGCGGCGCCCATGTTCGCAGAAACAATCATGGCAATCTGGACACAGGCCTCGGGATCGCCTCGCATGGCTTGGCTCCGGGTCACGCGAAAGGTGTTTGGGACGAGCGGCAGAAGCGCTTCGAGTTCGCCAAGCCAGTCTGGGCTCGGCAGCAACGTCGATATGGTTGTTCCGGGCGGCCTGAGCGCCTGTGATGATTTTGGAGCCTGGGACGACAGCGCGGCCCTGAGCGGCTCCAGGGCAGCGAGGATGGCGCTGAACTCGGGCCGCTTGTTCGGATCTTGGTGCCAGCACTGCTCAACCAGGGGCCTGATGTCTTCTGGGACGCCGTCGGGGGTGCCGGCAGGCGTCTTGGGACGGCTGCCTCTGCAGATCTGCGCCTCGATGGTGCGCACCCGCATGGGGTCGCCGGTGGCTGTGACCCAGACGGCCTTGCAGTCGTTGAGGACCTCGTAGAGCATGATGCCAAAGGCATAGACATTGGCCTTCTTGGGTGAGACAGCGGGCAGGTCATCGTCCAGCATCTCAGGGGCCATGTAGTCTAGAGTGCCTTGGATGCTCGGGTTGATCTCGGGCTCGCTGTCTGAGGTGGAGCTCTCGACCAGGTTGTGTTGGGCAACGAGGGAGCAAAAGCCAGCAACCACGGCGTCCCGCGAGCTGTTCAAGAAGACATTCTGGGGCTTGAGGTCGTTGTGAGATAGGCCCTTGGCATGAAGATAAACCATCCCCGATGCCACCTGGCACAGGAGCCGGAGCTTCTCTTCGAGCGGGCATGTGCTGCCGGCATTGCGGATGTAGGTGCTGAGGGTGCCGTTTGGCATCAGCGGGGTGACGATGAGCGGTTGGTTGGCTATATCGCAGGCTCCGAGCAATGGCAAGACATGTGGATGGCTTAGATTGTACCATGTGTTGAGCTGGCGACGAAACATATCCGGCGGCAGGAGGTCGGATATGTCTCGGAGCTGCTTGACGGCCACCTCGGATCCATAGTACGACGCCGTGAAGACCTCGCTTGAGCTGCTGCGGGCGATAGGGTGCGGGGACATGGCTGTGATGGCATCGGCATGGATGTGCCAGGGGCTGCTGTCCATGGCGAGAGCTGAGGCGTGCGATCGAGATGTGGTATCGAGGCGATGCGGGATGACGCTGTGGATGATGTGGATGACGATGTGGTATCGAGATGGTATCGAGATGGGGATGAAGATGCGGCATCGAGTTGTGGATGAGGACGGACATGGGCACCTTCTCGCCGAGAGGACCGAGAAGGGGCTGTCGGCTCTCTGGTCGCATCTCGCCCTGGTCGCTTCATCTGCACCCATCCGCATTCATCTGCACCCATCTGCATCCATCTGCATCTATCGACGTCGACCAGAGGGTCTATTGCACAGATGCCATCCCACCAAGATGCCCGAGTGGTAGCAAGGTGAAGCTCGACCGGAGATGAATCGCTCGCTGCCTCGGCGCAGGCAGTCCGGTCGCTCATAGCGGTATCGCTCACTCCGTCTCGACAGACTTGATCTTCCCCAGCCCGCCCATGTCGTCGAGTTTTGCCCACATCCTCAGGCCGAAGATCTCATTGCTTGGGGTAGGTGCAGCTGTACCTGCATGGATCCGGCATCTCTGCCGATCCTGACAGCAGCAGGAAAGAGGACAGGGCCGGCTTCATCCATGGGTTCTCACAGCCCTCTTCGAACACATGCAGGCGGCGACACCATTGTCGGGGTGATCAGAAAGACCCAGACGGCCGATGGCAGCCAAACGACATTTACTTTGGTTGAGGAGCATCTGGTTGGTGCCCGGGCCACGGCCATTTCGTGGTCTCCTTCGACAACATTCTCGTCCGAGTCGCAGATCATCCGGTAGGGACCCAAGGCAGCGCCGTATGCAGCGCACAGATGTTGATGCAGGCGGATCGTCGGGGTTGCATCCGCATCTCACGGGCAGCTCCATCGACCGGAATGCTTACCCGTCCGGGTTTCCAATCTCCTCGTCGTCGCGCTGGACGGTATCGTATCGTGGCGCTCTTGGATCTCGCTAAAGGCTCGTCGTTGGGTGCGACAACGGCAAGATCTTCCTGATCGACCAAGGCCGGGTTCTCCTGGTTGGCTCTCATCTCGATACCATCAACGATCTGAGCTTCAGCTTCACCGAGAAGCACACCCTCGCGAGCGTTTCAGGTGGGCCCGATGGCATGTGCAGAGGGGCGACAGCACTCGCTGCGAAAGCAATCCCAAGCGCCTGCATTGCTGATTCTCACCGCTCGACTCCTCTGCCTGCCCTCAGAGGACCAGACGCTCTGCATCTGGACGCTGCCGGACAACCTGCACCACCACGAGCACGGCAGCTTCCAGCCGACATGTGCGACTTCCCGCCTTTCGTCTCCAGGTGTCGCTGTCCGAAGTCATCCCGATCGGTCGAATCTGTTTATGGTGGCCGAAAAGTCGGGCATCGTCCGCTTCTACGATTTCCGGCAAGACGAAACGGTGTGGTCGGTGCTCTTGAGAGACGATGGCCCCGGACCAGCGATCCTGAGGGATGCCGACTGGTCAATTGAAAAGTCGCTGCTCAGGTACGAGCTGATGCAAGGTCTCGGCCCCCATGAATGCGGAATGCAGAGTCTGGGGGTCCAAGGGATTATGGAACTGGAGCGCTGACCGGAGACGAGGGACTGCGACAGATTCGGGGCCGTCATTGGGTCCAAGTGGTACATTTGGGACTTTCCGCATCTGGAGCCGATCCGCGCTGGCCATGGCCACGAAGAAGGAGCCCATCAGTTCCGGTAAGAGGCCGTAGACTCTTGGACTTGTCCAGTATCCAGCAGTCCATCCATGGCACCTGAGTCGATGGTTATAGTGCCTTGGCGACTCCTAACAGGCGGCAATCATACCTATGGCGAGCAGATGGGCCCGGAACAAGAACGGCGAGACTGTATTCGCAACAGCCACATCAGCGCCCTCTGCCGACACGGCGGCGTCCATCAAGGTCCACAATATCGACCATCAGCGTACGTATTACTGTCTCGATTGCAGCACCGTGAGATAAGGTACCTGCAAGACCACTAACCCCGGTGTACACGCCCTGCGATGAACGCTGGCCTCGTTGAGCAGTCCCGGTGCATGTCGGCGACACCTCGAGCAAGGCCCGCGTAACCTCCATCTCATGGCATCGGTCGGCCAACCTACTCGCCAGCGCAAACCGCAGCCGACTGTTGTGCCATTCGATCCAAAGCGGCTCCTCCTAAACAGACTGGGAAACTCTGGATGTCCAAGGCAGCCACGTACGATGGCTGGATGAATAAAGGATATCGCTAGCCGTCCGATCGAGCGCTACCACTACAATGGGTGCTGGGAGAAGCAAGCCCCCTCCCCGGAACGCTGCCGCTATCTGTGGCTGATTTGGCGGATCCGCTGTATTCCTGGCTGTCTATCTGGCTGTGGCATGTGCTTGAGGTTTGGCGGCGCTTGGCTGGAGATGCAGTGGCCGAGGCTGGCAAGTGTCTCAGGCGTGGATCCTCTGGCACACACAGGGCTGCCGATCGAAACATGATGATGCCAGTGCAGCGGCATTCGAGTCGATGGCGGCGTGGCCAACGGCGATACGCACCCGGGCGAGATGAATCCACCCCGGCTCACTGGCGCTGCGCCACGTGTCTTCTTTTTTTTTGGTTCTTGATTTTCGGCCTCCGCCGGCGGTCGAGGACTGCCCCGGACGACCCAGCATCGCTCCGACACAGCGACGGCAGCAAGAGCGAGGATCAGATCCGCCAGCCGAGACTGCATCCAGAGCACAACTCCAGCCTGCAGCCCGAGTCAAAGCCACAGCGTCAGCCACTATAGTCCAGGACAATTCATAGCGTAGATATTGCCTTCACCGGCACCGACACCGACACCGACATCCCCACAACGACGCCGTCACCATTCACGGAGGGCCCACGCACGCAATGACGTCAAACACCATCCGGAGCGATCTGCTGGATATCGAGAAGGGCTTTGCGTCCATGGACCTGGACCCGAGGCTCCTGCGGTCGATCGCCAAGATGGGATTCAACCATCCGACCATTGTTCAGTCCAGCGCGATCCCGCTTGCCCTGGCCGGGAAGGATATCCTGGCTCGGGCTCGAACGGGCTCGGGCAAGACGGCGGCCTACTGTCTGCCTGTTGTCCAGAAGATCCTCCTGGGCTCGGAGAGCCGCGATGTAAGTTGCTGCGAGGGCAGCCGCGACAGAGTCTGGACAGGAGAGGATAAGAACGTCGCTCTGTTTGTCTTGGCAATGTTACGATATGGTATAATATGGGGGTGTCTTGGTGTGTTCCGGTGCCGGTAGATCAAAGAACACCAACGCCATCGACTTGATGGCCGTATCATTTGTGGATTCAAGCCGCTGCATTGTTTGCCAGATGTAGTGCCGGTAGCGCGGGATGACCAGAGCAACCGGGTTGATATCGGGCTTTGGTTCAGGGGAAACTGCCCGCGATGTGCCTATTTCTCAAGCATGGCGTTCGATCTATTTCTCTCGCAGGCAAGCGACAGTCAGCATACCGTCAAGGCGATCATCCTGGTTCCGACAAAGGAGCTGTCGGAGCAGGTCCACCGACACATCAAGGATCTGACAATCTACTGCTCGCAGGAGGTGGTGTCGGTCAACTTTTCGGCCGGCGAGGCAAACGTGCAGACGCAAAAGTAGGTGGAGCTGGAGGAAAGGAGTGCATGGCTGACGCTGAGGCTCTGGCCCGCTATCAGATGTCGGTTGAGCAAGTTGGAGTGGAGGAGTGTGCCCTCGATGGTGCTGATGACGAGCCCACCGCAGCGCATTGCCGGTCGGCTGGCTTGGCTTGGCTTGACTCTTGGCTGCTCATGGTCTACTGTCACCATTCGTCTGCTAACAGCCCATCCACCGCTCATGCGACGCACCCTTCCTTGGCTCGGGGCAATCCTCTTGTGTGGACGGCGGGCTTGACCAGGGCGCTGCTGGCCAACAACCCCAACATCATCGTCAGTACCCCCAGTCGTCTCTTGACTCTTCTGGAGAGCAAAGACCTGAACCTGCGCGACTCTCTCGAGTCCCTTGTCATTGACGAAGCCGATCTGATCCTGTCGTACGGCTATGACGAGGACCTGCGCAAGATCCTGACACACCTGCCCAAGATCTACCAGAGCTATTTGATGAGTGCCACGCTCAGCGACGTGAGTATCTTGTCTGTAGCTGCGTTCTGCAGCCGCCCGAGACGACTGAGCAAAGGTCGCCACAGGCGGGAGGAAAGCCAAGCTCGTTGGCGTCGAAGCCTTTGCTCTGTTGTGACCCACGACTGACTTTGGACTGGATGCGCCAGGATGTCGATGAACTGAAGCAATTGGTGCTGCGGAATCCAGCGATCTTGAAGCTCGAGGAATCGGATGACCAGGACCTGCTGACGCAGTACTATGTCAAGTAAGGGCGTGCCCGACCAGCGTTTGCGCGAGCGGAATATGCGCCGTCCTGAGCGACCGGCAGCAGCCGTCGATCTGTGCAAGGGCCAGATTCGGATATTCACGCCCTTTCTCTGCAAACGCAGATGCACCGAGAAGGAAAAGTTTCTCTTGACGTATTTCATCCTGAAGCTGCGGGTTCATCCCTTCGGCACGGGCAAGTCGATTATCTTCGTGAACGACATTGACCGCGGATACCGCCTGAAGCTGTTCCTGCAGCAGTTTGGCATCAGCAGCTGTACACTCAACTCGGAGCTGCCGCTCAAGTCTCGCTACCACATTGTGCAAGAGTTCAATCGTGGCGCCTACGACTTTATCATCGCGACGGACGAGGTTGAGCTGCTCAAGGGCGAGGCGGCCGAGTCGGATGACGAAGCTGGCGAACCCCAGGAAGAGGACAACGACGGCGAAGGCGTTCAGGATGGCTCCGAGAAGACGGGACAAAAGCGAGCGGGCGGGGATAGCGGCAAGGGCAAAAACAAGCGACGCAAGGACGCCGAGTATGGTGTCTCGCGTGGCATTGACTTCCAGAACGTCCAGTCGGTGGTCAACTTTGATATGCCCCGGACATCCAAGTCGTACATGCACCGAGTCGGCCGCACCGCCCGCGGCGTTGGCAACCAGGGCTGGGCGTTGAGCTTTGTGGTTCCCGACGGCACCCCGACAGATGCAGTGCTGTCACGCAAGCTGCAGGGCAAGAAGAAGCTCACCGACGAGCAGATCCTGAAGCGAATCGAGAAGAAACAGACAGGTGGGTGCTGGCAACGAACGCGACAGCGATTTGACGGTCAGATGTGAGGAGGATGTGACAGCTGGGTCTCCCCTCGCCTCAATCGAGCGTGCGAGCGAGGGCCGAGCGATGCCCACGCTGTGTAGCAATGTCTTCGGATCCGCAGCGCTCTATCTGATAAGAGCCCATACGGTATTGAATGTGCCATCTGGTGATGTAGATCTCGGCCGCAGCTTTTCGGCGTTCAACTTTGACATGAGTCAGGTCGACGGGTTCCGATACCGCGTCGACGACGGTCTGAGAATGGTCACCCGGGTTGCCATCAAGGAAGCCCGAACCAAGGAGCTCAAGCAGGAGATCCTGAACTCGGAGAAGCTCAAGGTGGGTGCTGTGCGGATGCTTCGTGCGGATACAGGGGGTGTGCACGCCGTGTGCAGGGGGTGGTGTGAGCATTCCATGTCGGCGAAAGTGGTGCTGACGACCTCTCATGTCATGCCTTGCTTTGCCCAGGCGCACTTTGAGGACAACCCCAAGGATCTGCAAGCGCTCCGCCACGACCAACTGCTGCATCCCACCAAGGTGCAGGCACACATGAAGCACATTCCAGACTACCTGATGCCCAAGAAGGTCGTGGGCGTCAGCGCCGGTCGACGCAAGGAGGTCGGCAGCGTTCCGTTCAACATGCCGAACCGACGCAAGCGCGGCGAGCCGTACAGGGGCGGAAGAGGCAAGAAACCCGTGGGCAGCAGGAGCGGACATGGCGTTTCCGGCAAGAAGAAGGACCCTCTCAAGACGTTCAAGAAATAAAGACGCGGTGGTGGACGACATCGAGCACACTTGCAGCCAGCGATGGATGGGGCGAGGCAGGGACAGATGCGGCGCGGATGCTGATGGTTTGGAGCCGAGCTTGTGGCAGCGGACGTGGCGAGACCAGCACCCATTACAATGGCTGTCCATGGAGGGAGTGGGCAGAGTTGATTTGATATAGGAGGTGTGCCACTTTGACCGGGTCCTGAGAACGCTCCCATCCAGTATCTCGAGCGACTCGTTCGACCTGGCGCTGTCTTGATGTCGAGAAGTCATGGAACTGTCCAAGGGCCGAATGCACACAGCATCTCAAGCGGCACCCCAGGCAACAGGCAGGATCGAAGCGAGGGGCGCTCAGGGACAACTCTGCCCTGTTTCGCTGCGATCGTGCTGCTCAGAGTTGGTCGCCGTTGATTGGAAATCCACTCTCGCTGAAGCGGATGGACAGCACAGCGCCCACTCGGCAACCCGCGGTTGGTGCCACGAGTGCCTCCGGGACGCGCCAAGCCGTGTGCGACATTGCGCGTGTCGTGCGCCCGGGGCTGATGCGCGCCGACTGCCCGCGCCGCCCACGGCCCAATCACGAGGCGCCTGGGTCCGGTGGCTGCTGCGGACCCTTGTTGGAGCGGCAAAACGATTCAGCATGAATAGCCCCGTGACCGGTGGCAGCCGCGGTGGGGGGAACGCGGTTGAGACAATGGAGCCACACAGCACAGCACAACAACAGCACAACAACAGCAGCACAACAGCCCACAGGAACAGTCCTGCGCAGCACCCCTTGCCGCCCGTGTCCCGTGGCGACAAGACCTCCTGCCCGGCTTCAAATACGTCCGTTCCTGTCCCTGCGTCCCGCACCGTCGTCGTCTTCCATCCGGGTCTGCCCATCGCCCACTTCCGATCCACGGCGCCGACTGCATCCTCTCCTCTGTCGAGTCGCTGCCGAGTTGCCTCCACTCCAACCACCTCCCATCCTGCCGCTGCACTGTGCGATCCACCATGGGCCAGTCGTCCTCCAACTTGCACCCGACCACCTCCAAGGTCTCGACCTCGGGTCAAAACGCAGACTTCATCTTTGCCGCCTCGGCCATGCAGGGATGGCGAAAGAACATGGAGGACTACAACACCGCCCTGCTCGACATTGGCAACAGCACATCGTACTTTGGCGTCTACGATGGACACGGCGGGTACAAGGTCGCCAAATATGCCCACGAGCAGCTCCACCGACTCGTCTCTGGCTCGACCATGTTCCGACAAGGCCAGTTCTCGGCCGCCCTCAAATCGTCCTTTCTCGACTTTGACGAGTGGCTCAAGAATGGTGCGTCCTCTTTATCCATCCGCTTGTGCCTGAGCTCTGCATTTCCTCTCGATGGCGTGCATTGCACGCACTCCTCGGTGCCATCGGGTGCCATCGACCTGCTCTTCGTCGTCCAGACGATCGTCTGCAACCTGCGCTGACTCATCTTGGCTGCACTCCTCTCGATCGGCAAACCACTTGCTTGTCACCGTTTACCCCCCCCCACGGCTTAGCAGAAGGCAAGATGCTTATCCCTGGCGGTCCCGGAAGCACATCCAACGTCCTGCTCATCACCAAGGACTACCACGCATACTGTGCAAACATTGGTGACTGTCGGGCAGTCCTGTGCCGGAAGGGCGAGGCCGTAGCGCTGTCGCTCGACCACAAGCCCGGTAGCAAAGGTGAGTCTTTGGATTGCTGCCCAGAGCCAGCCCTGTCATCGACGACACATGCTGACCGGTCGCCCATCCTATGCGAGCAGGTGAAATCGACCGCATCCACAACGCCGGCGGATATGTCAAGAACGGCCGGGTGAACGGTAGGTGGTCCGCAGAGAGAATACTCGCATGTGCTCTCGGGCGTGCATCCGATCCCTCCTTCCCTTTTGCCTTGACTTTATCGGCAGCTTCGTTTCCCTGGCTCCAATCACGCTCTCTCCAAGCAGTATGGCGACGGGGGATCTCGCATCCCGGCCCAGCCGGCCCGCATTCTAACCTTGTGCGCTCTGTCGTCCCTGTGACCCCCGGCCCATTCCGTCGATCCAGGACGAACGGCCATATCCAGAGCCTTTGGCGACTTTGACTACAAGGTGTACCACGGCGACCTCCACGGCAACCCGGAAGAGTTCATCATCACCGCCAATCCGGATGTCTGCGACTGCCAACTGACTCTCGACGACGAGTTCATCATCTTGGCTTCGGATGGTGAGTGCCACCTTTCCCTCGCCCGCGGCTGTATCCAACCCACTCGGCCCCGTGGCCCTGTCTCGTGTCCCGCCCACCGTGGCTCCATGGTCATCGTGACGCACAGGCACAGCCCACTCGGTCTGGGATTGCATGCCCTGGTCGTCAGTGCCATCAATGCCATCGATGCTCTGGCTCGGCTTGCCAGTACGCTGACGCAGCTGGATCGTCCCCCAATCGCAGGCATTTGGGACGTGGTGTCCAATGACATGGCTGTCGCCTTCGTCCGCGAGCGGCTTGCCATCCACAACGGCGACTTGGTCAAGGCAGCAGACGACCTTCTGGATCGGTGTCTTTCGCAAACCAAGGGCCTGGTCGGCAGCGACAACATGACCGTCATTCTGGTCGGCCTGCTCATGGGCCGGACCACGGACGAGTGGCTGTCGCTGGTGACCCCTAATCTGCCGCGGATTCAGCTCAGCACAACATCTACCCTGGTCTGAGTCCAGCACCACCCGCTGTCGTCGATGCAGGCCTCCTGCCCCGATGTCTTTTGTTCTCTGCTCGACTGGAATGGACTGTGCTGCCCCTCCGCATCTTCCAGGGATGTCACCATGGTTGCCGGATCACGAGTCGATGTTTTGAATAGGTTCTATCCCCAGCCAGCCAACCTGGCGTCTCACCACCTGCACCACCTCTTTGGCTTGTCGGCGCTCGCGCCTGATTGCCTCGTTCTCTCAGGGCTGTCATTCGAGACACGCTGCGGGCCAATGATGCCGCAGGCTGTCCTTTCGGTAGTTCATTTGACCTTCCGGAACTTCGGCCCAGCTTCCCAAAATCGCATAGACCCGCTGCTGCCCTTTCCGCTCCCCTCGTGTATCGTCCGCCCTGCACCGTCTATTCCACCACCTCATGCTTCTATTTTGTTGTTGCTGCTGTTGTTGTTTTCATCTATATATTTATATCCCACACAAAGGTGAACCAGAACATCCTGCGTTTCTCTATCTCACAAAGTGACATGGGGCTTTTAGTGTTTGTCGCTCTCATCGCGGAAGGGAACATCCATATCCGTCGCTCCCGAGGATCATCCGTCCCAAGGATGGAGTTGGCGAACCACACTCCATCGCTCATAAAGATTCGCCAGCGAGAGACATGGGCTCCTCATCAGCCCAAGTTCATTTGGATCCATTCAGGCACAGCTACGGCGGCTCACTCCTTGTGTCGCTTCTCAGAACCCGAGCGACTCAACGGCGCCGGGCGCCTATCGTCATTGTCTGCGTCGTTGTGGTGATCCGACTCATCCGAGGCGACAGCTTCTTGCTTGCGCTTGCCCGTCGAGTCCTTGGCCGCGAAGAACTCAAACACCGAGTCGATGGCTGTGACCGTGGTGTATCCATGATCCTCGTGGCCAGCCGAGACGCAGGGACACTGGGCCATGAGCGAGGCCGGGGCAATCGGTGTGTCGAGCGGTCGTGAGGACCGGACCCAGTTCCGGGCATGCTGCATCGCAAGTCGAGATTAGCATGGCTCGGCAGTGAGCGACACCATCCATCCAGATGCACTCTCGGCATTGGAGTCCCATGGGCGAGGTTGACCACTTACGCTTTGGAACCAGCGGCTGAAATCCGGACTGTGCGATTCGAAGGATCGCAGCGAATGCACCGAATCAGTAAAGGCAATGGCACTGATTCTTGCTCGGATGTTGTTTGCTGGGTACAAGTTGAGGCAGGATTGAGTCGACATTGAGGCAGTATCCACCGAACCAATCGTTTCGAGACGAAGCCAAAGTTTGAGAAGCCATGACATGTCCGACAACGAGTTGATCCGTTAGATCTCATGCCCAAAGCTGGTTCAACTCTCATGCGCTGCATCCCGTTTCATGGGCAAGCTGCTGGCGACACTCACCTCCTTGGTGACTCGACACCAGTCTCGCGATGCAGTGGCCTCCAAACGAATGAGCAACCACAAAGATCTGAGCAGCCCTTGCACCCTTGATCAGCGAGTCAAAGACATATTCGACGTGCCGTTCGGGGCTCTCGCTGCCCCGGATGGGTCGGCGCTTGGTGCCGGGCAGTGCTCGGCCGATATTTTCGTTATTGTTGAGAACCATGATCTCGTAGCCTTCGGACTGCCCCTGCCGGACATAGTCAAAAACCGACCCTTTCTGCGACATCAGCAGCAGGAGGGAATAGCAGCACAAACGCCGTTAGGATAAGCGTCCACGACAGCCAGTCGAAAATGCGACAGGCAGATGTGCATTCTGATTGCTACCCACATTGATGTTGTCGTTCATGACGATCTTGCGTGCCCACTGACCGACCCGGATGTTGATACCAGGAATCAGAACGAGCAACTTCCCTGCGGCCGTCAGGGCGTTTGGGCTGATGAGGGAAGGCAATCACCGGCAGAACTCTGTGCATGAGGATGGAGGTTGTGTGCGCATATAGTACGGATGATGGAAGGAAAGCAGGCGGCTCGCAGGTAGATGATTCCTTTGGACAACATCGATCTGGCCGGATGTGATTTTGCCAAAGCCAGGGCCTCGTCGCATCGCTCTTGCCCGAGCTTCACTCCATCCCGAGCATATCTCGAACCTCATGAATATCTTGCTGGTTGGCTCGTTTGGGGTCGCATCCACGGGAACGATCTTGCGCAAGAGTCCAAGGGTCTCCACGAGCTGCTCCTCGATATAGGCCGCAACGGCATCTGGTGGGTAGGCAGGTGGAAGCGATGTTGCTGGATGAGAAACGCTCTCCAGAGTTCATCCGACCCTCGAGGTGACGAGGCGCCCAAGGGCTATCCTCCTGCTGGATTGGTTTGGATCTGCGTCCAGCGATGACCTCCTAGATACCAGAGCAAGAGTCAACGCACCGCCAACCGCCTCATAGTGTTCCTGGTTGCGCGCTGGGTTGTTGGAGATGTTGAATTCGAACGGCCGTCCTTTGGGAAGCGAATGGAGTATTGGGAACAGATGGAGTGTTGGGAACGGATGGAGTGTTGGGAACGGATGGAGTGTTGGGAACGGATGGAGAATATTGAACAAATTGGCGAAGATCTCTCGGCGGCGGCTCAACGATCGATGTCCTGAAGGCGGGAAGGAGGGGATTTTGCACCTGTTTTGATATTGCGGAGCTCGCCGGCGTCGTTGAAGTGATAGCCAAAGCCGCTCAGGGTCCGGGGTGGGCTCGAGGCGTCCGTCATTGGTCCGAGAGTCGCTGGGACGAGAGCGGGGAGGAGCAAGTTCAGGGAAGCGTGCGATGGGGCAGGAGAACAGCGGCAACCCCGAGATCGGAGCCAGCTGCGAATCGGATCGCGGCTCCATCGGGATGTGAGGAGTATAGGGTATGCCAGCCACCATGCCGTTTTTCAGAGACCTCGGTTCTGCCAGTGGACTTGGTGGGTTTGGACATCAGCATTTCGACCGATTGGAGGATATCGACTGGTTGAAGGATATCGGTGATTCGAGGGGCGGAACTATCCAAAGGATATCGACACACTCGAGCAGCTCGAGGTACAAGGCCATGATGCTGTCTGTGCATCGGCCATTCAGCTCACCATGTTGTTGGCTGCTGGCTGCTGGTCGTTGATGGATGTGCTCGCTGGTTCCGGGTCTGGCTCTGGACTGGCCGGGATGCTGTGCCCTTGCATCGAGGCATGTTTTCAGGAACGGCCATGCTCGGCCGGAGAGTGGCTGCCAGCATCGCCAATGGGTTATGGCCGACCTGGCTCTCGCTTTCATCCACCACCTGCTCCCACCAAGGTATATCCCACCAAGGTATATCCCACCAAAGTATATCCGGGCAGCATCATCGATCCCCTTGCTGGCCCAACTTGACGTTTCCCAACAAAGCCGTCCCTCGCACATCGCGCGGGAATCGCCCCTGGTCCCCGCCGACCAGGGGAGCCTCGAGTCCTGCGTTTATCTTGGCTGGTTCTGTCCCTTCCTGTTGCTCGCTATCCTTGCTTGTCTCTCAGCCTCCCTGGCCTCGCCGACACCGATCCGCACTCCAATCCTGCAGCATACAGCTCGCCTAGTACAACCAAGTGATCGATATCTGGAAGCAGCTCGGCCTCCCCAACAACCCTCTCATCGATGCCATCAACCAGGACGGCAGCAACACGATCCCTCCCTTCTTGGGTGGCATATCTCCATGACGGTTGCATCAGTCACGACTAAATCAATGCTGCAAGTACCCTCCTCGACAGTGGAGCCCTTGCTGTCGCCACCGATATCGGCCAGTCTACCGAGTCAGGTCGTCCAGAGGTTCTTGACATCCTCGAGGGACTGGACGAATCGCCTTGACCGACTTGGCCAGCATCGGCGGGTTTGTGTCTTCGCTAGTGCTGACTGAACCAGATTCAATGCCTTCATACACTCCCGATCGGCCATCCATCACGACGATAATCGGCTCGGGTCATACAGCACGATTTCAATTGGCGTTTCTGACAGACTCCCTTGAAGTCGCTTGAATTGATGTACCAGAGTTGCAGACATGCTTGTCAAGCGAGTCGATGGCTGGGTCGGTGCGAGAATTGGAGCGAGCAGCAGGTGGTAAGATCTGCAAGCAGACCAAGTTAGCCGGTATCAAGACTGAACTATGGCATCGCGAGCAACCAATTCGCCAGTCGACAAGAGACACCTCGCAAAGTACTGAAGCCGCAGGATGCCCGCACAGCCAAGTGTTTCGTGTTCCATCATATACCATGCTACCATCCGGCGGATTGCAGATCTGAGTCCGAGCCAGACCGAGATGCCACCCATCGCTGGAGCCGTGATCCGGTTAAGCACGATCTCTATCGAATCACGATCAGGTGCATTTATCGATGTATTCTGCGATTTGACTCGCTCGTGGTGATCGTTTCACTGTCCGACAGCCATCGCAGATGTCCCATTGGTGACAGTGAACATCGTCAGCTCAGCATCTCCCAAGGAGTGCCATTCTACTGGATAGACATTTGCGAGTCGATGGTGGGTGGGACCCATTCCAAGTCTTCAGCCTGCATCTCCGACTCGGCGCTCTGCCAATATTTCGACTCGATGCAAACCAAGATTTCCTCAAGCTTCTCTGCTTCTACGCTGTTGGATTGATCGCCTTCGAGCATCATTCTCACTGAGTCGTAGCGAGCCTTCATAACATCTAATATCTCCAGCTTCTGCTCGTCCACGACTTCGTGATTGTATGCTTGCAGCTTGATCTCTTCAAAGTCGGCGTTGTCCAAGAATGTCTCGTTTCTGATCACCACGGAGTGCTTGCGGATATAGACACTGCAGGCCGCCACTTCTTTGATCACTTCGGTCTCAGAGGCAGTGAGTCGAGTTAAATCTTCCCGGAGTCGCCTCAACTCCTCAGCTGCCGAGAGCAATTGATATGTTATCCCACCAATAATGACCTGTCCGATTGTCGTGGTCTTTGGTTTCTTGACATCAACAACAAATTTGACAGTTTCGCGATAAGAACTCGGGTGTCCACAACTCGGATGGGCTCCATCAGAGAACTGGGAATTATTGACATTTTCAAGAAATGCTTTGGTGGGTTGGCTAATTCGATGACGAATACCATTGACTTGAACTTCAGTGATACAATCAGGATGGGCGCAGATCTCTGTCCCGTTTGGGTAGTAGCTCGGCACATAGATATCTCGGCTTGTGTCAGCAATTTTTGCACCCTTCTTGCTTATCTGTTGAATCTTGATGTCGAGCTGGTCGATTTCCGCTTGCAACTCAGCCTTCATTCGGTGAAACTCAAGGAGCTTTGGTGTCAGCTGTTGAAGGCACGAACGCAGCTTTCTCATCCTGGCAGTCGGTCGAAGATCGTGCGGTTTCATATCTTGGACCCGCTTCATGAGTTGACGGACGGCCACCGATGACTTTCTCCATGAATATTGCAACAATTGGATGTTTTCATCAGTTTCGATCATCTGACGCTCGGCCAGAAGGTATCGATAGCTCTCGTTGTCAACCAAGAATGAATTGTGGTCATCGATTGGTATCTTGACACCAGACTGTGTCTCGATCTGCGCAAACAGACTCTGCAGAGCCGTCTTGGTCTCGCCCATCTGGAAGAACGTCGAGCGTGCCTTGGTGAAGACAAAGACGAGGTTTTCAACCACCTCTCGGTCAAAGTACTGCAGGAGCTCCAAGACGCAGAATCTCAGCCAAACCGTCAACTTGCGCTGGGAGGCCGGAACTATCATGACGATTCCGTGGATTTCGCCGATGCGGGTGATATGATCAACAATGTTGGTCATGTTCTTCTTGTCCTGGGCGATTCCTCTCGTGTCGCCCATGCCTGGGGTGTCGATCACCCGTATCTTGACCCGATGTTCATCGTCATTCTCAAAGTCGAAAAGATACGACTGAGGGAACTGGGTCGTGGACTGACCCTCGACATACTTTTCGTTGTCGCTGATGTCTGTGGTGACGTACAGAGCGATGGACAGTGAAGAGCAAGTGTCAGCATTTATCCAGTTCATGGTGTGTGGTGACCAGCCATACATTGAGCCCTGATCAACGCCGACGGGATCAACGTCTGTTCCAGATAAGATTGCATAAGCAGAGTTCCTGACAGGCCCGCTTCTGTGGGACTCTGTCAATGACAACACAGATGTAGATTGCGACACTCGCTTGTTTGATGGGCTTACTCTGTGCTGGGCTGCTCAAATGCAGGGTCGTGGATTTAACATCAACAACTTCGAAGGTATCCGGATCGACGAGTGAAAATTGAGCAGGAACAAGGTTGACGGGTCCCCCTGATGCAGAGGCTTGCTCCAGGCTCTCGTAGGTCAGATAGTTGGCGATGGCGTTGATGAGCGTCGACTTGCCCACACCAGTCTCGCCCAAGACCAGGATGGTGATGGGTTTGTTTGAGTCTGGAGGCGATTGGGTCTGCTCTGAGCGACCTGACGAGTAGAGTCGGGCATCATCCAGGAATGTTGCAGAGTAAGCATCGGGTGCGAGCACTCACGGATCTAACGGAATGAGTCGGCACTGGGGAAAGGGGGCGTGCTCAACTCTGGAAATCAAGCTGCAGTCGCCCTCACTGCATCTGCTGGCAGCACTTACCCGTGATGTCTTGGTCTTCTCTGCTTGGCATATTGGTAGTCATGCCGAAGAATGCGATGGCTGGCTCTGGCTGAGGAGGGGAGCGAGTTGGAGTTGGTATATCTACGGTGTCTCGCCCACTGCCCCAGAATCTTGCCCTCCACGTATCGGAGGGGCTGATTGTCCGTCCCTGGCTATGCTACCGTATGCGATCTGGACAAGCGGCATGCTTCGTCGGGAAGGGTATCAGCCAAGGGGGTCCTGCACGAACAGGGCGCAACCCATAATATTGCGCCACCGGATCGGCGCCAGGGATCCCGAAAACCTTGGCCGAGCCTTAGTTTGGGATGGCCGTCGCGATTGTAACATCACATGGCATCTGGCTGGCTCCTCATTTGGAAACCATAGGCCACGTGTTGGCGAGAAAATGGGGTTGTGCTCCCAGCGTGCTTTGGTTTGGGGCTGCGGGTGGTCATGCTGGCTTGCTGCCAGATACCCATCTGTCAGCCACCGGCTGCACGCAGTCGTGGGTATCCAAGAAAATACTCTCCCCCAAGCTCGCCAGTCGGTGACGCCATATCCAGAGGGGAATATCCAATTGGGTCCCTGATACCATTTCAATTCCGGTTGGTCCCGGAGGGAGACTGCAGCGGTGACGTCGGTCCTTTGGGCCCCTGATAAATAAGATGCGATCCCAGTGTCCCCCAGAGCCATCCCAAGCACCTTACTGGCACATCCAGGTTGATACGTGACCCTTGTCGCCTGTTGACTCAACCTCGATCTCGAGAATGTCATATACCTCCTCCGCCGGGAAGCCGACTGGCGCCAGCAAAGTCATCAACATCCTACTCCTGGGCGAGACTGGTGTGGGCAAGTCGACATTCATCAACGCCATCGCCAACTATCTGACCTATGAGACCCTCAATTTGGCTGCAAGTGGCAACAACGTGATTTCTCTCATACCAACCAAGTTCTGGCAAGACAAAGGCGTTGACGAATGGGTCGAGATCACTGAGAAACGCTTGAATGTCGAAGATGAAAACCGAGGTAAGTATCGAGAGAATCATCACCAAAAGTCACATCCACTGATATTCGGAGAGGAAACTGGCGCTGTCACAGCCTCAGCCTCCCTCAGGTTGATTTCTAACGTCGCGGTGTCATGGTCCGATTGTTGATGAAGCACGAGAGAACGAGGGTTTGAAACTAGGTCAATCTTCAACACGCAGCGCCTGCACCTATCGCTTCATCCACGATAATGGCGATCAATCTGTCGAAATCCGCATCATCGACACTCCAGGCATGGGCGACACTCGAGGCTTTTCTCAGGACAAGCAGAATGTCGACCACACCATCAATTACATTGCAAACTATCCCGAGATCCATGCGGTGCTGATCCTCCTCAGGTCCGATAGTGTCAAATTGAACACTTGGTTCCGCTACTGCATCCAGGAGCTCATCGGCAACCTTCACCGTGACTGTTTGAAAAATATGTACTTCATCTTCACGCACTCCAAACTCACCAATGGCAAGCTTGGCGAAGGTTTCCTCACGTTGAAATCATATTTAAAAGAACTGGAGCAGCAAGATTCGGTGGAGATTCCAATGAGCCGCTCAAATACTTTCGTAATCGATAACGAATCGTATCGATATCTGCTGGCAAAGGGAGATATTGTCTATGAAGATAGATATCGGAAGGGAATCGAGGAGTCTTGGAAGCTCGCTAGATCAACTGTATACAAGCTATTGGAACAAATATCGAACAAAACAACCCACGAAACAAAGCTGACTGTGATACTCTACAATTGTCGCCAGCTTGTGAACCGTAACTATAAAGTCTGGCTGCAGGCGCTGGCAAATGTCAGCGGAAATCTTCAAGGTATGGAGAAGGTTGCGGAGCAGATGAGCAAAGGAAAGATCGGCAACATGGACAAAATCCTCGAGTACACCATCTACACTCCGGTCAAGAGGGAGACTTGCGAGCGACCCCAGCTTGTCTGCACTGTTGCAGGTTGTTACAGGTACATCATCAATGAAGATGGGACAACATCAATCCGGTACAAGACGGATTGCCACAACCATTTGATGAAGCTTATCAAGAAAAAGGCGGACGCTCAAGCCAGTCAACAGTCTCAGGATGCGGGAAATGCAACCCAGCCAGAGCCGAGCTCCAGAGCTGGAGCCCAAGTGCACAGCCCATCGGCCGAGCCATCGTTGGATGAACTCCTTCCTGGCGAGCTACCATCGAGCTTGATTTTCTGGTACCCATCAATGAACAGTTGGGGATATTGCAAGGAATGCGGTCATTGGTTCATGTGGCACCAAAAATGCACAGTAAACTACACGTACGTGCAGAAGTGCGTGTTCAATGATGAACAAATGAAGCTGATCAAGAGCGAACAAAACAGTACAAAGCGAATCGATCTCATCAAGAAATCGTTTGCCAAGTCCAAAGACGATCTTTCGTCTGAAGCTGCTCACATCCGTCAATTGCTAGCCAAGATCGCGGTGACAATCGAGAAAGGCGGTATCATTTCGTATAACGATGCGTTTCTCAAATACATGGACGAGCTGATTACCTCGCAAGAGGGCTCTTTGATTCCCAGCAGTGTTGCTGGGGAAACAACACCCGAGGACAATCGAACATATCTTCTGCGGCAGAAGACCGAGTACGAAGAACAACGAAAGCTACTCTTGGAGATGAAGCAGGCTGTGGCCACAACAATCGAAAGTATTGAAGAGCTGATCAATCTCATTGACGAGCTGTCGCAGCTTCGATATATTGGCGACTATATCTCGGAACACACTATCAAGCTCGACATCAAGCCACCAACCTTCGAGACGACTCTGCATTACAGATAAACGACACGGCTTACTTCAAGGCGGAATCTTTTGTCAGATCGGCGTGTGAAGCCTGGAGCACCGATACTAAGCCAGCAATCACCCGCTCGACTTGGATCATCCGATAGTGTCGATATATTGGCCATTAATGATGTGACCAGACGGTGTCCAGGGGGCATGGGCAATGAAGCTGTCATCCAGGCAAACAAAGCCATTAAATGATCGAGCTGAAATCGATCAGTATACCACCGTCATCTGGTTCGATGTCGGGCACGGGATCAGGATTAGGGGCGGGTATCAGGTTCGGAGTCAGAGGTATTGTCAGAGTCGGAAAAACGAATGGACATTGTAAATCGGTAGATCAGAGGGAGGAAGTGTGAAAGTGAGAGGGAGAGACATGTGAAGTCCTGCGACAGACAGAAGGCAACCCTGTCAGGGTGGTCGAATGAAGAGGACACAATTGGGCCATTGGAATTGGACAGAGATCGAGTGGGGAATATGACGATCCCTGGACACGAGTGGATTGGGCGAAAGGAACTATCAGACTATACTGTCAATGCACTTGACACCGCGGTGATGGCCCACACAATGAATCGATCAGTGTTAATGGTACAGCACTGTTTGTATATTGGACGTATTGGATGTCTTGAATGTATTGAATGTCAAGTACAACACCACTCGGCGATTGCGGCCTTATTGGAGCCACCTTGCAAGCTTGGACGCTCGGGTTGCATGTTTAGAGGTGCGACCCTACCCTTGGGATGTATCAATCGGGAGGAGCTCGGGGATCAGGGCCACTTGCCGAGGGACTTGAGACAATTGATGGCCTCTTGGTCACCCTGATTTGCTGCCTTTCGATACCAGTAGACGGCTGTGTTGATCTTGGGGACACCATCGCCATTCTTGTAGCACGAGCCGAGATAATATTGGCCGTATCGATTGCCCAACTCAGCCGACTGACGAAGCCACTCGACTGCTTGGGCTTTATCCTCGGTAACCCCCTCTCCCCGGTGCAACAAATAACCAATCCCATACAATCCGTACGAGTTACCCTGGCTCGCTGCTTTACTATACCACTGGAAAGCTTCAAGTCTGTTCATCGACTTCCCCTTGCCTATGTAGAAGCAGCCTCCAAGCCAGACCTGGCTATCGCTGTGGCCTTCGTTGGCGAGTTGTTCAAAGGTTTCCGCTGCCTTCTTCCAGTTTTGAGTGGTACCGAATCCCCTGACATGGCAGAGAGAGGCAAGATGTCGACAGAGCCATTCACGGTCCGATCCAAGGTGGCAGAGATTGAAGAACATGCGCGCAGCGGGGGTGTTTGGTAAAGACCATTTGCCAACCACAAAGCACTGATCCTCATCAAGCTTGAACTCATCCGACTGGTTCTCTCGGATGAGCTTGATGCCTCTCGACTCGTCTCGCACGGTGCCCCGGCCGAGATAATGCATCCAGCCAAGCATTTGCTGGCTTACGGCGTGTTTCTTCTTTGCCAAATATCGGAAATCGTCAAATGTCCTGCGTTGGTTGTGGCGGGTACCCAATCCGTTGAAACGACATACCGTTGCCAGATGCTTACAAGGCCAAAGATAAGCGGATCTGGCATCGCATAATTTGAAGAATTCCTTCGCGGCTTCCGAAGTTGATTTGACTGGTATGCTTGGATCAATTGATCCAACCCCCAAGTTGAAGTCATCTGTTTTCGACTCGATAATGAGTTTATAGCCTTTGGGGATATCTGGATCGACTCCGAATCCATGGTAGTAGCACCAGCCCATCATCAATGTACTGATGGGCTTCATGACAGGATCCGACGAGATGTCGGAGACGGCTTGCCAGTCGTTCATCGCGGCTTCATATTTTTCTTCCGAAAGCAGCTCCCTTCAGGGTCGAGGTCGATACAGACGAGCTTTGGGTATTTGTAACTTTCGTCAGCTCGGGGGCGCTTCTTGGGCAAGGTCTCAGGGGTGGGTTGTGTGGTTGAGTCTGCGTGACTGGCGCCAGAGTGGCGAAACTCTCGGAGGTTTGTTTCGATTTTGACAAACTTCGGACGTTGCTCGGGTTGCTGATGCCAACAGCGCTCGATAAGCGCCCATATGTTCTCAGGTATACCATCGAACCGAGTGGGACGGTCGTTAGTGACAGCTCGCTGGAGAACTTCAAATGCGCTGATCGGTTCGTTGTCGCTCGAGGGCCATAAGGGACCGCAATCCTTGAGAACCAAGCACAGCAGCATGGCGTAGGCGTAAACATTGGAGGGCTCGACATTGTGATTCGGGCCATTCTGCGTGATGATTTCGGAGGCAATGAATGCTGGGGTGCCACTCATGGGAGCTCCAAATATCGCTGTGCCAATCAGCTCGACATTCTGCAGGTATACTCATGCTGCATCCGCTACAGGCATGTGTTTGGCAGAAAGTCAATCTCAACGGATTCAATCTCTCAGAGTCGTATTCTCAGACAGCAATTGCCCGTACCCACTGCGGCCGAATGGCGAGCACAGAGAGTATATTGTTGACCATTACATTCCACCGAGAAGATACCTCCATCGATCGATTGAGTTGGCCCGGTTCCAAGGAGTAGCCACTCCCCACAGCCCGCTGGTTTATTACCATTACACTTTCATTCTCTTGGTGTCGAATCCGCTGGAACTGCCGGAAGCGGTCGTCGAGTCGGGGAGGTGGCAGAACGTGGCGGTGTGGCTGTGCGTTCTGGGCCGTCCATGACTTCATTGCCAAGCGGACTGGATGGCTGGCTTGCAAAGCTTGGCTTGCTGGTTTCCTGAAGTCGCCGGATGGGGGAACTGAAGCGGCGGCCCTCTGATTCTGCCTCTCGTGTGGTGGCATCGACCGAGTGAATGACGCCTTCAACAGATGTTCGCGAGCAGGGATCGGACACCTGCGCTTCACTTAGGCTGGCGTTCTGGCCGCTTGAATTGGCGCTGTTGCGGATATGCTCCGCTTGACTTGCAGTGCTTGCAGTGCTTGGACGAGCGGCTGCGCTGCTCCGATGGCTCCCAGGCATCGCTGTGTCCACCGTAATTCCAGTGGCAGCCAAAGACCGAGCCGATTGTTGTTGTGGAGGAGGCGGGGGTGGTCTCGAGGGAGACTTGACAGCTCGGCTCTCGAGAGTTTCCTTCGAGGCATTGGAGCCTGGCACTTCTGGGTGAGTTGCGGCAGAATCGGTAGCTCCATGAACGGCCATAGCAGAGACAGTGAACGCGGAATCATGCACTGCAGTACTTGGAACAGCAGCCGGTGCCTCTGGAGTCGTGGTTGCTGTAGCTCGCCGATTCTCTGCCTCAGCTACTTCCTCCAGCTTCGACAAATGAGGGACCGAGCGTCGCGCTTGAAATCCAGTCAGAACCTGGGGAACAATGTTTGGAAAGCTACCGATGCGGCTTCGGGATATTGCCGGGCTCATTCGCGGATACTTGGTTTCCTCGACGGTATCGTTCCAGCGCACGTACATGGCTTGGACAGCGCCGCTGTATCCTGGAACAAAAGTCACCAGCAGCCGAGACTGCGAGAGCTCATTCCACTTCCAGTCTCTGTTCTCGTCAGTGTCGTCTGGAATGGAAAGTATAAAGATGTCGTGCACATGGTGCTCGAGAAAGCCGTGCAGACCCGGGCCCCAATGGAACTCGAGATTGCCCTCGGGATTGAGGAAGACGGAGACTCCGTGGCAAAACTCGGTGTTTTGGTAGAAGCCAATGTAGTCGACCAGCGGACGGATCAGCCGCAACGAGCTGCCTGATGCCCCGGGTGTCAGAATCGGCTGCGGTTCAAGGTAGTGCTCCAGCGTTGCCGCCTTGGCGAGCTTGGCCCTTTGCACATCCTTGAGCCGCTCTATCCACGGAGTAGACATGTCCCCGTCGATGATCCAGTCGACGACTTGGTTGCAGAGTGCCAGTGCCATCATCGACGGGCTCGTCGAAAGGACAATCACACCGCATCCTGCGATCGTCCATGTGCATATATTCGTCCGCGGGGTTGGTATTCGTCAGTGCCAGTAAAGTAACGATACTCGGCCTGTCCAATCGACCAGCACTGCCTATGCAAAGGAACAGCGCTCTGCCCGTGAATCTGGATCTTACCTTCATTCGGAAAGATGGCCATGCATGCTCTCCCGCTTCGGATGCCCACCCGATCCAGTCCTCGGTAGACACAGGTCTCCCAGCCCAGTCCCACGGCGGCTCCCTTCCATTCTGGAAAGTCGATAGCTTCGTCGCGAGGAATCACCCGCATCGGGCTCCAGAACTGCTGCAGGATCGAGCTGCTTATCAGCCACGCATCGTCATTCAGCTTTCCGCCATTGATCAGGAACAAGAGCCACTGGCCCATGTCCATGGCGGTGCTCGAGAGCGAATCAAAGTGTGGCGACCGGAGAAACCCAGCAGGCGTGCTGGCACCGGCGGCCGATCCGGCTGCATCGGTCTCGGGCTCCGGGGCATGCAGAGGCTTCTCTATCGCTAGCGCCGGGATCGATCCTCGCTTTGCATCGGGCCTGGATATCTTGATGCTTGGGGTGGTGTGGTGGAGCCCCAGAAGGGACAGTACCTGCTCGTGCACCAAGCACTCGATCCCCTTGCCATGGTACTGATGTCCGGCAAGCTTCTGAAGCAGCAGCATGCCAATATCCGAACGGCGTGGGAATGTATGGGGCAGATGCCCGACCACAGGCACACGATCCAGCGAAGCAACGACCTCATCTACACTCCTTCGGAGCATTGCAATGCGGAGCGGGTGGTGCTGGGGCAGCCCGCAGCTGTTGGATGCAAGCTGGCCGAGGGTGAGCCCTGTCATGGTGCTGGATCGAACTGGGAGCCGGGAATGCGGAGACCAGGCCTGCACCGGCAGATCAAACTGGATGGCAAAGGCACAAGTCAGCACAGATCAGCGCAAGCGCTTCGGCAGCATCGATCGTGCAATCTCATGCATATTGGGCGGATCTTACCTCTTCGCCACTGCTCTCGAGCAGGCGGGCCAGCGCAACGGTCACGAACGAGTCCGTCAGACACCCAATGTCAAAGGTTGAAATGTATTCGTCGACCGGGAGCGGAGCACAGCTGCCTGAGGGGTCGTCTTGGGAGCCGTAGCCTTTGCACAGCGTCAGGGCCGGAGACTTGCCATCCGTTCGCTCGACAACAGCAACGGCACATCCTTTAACACCAAAAGCCGACAGGGCATCTGGCACCAGGGCGGCCAGGTGCTCGGCGAGAGCGGGTCGGGAGCGGGTCGGATGTGGATCCATGCAGTACTTGGAGATTGTCTTTGAGGGCCGCCAGAGCCTGCTTGATCGTCAAGCTGTCGAAGCAGGGCGATGAAGACGAGAAAGACTGCACTCGGGTCGAGGGCCAGACCCAAGACGGCCATCCCACTTGCTTCCCGCAACCGTCCCGCCTCGCCCGCTGCCGCCGGGGATCGTTCTCCTCCGCTCGCGCCCTTGGAGCTCCAGGGTCCACGGAGGCTGTTGTTCCAGGCCGCCGAGGCCCGAACGACACAGCGCAACTGCTTGGCGAGGTGCACTTGGATCCGCAAAGAGCCTCCCGTCGGCAGCAGGCTATCACTATCAATCATTGAGCTCCTGCACGCTTCGGAGTGCTTGGCCATCACGGTCGTAGCACTGTTCATCGCCGTGAATCTGGCGGTCGTCTGCTGGGTCGTCTCGGGCAGAAGCACAGGCCCACGATGCTGCACACGTATCCAGGGAAGGTGAGTGCGTCGTCTGCAGTCGACCGGGGGCAGAGAGAGAATGCGGTATCGGCTCTATTGGCAGTACTAAACTCTCGTTTCTCACCATGCACCAGCACGCCGCCCACCCAGACCACAGCCGATGGTGGCAGCAGAGGCTCATTCGTACGGTCATCATCAGAACCAAAAGCTGAGGCTGAAGCTCCTCGTCAGCGACCGGACGTAATGCCACCATCCATGCTAAGGACAGAGGCCGAGCAGTAGATTGCCCGACGCGAACACATCGACAATCATCGAATCGCAAGCGGACGGGAGCCGAGTGGGAAACCGAACGGAAATTGAATGGAAATCAGATGGGATATGAAGTGAGGGGCCTCCTGCCTGGGAAAGCCGACTTAGACGCATGTACGCTTACCGGAATAAAAAGCAGATCGCCAGGACCAACGATGCATTCGACGTATTCGGCATTGGCAAACAGGGGATGGGCACCAAGATCTGGGCTCTCGATATCCACCTGAGACACAAGTGCAGTGCCATTGCGACAAGACCGTGGATGGCAGGCCACGCATGAGGAGGCACATTCTGACGATCAGCAATCGGCCGAATCGCACACACCACCGCAGCCAACGATGCTTACTTGGCTCGTGTTCGACATTTTGCTGGCTTCGCCGAATGCGTAGAGCGAGGGCGACTCGTTGGGCGAATACAGTCGGAGGTATTTGATGCCCACAACCTGCACGAATATGTTGTTTTTCGGATCGGTGTGCAGAGGCGAGCGAGTATCGCGAGGACCAAACCATGCGTTGATGGTAACGTGGCTGTCGATGCCGCTGTCGCTGTCGCTGTCCTCAGCCAGATCCGAGTCTGCCTCGCTGTCGGCGGCGGCTTCGACAAAGCAGTAGTCCGGAATGGCAATGTCGTTGGCAAGTGCGGGGAACTGCTCGAGCAGATTGTGCTGTGCCATATACCCGATCTCTCTGGCTGCAGGACTCGCTGATCCCGACGGCGATCCCAATGCCGATTCGTCGTCCGAGCCGAGGACGTACTGATCGACAAACTCACCAAAGCGCATGAGCTCCGGCCGCCACGATGGATCGGTGTAGCTGCGGCCGATCTCAACCGGGACTGTGCGATTGTTGCCGACGGCCCGACGCAGATAGCCGAGGTTGGACCAGGGCCTCGAGGAAAGCGCCGGCCAGAACGAAGCAGCTCCGCGGACAACGAAGGGCGTCGGCAAGGGATTCGACAGGTGGCCGGAGAACCAGTGCAGACTTGGAGGAGTCGAAAATTCGGCTGCAGAAAAGCGGATATGGGGTGCATCGAAGGATGTGTCGGTATCCGGGGTCGGTGCTGCAGCTCCACCAGGGAGGACAGTGCGGGTTGGATCGGGGAGACGACCAGTGTCTTGACAATCGCTGGAGAGAATCGTAATCCATTCCGCGAGAAAGCCCTTGAGTATCGGGGCGCCGGAGATGATATGAGCAACGTCTAGCACCCTGAGGGCCTCGAGCTGACAGTCAACAGCGTTGCCTGGGTCTGGGTCTGGGTCTGGGATAGAGGTGGAGCCGCGGCAAAGGCTTTGCTTCAGAACTAGCATGGCCTTGACGGACGAAGCCAGCACGTACAGTTCCCTCAGGCGGCGATGTTCTGGTGAAGACGATGGATGATGGACGAGACTGTTGTGGGCTTTCGAAAGCATCTCGGTTGTGTCGAAGATGGCGCCGGACACATCCTCCTCGGCAGGCTTGTCGAGCTTCAGGACAGAGATGCCCCTGTGGAGGGTGTCGATGTGTGGCGAGTCTATGCGAACGATGCCAAACGATGCAAACGGTTGGAAACAGCTCCGATCTCATGTCGGCGGGCAGAGCGACAAGACAGTCCCTGGGTGGGAGGTGAATGCTGCTGATGGGCGGATGCTATCGATGGTGCCCACCATGAAAGCCGGAGATGATCTCCTCGAGGTGTTCGGCAGCCGAATCGAGTTTGGCAGCCCAGTCCGCGGGCATGCCTGCAGGCCGATGGATGTGAGTGCGGCGAGAGGGTGTGCGGGCGGGCGAGATGAGGCAAAAGCATGGCGATCTGGGCCAGATGCGCCTGGGAGCGGACACATGAGCATGATGGCATGTTCAAGCGGAGCGGGGAGCCCCACTCGCCTCCGAGAACATTGTATTCAGATAGTTTGCAAATCCCTCGGCCACCTTCTCCATATCCAGCTGGGTGTGCATCTTGTTGAGGCCCTGAAACTGTCGTCGCAGCCGCCGCAGCTCCGAGAGAGTGACTCCCTTGCTGGAGATGTGGACCTTGACCTTGGTCTTGGGCACCACCACATCCCCGCCGAACCAGCCGCCTTTCTGCGCCTCCAGCAGGGCATTGACGATCTCCTGGGTGGTCTTGTCCATCTCGTACAGGTAGTTGGTCTCGGTCGATGGTTTGACGACCGTCGACAGATTCGGCTGGGGCGGTCGTCGCAGCACAACAGCGTCGATGATGTCGGGGCCGAAGCGCTCGGTGAAGCTATCCGAGGCCAGCACTGTGAACAGCGGGGCGTCCCATCGGTTGCGGGCATCGGGCTCTTCGAACCGACTGCACAGATCTTCGAAGAGCGCTGGATCGTAGGAATCGGCTTCGCGGGCGTTGTTCCAGCTGTCGGCCTGCTCCTTGGAGACGGCACAATGGACCTGTTCGGAATCCAATTGATTCGGCAGCACTGTCGGTCAGCATCGAAACCGCAGGATGGGCCTATGTAGCCGATGGAGGGCTGCAACTCGATCGGCCCACCGACCCCACTTTCATTTGCCCGGCGAATGCCTCGAGAATCCGTCCGAGGCCATGCTGCACTTACGGCGCAATGCGGGGTGCCCAGTGCCCGCGCGACACAATAGAGCTGGTATCGGAAGCCCTTGATGTAGTTCATGCCATCGCAGATCACAATGTCCTCCTTGGTCAAGTGGCGCTCGATCGCCGACATGAGAGCGCCGCGTGTCTTTTTCTCCTCTGTGGCGGCTGATGGAGCGACTGAGCTGTTAGCAGACGACATCAGGGCATCGCCGGGACCGCATTCATTGAGATAGTGCGTTGATTTGCCCGTGCAGCAGAGCCTCGGCCGCACACCCTTGCCGCTCTCCATGATGGATCGTCCAGGATGTGCCTGCACTGACAGCGACGGGCTGCAATACCCACACTGGTAGGCCTCGTTCCGCACGAGCCCAAAGCTATTGTCGTTGAACAGCAGCACCTTGGGCCGCATCTTGGGGATCTCGGTGTTGCGCTTGGGATGCGCCGGTGTCTGGAACTGCTCGGGCAGCACACCGTCATTGGCGGCAAGATCGGCCAGGAAGCGCTCGAGATAGCTTTGCAGCTCGAGCGCCCTTGTTGTCTTTCCGCTCGACGGATAGCCGCAGAAGATGACCAGAGGCATGGCGTGAGTCGTTGCTGCCGATGCAGGGTGTTGGGAGACTTGGACGATCGACTTGGATGATCGACTTGGACGATCGACTTGGATGATCGACTTGGATGATCGACTTGGATGATCGACTTGGATGATCGACTCGGACAATCGACTAGGAGGAATTGCGAGTGATATGAACAACGGGCGAGAAGCAAGCGAGGAGCGAGCGAGCCCGACTCGCGTCTCGCTGGACTGGCCGTGGCGCATGTCGCGTGACATCCACATGACCGCCAGGTCGTCCATCCGCACCTCCCCGTCTGCGCTCCACAGACGTGTCTCCTTGCACCGAGATCGACCAGCAGCCACCCCGTCCCAACACACGCCATGATCGAAAACCTGTCCGATCACCAGAAGCAAGTCCTCGGCGAGTTCCAGGTGCGCGGCGCATGCGCTCGGTCGACCACGCGGCTCTCCCACTGATCATCTGGTCCTTGCTCTGCGTCCAATGGTGCCAATGTCGGCATGCCGCCGCTCTCCACCAGTCGCTCACCGGGATTCAAGATCCAAATGAGGCGGCCACTCTCCTGGAAGGCAACAACTGGAGGATCGAGGTGGGAGACCATGCCATTCACATTGTCCAATGGCACCCTCAGAGCACGATGTCGGCGGCGGGATGTGCCCTGTCAATGATGGCTCTGATCCAGCCGCTAACGCTGGTACAAATGCAGGGTCTTCTCGACTTTTCGGAACCAAATGACTCGCCTTCGGAAGCGAATGCTCAAACATCTTCACGATCGTCCCCCCAGCGCGACCGAGGCGTGAGTGTCCTGCTTCTTGCGGCCGCGCTCCATAGCCAGCCCCTGCAGCATCGCTTGGAGGAGATTCGATTCGGTTGCTGATCATTATCACGACTCCGGCTGCGGTTGCGTGCAGCAATGGTCGCTGTTCGGAGTGGTGACGGCTCCCATCAAGTATGGCTTCCAGCTGCTCTACTCGGTCACTGTGTTTATCGGTATGTCTCGGGCTGGCTGCTCCTTCCTGTGGGATGGAAGGAGCTTTCATAGGATCCATCCGTGGCCGACATCGAGAACCCTGCTCGGCCGAGGGGTCGTGGGCCAAGCAGAGGATCCTGCAGTCGCTGATTTTGAACGAAATCCCCTTCGTGTCTCTTTTTTTCCTCCTTACCATCAGTCTCCCTGTTCTCGTTCCTGCTCTCGTTCCTCTATCCCGGAACTCCTGGGAGGCTAGGTTCGTCTCGGCGAGCCGCACCCAACAACAACGACCCACAGGCAGCCTCGGCCCGCTTCCTGCTCAACTTTGAGCAAAAGTACGGCTCGGTGCATCCGCCGTTTTTCCAGGGAACGTACACCCAGGCACTCGAAACGGCCAAGCGGGAGCTGCGGTACCTGTTGGTCCTCTTGCATTCCGAGGAACACGACGACACCGAGGCTTTCAACCGGTAAGGCCGCCGTCAATGGCCTAGATATCTGCTTCATCTGCATCCTCTGCCAACAAGGGCGGCTCCATGCGACCCGCTCTGGCGATGCACCGCTTCCCGCTGACTGTCCTGTGTCCCGCTGATCCACATCCCGTCGTCCGGTTGTGCATGACCGGACACATCTATACACCTCGCTCGCACCGCCGCAGACAAGTACTCTCCTCTGATGTCATGACCGAGTTTCTCACCAGCCGGCGCTTTATTTTCTGGGCCGGAGATATTCGCGAATCCGAGGCATTCCAAGGTGCGTCTGCTTGCAAGAAGCGGTCTGGAGGTGCGCTTGCCATCAGCGTGCTAACCGTGCCGTTCCTGGACAGTGAGCAACGTTCTATCGGCCACGACATATCCATTTCTGGCCCTGATTGCGCTGCAAGGAACCCAAATGGTTGTTGTGGATCGAGTGGAGGGTAAGGGCCCGCGGACGCTCAATCGTCAGCGCAAAACAAGCCATCGGCAACAGCAAGTCGTGCAGTGTCCAAGGCGACGACCCCGCTGCCTGCGGGATTGTCGCCTGAACTTCAGGGCCTTTGTGGCCTCCCATGGATCAACAGGAGTTGCTCACGCATCTGCTAACCACTCGAACCTTGCCTCCCCCTTAGGACTGACGACGTCGGACGAGATCATCCGTATTCTGGAGCGACACCTGGGTCGGCTGGACGCCCAGCTGGCTGCCGCGCGGATGGAAAGGTACGTTGCAGATCAAATGCTCTCCCTCAATCGTCGTGCAGCAGTAGCAGCAGCCTTTGCGAGACACCGTGTTCCTTTCTGATTTGCCATGTTCGTCGGCGGCCGCTCGGGAACATCCGCTCCACTTATCCATCCAGGGAGCGACGCGAGCAGTCCCGGTCGATTCGTGCGCATCAGGACTCTGCCTATGAGGCATCTCTGCGCGCTGACCGCGAAAAGGTAAAGCACCGCACTGATTAGGCAGAGACCCCGATACACTGCCCGCGCTGGACTCTGGACAACGGTGGCCGCGTATGGCGTATGATGCCGACTGACGTACGACAGCCCAAAAGCCGACCCCCTAACTTGCCTCTCGCAAACAGGAGCAAAGAGCCAGAGAAGAGCGCGAGCGACAGCGCAGAGAACTGGAGGAACAGGAGCGCGAGGCAAGGCGGAAGCAGGAAATGATCGAGGTGAGTAGTGGGCTTCGTATGCGGGATCGCGCGCGACATCGTGTTCGCCATCGTATGCAGTATCGTATCCAGTATCACATGCGGTGTCGTATGCGGTGTCGTATGCGGTGTCGTATGCGGTGTCGTATGCGGTATCGTTCATCGCTGAAGCTCGAGCGTTTCGCTTTGATCCCCGTCATCTGCAACACATCCGGCTGGACTCGTTAGGAAAAGCGGCGCAGGATCCAGACGCTCCGGGAAAACTTTCCTTCCGAGCCAGAGGGCAGCGGCAGAGATGTCGCCAAGATCAGCATGCGCTTGCCCAATGGCGAGCGTCTTATCAGGCGCTTCCTTCCCACAGACAAGGTCCAGGTATGTCGGCGTGAGCGACCATAGACCCGCTGCGTTGCACTCATTATGTCTCCACAGCCATTCGACCCACTGACCACCGCTCCTGGTGTCATGCCCATTTGTCTGGTGCATATGCTGTCGTTCTCTGCCTCCGATCCAGCTGCTCTACGACTTTGTATCGATCCAAAACCTGGAGCCCATTCCCGAAGACAGCACCTTCATTATCGCCAGCACATTCCCGCGACGGGTACTGGAGGACATGGATATGACCCTGGCCGAGGCCCAGCTGACCCCCAACGGCAGCGTCGCTGTCGAGGAAAAGTAGAAGCCCAAGCAGCTGCCACATGCGCCGTTCTTGGGCGAGCCGCACGATCTGAGGGATTGGATTCATGGTGGTTGGTTTGAAGGAGGAGATCTCGCCCGAAACTACCCTCCTCCCCCTTACCGGACCAGGCAGCGAAATGAACACACTACACTTTACTCGGGCGGAAATGGGACACTTGCCCACAACCCATATGCCAGCATAGTCTGTGATGGCATGCATCCAACTATGCCATAAGAAATACACCAGATCGCTTTGGCCGCCTCCGAGTGAAGACCGCCGGTCGCTCTCCGGTCTCCACAATCGACTTGCACACTGGTCTCGGAGTGCCAGCGGTGAATGGTGCTCTTGGGCACAGGCAACGTCTCTCAGGCTATGAATGATGGCATTGCACCGCACCACAGAATGGTCATGGCCAGCGCGTGACGATATTGGGTAACAAAATACTTGATCAATGGTCATAATCAAGGTCCCGTTTTTAAAGGATCGCCTGTAATGGACCGCATTGTATTGGTTTAAATGATACAGAACGATCTATATGGGCAGGCCAGGCTGGTGGCAGAGCCTCGAAAGCCAGCGGTGCATGCATTTCCGACGAGCTTTGTCTGTTTGTGGGCTCAGATCGACACCCATCTGTAAGGCAATCTCAGTGACAGAGCCAAACACACTTCACCCCCAATATTCATATCCTTGGCCCGATTATTGTTTTTTACTTGGTCTTCTTGGCCTTGGCGTTGGCCTTGGGGATCTTTTGTCGCGAGTCGCGGCCGATGGAGCCCGACCAGAAGACAACGAACAGAGTCGCAGCCAAGCCGACGACGACGGACGACACAACGGCGGCATAGGAGCGCTTGACGGAGGCAAAGGCGGCACTGGCCAGGAAGCTGTCCTTGCCGCTATCCTCCTGAGCCAGGTACAGTAGGATGTTGGCGGTCTCGCTGATGCCAAAGAAGGCCGAGCCAAAGGGAATCAAGTTCAGGGTCTGAGCGACGCCGGGGAGCTTGGCGTACTTGCAGAACTTTGCGATGATGACCGACGAGGCAACAGCCAGGGAGAGGGCATAGCTAACGTGCACAAAAGGCACGACCGAGACGCAGACAAAATAGAATGAGAAAGAAAAGGAGTGAGTGAGTGAGCGAGTGGAGGATCCGTGAGCAAACATGGCCGACACAGATCTCGACCGAGTCGAGACCCTGACGCGAGTGCTTTCAAGCGATCGATCGGCAGTGCTTCACGAGCAGCGCTGACGAGAGCGCGATGCAATCTCCTCTTGGCGACACCCATCGGGCTCCGACCAACGAGCACGATCGCTCTGCCGATGCTCTGCCGATGCAGCCAGGCCGACGACTCACACGAGGTTGATTCCCAGGAGGACCTTGTAGAGAGTGACATCGTTCTGGGAGTACGAGCCAAGGGCGGCCTTGAGATCGGCAACGGTGTAGGAAGCAAAGTACTGCTGGAACGAGACGGGAATGGCGTAGGGCTCGGGGTGCTGCTCCGACACAATCAGCTTGGAGATCCGCACGACCGCCGAGAGCGACAGACCAAAGATGGCCGAGGCGATGGTGAAGGACTTGAGGTTGGCGATGGAGGAAAAGCCGGAGGCCAGGGACGACATGGCGACGGATGGGATGATGGGTGGGAGTACGAAGGGCGGGGACAGAGGGGCAGATCGAGGGGCGATCGGGTTTGTGCGGGACCGAAATCTTGCGAGGACGATGGCGGCGAGGGAAGGAGGAGGGGAGAGCCAGGCCAGCGAGTTTTTGGTGGAGGCCCCCAAAAGCACAAAAATGGCTGGTCGCTGAAAAGGGAATGGACGTGGCACAACAGGACGGAAACGGATGCGGCCGAAACACGGACAGCAGCGAGGGTGGGATCGCTCAGGGGGAGCCTGGGAAAGATGTCGTCAACCCGATCGCTGAGTGCAGGGCGGTTGCGGGTGCGATTGCGGGTGCGAATGCGACTGCGGAGACCAGGGGGGCGATCGGCGATCGTCACTCGGAGGCAGCTTTGATTGCAAGCTATATTTTCGGATTTGGGTCAGCCCGAGAGGCACCGAGTCGTTCAGAGTGCCACTCGGAGGCGGCAGCGTCATCTACATCCCAGCGACTGCAGCACCGTCGCTGGTCGTCCTGCGGACACGGAATCACATCCCGATGCCGTAGAGCGGGTTGCGGGCCTCCGGGGGAGGTTGGTAGCGAGGGTAAGAGCCTGCCCAAGCGACGGGCGGGTCAGTGTCAACGATGCAGTCCATTCTGGAGTAGTGCCAACGAACATGCTTCGCTCCGGATCAACTGCAGCGACAACGGATAGCCCATACCGAGGATTCGGATGCTCAGGGCAAACTCCTCAATGTTCTTCAGCGCCTTGATCACCTTCTCGTCGGCGGTGGAGCCGTCAAAGTCGATGTACTGCAGCCAGAGTGCGCCGCGAGACCAACAGGGTTCAGTTGCTGCATCCCCGAGTGCCCTGTGACAGCAATTCAACAGCATCGACAGCGCAACAGCATCACCGCCAGAGCAGCAGAGACAATCTCGGCACACTCACCAGCACGTACTCCCAGGGCTTGGCAAGCTTGATGGAACGGGTCGAAGGGCGAGACTCGACCTTGCAGATGCTGTTGGCCGAGTCTCTCCGTCAGCCCACAGGCTCAATCTCACACCGATGGACACTGTCCATGTCCCCATCGCAGGCGATCCCGCACTTACTTGATATCGCGCAGTGCAAAACAGGACAGCGTCTTGAAGATCGCACCGCACTGATTCTTCAGCACAATCGAAATGCTTGTTCGTGGATCCATGTGACGCTCTGGTATGACGCTTGCACGGGCAATAACTACATAGCGCATGATGGTGTTGTCGTCGTCCTCGATGCCTTCGGTGATCACTTCGAGTCCATAGATAGCGGCTGCCCTGGCGCTGGCAATTGCAGCGCTGTCGAGGGGGAGGGATGCAGTTTAGGCAAGGGGCCACCAGCAGCGACAGCATCTATGATAGCCTCTGGCGATGAAGGGGGGACAGATCGCCATCGTTCTGCCATTGCAGCCACTTCAACAAATCAATACCTGTGGAGACTGCCAGAGCTGGCAACCCAGGCAGCGCTGCCGGCCGTGTCCATCTCCTGGCTGACTGCGACCCGCTGCTGCAGCTTGCTTATGAAGCGGCGACACTGGTCGATGGCATATGGATGCGACTTGATCTCGGTGATGGTCTCAAGAGAGGCACCAGGCACACCAACAAGACTGGACGGAATGAATGCAAGGGAGACCCACAAGTCGGGCGACCATCCCAGTCAGTGTGGATCTATCAAGCTGATCGGCCATCCCGGCGACACAGCCGGTCGGTAAGCTGCTCCACAGCTGTGTCGCTCCAGCAGCGACATCGATATGCAGCTTATCCTTCCTCAGCCGGCATCCTGACTGGCTCCAACGCACACCGCTCGTCCGATAGCCCGACGCCCTCATGCCTTACCAGTGCTTCTCGTGATAGCAATATTCTCCAACAATGTACACGGAATACTGGTGCAGCAGATCATAGTTGTAGTGGAACGTCCCTGTGCTGGAGTTTTCTATGGGAACGACGCCGTAGGTCACAGCCTCGCTCTGGACTGCGTCAAACACCTGGAGACAGCGGGGGGGGGAAATCAAAGCAAATGCAAGAGCGGTTAGCGAGCCTGCACCGCTGTCAGGGTGAATGGATCCGCAGCATCGGCCCTGTCGGCGACAGCAAGTCGATATACGATGGCTATGGTGTGCAGAAACAGGGCATCTGCAGGTGGTGCTGACGCACATCGGCAAAGGAAGGGTAGCCACAGGTCTCAAAGTTGGACGAGCGCAGCGTCGGGTCGGTGGAGAAGAGCTCTTCGACGGCACCCTCGGAATAGGCGCCTTTCTGGCCCTGAAATGCAATGCGGATAGGTTGGGCGGCCATGCTGGATCGACTGAGATGTCCGGGAGGAGACGGAGGAGGAGGAAACAGGACCGGCTGCGTTCCTGATCGGCACCAGAGGGGGCTGGTGGCGGCAGCACGTGGAGAATGCAGGGGTCCTGGAGTGAATCATGATGGCGCTGTCAAGGCGCTGGGAGGTGATGCGTGAGATGCGATGCGCGAGATGGATCGCCAGTTTGATGCCGAACATGACCGGACTGGACAGACTCGGGGACAAGAGTGGGCAAGAGTGGGCAGCAGGTGCGACTCATGACCAGACATTGGGAGCATCACTCGGAGCGTATCCCACAACTGTGTCGGGCCATGCAAAATATGGATATCACTATCAATTTTTTCCGGCACCTCGCGGCTGCTCATCTCGAATATGAATACACGCTGTAGACCAAGATGCAGCAAAAGTTGGAATCCGGCCATGGTCGGTTGACGGCATTTGGTATTACCTTGAGCCGATTGACGGTGGTGGTGGGCAATTGGTGTGGAGGAATGACCAATTGTATCATTGTTGGAAGCTCCACTCCGATTGCGGACAAGAACCACCACCGTCTGAATCTCTCTGGTTGGAAACCTAGTCAAGCGTGGCTGTGTGTCAGCGAGATGGCATGATCGTTTGGCTATCAGGCAAGACTCACCTTGACAAGATGTCTTCCCACGACTGATTGAGCGAGCGATGCGTTTCTGGATCTGAATCAAGGACGCCACTGCACAGTATCACTGCCAGCCCAAAATGCGCTGGTTTTGAGGAGATTCCTTCTTCCCCAAGGGCAGAACCAGCCATCGTCGCTATTTTCTCGCCAGATGACTCCCAAGAGAAAGACACCCCCCGACCCCGACCCGGGATCACCCAATGACTCTCATGTGGCCAAGAAACCAGCCATCAAAGCATGCCCCTCCTGTGGATTGACCAACCACGTCAGACCCTTCACCAAGAAGTGCACAGCCAGAGTCGACAGCAGCCCTGCCTCTGGCTCTGCCTCGGTCGCTGAAATGGTCAGCCAAGCACCCAAGGTCCCTGTATGTGCCACGTGCGGGGAAGAGGGTCATGCCAGAAGCAACAGCTCGTTGTGTACCAAGAAGAACCCACTCTGGAGCTCTACCTTGCCTGGCTGTGGCCCAAACGAGTATGCCAAGGCCGAGTACTCCACCGTCAAGTGCACCCTCGACGCCATCATCAAGAACGATGCCTTGCACGACAAGATCGAGGAGACTGTCCGGGCCATGACACACGTGCAGTACGAAGCATCTCGTCTCCTGGAGCTGCATCTCAGGCGGTGCTTGGACGAGGGCATCACTCTCCCCACCGTGTCGTCGAGTGAACCCGCGTTTGTTCGAAAGTGCTTCAATATGGTGCAGACAGGAACAGTGAGTGTCAGGACAAACACCCCAGAAGATGACAGGCACATCCTCGACACATATGGCATGTATCGAAGTACATGGGGAAAGTCGTGTATCCTGCCTCCAGTGTCCCTCCCAAAGGGTACTGGGTCACAGGTCCTTGGTTTGGCTGTCAAGACCTATGCTGTCAACTGCGAGACCCACGTTCTCGATCGGTATTGGTCCCTTCTACGCCGATACTGCAATTTGGTCCTGGTTGCTCCCAAGGGTGTGAAACGGCGCACACACGTCGATGAGTGCATGAAGCTGATGGAGAACCCCCTCTCCAAGACACTCCTCGTTGATCTGAGAAAATCCTTCGCCCACCATGCCGACCAGTTGTATGAGTTTCGGTACGAAAGCCACCAGGACCTGTATCGAGTTGTATCGAAACTGGCCAGTGAAGTCTCTCGGCTGACCCACCTGAAGGAGGCCCTCTTCATGGTGGTCTTTCAGAAGATGATCATTCCCAGGCTCGCGAGGGTGACCGATGTTCTAAAAGGAGAGCGTGGGCGACTGAACGAGGAAATGTGTCGCGCCATCGAACGTAGGCAGTCGGATCAATACAACGCACTCCAGACCCAGCACGAGGAGGTGTGCAAGCAGATCGCTGTGAACATGAAACGGATCAAGCGCCTCACCGACCGGCTTGCCCAGACCAAGAAGCGCCTCAACATCCCTCGAGCACAGTGCACATTGGTCCCGCTCTGCGATGCCCGAGCCAAGTATGTCAAGCTCGACACCACAGCACTGTGGGAGATCCTTGGATACCAGACTGGCACTGGACTCAAGTGGGGCGACCTGAAGACCAAGGTCAACGACACCACAAAGCAAGAGACCTTCTGGCAGACCAACTTCAAGCTGGATCCGAGACTCTTTGGTGCCAGGGAGAAGGGGAAGCAGCTCTTTGGCTGCGAGATCACCACCGATGGAGTCGGGTGCTCGATCACCACGCTCAGATACAAGATCCTGGAGAAGAAGGATCCTGATGCCAAACCAAAATCCACGGACAAGGACGACAAGACACCCAAGCTCACCCCCGAGAAGAAGATCCAGACCAGAGTCGGTCCCATTGACGACTCTCGGACCACATGGATCGGGATCGACCCTGGTGTGGGATCGATCTTCACCGCTGTCATTCGGGCACCCGGTCAACCATCCATCCAGGAGCAAGACGGTGTCAAGGTGACCAAGGCACAGCGTGCCAACGAGAAGATCGTGTCGTTCTCCAACAAGGAGTACCAGCATCGAACTGGCACCACCCAAGCGACCAAGTGGATCCAGAGCACCCACAGATCCTTGGTCTGCAGGAATGGATGAGCACCACACCAAGTCCCAAGATCCCTGGGTTGGCTCCCTTCCTGCAATACATTCGCCATGTGTTCGATGGAGACATGCTGGACAAGCAGCTGTACTTCAGCCTGACCCGGCGACGGCGATTCAAGCGACTCGATCTCCACAGCAAGCGACAGCGCACCGTCCACGAGATGTGCAAGCAAGTCATTGACCAGGCACCAAAGGAGACCGAAGTGGTGATTGCCTTTGGGAATGTTTCGTGGAAACAGGGGAAGGGATACGCATCCAGTCCCAGGAGACTCAGGTTTGCCAAGTACTTTGAGCAGTTCCACCACCACCAGAGACGACCACCAGACCGACCCGTCTCCAAGATCCATGTGTGCTCGGTGAACGAGTTCAACACATCCCAGGTGTGCTCACATTGTCGGGAAGCCAAGCGACTCGAGAAGGTCGAGCATCTTGATATCGAGAAACCACACTTTGTCCGGAGCTGTGCAAGCTGCCATACGCTGTGGGATCGAGACATCAATGCCTCAAGGAACATGATCTCGGTATGCCAGTCGATCGTCGCCACAGGGGATCGACCGAGTGTATTCAAGACTGTGCTTCCCAAACCAACCAAAAACAAAGAGATTGCCAACGAAGACAGGAGTGCAATGCCATGGCCTACCCGCTGGGCCTACAAGTCAGTCAGTGGGCTTCAGACATCTGAAGCCAGAAAGTGACTGTCCGTTTCTTTCTGGATAGACTGTAAGTATCTCGCACTGTTGTGCATTTTGACAGTGGATGCCGGGTCGCCCATATTCTGGGCAGTCCACTTCGGGGTTGCCATCCCTCTTGGGATGGTCGATGAGAGGTGTTTGACTCCCTTGCAAAGTGTGTGTGTGTGTGTGTGTGTGTGTGTGTGTGTGTGTGTGTGTGTGTGTGTGTGTGTGTGTGACGGCGAGAGGCTTCTCGCCTTCCCTCGGGGGTCTCTCGCCAGAGACTGCTCTTCTCGCCGACCGAGGTGGCTCCGAGAGCGCGTTTTTTCGTTCTCGCTCATTTTTTTAACATGAAATTTTTTCATAGTGTCAGGTAGAAAAATGCACCGATAGACACAGTGATAGCACTGACTAACGCCCAGTGTGGCGACTGTGAAGCAGCCGATGGCATGTCCAGAGCTGCCCATAGCATCATGCGAGCGCATCAGACGGCTCGTCTCTTGGACAGTGGTATCGCGTCGTCCTTGAGAAGACGATTCTGTTGAGGAGATGAGCAGGTGAGACTGTGGAGCGTCACGATCATCGCACGCTCGGGCTCTTGTGGCTCGGGTCTGTGCATGAGTGCCGATGCTGAACACACCTTTTCGCTTGCCGGAATGGATCTTGGCGGCAGAAGCGAGGCGCTGGATCGGATCGGTGTGTCGGAGAACCTTTGGCGCACATACACATGCGTTAGCTCACTCGTCAGGCGCATCGAATGAGGCGCCTTCGGGAAGAATCCAAGCTGGATTCTCAGAGCCTAAAAAAGGTCCACGCTGGGTTGGGTTGCGTTGGGTTGGGCGGGGGTTTGGGCAAATCAGCCTCTTGCTTACTTTTTCTGAGTCTCCCGTTTGAGCTTGCCGATGGCGCTCTCCTTCACTTCTGCAGAGGCAACGACATTTCAACAGAGTGGTATCGAGAAACGAAATCAGTCAAACAAACGTCGATACGCTTGCACAGGCCCGCGGGCTGGTGATGTGCAGACCGGGAGCTAAAGCGACTTCAGGTGCAACAGTCCAGTCTGATAGGTCGGCTGGACCAAAGAACTTACTATATGGGGACCCTCCCCATGACCGCCGCTGGATCAGTGGCGGATTCTTGATGACCTGCACCTTCTTTGAGTCGCGCACTTGCTCCAGCTCGCGGTTACGCTTTTGAAGCCGCTGCCCAAAGGCCGCCATCTTGGCTTCGTACTCTGCGGTCTTGGCCTGCGTGCATCCGGTTGCAGCGCAGCAATGTGTGGGTGCAGTCCAGAGTGGTGTGGAGAAAGGTGAGTACCCAGAAGCCAATGAAAGCACAGTGCACATGAACGCCAGCTGCGTGAGTAGATGCAACGGTGGGCTGGTGTTCGAGTGATGAAAGCTGTGCCACGGACGGTCGGATGCAATGAGATTCACAGACGGATCAAGGCCGATAGATCCGGGCGGCCGCTCGCTTTGGAAACGCACCTTGTAGAGCTCCCTCCAGCTCGTGCCTTCCAAGACCCGGCCGACGCCGAACTTTTTGAGGACGTGCGGTCTCCACAGCTCTGTTTGTTTTGAAGAAGACCATCGTTAGTGAGCAGAACCAGGGACCCGGATTTGAGCGAAAGTGGCGCTGCTTAGATGCAGTAGTGTTGGCTGTAGCTTGCTTGCAACGGGCGGGACGCACCATCGGTTTCCGCGACGATATGCTAGTGTGATTTCGAACCAGCCAAGAGTAGCATTGGATGATCAGGGTCAGTGGCGACCCATGTCTCTGCTGTGTTCCTGCACTCAGGGTAGCGACCGCATGAAAAAATCACAGAAAGAGCGTCATTGCCATTGCATCCTGATGAAGACTTACCGGATTGATCTGCTCCAGATATTGGAGCTGGACACACCCAGACACAATGAATGAGATATGCACGAGGCGCTGGTCAGCATAGGAACGGAGAAGCATCGGCTGATGCAGATCGCAAAGCAGTCGCTGTGGCGGTCTCCGGCATAGTGTGGCGACACAGGCAAGTGGGGTCGGCAGGAAGGTGCTGCCGAAGCAAACCGCCTCGACAGCATGCGCAGATGCCGCCGAGTCTGTGAATGCTTGCCTGTTCACACGTCGCCTTTGAGAGTATCGGGATAACGAGGCGGTTGGGCAGGGCCTCCAGGTCGGAGAGGGCTGCGAAGGAGTTGGTTCGGCGTCGGTGTGATTGCGGTTGTGGTGGCGATTGTTGTTGCAGCGGTGTTGGTGGTAGTCGGGTAATGAGACAGGTGGGATGTGACAGCCAAGACAATCGATGGGCCAAGCGAGCAGAGGCAGTGGTTAAGGGTGGGCGAAGAGCGTGGACGCTCAGGAGACATCCGCTCGAGCCTGGACTGCTCCTTCCATATGTCCCAAACGAAACCCGCATCGACGGCGCCGTTGCTGTAGCAAACGCAATCCGGACGACAGCCCGCTCGCCAGCCGCAGCAGAGGCCAGAGAATCGCAGCCCGACCATCGATGTGCCCTTGGAGTCTCCTCTGGCACAGCTGGACCAAGCTCGGAGGGGGCATGCGGATGCGACTTGGCTGGGTGGATGGGCAGGGACGGGCTTGGTGGTGCTGGGGAGAGACGACGAGAGGCGAGTTGGTGGATGTTCGACTGATTCTTGGGCATGCCGAGAAGCGTCTCGCCTGCGAGATCGGGCCGAGGGACAGCGAGGACGAACGACAACCCCCTGGAACAGCCAACTGCCATCATTCGTGCTATGTGGTCTTGTGAGTACATGCTCTGAGGGCTCATCTTTTATTACTCATTCCCGACCACAGCCACATCGACCAGGCTCTACTGCTGTTTGAGGAGCTGCTGCTTCTGCAGCTCCGTCGGGATCTTTGGGACCTTCTTGATGATGCGGGGCTTGCGTTGGGATTCCTGGGCACCCGAAGCCGACCCCGAGGCCGACCCCGAGGTGGCATCGCTCTTTTCGCTTCCGGCGGGTGTCCTTCGCGATCGAGTGCGGCTCTGGGCAGCGGGGGGTTCGGCCGGCGCAGAGACAGGCTCCGGGGAGTCTGGGGTTGGCGACGAGCGAGACGGTGCGGGCCGGCTGCCTTCTCCAAACGGCAGCTTGCCCAGCTCCTCCAGCCGCTGGACAGTCGCTTCGTTGAGCTTACCGTCACGCTTGAGCAAAAGCAGCGTCTCAGTATCCAGATCCTCGATCTTGACAGCACGCTTCTGCATGGCCGATCCGTAACGAGCCGTCAGATCAACCTGGGCGACCTCGTCGTCCTGGAGGCCTGCCGAGGCAGCATTGTGGATTCGCCTTCTCTTGGCTGCAGCGGAGGCATGGCCACCAGACATACGGAACCAGGGTCAGAGACAGTCCGCGATCGACAGTAGCAGTAGCATTAGCAGTAGCAGCAGCAGCAGAGGAAGGGTGTGTCGATACGGAATGAGTGCGGATCGACAAGCCTACGTTCTCTGTTGCGGATCCGCCAGTACGCAAATGCGACCAGGACCACAAAGACAAAGGAGCCGAGAACCGAGAGGGCTTCCAGACTGATGCCGATGCTGCCGGTGGATGGGGCCTGTCGGGTGCCAGCACGGCCTGCCGTCGAGCTCGCTCTCGCAGAAGGCTTGGGCTTGGAAGTCGAGGGCATATCGGTCGCGGGCCAGACGAGGACTGAAGCAACAGCCCCCATCTGATTCAGGCGAGCAGGCCAAATCGGGCAAGCGAACGAGCGAACAAGCGAGCAATCCATGCGGCAGACGGCTTCTCCAGCGTCCTCGCCCCAGGCCATCGACTGTCCGCCGCAGAGGCCCGCTGAAGGAGCAGCGGTGCAAAAAAAAAAGGGTGCTATGCTAGCATGTATTGTGGAAAGGTCGGTGCGGGCAGCCATAGATGCCAAGGCCAGCAGTCACATTCGACGCAATCCCGCCGAAACAGCGCCGTCAGTGAATCGCACAGGTGGATGGGCTGGCGTGGGAAAGTCGCAGATCCAGGCGACTCCTGCCGCCAACAAAAACCGCACTAGGCGCTCTGCTTCTTTTGAGCGATTTCGGCATCAAACACGATCGGGTCCCGAGGAGAGGGGCCGCCAAAGGACTTGTCCTTGGGCGATTCGGTGACAGGGAGAGGAAGTCCCTGCTGGGCCTTTTGCAGATTCTTGGCATGGGAATAGATGATGCCGGCCGTGAACGCTGTAGCGGGGCAGCATTGGTCGACAATCGATCGACACGTCGAGAGATGCCGGCCAAGGGAGGGTTGCGTCGAAGAGGGTCAGACATACGCCGCGCAAAGCGCTGGTCGGCAAGTGCTCTGGTTCTGGTTCTGGTATAGATGGCGAACACATCCCACGACAGCATCGGCTCCCACCAACGAGGACACATTGCCAGATCGCACCGGATGATCAGCAGCAGGTCTCCTGGAGCCCCGCGGCAGCACGCTCGTTGCCCAGCACTTACCAATGAGGACACCAAGGACGCCAGGGACGGTAACTGCATCGTCAAAGAAGATCATGCCGGCAATCGCAATCGGAAGCTTGTTGAGGGCACCCACCATACTGGAGGGAAGCAAACGAATCTCTACATTAATACCCTGCCGATAGATCCCGTTGCGACGATCAGCACCACGCCGCAGCCCGCATGGCTCACCTGTAGGTTGTGGAGGACGTCACTCGGACACACCAGCTGCTGCCGTAACTGATGGCAAACCCGCTGATGCCAGAGATGGCGAGGGCGATGGCGAGGCCCTGGAACTCGGACTGCCGCGAGGCATCCAGATCATCGCCCCAGTATCGATCGACGGTCTTGCGGTACTCGTTGCCCTCGGTCAGGAACGACATCACAACGAGGATCGGGATGGAGAGCAGGTTGTTGTAGAAGACCGTGTCGTTGTCCTTGAAGCCAACCTCCTTGATCTTGCCTCGCATCATGAGGGCGTAGAAGGCCGTCGTGAGGCAGTTGGAGACCATCCATCCGTACGCAACAAAGTTGCTCGCCTCGACCTTGGCCTGTGCCTTGCCGCTGGCAATATCAGACGCCCCTGCAGACAGCCAGAATCGAGGGGTCGTTGGTCGTTGGTCGTTGGTCGTGCGAATCCGGGCGATCCACAAGAGCGCACATCGGTCGCCCGGAACGGCGAATGGCGCATCGGATGCTGCTTCTCCCGATACGATCGAAGGGAGCAACATGAGCCTGCAGCGGCCCAACGAGTGGCTCGCCGGGCTGCTCTCGGCCGTTCTGCTGCATCATTGCCGACGGGGCCCGAGATGCGCACTTACCAGCAATGACCGAGGACATGACCATCATGATGAACGACAGGAGCATCAGCTTGGTAATGCGCGAGCCGTTGAACCACATCAGCTCGCCATAGGCGATCAGGATGATGGTGAGGTTCTTGAAGATGGTGAAGAGCGGGATGGACATGTACTGGAGAGCCTTTGAGCCGGTGTAGATCATGGCGACGAGAGCCAGCGAGACCACAAACCACTTCTTGGCCTCCTCGACCTTGAAAGCCCGGTGGGACGACCACTTGAGGGCGACAAACAGCTCCAGAATAATCACGCAGACGATCGATTGGATTGCCAGCACCAGGAAGTTCATGTTGAACCTGTAGGACGACAGGACGACCTTGTTGGTGACGGTCATGAGGATCGACGAGCCGCAGTAGGCCAGGATGGCCGCGGGGGCGCCGGTCAGAAAGCTGGTGGTGACCGTCATGGCTGGGCGTGCGGGAATCGGCGACAGCGACGGTGATGGCGACGGTGATGGCGATGGTGACGACGACGGAGGATAAAGAAGGCAAGAGGAAAATGCCGCCTGGACGGAGCGAGGAGCGGGCGAGAGCCGAGGGGCAGCCGAGAGCGTTCTCGCCAGCCGCACCGAGGCGAGCGGCAATTGGCGGGGAGGCGCGCAACCCGCTCTTTGTGCGAGCACACTCCGCCTTTGGCTGGGGCAAGCCATCGCAATCCATTGCAGCCAGGGATTCAGCACAGCCGAGAATACAGCACAGCCAGGAATGCGCTTCAGCCAGGAATCCACGCAGGCAGCGATGCATCACACCGCAGCCGAGCTCTACTCGCTCGCAGACGAGCGTTCGTTCGCCGCGGATGATGCAATTGGCCGGCCAGGCGAACGACTGCTCCACTTCCCACCGAATCGGCGCGACGGCTTGCAGATCAAGGCACCTTGCTCGCCTGGGGGTGGAGTCGGTGTCCAGGCCGCCGGGGACCACCGTTGGCGGGAGCCTGTCTTGTCCCGCATCCAGGGATCCCGCCGCTGGGTTCTTGTGTGCATCTCCAACTACTGTGCATCGTCCGTGCAATGAATTTGTTACTCCGGGTGTATTCGATTCATGCACACAGACGTTCCGTCGTATGGGGCTGCTCTGACGGACATAGTAATCAGCATGATCTCTATCGGAAGCACAGGAACAGACCCGTCGTCTGTGTTGAGTGATGCACAAGCTCCCGCATGGCTGCTAGTGGTGGATGCATATGAAGCTGGAGCTGTAATTGATGCAGATGCTGGGTCGCAGCGTCTTAACCCCGGCCACGTATGCAATGGCCAGCGGGTGCGGCTGGAACGATTTCGGAATGTGCAGGAACCTGAGCTCTGGGTAGAGCACGAGGGTGGCGGGGTCAAGTTCTTCAAAGCACGATTGCGTCGGCGGAAGCGCCAGCATCTGAAGCACCGGCATGTCCCGCGACATCTTGGCAAGCGTTGCCAACTGCTTGCAATTGGACATATTGAGGAACTTGAGTGACGGCAACGACGCCGTCATGCCCTCGGCCGTCTCCAACGATTCCGGGAAATCAAGGCTCTGCAGCGCCGCGAGTCCCGGAGTCATGCCAGTGAGGGTCTTGAGCTCACGGCAGCCGTACATGTTGAGAAGCACAAGTGCATCCATTGACTCGGGCATCCCCTCGAGACTTTGCAGTCCGGGCGGAAAGGACAGCCGCTGCAGCATCGGGAGGCTGCGTGGCAACCCAGCGAGCGATCGGAGATGCTGGCACTTGGACATATCCAGGGTCACCAGCGCGTTCATGGACTCGAATGACCGACCAAAGCATTCCAATGACGGCGGGAGCGTCAATGTTTCGAGACCTGAATCGAGTGCCAGACCCTCGACCGTCTTGAGACTCTCACACTCCAGCAGGTGGAGATGCCGCAGCGCTGGCATGGCACCCGTTATGCCCACCAGTGTGTCCAGAGAGGGCGGAGGCCAGAATTCAGCCAGGCCGGGCATCCGGGGCACAGAGCTCCAGATCCAAGGGTGTCGTTGGGTGAGATCCGGCTCGACAACCTTCATCTCGACAACGTCAGGCAGCTCCTCGGGCCACCCCGAGACCGATGAAAACGTGCAACCATAGAGACAGAGGTTGCGTCCCCGGAGAACCTGGAGGTGATATCGCTCGTGCGGCAGTAGGCGGGTCAACTCGTCGTCCTGGAGGAGTGGACTGTGTGGGAAACGAAAGACAAAGACGGGAAAGTCGGTCTGGCGGAGGGCATCGCCGATGGTATGAGCGCTGTCGATGAGTCTGAAGCGATCATGGTCCCGGAGACGATCAGCCGACGCGTTCTTGATGAAGAGCGAGCCGAGCAGATCGCTGGGATACTCGACAATCTTTCCGGCTGCAGCACAGTAGGCTCGTATATGTTCGTGGAGGGTTTTGCTGAAGCAAATTTCTTGCCAGAGAGCAATTTCTTTCTGGTGAGCTGCCCCGGTTTGTGCGTAAAGCGGATCGCGGCGGTGGGTGTAGCAGTACAGCCCCTGGAGCACAGCAAGTCGATCGATGGTCGGGCCAACGTCCTTGAATGTCGCTGCCGGAAGACGCAGCAGGCGCGAAAGGAGCCGATTCCAAACAAGATGGTGATTGAAGAATGCCCGGGATGGTCTCGACATCTGGCCGAGCCGGCTGAGCGTGAGCACATCGATGCTGTCGATGAAGGCGTCGGCGGTGGAGAGAATGATGATCATATCGTGTCCAGGCACAGACACCGGAACATCAGAGACAATCATCGTGGGTGTTCTGCAACGGATGATCAGGACAAGACAGCAAGCGTTGTCGGCATCCAGGGCGATCGAGGGTGCTGATATGCACGGATCAGAGCCATGACCCCCCTCGTTTCCCGCCATCAATGCCTATTCGACCGTTAGCCCACCAATTCGAAGAGCCCGCACTTCAGGACGCAGGCAGCGGAAGCTCCCGCCACTACTTTGTACGCACTTGTGCGGGCACGAGCGACGGGCAAGGGTGATCATGTTGTGCATGCATCGTCGTCGCCCGCGGTGCCGTGGGAAAGCTCTTGGGACGACGGATTGCATTCATACTGCCGCACGACGCTGGTACGCATGCCGGGACTAGAATCCGTGAATACTGGGACGCCAATATGCTAGTTTGACTCATATACAGCTTGTTCAGAACGAAACGGGACGGCGCCCCAGGGTGTCCCTCAAAGTGATTTGTATCCTCTGGCGAGCACGCCGTGCGATTGCTTCCTGTCCTGGTTGGTAGTCGCTCTGATTCGTTGGTTTGGGAAGCGTCGTCTTGAATACACCCAGTCGATCTCCCGCGGTGATCGATTGGTGCTGATATCGGCATGCGGGACTGTAGTCCATGCCTTGAACCATCTGGACAGCTTCATGGTTTCTCGATGTCAAGCTGGTCGGGTGGCTCGATTAATTTGGCGTCGAGGCACTGCGAACATGCTGCTTGGTCATGGTGGATGTATTCAGAGACCAGAAAACCCGGAATCCCTGATTCAAAAACAGAGTGTCCCATTTTGTTTCGGGAAAGAGCTACATCCGGCGTTGCAGCAGAAGGAGTCGCGGCATATCGACGTGTCTCAGTTTCGGAAATCTACCGAGATCGAACCCCTCAAGGCTATTAAGAAACCGGGGAAGCCGAAACCTCGACAAATGGGCCATGTTCTCCGGTAAACCATCCAAGTGGGCCAGCCTGGTACACTTAGACAGATCGAGACTTTCAAGCTTGTTGAGCGAACGGGGCAGGCCATGCAGGCTCTCGATCGAAGCCGGCACGAGCAGCGTCTCTAGCTTCGGCAGAGCCCCGGGCAGCCCCACCAGGCTGGTCACCAAGGTGGACTGGTCCATGATGAGAGTCACGAGAGATTCCATAGATTGGGGCATATCTTCGAGGTTTCGGATCGTGGGTGGAAGCGCCAAGGACTCAAGCCCAGGCAACTCTGTCGGGAGTCCGGCCAGATTGCTGAGATTCCAGCACTGGGAAAGGTCCAGTGCCCGGAGAGATTTCATGAACTGAGGAAGCCCTTGCAGGGTTTCAAGAGATGGCGGCAGCGTCAGCTCCTTGAGCTTGGGCATGCGAGCGGGCAAGCCTTCGAGGCTCACCAGCTTCGTGCAGTTGCAGAGCTTGAGAGCGGTGAGGGACATTAACGGTTGAGGCATCGTTTGGAGAGATTCGATAGAGCAGGGCAGCGAGAGCTCCGCCACCAGGAGGTCGGGAGGCAGCTCGTTCCAGTCCCAGCTGAGCTTTGCTGTTGAAGACTCCTCAATCGAGAGGCTAATGATGCGGGACGGCGTGGCCCAGTCCATAACGATCGAAGGTGTGCAGTTGTAGAGCATCAATCGGAGCTTGGTTGACCTCTCCAGGTGGAATCGCTCATGGGGCAGCAGCTCGGTCAACTGGCTGTCGAGCAGGAAAGGATGATGCCTGGATCGCAGCATCACAAACCGATTGCACTCGAACAGGCACGGATCATGCAGAATATATGCACTGTCGAGGAAACGAAACTCTTCGGCGCTCGTGAGGAGTTTCGGAGGCTGGCGGTGCCGACTGATGAGCGCCACCAGATCCCAAGGATATTCAAGCATCTTGTTCCGCAGGCCGCAGTAGTCCCGAATGCGAGAGCGAAGCATGTTGGATTTGTAGACCTCCCACCAAAGCTTGAGCTCCTTCTGGTGAGCGGCGGGCGATCGAGGGGAGTGCGGCGTCTGCCGGTTGATGTAGCAAAACAGGCCCTGCAGAGCAATCTTGCGATCGACCGAGGGATCGAGGCCGGCAAACAGGCTCTGGGTGATGCCAAGGAGTGGATTGAGGACGCATGCCCAGACCGAATGACAATCGAGGATGCGTCGGTGGTATTTGGAGGCTCGGATCAGCCTTGAAAGCGTCTTGGGGCTGAGGTTTGCGACAAAGGTGTCGTTGGTGATCAGGATGGTCAAGATGTCGTGCTTTTCCAGAGCAGAGAACAAACTTGGCGGGGCACAGCTGGCGGTGTGGTTGTTGGCTGGGCCAAGGGTTCTGCGGATCTTTGAGGGAGGCGACGTCATGGATGCCGGCGATGGGGTGCGAAAGTGGTTTGCAAAGGCTGCACAGCCAAAGCCGAGGCAAAGGCCAAAAGAAACGGTCAGCGGGCATGTTTGCAGCTGGTTCTACCACCAAGCCCCGGCGACAGCGCATACCTGGGTCAGGATGGGGGTGGTTTCGGCCAGGGCGGTGGTGATGGCGATCGATGTTGGGTTGAGGGGCAAGCCGGGAGCTATTTGTGAGCCGATGGCGCCAATCCGGGTCTGGAAACCTCCAGCGAACCGCAGGGTGGGATGGCCAGGGCGGGATGGCCAGGGGGTGACAGCCAGGAGGATATGACCACTTGGGCATATAAAGGTGGCCCGCGGCTTGGACGGGCGATCTGAAGGTATGTGGACAATCGATAGACGAAAATAGAATATATTGGATGTAATGGATACCAAATAGAACATCACTCGGCTTTGCTGCTTCATCGATAACCGCTGTTTACTACCCATGGGTCTGGGATGGTTGTTGGTTGGGTTGCTTGGCTACTTGAATGTTCAGTGCTGCAACTTGGTTGTTCGGAGGTGGCACTCGTGCAGAACTGGGGATCAGGGCCACTTGCCGAGCATTTTGAGTTGGTTGATGGCATCTTGCCATCCCTGGTCGGCGGACCTGCGATACCAAAAGGCGGCGGTTTCAATGTCTTCGGGGACACCATGCCCATTCTTGTAGCAGTCACCGAGATGATATTGTCCATATCGATTTCCCTGTTCGGCAGACTCGCGATACCACTCGGCTGCCTTGGCGTAGTCCTGGGTGACTCCGTTTCCATAGAAGTAGCAGCAACCAACCATATACTGCCCATACGAATGACCTTGGTCAGCCGACTTGCTGTACCACTCGAATCCCTTCTCGCAGCTCTTTGATACACCCTGGTCATAGTAGAAACTTCCGATCCAGTACTGGCTGTCGCTGTGGCCTTCGTTGGCGAGCTGCTCAAAGATACTCGCTGCCTTCTCCTGGTCCTTCAAAGTGCCGAATCCACAAGTCAGACACAGAGCCATGAGATGTCTGCAAAGCCATTCACGGTCTGATCCCAGCAGGCATAGATTGAAGAACTTGCGGGATGCGGGTGAGTTGGATGAGGCTACGTAACCAATCAGGACACCCTCCTCGAGCTCGAACCCATCAGGCTTGTTCTCTCGGATGATCTCGACACCTTTCTGCTCGTCTCGCTCGGTGCCCCGGCCAAAGTAGTGCATCCAGCCAAGCATGTGGGTGGCGATGGGCTTGATGACTGGGTTGGTAGAGTGGGTGCTGACTTGCTGCCAGTGGTTGAAGGCGTCGACATCGCTCTGTTCGACACCATGAACGATGAACGAGAACCAGCCACGGAGGAACACCATGTGGAGTCGACCATCGTCACTGCCTTGGTTTGCAGCCTTGGAATACCACCCAATGGCTGTCGTGTAATCTTGATCGACACCTTCGCCATTCTCATAGCATCGGCCGAGAGCGATTTGGGCCTGAAGGATTCCACGTTCAGCAAGACTGCGATAGAGCTCGGCGGCCTTGGTGTGATCCTGGTTGGTTCCAACTCCGCTGCGATAACACTCGGCCAGTTGGAACTGGGCCATAAAATGATCGGCTTCGGCGGCTTTCTCCATCCGGTAGAAGATTTCTTGCTGGATAGCCACCCGTTCGGAGGGGCCCACAGACCGCCATCCATACAGAGAGAAGCTCGCTTTCCATGCCAGGAGATACGATGCTGCGGCGTTGCCCTTATCGGCTTGGTCTTCGAGTCAGGATCGGTTGGCTGTCTTTTGATCGTCGCAGTGCAGCGAGAGGGCAATCTGGTCGCTCGGTGTGAGGCTTATCAGCATCTGTCCATTGAACTGGCACAGCCCCTCCTCCAGACACCAGATATAGAAGCGATCTAGCTTGGAGCTCAGGAGGGGCTCGGCACGCCTGCACACTCGAAGGAGGGTCTTGACGGTGTTGTGGTCGAGTGCGAGTTGGAAGCTCTCGTTGCAACAGATGATGGTGAAGATATCTGGGTTGTGTTCGAGGGAGAGTTTGGCGATATCGGGCATCGACGAGGCTGTTCTGGCTTCAGCTTGGCTATGGTGAGTGGCAGGTGATGCTGTGGTTGATGCTGGCTCGTTGATGCTGGCCATGTTGACGGAGACAGGGAGGGAAGATGAGGGAAGCGAACGAAACTGGCGAGGTCGTTCGCATTCCCGATGGCCTTCTCTCCACCCCCAACCCAACACCGCCAATCACCGGCGGCCAGCGGTCGTCTGCCGTCTTCGGTGGCCATCAACATCCATCCACCATGCTTTCGACCCTGCCAGCAAGCTCGTCATTCATTCAGGCAGCTCTTTGGTTCGCCCCGTTCTCGACAGCGACATTCCTGATCGGCCATTGACAATGACAGCGCCGATCGCACCTTAACCCTCCTGGACCAGGATTGTGATCGCAGAGAGCACCAAAGATCGAGGTAGAGACCCGGTCGTCCGGGCCATCCCCTCGTCACCGGATCGCTCGAACAAGACACCAGCCAAAGCCCACCTGGCGAGCTGTATTTCCCCGCCGCGCATGGTGCCTCCTTGCCTTTGCTCATCTCTATCGGCAATCTCGCTCGATTCCGATTTGCTTCCCTCGTATCTGCTGGTTCCTTCCTCAAAGCACCCAATGTCATCGTCGTTTACATGTACGTTCGATGCATGGATGTATTCTCCCCGGCTTGGGTCTCTGCATTTCTCGTTTGCTAAAGCTCTAGCACGGCGCAACAGCCTCGTTTCTTCGTTTGTCTGCTTCATTCCATTCAACCGTTTCCCGACTCGTCTATCCACAGCAAGCAAGTCGCCGGCCAGTCCGCTTCCAAAGCCCATGGACTCGTTTGCCATCATCACCAACCATCACAAAGAGGCCCAGAGCTTCCGAAAGCAGTTTCCGCCCTCCAGCAACCAATTCCCAACCTCCGAGCAGGTCGAGCAGATCAAGCAGGCCGGGCTCATCGACGCATACCAGCTCATCACCGATCCCGCCTTCTTGGACGTCAGCTTCTATAGCTTCGACCAGGTGGTCTTCTCGGCCAGTGACCAGGATCGCACTTGTATTAGCCGGTGTCCCCTGATGCCCCTGCCGGGCCATGTCTACTGCTACTTTGAGGCCGAGGTGGTCATGCCGGACGACCTGCCCCTCGACGCAGCGATTTCGATCGGGCTGGTGGCCAATCCATATCCCCTGTTCCGGTTGGCCGGCGCCGACCCGTCGTCAACCAGCTACGTTCGGTGAGTCTCGAGGGTGTCCGTCTTGAGCCGCCCCGTCAAGCAATTGGATGGTTGCTCGCCGACTGGACAAGCACATCCATGCTCACACCACCACCCCCTCCATGTCTTCGTCATGCAGAAACGGAGAGATTCTCTCGAACGGAACGTTCATGCGAAGAGGACTCCCAACTTTCACCACCCGGACGACCGTCGGCTGCGGATACGACCCAGAGCTTGGACTGGGTATGGTTCCGGAGAAGCACTGGGACAGCGACGCACCAACAACCGACTCCTCGCCTGTGCTGCATCTCTAACTCCTTCCATTTTTCCTCATTTATCCGGCAGTGTTCTTCACCAACAACGGCCGACTCGTGTCGTACTTCCTCTGTCCGGACCAGCGGGCTTATCATGCAGCCGTCAGTGCCAACCAGCCGTGTGTTTTGCAAGTCAACTTTGGCATGAACCCGTTCTGCTACAATCTCAAGGATGAGCTCATGGCCAGGATGGTTGACAAGCCGCCCAGTTATGACGCTGCCATGTCCCAGCCCCAGTGAACCTGAATGCAAATGTATCTGAACCTCTGCGACTCCATCCCTTCAAAGAGCGACCCTCGGGCCCTCCGCAGTGCCTGCATTCCAGAGCCCGTTGTCGTCAAAGTCTCCTCCCGAATGCACCTCCGTGCAACTGCCAACTCTGCTTCCTCTTGCCCTCCGTCCCGCTCGATCCGTCCCGCTCGATCCGTGTCGGTTGTCTTGTCTTTATTCTCTTATGCCTTGCATCTCTCGCAAACTTCATGTTCTCGCTCTCTATGGTCTTGCGACTTTCTTGGCTGAACAACCGACCACCGCGACATCAAAAGAAAAGAGGGGAAAAAAGGAGGGGGAGTGAAAGTGAGGGAGAGAGATCGGGGGGGTGGAGGCAGCGGGCAAAATATCCAGAGTACACATGCTCTGGACCCGACTGATAAGACTTTCGGGGAAATCGGAATCTCGGAATGTTGAGAGTTGAGGATCGGGGAGGGAATGCTCAGTCCTTGATCTTCAAATCCCTCATCTGGAGCTCCTCCTCGATTGTGTTTGCACCGCCGGCCCCGCCGAGGGCCTGGCCGTCCGACTCGAACCTCGGAACTTCCTGGGCACGGTCGGGGGCGACTTCGGGGCCGTTGCCAGAGGGCCTGTCGCAGATGGTCATGGAATCATCACAGCAGCGGGGAGACGTGAGATAGGAGCCAAGATGGCGTTACTGGTGAGTGGCATGCATCTCAGCCCCATCGGCTACCAGCAACGATATGCGACCCAGCAGAGACAGACTCGAAGGCGCCCGTCCCTGGTGGATATTTGGCCTTGGTGCGGGTGGTGGGCAGATCGGTCGACTTACGCTCCAAGACGTTTTGGGGATCCGACACCGGCACTCATGGGTCCGCTCTGCTGCATCTTCTTGATGTGCCGAACTTCCTCGACGATCAGCTCTGTCATGCCGTGTTGAGAGGGAAGAGTTGAGGAGAGCATCGCATACTCACACCCAGGGGATGGGTGCGAATGGGAACTGCTGCGAGGAAGAGCGCATTGCAGACTTACTCTTGATTTCAGGAATGCTGCGGGCCGACTCGAACGAGAAATCGAATATTGAGGGACAGTCGGGCTGGCCAGTGGGGTGTAGCGGCAGTTAGAGATTGCAAACCGTGTGTGGCTCGAAGTGGATGCGACGCAGCACGGCCGAGCTGTCCATGTATCAAAGTAGCATCCAAGTGGTACCTCATCTTCCGGGCTGTGGTAGGCAGCCAGATACGGGTGCTTAAGCGCCTCTTCTGCCGTGATTCTCTTGGCCGGATCAAACTCGAGCATTCTGCCGAGCAAGTCCAGAGCTGGCGGCATCATGACCAGGTGGTTCCGTGGAGAGGAGGATGTCCAGCACGCCAAGTTGTGCAAAACGGAATGGTTAGAACAGTACAGCGTGCATGGATGAGAGATGCAGGGACGCATACTGAGGAACCAATCACCCAGGCACATGTCCTGTGGCAGTGCTGCTTCTACATACCCAGAGGCTCTGCCTTTGGAAAGGCCTTCTGGAGAGGAACCTTTGGGCGCTTCGGCCAACTGGAGAGGTATTTGAGAACCTGGAGCAAATGTACCGTCGTGCTCAGGGGACTGTCCGACTCGGCGATATATGACCAGAACTAGTTCAGAAAGGCTTACAGATTGCTTGCACACACTTACCCTCGCGCTGCACAGACTCATCAAGGTTGGATCTTCTGGAGTGCCGAGGAGCTCAAAGATCTTCTGCAGCTGATCAATGTCTGGCGTCGCGAATCGCGGCTTGTCAGTTCAGTCCAGCTCAGTTCAGTTCAGTTCCGTCCCGTTCAGTTCCGTTCAGTGCACGATTCACGCCGAGTGAACGGGGTGCGGTATCTTCTCGCCATCAACGACACCTTTGCAGTACTCACAATCGGAGCCTTTGAAGAGAACCTTGCCGATGAACAGCTCGCCAAAGATACAGCCGACACTCCAAATATCGACTGGGGAAATCGTGGAAACGAGCGGTCAGATCCACAGAGCCGTCAGACCACAGAACGAGCAGATCCACACGAAAGCGTAGTAAGCCCTTGAACCAAATGACTCATTGGCGTCGGCGGTCGTGCGGCGGATGCAGATCACTTACTGGCTTTGGTGTAGTGCTTTGGCGAGAGGACCACCTCGGGAGCGCGGTAGTATCTTGTGGCAACGTACTCTGTGTTCATAAGCACATTGGCCGCATCGGTTGCGCCACGAGCGAGGCCAAAGTCGCAAATCTACATCGAGAGAGCGGCTCTGGCAGTTAGGATCGCGGCGGTGGAGCGAGCATCCGACAAAGTGTGTGCGCCTGAGGATGTGGTATGCAGGATGTGGTATGCAGGATGTGGTATGCAGGATGCGGTATGCGGAATGTCGTCGCAACGAGTGGTCGCAGCAGCGAGCAGAGCAGCACGCTCCATGCGGGATCTACCTTGAGCTCGCAGTCGCTGTTGACGAGCAAGTTTCCGGGCTTCAGATCGCGGTGCAGAACGTTGGCGGAATGCATCCACTTGAGCCCCCGCACGATTTGGTAGATAAAGTACTGATAGTGCTGGTCGGTCAGGCTCTGGCCACTCTTGATGATTTGATTGAGATCGGCCTCCATGAGCTCCTCGATCAGATAGATCTCGTTGAACCTTTCGGGGTCGTCCGAGTTGATGTCGACATCGATAAAGCTGGTGATCTGGGAGAGCAACGGCGCGACGAGGCGATGGAACGGCGAGGCGATAGAGCAATGACGCGATGAGGCCATGGAGAAATGAAATTGTGGGAAAGGAAACAGAGGACGAGTCAAAACAAGCACAGTTGCAGCAGTGCGAGTATTGCATGGATGCCGGCCTGTCAGGTCTGCTTCCAGCTACGTGCGTCCAAATGCAGAGCTGGCTCACACACATTATCGTTGCCGTGGAGGTGCCGCAAGAGCTTGAGCTCCCGCAAGGCGCGCTTGGCCAGGATTTCTTCCTCAAAGTTCTTGGGGCCGACCTTTTTAATGGCAACCTCTGTGTTTGACTCGTTATCGACAGCAGCCCTGGAGCATAGCCCCGCCCGCAAACTCAGTTAGGCCAAGGTCGTGACGGCACAAGCATCAACAGGCAGGAGGCACAGGAGGCACAAGGACGAGTCGTCGGGGTTGGTGTGCCCACAGTATTGAGAACAAAACATGTGAAGCCATTTCCCTTCCAAGGCGACTCGACCACATTGGCAGATTGGGGGAGGTTTACAGCTCTTCTCTTTCCACACGCTCACGAGAAGGGTGGTGCTGACACTGCTTTGCTACCGACACCCGCGACTGTGTGCCTTGCAGTGCCAGCACCGCCTTCCAAGCACATCCAACGTACCAAACAACACCATATGCACCCTTGCCGATTTCTCGTTTGAAAGAGTATTTTTTGGAAAAGTTGGAGCTGAGCATCGGGATGCTCGCAGCGCGAGTGTTGAGGGTTGTCATTGCCGCGAGATCTGGGTACAGCCAGCGAGCGTAGCAGGGAGTTTTGGCGCATGGGCATACGGTGAGAAGAGAAAATAGCTTCGCCCCTCGCTTCAGTCACGCATCTGCGCTGCAAGGCCGCCGGTGCTGCCCCTGCATCTCGCTTGGTCGCGGCCATTTGCTTCTCGGAGCATCGCCTCGGAGCGTCGCCTCGGCGCGCCGCCTGCGCGGTCGGGCAAGCTGCTCCACTTACCAGGCTGCTTGTAGGCACGGAGAAGGTTGGATCTGCAGGCGCAGGTGTGCCGGCGGTATTGACGAGACCGCAGTGGTAGCGTGGGAAAGGCGAGGGCTGTCGGCCAAGCGCAAGGGCACGGTGACGGCAGGCAAGGAAGGGTGATTGGAGACGATCACGTGGACACGGCCGCGAAAACGCAGAGGCGAGGCCGAGAGACGGGCGGGAGCGGCCCTCGGCAGAGCGAGAGCATGCTGCGAGAAGGCGACGAGTGTCGCGTGTGTGTGTGTGCTGATCATCCAAGAGAAAGCGCAAACGGCTGCGAGGGAAACGGCTTCTCTCCCAACTGCACAGGACCACGCTGGATACGACGGCGATCGACAGAGGAGAGGTGCGACCGAGCTGATTGGGAGAACAAAGCAGCATTCAAAGACACCATCGCAACCGACAGACGAGCGCACGTCCGCAAGCGAGCGAGCAGTCCACCAAGCACCTTCGGACCACACCTGCCAGACAATGTGCCGATCCTTCCGAGGCCCGATGCCGGGCCGATCCCGAGCATCTGCGCGCCTGAATCGAGGCTGCGGCTTCACCGCACCGCCAACGACATCGTTTTCAGCACGGCCACCATCCACCGCGACACCGTCGGCGTCCGCAGCCTCGGCGTCGTCGTTTGCGAGAGAGTTCGGATCATCGCCGGCTTCACACGGCACTCCACGATGCGTACCGACGGGATGCCGCACTTCCAATGTAATGCTGTGCGGGCTGGCTGGCTGGGTGCTGGATGGTGTGGGGCTGCATCGGGACTGCGAATGGCGGGTCTCTGGGCCGTGCAGAAACGGAACTGGAGCGAGGGAGACGGACCAGACCAAGGCACCATCCGGGCGAGCCAAGGTCTCGAGACGGCGATGCACTCCATTGCCTTGCACTAATCACGAGCACCCCATTGCCTCTCTGGCCCACAGACCCTCTCCTCGACTCTCGGTGTCGCCGATCTGGTGCCAAAAGCCAGAGGAATCTTTGCCCAGCTGACCCTGAGCGGCTACGGCGAAACAGGACCAGATCACTAGCGCCTGTATGAGGTGGCAGAGACCTCGGGGAGCCTGCACAAGCCAATAAACACCGTCGATCGACAGAAACCAGCCGGACAGCATGTGTCGTGTGTATTGGAGCGGCAACGGCCCGGGGAGCCGGAGCGAGGGAGGGGAGGGTGCGGCGACATGGCCAGCGACCGAGAGATCTGCCCAAGGGACTCTGGGCGAGCCGCGGGCGGCAGCATCCCAGAGGCCCTCCGGCAACGAGTTCCAAAAATTGCCCATCGCAAAGTAGTCGATGGGACGCGAGGTGTGCCCAATGATTCAGGGTTTGGCAGTGCTTACTCTCAGTCGACCTTCACGGACTAAGCCTGTCACCTCGGGAAAGAGACGGGTGGACAGCCATCGGCAGAGACGGAAGGACGGGCTTTTATAGGCGGGGCTGTGTGGCGCGTGGCTTGGCAGGTGCGTTGTCGGAATGAACAACCTGTCCATGATCGATCCGCATGACTGGCGGTGTGGTTGGCCTTGGGCAGATCTCATGGAATGCCTCGCAGAGTATATCGCAGAGTACACCGTGGAGTATATCATGGAGTATATCATGAGTATATCATGGAGTATATCGTGGTGTATATCGTGGAATACCTCATGAAGCAAGGGTGTAGATGTCCATCGAGTCCACAGGGCTATCCAGACATGCGATCCGCGTGGCATTCAAGCGCATCAATCAAACGCCAGGTCGCCCCACGGCATTCCATGAGCGCCGCCATCGATGGCAATCGCATTGGATCGTTAACAGCCGTTGCGTCGGCCCATCGCCGCTGTCGTTACCGGTGCTCAGCGCCGGCAGGCTCGTCGTGGGCTGTGTGTCTATCCATCCCATCGATCGGCCCACCGCTCGCTTCGCCCTTGGCACGCTGCCCCCGCTGCCCGCGTTGCATTTCTTGGCTCCCTCGATGGACCCTGGCCGACCTCCCGCTCTCCATCTTGCGCCTCTCCCCGGCTCGTCCCATCCGTCGAGCTGCCCTGCTTCTGCCATGGACGAGCAAGACATCCTCTCAAACTCCGTGTGGGAGGACTACCGGCCCTCTCCGCCTGCATCGTCCAACATCCATGTCTCGCTGCACTCGGTCGACTCGGGCTCCCAGATCTTTGGGGAACCCCCGCTGCCATCGTCGAGCCAGGGCCTGAACGAGTCTGCATCCGCCGCCGACGGTGCCGTCTTTGCCTCGACCGAGGATCTCGCCGAGCCCAGCACCATCGCAAGACGAGCCGAGTCCTTCTCGGCCTTCCAGACAGACCAGCCCGAGGCATCGGTGTTTTCGTCCTCTGCCTCGCTCGTCGAGCCTCAGTCGATCCAGCATCGGACCGAATCGCTGTCTGCGTTCGTCGTCGATGACCAGCCTGCTCACCCCGGCAATGGGATGCAGGCCGTGGCTTCTGTCTTTGACTCGAATGAAGAGCTCGTCGACCACCAGTCGGCCTCCGTGCTCAAGTCCGAGTCTCTCTCAGCCTTTGCGGGCCAGCCGTCCGAGGCCATCTACGAGTCCACCGAGGATCTCAAGGACCTGCCGCCGGACCACCAGAGCTCCGAGTCGCTCTCGGCATTTGCAACTGGGGCCGATGCCCGCACTTCTGCTTTCTCATCCACTCATGATTTGGTCGAGCCAACAACCATCGCCACTCTCACCGAGACCTTTTCGGCGTTTGATCTGGCTCGCAGCAGCGACAACGTCTTTGACTCGACCACGAGCCTTCCCGAGCCCGCTGGTGCTTCCCGCACCGACTCGTTCTCAGCCTTCGATGTCTCCAAAGACCAGCCCGTTTTTGCATCGACGCAGAGTCTCAGGGAACGCGACCCTTCTCCCGCACCAATCTTTGACGATCCGCTGCAGGCCTTCTCGACGACAGCTGCAGCAAAGTACCATCCCCAAGCCGATCCCTGGATCCGCGACGATGCCCTTCTCGATGATCCGCTCTCGGCCCACACGCTTGGGTCGAATGCGGACAGGCACTCGCCCACCAACCCCTCCTCTCACATCACTGCTGGCCTCGACAAGCTCCTGGATCCTCTCCGATCAAGTGTCGTCGACTCGCCTCTGCATCTGCACAGCGGGGCTTCGGGTGAACCGGCCCGCGCCATTCCTGCTACCGGGCAGCTGCACGGCGCCAGGCTCTCCGAAGGTCGAGAACAGCACGGTGTCCCATCGTCGTTTGTCTCCGATGCTGCCTCGATCACTCCAATTGCTCCATCGGACCGGGATGGCCGACGTTCCGAAGACGACGTTAGCGTCCACGAGACCGATCCCTTGGGCATCAACACACGCGCGGCCAAGTTTGTCTATGACGATAGCTTTTACGCCCATGCTTCGTCGACAGCCAGAGCGCCGGGCCCAAAGGTATATGGCATGGATTAGACCCTTGTCGCAGCGATTGACTGCTGGGGGAATATCAACAAGGGAGGGGGATTCATGGAGCCGGATGTTGGTGCCACGTACTTGATGATAGCATCAAATATCGCTCGCTTGAATGTGAGCTCAGAGCAGCCCGCGATGATATGTGCAGCCATATTTCTCGGCGCAGTGGGGTGTGGGTTCAAAACAGGGGGGCAGCAGAGCTTACCTCACCGCTGTGACGACTGAACACCCCAGGACCCTCCGCGATCGGCCTATGGCGATACAGCGATACCGCAAGAAGCTTCTCCCAAGCGGCCTGATGGAAACGGCTACAGCTACGAGGTATCAGTCGGAGAGCCCCAAAAGGTGGGCGATGCCATCAACCCTCACATGATATACAAGGTTCGCACCAAGGTAAACGACAATGCGTGAGCACTTTGGCGTGATGCACTCGGCCCGTGCTGGCGACAGTTCTGTACGGTCAAGCAGCGTGTCGTCCACCGGAATAGACGATAGCCGTGGAGCACATCGTGTACGTTCCGAGCAGCGTCATTTGGCGAGCAGCTCACTGATGCCAACTGGATCCCAGACCAACGACCCAGCCTTCCGAAACGCCGAGTTCAGCGTCTCGCGACGTTACCGCGACTTTCTGTGGCTCTACAACCAACTCGTGAATCGGTACCCCGGAGCCATCGTCCCGCCTGTGCCCGAGAAGCACGCACTCGGTGAGTCCTCAAGGGCACTTGCAATCCGAGAGCTTCGTCGCTCACGAGCCCGAGTGGATCAAACCGATAGCTTACCAACCGCCCGCCACCCTCCACGCCTTTTATGATTGCGCACGCCCAGGCCGTTTCCAGGACGAATTGGTCGAGATGCGCCGGTCTTCGTTTGAGCGCTCGCTCCGCAAAATGGTCAACCATTCGATTCTCCAAAACGATCAGGACTTGCGTATATTCTTGGAGTCGGAGACGTTTGTGCACGACGTAAGTTGCAAATGCATGGCGAAAAGGTGTGAGCGGACGAATAAGTGCGGGCGAATCAGTCAGTCAATGTGGAGGACGGCGTGGGAGAGGGGAGGGGAAAACAAGCCGCCAACTTCCACATCATTTGTTGGTCCCACTGAACCTCAAGGTCACCCAAAAGAAGAGGGAAGAGTCCAAGGGATTTATGGGATTTTTGGGCGATGCCATGACCAATGCAAGCCAAACCTTTGTGAAGTACGTCGAAGTTGATCAGGTACGATCTCAGTCCATTTGCCGCCTGCTATCCGAGGCGCTCAAAGACGACCCGGCTTGGGGCGCGGCACACTCCCCTACAGCCTGCTCCTGCTCCTGCTCCTGCTCCTGCTCCTGCTCCTGCTCCTGCTCCTGCTCCTGCTCCTGCTCCTGCTCCTGCTCCTGCTCCTGCTCCTGCTCCTGCTCCTGCTCCTGCTCCTGCTCCTGCTCCTGCTCCTGCTCCTGCTCCTGCTCCTGCTCCTGCTCCTGCTCCTGCTCCTGCTCCTGCTCCTGCTCCTGCTCTTAATCGCGCACAATCGCCGCTGGCATTTTCCTCGATGCTACCTTTGATTGTAACCCAACCCGATGGACTGCAAACACTACCATTGTCGTGGCTATCGGCTACCATCGCAGTGGTTTGAGGATAAGAAACGACAGCTGGACATTCTCGAAACTCAGCTACGCTCAATGTCCAGAGCACTCGAGGCTTTGGTGAAGCAAAGGAAAGGTATCGCAGGCGTCACGCATGCTCGAGCGGACTGTTGCGACCTGGACGACTCGCTCTCGTTGTGTCGCAGTGGAGGATGGGTCTGTTCGAAGCACGCAGAACCGATCACGCTTGACTACGGCATAGTCGGTAACTTGGCTCTGAGCCCCAGAATCTCACTCAAACTCCGTATATGCCATACCACCACCCGACACAGAGATTGGCGCAGCCATGTCTGAGTACGGCGAGAGCTTTGCCTCTGTCAGCAAGATCGACAGCAGTCGGCCCATCTCGCATAACATCCTGTTGATCGGCAACATATACAAGCAAGTCAAGGAAATCTATGATCGACAGGTGTGGAAGGATAGAGAGGGCCATTCATCCGCGCACAGCAGGTGGAATTCTCGTGTGGCGGATCCGGCCCGAGAGACACTGGATCGACTGCGCTGAGTAGATGGATGGCCATGCGTAACTACGTTCCCTTGAGTAGCAATCAGGGATTTCGGGTGGAGTATCGCTCTGACTGATCACTCTGATTGCCCGCTTCGCCGATGGCGGCACTTCAACAGGCAAAGCATGATATCAACCATCTTGTCATTGTCGTCGAGGAGTACATTTTGACCATGGGATCGGTCAAGGTAGGATCGAGACTGTGGGTGACTGGCGACAGTCCAAGGACCCACCTGCCGACGGGACTCATCTGCAACAAACCGGCAGATGCGCTTCTCAAGACGTGTCCACCCTGTCGCCATGCTTTTGCTCCGTCCCGTTCCTCACAGCTTGTCGCTACTCTTTGCTTCCAGACGGCGTTTGCTGCTCGCAGCCGGGCCTATTCGCACTGGCAGACATTCGAACAGCAATACTACCGCAAACAGGATGCTCTCGAGAAGCAGCGTGGGGCCAGCAAGCTCCGGTCAGACAAGATCCAGCAGGCGCAGAGCGAGCTGCTCGAGGTCGAGAAGCAGACGCGCCAGGCCAAGACTGAGTTCGAGACCATCTCGGCTCGGCTTCGGGCTGAACTGGAGTACCTGGACCAGGAAAAGATTGCCGACTTTGCCCAGGCGCTGCGGCTTTATCTCAGGTCGCTCCTGGAGAGCCACCAGGAGGTGAGTCGAGTCGAGTCGGTGCCGGTCGAGTTGGTTCGCTGCGCTGCTGAGCCGCTGAGCCGCTAACCTCGACAATGGACATGCTGCTTCTGTAGATCCAGCGACTTTGGGAGTCGTATTTCGCCTCGGCTGTCCCGATATAGCCTCCTGGGTTGGTCGACATGGACAGAACACAAGCCGCATGTGTCTCCATTTCCTGCCTCAGGCAATGCAAACCACAGCGACAGCAGCAATGATAGAAACAGCGACGATGGTGCCAGAGCGTACCAAACACGACTCGGACTTTGGTCACAGTACCCGCAACAAACGGACCAATAGCCCCCCCCTTCCGTTCCACTATTGGTGGCAACTCTCTTCCCTGAATACATCCATGTTCATCCAGGGTATCCATCAACAGCCACGGAGGAATCTATCACCTCCGATATCCTTCTTGATTGGAGTCATGGCAAGGGATTTGCCTTCATCCACAGAGCACTAGCTTTCATGCAACGGAGTCACAGCAACTGTGGGGCACGCAACATGATCATCGTCTTGAAATCGGTAACGAAGAGTCCGGAGCAACTCAAGGTCACCACGACGAATCCTTCCACGTTGGGAATGGCCACTGTTGATTCTCTGGTGGACAATCTGCGGGATTTCAGTCGTCTTGAGTGACTCCACATCCAGAGCGTGCCAGTCCAGGCGACTATCAAGTTCAGGCGTTCTACACTCCAATTCGATCACTCTGTTGCATCAGTAGTCCTGTCTCTGTCCACAAGTACTCGCAACCAGCACTGACACCAGACGAAAGAGTCGCATGGAGAATCCAAGATGGCTGTGATATTGACCAGGACAGACAGTCAATTGCCGACAGGGCGACTGGGGCGACATCGGGGTATGTGGACGGGGTGAGAGTGGGACACATCGGCAAGCTCTGGATGTCGTGCACAGACTCCGAGGCGATAGTTCAGGAATGTGTGTCAGGGAGATGTGAAGCACCGTGCAAGTGAAGGACCATGGCTGTGCATGGGATGCACCATGAATGGCACTGCCAAACATGCAGTGACCTCCACCACCGAGCTAGTTGTGGGTGTCGGGACGGAAGATGTTGGGCCGCGGGTGCTCCTCGGGTCTCAGCGGCGACGGAGGGTTCGGAGGAGGTGGCAGATACCCGATGTGGGTCAGGTACAGCAGCCCTCGCCCGGCGATCCGCCCAGCCTGGGGACCGAGGGCCGGATAGATCGACCGGGTGTTGGTGTTGTCGACCAGGAAGGACATGCTCAGGATCAGATGCATGAGCGTCGACATGGACGAGTCGTTGGTGAGCTGAGGCGTGAGGAGCAGAGACTTGAATCGCTCGCGGGTCTCGAACATGACGGACCAGCCAGAGGCATTGACAATCTCAAAGAGTCGAGTTTCGGTGATGACGCTGCGAGGTGGGCCGAGGGACAGGATGTGTGGGATGGTGGTGTGAGTGAGTGACTGCCGAGGAATGGCACTCATCCTGCTGCCCTCCCAGTCCGCTTGCCACTCGGCTCGCTCGCTCATCTCACCTGCGCTCTGGGTCGCTGATGTGGAACACAAACTTGGGCAGGGCCGCCTCGGAGGCTGCGATCGCAGCGACCACCTTGGCGACATGGTCGACTGGATTCATGGTGATGGTCACGGGGGTGGCATTGGAGGGAGCGATCCCGATGCGGATGCATCCCTTGATATACTGCCAGATGTAGTCGTCCGAGTGGCACACTGAGAGAGTGAGAGTGAGAGTGAGAGTGAGAGTGAGAGTGAGAGTGAGAGTGAGAGTGAGAGTGAGAGTGAGCTGAGATGAGCTGCTGCACCACCACCACACCACCACACCACCACACCACCACACCACCACACCACCACACCACCACACCACCACACCACCACACCACCACACCACCACACCACATTGCCATATCACATCCAGTGACTCACCTCCATAGACACTGTCGCTTGCAATCAGCGATGGTCGGATGATCGTCGCAGGCACTCCCCTCGATCGTGCCTTGTTGATCAGCTGCTCAGAGACCCACTTGGTCTGTGCATACCCGCCAGAGACGTTCCAGTTGGAATACACCCTCTCCTCGAGCGGCGTCCTTGCACCCCGTGCCATGGGAATCGCCCCGACCGCCGAGATGAAGTGCAGCGGCTTCAAGTGGTGGGTCGTGGCCAGCCGCAGGGCCGTCGCCGTGCCCAGGACATTCGGCCCCTTGAGCGCCTCATAGTCGTCGAGCCAGTGCACCTCGGCGCCGCAGTGCACAACCATGTCGGTCTCCTTGCCGATCTTCTTCCATCGCTTGTTGGTCAGTCCCCACTGGTCGAGCGACAGATCGCCGCAGACACCAACGAGTCGCGGCTTGACATTGTTCACGAGGTAGTGCGTCTGCTGCGGGTTGAGGATCAGCTTTCTGGCTGTCTCAAAGATGCGGTCGATGGCAGCCTGGTCGCTCGCGGCTCGGACCAGACAGTAGATCCTGGCAGCAGGGTACTTGGCAGCCAGCTCGTACAGCAGGAACGATCCGAGGAAGCCAGTGGCCCCCGTCAGGACGATGCCGCGAGGCGACTCGGGAAAGACAAGTGGAGGGAGACCCTCGGCCGTCACACTCGCATCGTCGAGCCGGGCGGCCTCCTGGTCGAGGTCGACTGTCGGTGGCATCAGCGGGTGGTTGCCTTGGAGATCAATCACCAGCTGGGCGACATCGAGGGGCGTCAGGCCGTTCGAGAGCAGCATCATCGGCGAGATCTCGACATCGTACTCTTCCTTGATGGCCAGGGCCAGGCGGCCGACACTCAGCGAGTCAAACCCAGCCCCGCTGATGCTGTAGTTGCGGCCGTCGAGAGAGGGAATCCCGAGGAGCTGGCTGCCGAGGCTGGAGATTGCAGCCGCGATGCGAAACAGCGGGGCCTCGCTGGGGGCGAGACGGGGATACACAACGGATTCTTGGTGCAGATCGTTGTTCTCGGCGATCCACTTGATCTTCTTGAGGTCGCGCTTGCCAATCTCGGTCATGGGGATCTCGTCGAGCTGGAAGCAGTTGTGGATCGGCACCTTGGAGACGTTTGCAAGGCCAAGCAGATCCTGGGTCATCCGGATAACGACGCTGGGCTCGGTGCGGGTCGTGGGGCGGGCCTGGAGAACATACAGCATCACGATCTTCTTCTCGGAGGTCTGGACAAATGTACAGTCGGCGATGGTGTGGCTCAGGTGCTGGACGACCAGGGCCTCGAGATGGTTCAGGTCGACATAGACGCCGTTGACTTTGATCTTCTGGTCGAATCTGGAGGGTGAGGTGTGAAGTGAGGGAATGAATGATGTGAGTACTCGGGATACAGGAGCGGGACGTGTCGTCAGGGTACCAGATGTGCACTCGTCATCAATGAGAGTTGCAGCACCCGGCCATTGACCTCACCTTCCAACCACAGTGAACTCGTTCTCGCTGACCATCTCGACCCAGTCCATGGTGCAGACTCGGGGCGAGCCGTCGCTGAGGAAGCCAAAGGAGGCCAGTCTGTCGTTGGGATTGGCATTGACAAAGTCGGGGTGGTTGCGGATGGGATGGTCGGGATCGACGGCGTAGACGAGGACGCCGCTCTTGGAGACATTTTGATCAACGATATTGCCCTCCTCGTCAAAGAGGAGGCAGCGCACCCCAGGCTTGGCCTGCTTGTAGACCAGTTTATGTGCTTCGAGGATCTGGTTGACTGGTTGGAAAAACATCGCAGCGGCACCAATCAAGAGAGCCTGGAGGTTGAACTGAGAATGAATATCCTTGGCAATGTGTATCTGAAATGTCTGAATAGTCTCCTGTCACCCACCTCGCTCGAACCATATGCTGACATCAACTCTGCATTTGGAAGAATTTTTCTCGCGCGCTGAACAATGCTTGGAGACACGAGCTCCGAGCCCAAGCCGATCTTTCTCGTTTCTGTCCATTTGACATCGGGATTCTGATTCTGAGCAACACTGATAATCATCTTCATGAGCGAGGGCGTCTGCGCATGGGTAAAGTAATGCGAATCATCCATCAGCATTGGTGGGACGAATTGCTTGCCGTTCTCAATGGCAGCTTACCAGATATAGATACGATACGCCATCGTCAAGCATTCTGATGATGCTCTTGATTTTGTCGACAGTGTTGGGTGTGGGCTGGGGGGTCCACAAAGATCCGTTGAGGTTCAAGGCGCAGAGCATCAAAGTGAAAGTTGCGACAAACGAAGGTGTCTGATCGCCATGCAAGTTAGTTCTCAATTCATGGATGGCTCGACGCTCTGTTGCACAGGATCATATAGCTTACCTGACACACTCCAATCTTTAAAAACATGTGCCCCAGAATGCTTCTGCCAGTTGTTGCACCAATATGAGGGAACTTGTATCTGAAGAACCATAAAGGAGTCTCAGAGAGTTAGAGACTTCGTTCAGTTGGAATCATCAAAGCGGTTGAAATGCCACGGGTCACTTACGTCTTGGGAATGCCTGTTTTCGTGGTTTGAGGAGCACCAACGAGGCACAGAGGTCAAACACACTTCCTGCTGATGTTTCGTTGTCCGTGTTCCGCTATCTCAGTCGCCACCTGATGTTCGCCCAGGTTCATATTCTTCCTCTGTAGTTGGAACTTGGCTCGCTCGTCACCATTCTCAAACACCCACATACCAGTCGTTCCAGAGGTCCCCAAATAGGCGACAAAGTCGTCGAGGGGTTCACAGACTTCGAGAGACGGGTGTGGGATGTTGTCCAGCACCGGGAACGTGGTGGCATCGGCCAAAGTCACTCCTATGGTGCGGCTAGGCTTGGTGTGGTGGTAGAGGATGTACTTGACCGCATGTCTGTCAAGTGTGGTTGTGGTTGTGGTGCAGGTGTCAGGGGCTCTGTAGAACAACTCAGGAGAGAGCTGGCTCGACTCTCACTCCAGCAAACGGCCCGCCTTTGCTCATGACAGCGATTGAAAGCATACCTCTCGCACAGGGCTTTGCGAGCAGCAGAGGGAAGGTTCAGCGCGAGATTGAGTGTCTTCCTGGATGCGAAAGACGATATGGGTGAGGCTCGTTCCCGTTGACAATGCCTCCTGTTCTGCCGGAGGGGCGCTCCACGATCGACGAAACAGAGCAGCCATAACCAGAACAGATCGCCGCACACCACAGCATCCCACCGCAACACATCAGAGATGCCTACTTGCCGAGCATCCACACCGCAAACGAGTAGATCACCCAGCTGGCCTCGGCCTCGCAGAAGGTGCCGATGACCTCGTGGCCGTCGTTGTTCCAGCCAGGGAGGGCCTTGAGAGCCTGGGCGACCGAGTACGCCTGCTTCCACACACGGAGATAGCTGAAGCGCTCCGAGATGCCGCTCTCGTAGGTGTTGATCAGGAGGGCATCGGGTTCGTCGCGGGCGGTGTTGATGAGACACTCGACGGGATGGAGCCAGGGACCAAAGGGATCGGGCTGAGACGGGGTCGCTGGCTGTGAGGAGACAGGGGTCTGGGCCTCTGGCGAGACAGGGGGCTCGGCATCGTCAGAGGGCTCAGAGGCCTCTTTGCCAGCCACGGGCATATTGGAGAGACGGGATGCGAACGACAACGAGCCCGCCGATACCAGCAGCTCGGAGACGGTGCCAAGATGGCGATATCGACGACGGGGTTGGCTGCAGACGAGGCCGATGAGGACGAGGGAAAGGGGCAGAAAGGGGGCAGAGCAGATGCCGTCGGCTGTCTGGGCAAGAAGGTGCCGGCAACCCGCCGGCACAAATTCTCCTTGCAGAGTGTGCTCGCTCCCGGTCCACACAACTCGACCGAGGCCATCCATTCAACCGCCGTTGGCCGCAATCGCAAGGCGGTCCCAGCGACCCCCCCCCAGAGCATGACAGTCGTGCGAGCCCATGGCGAACGGATCAAGAAAGGGGGCGTTCGAGCGCGTCCTGGCTCTGCTTTCACTGCAAAAGGCCGGTTTGCTCGCATTCTGGCTCAACGGGATTCACATGATGTTTGAAAGAGAACCCATCGATGTTCCACGGAACAGCCGGGTGGTTGTGCCGGGTCCAAGTTGTTGGTTCATGGTGCATGATCGGCCTGGCCGGAAATCAGGGCGCCCGCGTTCCGTATGGGCCGTCGCTCATGGTTAGAACATTGTTTCGGAGCTGCTGCTCCGACGCACTGAACAAGCATTCGCCCTGTGCACCACGCACCGACTCGCAGCACACCAATGCACTCCCACAACTTGCTCCCAGACCGGCTCCACATGGCCACTCCCATTCTCGCTTGGTCAAGGCGATATGAGCCATCCGATTCGGTATCTCCCGGTAGACGAGCTCTTTCTCAATGTAGATAAACATATATTTGTCGAGACATTGCAGTTAATCCATGCCGTGAGGGAGTGAGTGATTTTGGCCGGGTACTGGAGAGTAGCAATTCCGGACGCACGAGCCCACACAGTGTCTTGAGTCAGTCGCTCCGTCAAAGCCGCGATGGATCCAGGGACCCACATTGTGTAATCTGGAGGTGGGTGAGGCCAGCCGGTCATCTGAGCCAATACCCTGTTGATCAGGAGGGCTAGCGATGGAGGAGGCTGTTGTTTGCTGTTGTCTTCGGTGACGAGGCAGTCACAGACGGCGGCGATGCCCTGTTGCTGCTGAGTTCATATGTGCCGGCGACAACAGTGGGGCTGCAGCCTCCTCAGACACTCGTGCTTGGCATCGAAACGCATGTGGGATCGGCGGGGAGCATGGTGCAGGATGAACCAAGGGCATAGATGAGCGAGGCGTTCGGGCTAATGGAGGAAGTTGCCACCATCAGCAGAAGCTTGCTGTATCCCACGGATCGAGAGGGTCGCCAAGCGAGTGTCGAAAGAGTGGCAGAGAAAGCCAAGACGGCGCCAAGAGTGGTAAATCCAAGACGATAGCTTGTGTCGCTCGCTGTCCGATCGCACGTTTCGGGGGAGCGATTGCACGTTCCCACAGAGGCTGCTGTCCGAGACCCGCGTGCCAAGAGCGGAGGGAGCTGGCGAGGCGAAGGAGCAAGATCGGGGCCGGAGCGAGACAGACCAGGGCGCAAAGCAGCTTGCGAGAGCGAGGAAGGTGGGCTTTGGAGAGCTGGGCTTTGTCGGTTGCGTTCAGCGGGTGCCGAAAAGTTGTTCTGGGAGGGTCGACTGCGGTTGCATCCACAGCAAAACGAAAGCCGGAGAGAACATATGCGATAGATACAAAGTAGATGCGAACGGAGGGCGGAGTCTGGTAGCAGCCCGGATGAGAGGCGGAAGAGGGTGGGTGCTCAGTGAGAGAGGCCCTGGCAGAAAGCTGGGGTCGCCGAGACAGGGCCCACACGAGCCGGAGGAGCCGCAGGCGGCACGGGCGAGGGAGCTACCGCCGTGTCCAGACGCCGGCCAGCAGCAGTACATAGAGGCCATGGAGCCAACGGACCAGAAAGCCGACCATCAGGCCGACGGGAAAGAGCACAAAGAAGGACACGAGCCCCAGCAGGATCAGCGGAGAAATGAGGATTTGAACGAGGTGGTCGGACCAGGCGACCATGGGGTCGTCCAGGCCCAGCCGAGCCGAGGGCAAGGCCGTGTGGGAAGGCAAAAGGCCGTGGGCGGAAGCACGATGGCCAAGCCGAGCGAGCACGGGCGACGGCAAGACCTCGGAATAGGAGAGCGAGCGCTTCGTCGAGGCTGTCGACAGAGACATGGAGGACGAAGAGGAGGGCTCATAGAGGCTGGGAAGGGACGACGGCAGCATCGTGGGAGGTGCTGGTGCTGGAGAGGCCAGCCGGATGGGCGAGGGCAGCGACGAACTCGAGACGGTACTTGACGGTGAGAACGAGCTCCGTCGCAGATGCTCTGGGTCGATGGCGATGATATGGCTGGCCGAGGCGGGGAGTTGGCCCGAGGCGATCGACGACAGAATGGGTGGATGGGACAGCGCCGAATAGTCGGGCGGTGGTGTGTTGGGGATGTGCAGCTTGGCGAGGACGGGCCTGGCGGATCGCGAGACCATGGCGGAGGGTTATAGAGCAGAGCAGATGGAATGGAATCGATGGATGGATCGAGGGGCGGGCCAGAGAGGCGGCCGGCGAGGGCGGGTGCAGGGAGAATGAGGACGGTTAAGACGAGCGATGGAGGTCAAGTCCAAGTCGGCGACGAAGACGGATGGAGATGGGGACGAACGGCGGCGAAAACTGGAAAGGCCGCGGTGGCGTTGTGGGACGGCAAAACTTGTGGCGAGGCGGAGGTGGTTGGTGGGACGGGCGATTGATGTTCTGGAGGAGTTGAGAGCAGAGTCGCGAAGTATACGAGTCTGCGGTGCAGCAATGGAGTATGCGAGTTGACAGCAAGACCATAAAGTATATGAGTCGGCGGTGGAGTTATCATCCGATTTGACAGGTGTTCGCAAGTTGAGCATTCATGGGCTGAGCATTCATGGGTTGAGTATCCGCGAGTTGAGTATTCGTGGGTTGAGCATTCGTGAATCGATGCCAACGATGTCGCCGTGACCACCGGCGAGCCACCCGATCGTTTGACAAATCAATCAACCGCCGTTCGATTGCATCTCGCTGCCGCACACCCCCCATATCGCTCGATCGCATCTCGCTGCGACGCACTGCATCCGAATGACCCCTCTGGTCCGCCGCAGTCATCCGATGCTGCCCCCAACTCTCCACCCCTCACGGGTCTGCATCCTCGGTGCTGCTGCTGGCGCTTTTTCCCGCCCTCGGACAGCGCCGAGCACCCATGTGCCGGCATGATGAACAGCGCCCTGCTTGGACCTATGACGTCCAACCTATAAAGCCACCGGCCTTGTCCATGAACAACTCAGGGCGAACGCTGCGTCGAATCAGCCCTCGATATTCCTGCTCCTCTGTCTTCTGCTTTGTCCGTGGCTGCTCCAGCCATATTCTGCTCTTTTCCAGCTCTGTACGATACATTCGCCCTATGCTCTCGGACGCTTTCCCAGCAGCCACCAAGTCTATGCCCTCGGTCGTGCCCGAGACGCTGCCGCATCTTGGCGACCCTGTGCGGCCACCCCACAGCGAGGTTTGTGTGTTTTCAGCTCGGCCAAAGGCCCGACCAAACGGCTTCCGCCATGCTCCGTCCAGCACACAACCCGCACCGGCCCGCAGCCACTCTGCTTCCGACACCGGGCCTGCCTCTACCTTGACGACAAGCTCGCAAGCCCACCCACCTCGCATCGTCGTCCTCGTCGAGCCGTGCTGTCGTCGACTCGCACCTGCCGCCGAGGCCGAGCCCAAGCATCCGCTGCACACGCAACCATGGCTCAGCTGGCCGCATCTGACTCGAGACGAATGGGCAGGAGCAGGGATGCTCCTCGCCGTGGCCGGGGTGTCGACGGGGCTGTTCGTGATCCTGTTCTGGCTGGGCCCGCTGCTGATTGTGTTTGGTGGAGTCGTCAGCATCGGCTTCTGGCTGGCACAGGGCATCCGTGCTGTTCTGCGCATTCTGCAGGAACAGACGGACTACGACACCGCCCCGCCCGAGCCATGAGTGCGAAGGGGATGCTGAAGATCCCGATGCCAGTCCCATCTGCCTGATACCCTCTTCGAATTGCAAGATCGATGCAAGTCTGATGCCGCAACCGCCGCCAGAAGGCCCCCGGTCGACCGCAGGATCGGTCCGGCCGGCCGCGTGGCTGCATGCAACTTGATCACCCGGCCTGTCTGTCTGGGTCGCCGTCTGGCAGCAAGCGCTGAGCTGACCCCCCATCCGCGCTGCGAACCTGCAGATGACCAAAGGCCACCCAGAGCCGCGCAATGCTCTCGCCCCCCCCCCAAAAGCATGTCATGCGACGCTGCCGGCCCGACAGAGTCTCCCATGTCCCTGCAGTCTCTGTCCGTGCTGCGCACAGGGCGTGAATATACATGATTCCAATCCGCAATGCCAGGACTGCCACAGCAGAAGCACGGATCAGCTCGGGTGGGGAAGACTGTGGCCCAAGGTGAGCAACAAAGCATTCTGTCGAAGCGGGTGCATCAGAGAGCCCTTGAGGGTCTTTTTTTTTTTCCTTGGCCGGTGGTGCGCGCGGCCATCGGTTGAAATGCCCCCCCTTGCAGCATATCTCGCTGATACAGCGATTCGCTGTAACGCCGCATTCCGTCTGTGCACCACCGCCAGCGCCGTGATACCGGCCACACGCAGGCCATATCGAACCTGCCGACCCCAGCGCCGCCTGCTCTGGCCCTGGGTTTGCTCCCCTCTGCTTCCTCGGCGCCTCGCTCGGTGTGCATGCGTCACACCCGCGTGCACGTGAGTGTGGCGCTGATTCAGGCTCCGCACTGTGTCCGGCGCCAGCGTCGCACAGGCGCTGGGGCCGCACAATCGTGTATGCCGGGCGGAATGCGTGCGACTTGTGTGCGACGTCAGTGCGACTGTTTGTGTCTGCCGAGGTGTCTGCGGACCCTGTCGCTGCTGTTTCTGTGGGGCTCTGGCCCTTGATCGGGCCCTCGCTCCGTTCTCGCCCGCTCTCGCGCCGTCTCGCTGCGTTCTCGCTGCGTTCTCTCATTTGCCATTCGCATCTTTCCGTTGTCATCTTTGCCATCGCCGGTATCTCTTCTTGCCCCTCCATCGTCGCTGTCGCCGCCGTGGCCATCGCCGACCCCTTCGTCCGGCTGCATATTGCTGCAGTCCCGTCCTTGCATTCCGTTACAGCCCGATTTACTCGTTCCAGGATCGAGCGGCTTCTCTCGGCTGGCCTTTCCTCCGAACCCCATCTTTTTTACCCATCTGTCCGTACAGTCCCGTCCTGTCGCCGATCCCCGCATCTGTCGCCATGACTACCGAATCCGCCGTGCTTGTGCAGCTCTTTCCTTACAGCGCCGACGCCGTCGTCAACCCAAGTCGTCCCTGCGTCAAATTCCCGCCATTCGAGCGTCTCCTCGTTCCTGGCACCCACCTCCGCATCGGCCGCAAGGTCGATCCCTCAAAATCCAAGCTCAAAAAGTCTTCCCTGCCCACCGTCCCGGACCTTATCGAGCCCGCAGCGCCCCAGTCGAATCTCAGTGCCTCCCTCGGCACCAGCTCCGAGCCACACCCGCATCTCGCCGCCAACATCAATGTCGACCTCTCGACCTCGCCAGCCGCCGGCGGCTTGGTTGGTGCCGCCTCAACTTCGCCCGGATGGACTGGAGCAAACATGCCCTCGGCCGCAACCAAGGAACAGTCCGATGAGTCAGAAAACATGGTGGCATTCCGGAGCAAAGTCGTCAGCCGAGATCATGCCGAGCTCTGGCTCGACTACGACGGGAAGGTACGCTTCCAGCCAGTTTTTTGCCGGCCTCCCCAATGTGCATCAGACCATGTTGGGTTCAGTCTTGCCTCGTCCCTCTCGCCCTTCCCTGAACGACGAGGCGAGATGCATATGTCCCTGTCTCCGTGGCTATTGCCCTTCGTCACCGGATCATTTCGCTGCGAGCGGCGCCGATCAGTTTTGGTCGATGCCGCGATTTGTGGCCCTGTCCGCGCTCCCCTGCTTCTTGGCTCCAAACCATGCTGTTCCCGGTCGTGATTCGCTGTGGCTGCCTGTTGATGCGATTCGCCCGGCATGCTTCTTACCCTGCTCTGTGTCGCTCACACGTCTCCTCAGGTCTACTTGCGCGACCGTGGAAGCTCATCGGGCACATTTTTGAATCGCCTCCGTTTGTCGGCAAGCAGCAAAGAAAGCAATCCATATCCGCTCAAGAGCAACGATGTTATCCAGCTGGGCGTCGACTACCAGGGCCGCCAGGAGGGTATGTGCCCCGTGGCTTACCATCAGCCGTGTCCCAAGGATACAGCTGCTACATGTGTCCCCCCAGACGTACATGGCACTGCTGGGCTTCGGCCGTGCTCGATACTGCCACGTCGGCCTGTCGTTCCAGGGGACCTCGGTATAAAGCTGCAGCTGTTCGACGAGAGCTTTCTCTAACACCCTGGCGGCTTGGACCACTCTCTCCCACTCAGATATCTACCGTGCTATCGGTATCAAAGTCTTCATCTCCGCCAAGATCAACAAGCCTATGGGCGATCCTTACAGGTGCGTAGGGCCTCGCCCTGGTTGGCCTTGCCCTGGTTGGCCTCGCCCTGGTTGGCCTTGCCCTGATTAGATTATCACTCTCTTTTGCTGGCAGACTCCGTGTTGCCCTAGCCGCCCTCGTTGGTGCCATGGGCAACTCGCACTCCGTCTCGGATGCCTGCACAGAGTGCTGTATATGCATCTCCAACCTCAACCCTGGCCAAGCCCTGTTCCTGGCCCCGTGCTCTCACTGCTTCCACTACAAGTGTGTCATCCCCCTCGTCGACAACGGATACATGTTCCAGTGCCCGCTTTGTCGTCAGGTTGCTAACCTCGACGCCGCCGTCGGCGCCGACGACGACGTGCCGCAAATCACCGACTCGTCTGTCCAGGAAGTCCTCGGCCTGTCCCAGCCTGGCTCCCATCCCGCTGCGTTGTCCGCAGCCGGACCAATTCCGTCGCCGCCTTCAGAGCGTGCACCGTCCTCGTATGCCGCTCAGCAGGCGATGGATCTGTCGACTCACTCCCCGTCGCCAGACTCTGAAGAAGTCGAGGGCGCCGAGGTCACCAATGCCACCCGCTCGCTCGCCATCGAGATTCCCAACGCCGCCCGATCCGCCCTCCGCAGTGAAATGTCGCCCAGCACGCCGCTGTCGTCCGAAATCCTGAACGGCAACATGGGCTCGCACCGAAACACCTTTGTTCCGCCCGCAACACTGCTCTCGCAGTCCCTCTCTGACCGGCGCTCCGAGGATAGTCAGCGCAGCGGCATCTTTGGCGGCCTCGCCACTTCTCTGCGCCGCAACCGCAGCGGCCGGAACGAGAGTCTTGGACGCCCCGTGCCTTCGCCGTCGGCGCCGACTCGGCTGGAGCGGAAGCTGACCCGGGTGATTGCCGAGACGCTTGCATCGTCTCCTCCGGACATTCTCGCAAAGTTTGTGCAAGAAAACGGCGACCTCCTCGAGGAGATTTTCGAAGAGTTCCCGGACTTGTTTTCGCAGCAACGTCGCATCCTGTTGCGGGATATGGTCGAGGAAGCCGAGCTGTCACACCCGCATGCCCTGAATGCCATGGCGGCGACCCAGTCTCCTCCAGTGGCAACGTCGAGCCAGTCTCCAAGTGGCAGCGCGAGCCTCTCCCGATCGTTGTCGCCCCAGGCCGCCCACATACGGACTCCTTCGAACTTGGGGCTCGTTCAGCGGGCAAAGTCGATGCTCAAGGGCAAATCCAATGGGGGTGATTCATCGCTATAGCCAGCTTTAGATGCGTGGGATACTCGTTTTCTTTCTTTCTTTCTTTCTTTCTTTCTTTTATTATTCCGTTATACTATTTTTTCGTTGGCCGGATGATGTCGTCTTGGTATATCTTTCTGGGCAACATCGTATGTATCATGTGGCAATCCCTCAATCTTGCCGGAGCCGCACGCCGCTCTCCCCAGCCCGAACAATGTCTTGACACCTCCCTCCCCTAATCCGTCATACTTTGGACAAGCTGTAATTGCGCACGGCCCCTTTGCAGATCACTAGAATACCTTCCACACCGTCCACTGCCCAGCACACTGTCCCGCTGGACAGCAGTGTACCCATTTTGAAACGGGGAACCCTGTTTGGAGTCTGGACCGTCGTTGATCTCCGGGTCTGAATACACACACACACCGCCCGGGTGTATTCAAGATGGGAAACAACAGCACGGCTTGCTCACCGAGGTCGACGAAAGTTCAGCAGACTTCGGGCCTCTGATGCCAGAGAAAGCAGACGCTGTCCCGTTTGTTTCTGGAATGACTCTATGTTTTCTCTCTGCCCATCGCCATCCCTTGTTTGTCAATATACGGAGTCCACCCTCTCCCTCAAGGGCCACCGTCCGGCCTCTCCTCGCTGTGACTTTGCTTGATGTGTTGTATTATATGTGTTTGCGCTGAATCCATACAGGTCCGAACAGTGCATCTGCCAGCACACTCGGCGTTCCAGTGATGCACCAAGCCCGTCGCCCGCACGATCGGTTGACCGTACGGCACACAGGACGATCCCCGACATCCCGGCCCTTCTTCTCCGTCGTGTCTAATCCCGTTCTCTCTCGCTGCGGCTTGATCGATGTCGGCTCGATCGGTATCGGCTCCTTGACTTGCCCGAGGAAGAGGATTCGCGCCGGTCGCTACTATCGCCGCCGCCCCGGGCCGACGAGGATCGCTTGATGTATTTGTCGCCGGTATCAAATGTTCGGTGGCCGTGGGTCTCGTTGCCACCAACACTGTCGTTGTGCGGGCTGCGACTTCGACTTCTGCTTCGGCTTGATCCTTGACTCTGGCTGCGGCCGACGATACGGATACCTCCGCCACCGCTGACGGCTGTTTGGCTGGCGGTCTGCACAGGCGGAGGCGAAGGCTCCATCATCCACCGGTCTTCATCGGGACTGGCATCGAGCCTGAGGTCGAGCGAGTCCGCTCCAAAGTCGTCCATGGGTGTGCCTAGAGCCACGCCATGCGACGTCGATCGCTCGTCAGCGTCGCGCCTGGCTCGCTCCGAGTGGATTGACATAGTTTGGCTTGGAACCTGGCCCTGGCTCTGGCGCTGGCCTTGACTTTGGCTCTGGCTCTGGCTCTGGCTCTGGCTTCGGCTTCGGCTTTGGCTTCGGCTCCGACTTTGATGTCGCTCCTTGCGCGAACTGCTGCTACGATCGTCTCTTCGTGAGCTGCTGCCGTGATCGCTTGGGGCTCGCGCATCAGGCTCTCGCTCTTTGACGGCCATGTCGGATCGTTTTCGGTCTCGATCTCGGTCCCGGTCCCGGTCGCGTTCCTTGGGTCGATCATGCTCACGCTCTCTTTCGCGATCCCTGTCTCGATCCCGGTCCCGGTCCCGGTCTCGGTCTCGGTCTCGACCATGTTCGCGTTCACGTTCCCGATCGCGATCGCGATCACGGCCACGGTCCCGCTCCCGGTCTCGTTCGCGGTCATGATCTTTGCGGCTTCGATCTTGCTCCCGGTCGCGATCTCGATCTCGATCCCGTTCACGGCCACGATCACGATCACGGTCGCGATCACGGTCTCGTTCACGATCTCGATCTCGCTCTCGTTCACGGTCCCTGTCTCGATCGGCTTTGTCGGATCCGCGATCATGTCGTGGGGAATCCAGAGTTGGTCGCTTTGGCTTGTCGCCGGCGTCGGCCTCGTCGGCGATGGACGCCTCCCGACCTTCTTCCCATTTGCGCTTTTCGCCCCGATCGTCGTCCGAGCCTAGGTTCTTGGAATCGGTTGCTCCGAGGGCGGGCCCTTCGCGCTCACTGCCTCCGGGCTCGTTTCCTTCGTCGCGACTGCGGTCAGACCATCGGCTTGGGTTCATAGGACCGCCGAAGCTAGGGCCGCCGTGTGGGCCTGCATTTCCGGGTCCGCCAAATGCCCTGTGTCATGCAAGGGGCGAAGGCAGCGCGGAGTCGTAAGGAGGGGGGGGAGAGTAAGTCAGTCAGTCGCCTGTCAAATTTCATATACCCGCATGACTGACTTGCTGCTGATCGCTGTCATTGATGTGCCCACCGTTTGGCTTACATCACAAGCGCTGCGAACCCTCTCGCTCGATAAAGTGTGCTTCAACATCACCCACCCATCATGAACCCAGCTGCATCGCTCACGCCACAGCAACATGCCATCAGTCAGCCTGACTTGTCAACCGCCACCCACTCCTTGCACATCCAACAGTCACCCGCGATCCTTACCTGCCACGAGGAGGCTGATTGATAAAGCTACCGCGTCCAAATCCGCCAGTCATCGGATCAAAGTCGGCTTCGATGCCTTCAAATCCGGGTCCGTGGGGCCCACCTCGTTGCTCGAAGAAGCCTTGAGCTCCACGGGGGCCAAACTCGCCTCGCCCGAATCCACCCATGGGTCCAACTCCGGCAGCACCGCCGCTGCCACCACCACCGCCGCCGCCGCCAACACCAACACCTCCACGGCCAAAGCCTCCGCCCATATGCGGGAATCCTCCGGAACCGCGAAACCGAGGATCCATTGGGCCGCCCATCATCATGGGCGATGGTTGAAAGTCGGCTTCAAAGAACCGCCCCGGCATCGAGCCATGACCAAAGTTGCCGTGGCTGGGAAGGAACGGAGCACCCAGTCCGGGAGGTCGAAAGTTGGGCGGCATGCCGCCGCGGCCCATAACCGGGCGAATTGCAGGCCCGCCGCGTCCTCGGTCCATGACGTCCGGTGCTCCCAGCATCCCAGGCATCGATGGCAGGCCATGTGGCGGCTGAATGGGCGCTAGACCGACCATGGATTGAAGTGGCTGCATCGGCTGCATCGGTTGCATTGGTTGCATGGACTGCATCGGCTGCATCGGTTGCATTGGCTGCATTGGCTGCAAGTTGGCGTGTGTGATTTTTGGCGGGGCGCTAACCTTGGGGATGCTATACTCCTTTCCTTCCTTCGTTCCAACGGTTCGGAATGGGCTACCTGACTGGTTGGGAGGACCAAAAGTGACGAGGGGTTTCCGACCGTGTATTTCACTGCGGAACGGTAAGTATCATTGAGGGCATCAGACGTTTGTGGAGCGGACAGATATGTACAACGAGATCAATGGTCCGGACATTGAAGCTCGCGATGGCAGGAGCAGCCACAGAGGCAATACAGGTACAGAAGAGCTCCGCGCACACACCGCCGCGCCCACAACCACAGCGACTGCGAGCGCCGATAACAACACAGACTACTACATCGATGGTATCCGCAACAGCAAACAACGGCACTGATATACATGGGGTCTACACGACACTAAAATACACATCACAGTTCAGCCCACTGTCGCACTAAGCTACAGCCATGCTGTGATCGCCGCTGCAGCCGATCCGACTATCGCGGCATTCATGGATCTCGGCACCGGAGAGGAGGTGTTCACGGGTCACGTACATCTTATCGAAAAACTCCTTCGCGACGGCAGCAGACTCAGGGTTGGTGAATTCCAGGTATGCGATACCCTTGGACTTGCCGTTGACACGGAGTTCTTGGAACGTAATCTCCAGAGGCAGGACCTGGTCTCCGACTCCGGCATCGACACAGACTTGACGCAGATCCTCGTCCGTGGTGTACTGCACGCGTTGGCACGCGGTGCGAGACAGAAACGACCGAGAGTAGAGTGAACCGCGAGTCATCGGATTCACAGTTTGGGTGCGGGAGCCACAGTTGGAGATGTGATCGGGGGAGATTCGGGTGGTTGTCCGCAAAAAGAGGAGCGGAAGGAGGCGAGTCGATGGAGGAGGGGTGGTATCAAGTTCCGGATTCCGTTTGCAGATAGATTCATGGCGGGTCGAGATATTCCAAGTTTCAGTGTATCCGGTTGAACGTATAGGGAATGGCGGAGTGCAGACGATAAGAGGCACAGGGAGATCAGCCAGCGCCGCGCATCACGCACCAGGGTCCTTCCACCACACCCAGGGACAACGGCGTGTCCAGACAACCGCAGTCTGACTGGACAGACGATTGCAAGAGAGACTTACCCAGGTGAGATCCTGCACAAACAGTGACCTGCTGCCGTTGCCCAAATGTGCGGGCTGCGATCGCGGCGGATGCGCTGCGGCACCGGTGTGCTTCTCCGGTACTGTTAGTGCCTCGGGGCTCGTGCTTGCGCTCGACGGATGTGGTTGCTTGGGATCATCCTCCAGGCGCCCTTCGCCGGATGCTCCTGCGTCTTCTGTGGCGGGCTTTGGTCTTGCATCGTCATCCACACCGGTGGCCTTGGGGCTGGATGCGGCAGGGTCTAGCGAGTCGGCGTTGCCGGTCAGGCTTTCGTTGTAGATTTTCGTGGACTTTGAAAAGTCCCCATAGATGTCCTAGAGCAGGATAGGGCCCAGGATTGCGCGGATAGATGGAGAATAGGGCTGGTTGGAAGAGGGGGAGGCGAAATCTCTCCCGCGGCAGCATTCATGTCGGTGCGCTGGGACGACAAGCAGTCCTGTAGCAAGAGCCCAATGCACACCAGTGCGGTGTCAAACCAACCTCGCCGTCGGCTCCGAACGAGCCGTAGGTCCCTCCGAGATCCTCGCCGTACAGATCAAAGTCGTCGTCGGCCATGATCGCCTTGGGGCGCTGGGCTCGGTGCTGGCGGTGGGGTGTGCCGGAGCGAGCAGAGCGGGTGCGTTGTCAAGGAAAGTTGCGGGATCTCGACAGAGTCGGGCGCTGGCGGCAGCAACAACCCCGCCAGCAAATGAGCGTTCATATGCCCTGTTTGGGATGCTGTGTGGCCAGGAACACGGCGACCATGAGCAGCCCACCACCACAGGAATTCCCACCGAGCAAGCACCCCGACCCAACACCAACGCACAGAGTCAGCGGAGGTGTTGATTGATCGACACCAATATATTCAGGCGACAGGAGACGCCAGGCACTGGATATTTAGCCCTCCTTTGTTCCAGCTCTTCGACTCGCACACCGCTTGGCTTCGCAGCCGCCGCCGCCGCTCGCCAACAGTTCAGTCCATCTCAATTGTCGCGTTGCTGCAGTGCTCGCCCAGGTGCGGCGCTTGAATGGGTATTGGCTTGACTAGATCGTCGTCGCGGGGTTGCCTGGGCTCGGGCGCAGACTCGTATGGCTGTGCTGGAGGTAGCGACGGGAGAAGCTGGTCGGAGGACGGGTGCTCGAGAGCATCCTTGGAGAGCACAACGCCGAGTGTCGCCAGACTACTGATACGAGCCCCGATCTCGACCTCACAGTCGTTGCGGACAATGATCACGGCGCATCTGCAGTTGTGGGCGAGATAGTCTACAGTACGGCGGCGAAGGAGCGAGGCGATGTCGGGGGACGAATGCGAATGCAGGTGAGTGTAAGGGCATGTGTAAATGCAAGCGGATGCGGTTCTGATCAGATGGAGTGCGAGGTCAGGCCAAGCACCGAGGCCGGGTATTTGGCGCTGTTGGTGTATATCAGTTCGGCCAAGGCAAGCGACATCGTATGTACCTGATACCGAGCCCATGAGTGCCCTGCCAAGTCCCATTGAAGATCAGCCCCAAGACAATGCTCGGACCACCAGGCCACACAGCCCCGCAACAACTCAATGGCCCTGCTCTCCGATCTATGTGTGCTGCACCCAAGCGAGCTTACCGCTTGAGGGCACTCATCCCACGCGAGCCTACGATCAGAGCATCTGCGCTCAGTTCGTGGACCTTGCGAGTGATCTCTTGGCGCGGATCGCCGCGCATGGCGATTCCCTTGACTGCGATCTGTCCAGAATGATCAAAGGACACAAGGACCGCGAGTTGGCCTCTGTTCATCGCATTCGCATTGCATCGTGGCCGAGTCCAGCTCACCTGTCGTTGCTTGAGCGGCCTAGATGCTCTTCGCAGCAACCTGTGAGACTCCTCTCGATTCTGGTTCACCGGGTTCCCAGCGCGCGTCAGCGAGAGCATGAGCAAGATCGCTGCCGACATGTTTGTGCAGACCAGGTGGCCCTCACCTTTTCCTCGGTGCGAAGAATGTAGTCTGGCCCGCATCATAGATCCATTTAGGTGACGCCATGGCAAGATTAGGAGCAGATCAAGCCAGCAGTGCGGGTTGCTGATCATCGTCAGCAGCAGACAGACACACTCGCCAGGCGAGTTTGCTTTGATTGTTGGGCAGGACCGGGCCGCCCGAATTGCGATCCCTGCATGACGGGCCCGGCAGCTACATGGCACATTATACTCGAACTACTGTACAGCCTCAACGTCCTCACCCTGGAAGTCCATATATGCGCTTCCAAATGGCCCCGGGAGCGTCACGATCGGGCGAACATTCACAAGCACCACCAGATCGCTCTCGGGCCGCAGGAAATTGTCCAGGCTCCACGAGAATGCCTTTTCGCTGTGATCTGCTCCGGCCGAGCGTTTGGATCGGCGGTCGATACGGAGATGGCGCAAATGGCTGGGTGAGTACTTCTCCTTGGCCGGCCCAGCTTCACGGACACGCTGTAGCCATCGCAAAGGATCAGTGCTGTCGGGTGATCAGCTGCGGCTGCTACCTGACTTGTCCAGGGCAATGACGACCACTCGAGTGATGTTTTGCGGCGGCGGTGGAGCATAGAGCCCCTGTGATCCAAACGGCGATGACAGAGAAAGCTCCGAGTCGAGGATACCCGGCGCCGGTCCGTGCTGGGGCTGGGACATTCCCGATCGTAGATATAGCGCTTGTTGCCGATTGCAAAGGACAGCGAGCAGGACAGATGAGCAACGCAGACCGAGCGCAGGTTGTTTCGTCTCGGCGCCCGTCGGTGGGCGATAGATCGGGACGGGGAATTTTCACCCCCAGGGTCTCCCGCGCTGCTCCGTTGCAAGCGCTGATCCGAGCGAGGCCGCTGCAATCTGCCGCCGGATTGCTTGCGGAGATCATCCAATCGACTGCTGAGGGCTTTCTTGCTGCATTCGAGTGATCCAGACCGCTGAAATGATACTATATTGGTGGCCGAGACCGAAGCCTTGCGGCGAGAGATAGATATACAGACACCCTCCCGTCTCCTCCAGCGGCAAGTTTCTCATCGATTGAAGTAGATCTTGACCCTTGGGTTGTGGACCTTGAGTCGCTGGACGCTCGGGGACTCTCGTGCATGGGGCGGCAGATACAGCCGCCGGAGTGCAGCAAGCTCCAGGAGGGGCTCTACGTCTTGCACTGCTGTGCCGGAGAGATAGAGCCTCTCCAGTCGCCGAAGCGATGCAAGCGGAGCGAGATCGCCAATGCCAGTATGATCCAGATCCAAAGTGTGCAGCCCAACCAGATGTCGCAGCGGCTCAAAGTCGACGATCCGACGACACCCGACCAGACTCAGCCGAGAGAGGTTGTCGGCAAAGAGCGGCAGCCACGATATATCGTCCAGGGCCTCTCGTGCCAATCGCTCGGAGGGGCTGCCATCCTTGTATGAGTGGCCAAAGCCGTTGATGATGCTGTAGTTGTGGTTTGGGAAATAGAGCTGCTGGTACCGAGCTCGTTCCTGGGTATCCTGGCTGTTGGCTTCAGGCCGAATCTCTTCCATGGCTGTATGGCCAAATTGGACACGATGGTATCGCCTGCGGGAGGTTGTGATGGAAGTCCAAGTCCAAGGCCTCGACTGATCAAGACCAAGCCGGCAGAACGAGGCTGGCCCATGAACCAGTCGCCCCTGCCCGTGTTCTGGCTGCCCTGCTGATGGAGATGGCTATCGCTTGGCGGATGCTGATGCTGCTCAAGCTTTGCCATCCGCCAGTAACGGCACTCTGTCGCAGCTCCGTCCTCCGCCTGGCGCCATTCGGGGTCGCAAGGGATTGTCCTGGATGGTTGTTGGGCGGAGACAATGACTTGCAGGCGCCGGGAGAAAGCACTGTCCAATGCCAATCAGGGCACATTAAAATTGACCGATCAGGGCAGGGCATTGCTATGGGCAGGACATTGCTCTGGGCAGCAAGTGGCCCTGAATCGGACCCACCGTCGCCGTCGTCGTTACAGCGAAGCCGATTTGATCAGCCATCTCCAAGCATCATCGGATTTAACCTTCTCGTCCCGATCTCCGGCCGGCTCGCCATAGACGCAACGCATACATGATCCAGATTCCTCGCTTCAATTTCAAGAGAGTCCTGGTGGTGATCACGCTTGTCGTGTGGCTCCAAATGCTGTACTCGGTCTCTCTCAAGTACCAGATGGTCGTCTCGCTGGTTGAGAAGATGCCGCGCTCTATCGACAGCCACTATGACGAGCCCTTCATCGTGCTCCGGTCCAACGGCGACTTTGAATCCTTTCGCATCGAACGCCAGACTCCCCGGAAAGTCGTCTTGCCCGACAAGGCCCGCCAGGACGCCGGCAAGACGGTGCTGATCCTGTGCATCCTGCATGGCGATCACTCGTTCGGGAGCGGCCGCAACTTTTCCTCCTTTCTCCAGATGATCGCCGCGTTCGAGTACCCAATGTATCAGCTCAGCCTGGGCTTTCTCATGTCGGATTATGAGGATCTCCAGTCCTCAATCCCGATTCTCGACCAGTTCGTTCGCGACAACAACCTTGCCGCCGGCGCCATCTATTTGCAGCCCCAGGAGGAGACGTCATCGCGCGAGATGCGACAGAGAGACGATATCCAGAGGGAGCGCCGGAGCCTGCTGGCCCAGCTGCGAAACAGATTGCTACTCTCGACCCTCCGCCACGAGGACGCCGTGCTGTGGATCGACTCGGACATTGTCGAGATCCAGTCCGATGCCCTCAAGCAGTTTGTGCGGTCGGGTCTCGATATCGTCACGCCCTTCTGCCGATTCGGCACCAAGGGAATGGAATCCTACGATGGTGTGTACTGTCCACTCAGCACGAATGTTGCCGTGGCCATCCAACTGACGCATCCTTGCTTCACACCAACACAGGCAACGCTTGGGTCGGGAGGCGCAAAAGGCCCAGCGAGGAGCAATGGAAACAGATCAAAGAGGGCACGACAAGCGACTTTGTTCCCAATGGCGACGGTGCAGAAATGGTGGTGCATTGGATCGACAAGGACGATAAAGTTGTCGAACTCGACTCTGTGGTGGGTGTTCTTGTGGTTGCATTGTCGACATTGCAGTTCTCGGCACTTTACCGTCGCTGTGTTTCGACTGGATGCGCTTCCACAACCACAACGGCCTCCGATCTCTGATACTCGAGCAAATGACAACACCGCCTCCCACTGGCATCGCTCGCGGGTCTCGACACTTTGAGCTGACATGATTCTCCACACTCCATACTCCATACTCCATACTCCACACTCCACACTCCACACTCCACACTCTGTGATCCGTGCACTCCCCACCTCTCAAGGGCGGGACGGTGCTCTATGTTCGCGCAGACGTGCACCGCAACGGCGTCAACTTTCCCCCGTTCTATCTGATCGGATCAGACTGGGACGCCAAGTATGGCGGCTATGACGGCATCGAGACCGAGGGACTGTGCTATATCGCCCGGACGATCGGATATCGGTGCTGGGCCATGCCACACATCACCGTGTCCCACACCTACTGGCAGGAAACTCCCAAACACCCACGGAAATCTGATTAGCGGTATCTGTTGATGGCAAGTTGACTTGTTTCAAAAACACGCTTTATCAGTGTGCTCCTGCCCTCAGTGTCATTCGTACTCGGCAAATCGACGTTCTGGGAGGTACAGCATATCCAGAAAGAAACGGGACACTTTCCCTTCCTGGCTTCAGATGTCTGAAACCCACTGACTGACTTGTAGGCCCAGCGGGTAGGCCATGGCATTGCACTCCTGTCTTCGTTGGCAATCTCTTTGTTTTTGGTTGGTTTGGGAAGCACAGTCTTGAATACACCCGGTCGATCTCCTGTGGCGATGATCGACTGGCATACCGAGATCATGTTCCTTGAGGCATTGATGTCTCGATCCCACAGCGTATGGCAGCTTGCACAGCTCCGGACAAAGTGTGGGTTCTCGACATCAAGATGCTCGACCTTCTCGAGTCGCTTGGCTTCCCGACAATGTGAGCACACCTGGGATGTGTTGAACTCGTTCACCGAGCACACATGGATCTTGGAGACGGATCGGTCCGGTGGTCGTCTCTGGTGATGGTGGAATTGCTCAAAGTACTTGGCAAACCTGAGTCTCCTGGGACTGGATGTATATCCCTTCCACTGTTTCCAGGAGGCATTCCCAAAGGCAATCACCACTTCGGTCTCCTTGGACATACTTGCTTGGCCATGAATGCGATGAGTGGGTGGGTGTATTCAGGTTCCAGAAAAAAGCACTGTCCTGGTTAGAAACGGGGGTGTTCCATTTCATTTTGGAATCGTTGTAGTTGCATGCGTTCTCAACTGAGGCAATCTCCTATGTGAGGGGCTGTTCACCTAGCAGGTCTCTCGTCAAGACCTGATTTCAATGAGCTCCTCCATCGCCAGTTGCGATCGGTATTCACAGTGCAAAGTCACCCTCAAGGCCATCGACCATCTATCAAGGGTGCTTGGTACATCATGTTTCATCAACAGCCTCAGCCGCAGGGCATTCACGGCCTTTGGAAAGGACGCTGTCCAGTGGCTCGAGTCCCTGGACACCCGCAACGACATCATCACATTCGAGTGCGGCACCGCACCTGCGAGGAGCAATCGAATAGATGGCGGGTATGCATTCTTGAGGATTCTCATCGGGACAGCCAAGCGGCTCGTGGGTATCGAAGGCAAACGAGAGATCATGATGCCAGATATCGCAAAGAGCCATGCAAAGTTCAAGATGTCAAACGACTCGATCGAGTATATTGCAGAATGGCGACCGAGACTGCAACGCCAAGTTGAGATGACGATAGACTCGACTGAGTCTCTTCCACCCACTCATGGATGACTTCCGAGTCTTTGGCGAATTTATGGCTCCGCTCCATGCTTCTCAAGCGGAGCCTTCCGAGGCTGATTCTCTGGCTAGGCAATTGCGAACGACTCCCGGAACTTGATTGTATTGATTTGATAAAGCCCTCGGCCGCCCACTGGTTCGGCCTGAAACACCGTGGCTCTGGCTATACGCAAGAGCTATTCATTGGTCACCTTACAATGACATCCAGGCTTGGACTTGGGTGGAAAACCCTGGGCAGCCAGACCTATGCTCTAATTCAAGTGGCATAGTAGTGTTGTATTAGACCATCCAAGTCGAATTGTGATACACCTCTACATTTGTATTTCCTGGGCATAGGACTGACTTTGTGCTTCAGAGAGTGCCCGGCGGTAATATGAAACTTGGGCTTGTATCTCGAATGTGTTGAGGAAGATTGGCTGTGGAGGCGGAGCGGTGAGTAAGAGCCGAGGATGTGGGGAGGTGGACGAATGCCACTTACCAGGATGATGACGGGGCGGTATTGAGGTATTTTACTAAGCACGATGAATGCACTGGATGAAGGAGTGAGTTGATGGTTCCAGTCGAAGAGGGAGTGTGGAAATTTGGCTGAGTGAATCCCGTGGCGGACCCACTGTGGTGCATAACGTCGGTCGATTACGACCCACTTGGACGAGGTTGGGGAGTCGGACGGAGCCATGATATCGGCAAGATTGTTATCGGCACGAACCCACTCGTCACCGCGACGGACCCAGCGGATTTCCTCATCAACAACATCGCGAGACAGAATTGAGTTGTCATCTGGTGAGATCTCCACAGAGATCACACCCTCTGTATGCCCCTCGAGGGTGTGCTTCACCTGGCCCGTGGCACAATCCCACACCTTGACGGTGAGGTCAAATGAGCCAGAGACAATCCACTTGCCATCGGCTGAGATCGTCACCGACCACACACGCCATGTGTGCCCCACGAGGGTGTGCTTCACTTGGCCATTGGTGGCATCCCACACTTTGACGGTACTGTCATCGGAGGCTGAGATAATCCACTTGCCATCGGGTGAAATCGCCACGGATGTAGCGGTATCGGTGTGTCCCTCGAGGGTATGCTTCACTTGGCCTGTGATGGAGTCCCACACCTTGATGGTCTTGTCATCAGAGCCAGAGGCGATCCATTTTCCGTCGGATGAGATTGCAACGGAGTTTACCGTCCCTTTGTGTCCTTCGAGGGTGTACTTCACTCGCCCAGTGATGGAATCCCATACCTTGATGGTCTTGTCCCATGAACCAGAGGCAATCCACTTGCCATCAGGTGAGATTGAAACGGAATTGACAGTGTCTGCATGTCCCTCAAGGATGTGCTTGACTTGGTCAGTGGTAGCATCCCACACTTTGATGGTCTTGTCGAATGACCCAGAGACAATCGACTTGCCATCAGGCGAGATCGCCGCGGAGTACACAATATTTGTGTGGCCCTCGAGCGTGTGCTTCACTTGCCCAGTAAAGGCATCCCATACCTTGATGGTCTTATCCGAAGAGCCAGAGATAATCCGTTTGCCTTCGGGTGAGAATGCTGCAGATGTAGCGGTATCTGTGTGCCCCTCGAGGGTGTGCTTCAATTCGCCAGTGGAGACATCCCACACTTTGACGGTGCTATCATTAGATCCAGAGACAATCCACTTTCCATCGGGTGAGATCGCCACGGAGTACACATGTCTTTTGTGTCCTTCGAGGGTGTGCATCAGTTGGCCAGTGATAATATCCCACACCTTGATGGTCTTGTCCCATGAACCAGAAGCAATCCACTTGCCATCGGGTGAGATGGACGCGGAGGTAACAGTGCCTGCGTGTCCCTCGAGAGTGTGCTTCAACCCGCCAGTGGAGACATCCCACACCTTGATGGTCTTGTCGATTGAGCCGGAGACAATCGAATTGCCATCGGGTGATATTGCAACGGAGTTCACAGCTTGAGTGTGCCCCTCGATGGTTTGCTTCAGTTGACCCGTCACCACATCCCACACTTTGATGGTCTTGTCACGAGAACCAGAAGCAATCAGCTTGCCATCAGACGAGATGGCCACGGAGTTCACACTATCTAGGTGTTCCTTGAGGGTGTACTTCACCAGGCCAGTGGCGGCATCCCACACCTTGATGGTTTTATCCAAAGAGCCAGAGACAATCGTCTTGCCATCTGGCGAGATCGCCACAGAGTTCACTTGGCTCGAGTGACCAGTAAGTGTCATCTCACACGGATCCCAGGTCGGTGCTGGACCGGCTGTGACCAGGAACGGGATCTTGTCCTCGAGTTGGGTGGCATATGTCTTGTAGATCGCCGTCTCCTTCGGCGTGAATGCATACCCCGAGTTGTACACCTGTGGCGCACTCGCAATGATCGGATCGGCAAACTCGCGGATGAATCGATACGTGTCCTTGACCAGTTCCTTCGTGGTGTCGTCGACGATGGTGCTGGGTGCCTTGTCGATCACTCCTCGGAGCACAGCCAGTTGCTCGATGATCGACTTGACCACATGTGTGAGCGACCCACACTCGAGCCAGAAGAACACATGCGTCTTGACGAACCGAGTGAGCACCGCTGCCACATCGACCATCTCGGTCGACTGCCACACCGGACTCGACTCGGCCACTCCTTCCACACACCACACAAAGTGCGTGATCCAGTGGGCGACGCTGTATCGCAGCGACGGTGTGATCTTGGCTGCGACCCTGTCCTCGAGGTCGGCGATATTGTCGTGGAACTCGTAGATATCGCAGATGTTGATCACTGGCTCATGCGAGAGGATCACTCCGAGACATTCCTTGGCAAACACCGTGTGGAACGAGCTCGACACATGCCACGGCTGGCCAGTCGATGCATCGCCGAGGAGATAGTCCGCCACCGACTTGTGGTTGAACTTGACCTCGGTATTGGTGGACTGGCTGCCTCGGGGACCCAATCCATTGGCGCCAGGATCGAGGACCAGACTGAGGCTCTTGAGACACTCGCGAACGACGCCGATCTCGAGTCCAAACACATCGGCGATGATCTGTGGGGTCAGGATCGACTGGGCCGTGGCGATCGCCGACACCACCGTGACCAACTCGGCCGGATGGCTCGACTGCGAGTGGATCTTGGCGAATGTCTTGTGGTACAGTCCCTTGAGATCCACCGACGAGTCGTTGATTTCCCGGATCATCTCGAGGGTCAGTGTCCGTGGCTCGTGTGCTGCGTCGCTCTCCTCGCACGGCGTCGATCCAGGCTCGGGAGTCTCCAGCTCGTGCTCGACGGTGTTGAGGATCAGGTTGATCCACACGAATGTCTTGGACTGGTCCAGCAGCACCGAGATCGCCTGGGTGCGGTCCGACTCACTGAGGCTGGGATGGTCCCTGAGACGATGGTCGATGAACACCCGGAGGTCGCGGATGTTGTCCTCGCTCGACGGCTCGATCGTCGTGGTCGGCACTCCTCGGAAGGCATCCCTGATGTCGGCCTCGGGGCGGGACGTCAGCAGCAGCTTGATCCGGGACTCGTCCTTCAGCTGTGTGAGTCGCCAGGCCAGGAGCGACAGGATCTCGTCGCGCGGATGGCACTCGTCCAGTCCATCGACCATCACCACGACGGCTCCCTTGGGCCGGTACTGGCCAAGAGCCTCGAGTGGATCCTCAATCACGGCCTTGAACAGGTCCGGGATGCTCATCTTGTCGAGGTCGTCCTTGGAGTGGCCAGCGTCGAGGAGCCGACGGCCGATCGGTGCGTACCAGCGACACAGTCCATATGCGATAGTGGTCAGCAGGATGCGGGGGTTGTTCTTGCGGGTGTCGTTGTACTTGAGGAACAGCGATGTCGCCAGCTGGTCCCGGCCAAGCAGGATGTTGGCGATCTGGGCGGCAGCGACGGACTTGCCGACACCGGCGACGGCATTGACCCACAGGACCAGGTCGGCGTTGTCGTCGTCGTCGACCCAGGCAGTGACATGGTCAAACAGCCACTGGCGGGTTCCCTCGACATACAGATCCTCGAGCGCCTTCCTGTCGGGGTCAAAGTCGATGGGATCGAGCAGGACGCGGAGCTGCGAGTCTTCGTCGGCAGCGAGGACGATGGGTCGGCTCTGGTGGTAGAGGATGCCCTCGGCGATGGCCCTCTCGGTCTTGGCCACAAGCACTCGGATGTACGGAGAGAGCCTGAGTTTGGTGGCGGGGGATGGACGAGTGCGAAAGGGAATGGAGTCAGTTGGATGTGGTCAGATGGATGTGCAGCAAGGTGATGCGATGTATATGGTGTCGTGTGGTGTTGTGAGAGGAGTCTGATGCAGCATGGTGTGCATGGCATTGATGGTGTGCATGACATGGATGGTGTGCATGGCGTGCAGGATGTTGCGATCAAGCATGACAGCAATGCAGAAGAAATGGCTTGCCATCGATGGGCTGACAGCAGCCACCCACCTCATCACCGCCGTCCCATCGGCTGCATTGAACTGCTGGAGAGCCAGGACATCTCGGATGGTCTGGCGGATCGATACGGGCTTGCCGTCGACGAGGGGACTCAGATCGTGGCAGGGCGGCTCGTCGGGAAAGTCGTCGGGGTTGGGGAAGTACTTGGAAGCATAGGTCTGGTTGTTGATGATGCGGGTCGACCACATGTAGACGGGCTGGACGGTCACCGGGCGGCCGGTGGTGGCCGACTCTCGCATCCGACGCAGGGCATGCTGGACCTGAGTGTGAGTGTGAGTGTCAGGGACTATCGAGTGCAAGTGCATCGACATGGATGCTCGGCCAACCGCTCGCTTGCTCACCTCCAGGAACTGGTTGTCTGGCTTGAGGTGTGCCTCGCGGGTGCGGCTCAGTCCCCGCTCCGACAGAACCAGCACAATGACCTGCGAGTTGACCAGGCCGTTGATGAAGCCCGTCTCCCAGTTCATGGCATCGACGAGACACAGCTGGTCGAGGTACGGACACAGGTTCTTGTCGTATTGGCTGGACGACTTGAGGGCGGCGTAGAGCTTGATTGCGGGCATCTCGTCGCTGAAGACTCGATAGCTGGGCAAAGAGGCGATGGTCAGTGGGCACTCTGGATGTCGGTGTTGCCAGTGCAGACATGGACATGGATTGATGATCGACCGGCTGGAGTGCAGACACCCCACACTGCACCACAGACATCGCCGCACCTGATGAACACCTCGTGGTCCCTGTTGCCCAGCTGGCACTTCCATCCCCTCGCCAGCGGAGGCGGTCTGTATCGGACCACAGGGAGAACAGCATTCTCGCTGCCATCGGGTGTCTTGGATGGCGGTGGCTCGCTCTTGTGGACGGCAACAAGCGGCTCGCTCTTGTGGACGGCAACAGGCGGCTCGCTCTTGTGGACGGCAACAGGCGGCTCGGTGTTCTGGCGCTGAGCTCGTTGAATCTTCTTGATGGCGCCGAGCTTGAGCCCGATCTGCTTCATCTCTGGCTCGGTCAGAGAGAGGACCTGGACAGGCAGCCGTTGTTCAGCAACAATGTCTGGATGGCCAGGGGTATCGACGGCCGCAGTGTCGGCGACATTCCATCGCCAGCACGGACATCGCCAACCATCGAGTGCATCATGCCATCGGCGACAGAGTCAAGCAACCCACCAGGTCGGTGCTGTTGATCTCGTTGTCGACCAGGAGGGTCTTGTTCCTGGCGAGATCGTGCTTGTCCAGGAAGGCATCAAAGTCTGGCACAAGGGTCAGCAGCAGACATTGCCGTCACCCGCCATCGGTGATGCATCATCAACAGAGGCTCACCTGTGGCTGCAGACATGGCACGCTGGCTGCTGGATGGGATGTGCGGACGGATCGATGAAAGAATCGATGGAAAGCTGGATGGGCTGGAGGTTGACAGATGGAGACGAGGGAGAGGCACCGAACATTGGGCCAAGTGGAAAGGGCGTGCCAAGTGGGCGACCAAGCACCGCCCCCATTCGGAATCGAGAACGTGACAACCCAGAGCGAGCTTGCGATGGTGGCAGTGGACGGAGAGATGCAGGGTGGCGAGGACAGGGACGGCGATACATGTGTGTATGGAGCCATAGCACCCACGATAACCATGAATCCATGCAGCGTGGGATGGGGCGGTGGGATTGCTGAGGTGTGGGGACAGGGACCAGACATGGTGCTGTCGATGCCAGGAGACAACGACACCAAATCAACGCAGCTCGGCGCATCGCCATGTGTGCCATGTCTTGATCCTGTCTCGTCATGATCGTTGCATCACTCATCATGGTCGTAGCATCACTCGTTCTGTCAACTCCCGCCTGTGTCGATGGCCGTCCTCGGTTTCAATCGTCGTCTCTCGTTGCATCCAACTCGTCTGCAGCGCCACCAACTCGTTTGCCCATGATCACACCGATGCCAGATTGATCCCTCTGGATTGGACATGCACCTCAGTGGCAGGACGCTGACCAAAGATCCCTGTGGTCCGGGCACTTCCATGCAAGATTAGGGGCGGTGATCGCTCTGCCACCGCATCGCCTGTCTGATATAAACCTGGCATCAATTCCTCACCACCACACCTCACAGCCAAACCCGCTCAAACACCGCTCCAGCCTCCATTCGGCCGCCCACATACCACTTTCTGATTCCTTCGTTTTGCGCACATCTCCATCGTCACCATGAAGTTCATCATGCTCATCTGCGTCTCGGCCGCTGCCTTCCTCGCTGTCGCTCGCGCTGCCCGCTTCTTTGATCTTTCCCAGCTTGATTCGCACGGCTCCAGCTGTGCCTGGCCTGGCCACTGCGAGGGTGCCTCGTGCAACAACTACAACGACTGCTCTGGTGAGCTGATTTGCTCCAAGGGCAAGTGTGCCAAGAAGGATGACTACTGCTCCTGGAAGGGCCACTGCGAGGGTGCTTCTTGCAGCAGCGAGCACGACTGCTCCGACGATCTTGTTTGCTCCAAGGGCAAGTGCGCCAAGCCTTCCTGGAAGTCCTCTGCTGCCGTCGAGGGCTCGACCTCTGACGATAGCTGCGAGAGCGGCTTCTGTAAGTATCACCGAAGGTTGGCCGAGCCACATCCCTTTCTGGCTTGCATATTCGGCTGCTTCTCTGACCCAGCTTGCTCACCGATATCTTCATCCGACCTGTCTCAGCCGTCTCCACCTATACCGAGTGTACCTACCTCCGTGCTGAGCTCAAGAAGCTGTTCTGCCAGGATGGTGGCTCCGATCGTGTCTTCGCCTGCATGAACGCCGTCGACCACTCCGCCGACCAGTGTGTCAAGGCCGTCGACGACCACAAGACCTTCTGCTTTCCCCGGCACTATTAGGCACTCCGGCACGAGACTGGGCTGAGCTTTCCCGACTCTGTTTGGTTGCGGCCGGCTTCTTCGCCCTCCCCCATTTTTGTACATTAGTCTCGCTGCACACAGCCGCAGCGGCCTGTCCACAACAAGTGGCAAGTTGCTGCTGGCGGCGTCCCTGGCTCGTTGGACTAGTCCACCATCAGCCAAGAGCCATGAGGGTTCTGAAACGCATGGCACTCCATGCGCTTGAAGACTTTGGGGAGGGTGGTAGGACATGGCGCGGACAGGCATCGCCCTTGGAGGAGACTCTGTTGTTATATCTACACTTTGAATGACTCAGTCAGCAGGAAGTGAGTCGCTGGTAGGTGTGAGGTTAACTGTCCATTTCTGGCTCTCGAGATTCTCGAAAATCCAGATTGCTGATGCGATTGTACACTCAAACTCCGAAAAACCTCACCATCTGTGGTCAGAACTGGATATCTCCTTTCATATCGAGAAACTTCATGGCGCTTACATCAACGCTGGTTACATTGGCCGAGGACCAGGGCGATCGTTCTTGGTGATAGACTATGTACGATCCAGCGGCGCAAATGCATTGGCCAATCTGCAAGCCTCCTGCCTGAATGTGCACATGGATTCCTGTGATCCCGATACAGAGCGATTCTGCTGCCTTCCACGGCATTACTCTTCAGTCAAAGTGCACACCAATGGTGGGGCGGGCGGCTTGTACAACTCACGTCGGCGTTGGCCTGTCAGCGGCAGCACGATTCGGCAGGGCTCTTCATTGGTTCTGGAGCCGCCCTCGATAAGGTGATGCCTTGTCGCCATCACCCAAGCGTTGCTTGCTCAGCCCGGCCTGTGTGTCTGTTTCGAACGACTCCGCATGCTGTCCGGCGCCAGGCGCGGAACAAACGTGGTCCATGCAGCTTGCGAATCGACTGGGCCTTTGCCGACGGCAGCACCGCCACGTCGCATGTCAAAGTACAGCCCTGTCGACTCGGGGCTTCACGCGTTCCTCCGGCGGCTCGTCTGGCCTTGTTGACTGAAACGGTGTAAGCAGGATGGATAGAGGCATGCCCACGCATAGATGGCAAAGGCCTGCTCCCGCCGCTCCAGGCAGGCGAAGGGCGGCATTCGCCTCATGTCGAATCACCATGCCTCCTCCACCCAGAGCACGACATCATCCGCAGCACGACACGGAGGTCCAGGTCATTTTTGCAAACCAATCCGGTTCGGTTCGGTTCGGGCAGCTCCGAGTTCTGGTTCAAGAGTCGCCGCCGAGTACCAGCCCGGCTGCTCGGCGAGCGCGGCTCACCGTCTTAGAGAGTTGTCGCGAGAATTTTTTTTTCCGGGTGATCAAACAAAACCCTTCGGTCAAGGCGGCTGGTCGATCCAGACGTTCCTGTCCACGTTGTCATTCGGAGAAGAAGGCTGCTGGCTGGCTTGCCTCCCCAGCCTCCGTGGACGCGTGTCTTACACAAATCCAGATTTGGCGAATGCAACACGCGCACAAGCGCCTGGCCCGGGTTTCGGATGGGTACTTGCTCGGCTTGCGCAATCGCACCGCACCTTTGACGGCCGGTTTGCAGTCGTTGTCTGGCGTGTGCTCGCATCTCCACAGACCTCGGTATCTATACCTCGGCGTCTGCGCCTGGCCGGCATCTACTCGACTCTTTCCACCTGCCATCGCTTTCAGAATGATTCCCGCAACCATCACCAAGCGGTCTTTGACCAAAATCCTTGCTGCCATTGCCACCATAGTTGCATTGACTCTTTTTGTGAGAGATCAGCAGAGCTCGTTTATCCGCACCAGAGCTTCGAATATTGCCCGGGCATCTCCCGCCTCCACTGGCGCATCCTCCAATGCATCCTCGCCCACACCGTCGGCTCTTCCGGTCGATCCGTATATCACCACCAGGTCCACTGGCACCCACAATTACATCCATCTGCAGCGCCAGAGCCCCGTGAACAACTCCTCCCTGAACCCTTACCGCGACGGAGACCTCGACAAGAACATTCTCATCCTCTCAAACTTCCACAACAGCCACTCGTTCGGAAAGAACCGTACCTTCACATCCTATCTCCAGACTATCGAGTCCATTGACTATCCGCGACATCTGCTCAGCCTGGGATTCCTCATCTCCGATTACGAGGACTATGAGGCCTTCATTCCCGAGTTTGAGCAGTTTGTCCGCCGACACAACCTCGCTGCTGCCTCGCTCATCCTGTACATCAGGGAGGAACCATTCTCCCGCAAAGACAGACAAAAGTCCGACATTCAAAAGTCTCGACGCAGCTTCCTGGCCCAACTGCGAAACAGACTGCTCATGTCGACTCTCCGCGATGAAGACGGGGTCCTGTGGATCGACTCGGACATTATCGAGATCCAGTCCGATGCCCTCAAGCAGTTTGTGCGGTCGGGTCTCGACATCATCACGCCCTTCTGCCGATTTGGCACCAACGGCACGAACAACTTTGATGGTGAGTGCTTCTGTTCGTGTCAGCTGGGTGAGGCCGCATGCAAGTCTGGGAATGCTCTCAGACCACCAGGGTGCTTCCCGCTACTAAAGTGTCCCTGGTTCTGACTCGACGCTGTTAACGCTGCCCTCTGTCTTCTCCACAATCTGTCGATGCAGCGAATGCGTGGGTGGGAAAGCGCACCCGACCCAACGAGCAGCAGTGGAAAGACATCAAGGACGGCCGGAAGACCGACTTTGTTCCCATGCACAGCGGGTCCAAGTTCGTCAGCGACTGGATCAACAAGGAAGATCGAGTTGTCGAACTCGACTCTGTGGTGGGTGTTCTTGTGGTTGCATTGTCGACATTGCAGTTCTCGGCACTTTACCGTCGCTGTGTTTCGACTGGATGCGCTTCCACAACCACAACGGCCTCCGATCTCTGATACTCGAGCAAATGACAACACCGTCTCCCACTGGCATCGCTCGCGGGTCTCGACACTTTGAGCTGACATGATTCTCCACACTCCACACTCCACACTCTGGGATCCATGCACTCCCCATCTCTCAAGGGCGGGACAGTGCTCTATGTCCGCGCAGACGTGCACCGCAACGGCGTCAACTTTCCCCCGTTCTATCTGATCGGATCAGACTGGGACGCCAAGTATGGCGGCTATGACGGCATCGAGACCGAGGGACTGTGCTATATCGCCCGGACGATCGGATATCGGTGCTGGGCCATGCCACACATTACCGTGTCCCACACTGCCCAACAGGAGAACCCCAAACCCAAGGGCAATGCCGAGTGAATCCGAGTCACGCGAGTAGTGGAGCTTCCCGCAGGGGCCATTGAGGGTTTAATCTTCTTGGCAGAGCCATCTTTCACTGCACTGTGGATGAACTCTTCACGGTCTTGTCCGAACACACAGGGTTGGCTTCTAGAGCGAGTTGTTGGGGATAATCGCTGCGAACGCCGATAGCATTTGTATATTCATAGCTTGAAAGCTGTAACCGATCATGTACGCTTCGCCAGTACACACCAGGTGGTCTTCTTCCGTCCAGATCCTTTCCCACTTGTTGGATGTTCATCTCGGGAACTATCGCGACTTGTTTACAGCGTTCCAAAATGAAATGGGACATTCCGATTTGAGCTTGGACTGTCGCTTCTTCGAGACCTGAATACACCCGCCCACTCATCGCATTCATGGCCAAGCAAGTATGTCCAAGGAGACCGAAGTGGTGATTGCCTTTGGGAATGCATCCTGGAAACAGGGGAAGGGATATGCTTCCAGTCCCAGGAGACTCAGGTTCGCCAAGTACTTTGAGCAGTTCCACCATCACCAGAGACGACCACCGGACCGATCCGTCTCCAAGATCCATGTGTGCTCGGTGAACGAGTTCAACACATCCCAGGTGTGCTCACATTGTCGGGAAGCCAAGCGACTCGAGAAGGTCGAGCATCTTGATGTCGAGAAACCACACTTTGTCCGGAGCTGTGCAAGCTGCCATACGCTGTGGGATCGAGACATCAATGCCTCAAGGAACATGATCTCGGTATGCCAGTCGATCATCGCCACAGGGGATCGACCGAGTGTATTCAAGACTGTGCTTCCCAAACCAACCAAAAACAAAGAGATTGCCAACGAAGACAGGAGTGCAATGCCATGGCCTACCCGCTGGGCCTACAAGTCAGTCAGTGGGTTTCAGACATCTGAAGCCAGGAAGGGAAAGTGTCCCGTTTCTTTCTAGATAGACTGTAGCACCCCTACCGAGCAGACCAAGCGTCGCGGCTCAAGGCTTGTCAACAGGTGTCTCGGTCTCTGTCCTGGATATGGGTGGCAGAGTTGAACTGCTGTTGCCCAGGATATGTCCTCGCCCGGGAAAGCGCATGTCGGACTGTGTTGGAACGCCGGAGGCCACTTGCTCGTATCCAGCACCCCTTTTGGATGAGGAGGAGTGTGTCGATGAGAGCAATGCCCCACAGATTGCCTGGTTAGTTGGTTGGTTCTTGGACCGCTGGCATGCAAACCTGAGCTTGCAACGGCCGGCTTGCGAGCTTGTGTAGTTTATGTCGAAACTGAACACAAGGACGCAACGATTGCACTTACAGAGAGAGCCCTGTGCTGAAAGTCGGCAAGCCCTCGGCAGCATGGCTGAAGAAACGAGAGCTGCGATAAATCGATTCTGGGAGCAGTAGCTCGATGCACGACTGCAGTGACTCGGGCGGCAGCAGGCAGGAGCGGGTCAAGAACCCTTCGTTGTCTGGAAGGTATAGCAAGCAAACACATGAGGGACACAGTCAAAGTGATGCACGCCGATCAGGACGAATCAGGACAGCCAGGCCAGCGATCGAGTCGTTTGCAACGAAGCTGCTCACACAGGTAGCCGACGAGAATGCCCGAGAGGTGGCCCAAGAAGCTTGCGGAGGAGCCCAAAAGAACTTGACCAACCAACAGCAGTACCCAGGGATGGAGGCTGGCCGCATATGTGTACGAGGTAAATGGCATTCTGGTCCGTTGGAAGGACACGAGGGTCAGAACGGAGGAGTATCGAGTACTAAAGAGCACTAAAGGATCACGAGGCGCCGACAGGACAAAACCCACCTGTGTTCGTGCTGGTCTCTCTTGACTTCAATAACGATAAAGGCAAACAGCACGGCCGAGAAGCCTACGGAGCAACTCTGGCTCCAGCTCGTCTGCTCGTTCGAGAGGTAGGCAGTTGTCGATGAGCGTCACTGGACAAAGTCGACCGCGGGTTGACTGCGAGCCAGACTGTGACAGAGTCGGATCGCAGCGGCATCAGGCCGGTGCAGCGACATCAAGACAGCACAGAAACACTCACATGCAACAAAACGTCGACAAACCCGGCCAACAGAACATGGATGATCGAGACCAGGGGTGCAAATAGCAGAGCACACCAGAGGAATAGGACCGATCCCATGCGCTGCTCGAGAAATGCGCCGTAGTGGACCAGGGCCATCGAGTTGAGCAAGATGTGGCCGAGCGATGCATGGATGAAATTGGCAGCGACGATTCTGTGGACTGCAGCGAGGGTAAGATGTGAGGCCGGACCCGACAGAGCCAATGCTTGGACTGCCGATGCAGCGCAGAGTACGAACATGGTACATACGTCCTTTGAGCTGCTGGATCTGATCTGGGATCAGACAGTTGGCTGCAACAGAAAACAGAGACGAAAGAGGGGCAGACTCGCCAAGCAGCCCCAGAGCCGCAGAAGCAAGATAGACCACCCAGCACACCAGTAGTAGCAGTGTCGTGGCATAGGGCAGGATGCGGAGAGCACGGAGGAGAGCCCGGACGCTGTCGCGCATGGAGCGAAGGACGGCGAGGAAGGGCTCTGTGTTCATCGAATGGGTTGAGGTTTGGGATCGACAGTCCGAGGGATGCAGAACAGATCGGTTGATGGCGGCAGAGCCGAGCAGATCAGTTCGGTCGATGGAGTTGGCCGCATGGCGGCTGGGTCGGGGGGGGGGATGTGGAAGGTGGCGATTCGCTTGCCCGGACGTATGGCCGAGTGCGACGCCGTTGCCCGGACAGACAGACAGATAGAGATGTGGTTATCCTGCATCGATGGCGTCAACTCGCTCTGGTCGTTCATGCTGCCATTCGGGTGTGATGGTTCTCATGTTGCAGTGCAATGGCGTCCATGATGCGAACTGCTTGTTGGGGATCTGTGCTGAGTGCCGCCCTCTGCAGCAATACAACTCCATTATATCAACTTCTTCAACATATCAACTCCTTCAATACATCAACTCGAGATACACATCACGTCCATCGCCATATCGCAGCCCTGCATCGCATCGCATTGCCGCTCTCGATCCCGCTTTCCATGGTGTGGTGGCGGTGGGGCTGCTCGTGCCGGTTCCAGCCACTGCCGGACGCCCAGCCCACAAAGTCACCCTCGGGCCACGCCGTCGCTGCAAGTCCCCATCGCACTTTCCCCGTCTTCCCCATCGCTCCTGCTGCTCGGCATCCGTCGCTTTCGCTGTCTCCGTACGAGCCCCCCCCCTCTCCCGGCCCTCTGATCTCCCTAAATCTTAACGGCTGACCCGTCCGCTCCCAGCCTAGGCCACCATGTCTCTGGGCTCAGTCGACAGCGGCTTCTTCCTACGCCAGTGTCCTCATCGCATCCCGAATGTGGCCGGAACCCAGGACCCGGGCGAAATCGAAGATGGCGACTGCTTTTGTGACTGCTGCCACACCATCCAGAACCTGCATTTTCTGCTCAAGCAAAAGGACGACGAGCTCAAAACTGCTGCAGGTACGCTGCTGCTTCCGCCCGCCGGCGCTGCACGGCCTCGGGCTTGCCTGCTTCATGTGCCCTGCCCCGAGTCTGCCTTGTGGCGATCTCGAATCTTTCTAATTTCGATTGCCTGGATCGACTGTGCTGGCCACCTGTGTGGGTCTGCAGAATACGGTCTTGATCTCTTGAGCAAATACCAGACGCTGGAGAGCCAGAGTCAGTTCCTTGCCAATGAGGTAAATGCTGCCGGGGACGCTGTCATACAGCCGGTGCTCCTGCCCGTCTGCGAAGCTGTTACCGCTGTTACTACTGCTGCCACTGTTGATGCTATCGATGCTACTACTGTTTCTGTTGTCCTTGGCCGCATCTTTGGTGCTCTCTGGCCGCATCTTTGGTGCTCTCTGGCCGCATCTGGCCATCACACCGCTGACCATGCCGCCGCCTGCCTCCCCGTCGACAACCCCCATGGCGATCGGCACTTTGCTTCCAGAACAAAGAAGTGAGGCTCAAATACGAAGTCCTCAAATCGTCGCATCTCGACGCTGAAACCCGGATCTCGGAATTTCAGCGCACCAACCTGGAGCTCCTGCGCCAAAACGAGACCACATCCAAGGTAGCCTGGACTTAGTTCCACCGCCCAAGCTTCGCTACAGACCACCAAACCAGCTGTTAGCATCTCACTCCGATCTTGCCCTGACTCTGCTCTCCCAATATCCCACAGAAACTATCAGAGGCAGCGTCCCTTGTGTCCCTCCTGGAAGAGAAAAATAGTATTCTCGCTCAGACCGTTAGCGAGAAGGATGTTGAGGTGTCCAAGCTCAAGAAAAACCTGGGCTATCTGCCGCTGCTGGAAAGCACCAAGCATGATCTGCAGGGCCGGGTAAGCCTGCCTTGCTCGAGGCCCGCGAGCTACGCACGCCGGCCGCTCGAACTTCGTCTGACTGATCCTGCTCGTGTGTGATTTTACTTGCCGCATCGGCTCCCACAGCTCGACTCGCTGTTCTATCAAATCACCGAAGGCCGTGTCCGCGAAGCCAGCTATCGCCGCAAGATCAGCCGTATGGCTGCGCGCTGCAACGAGCTCGAGATCCTGCTCGAACAGTCCAAAGACGAAGGCTCGGCCCTGAAGGAGGCCAACGAGCAGATACAGCGCGTTCGCGTGAACAGAAACCCGTATAGTCCTGGCCCGGTACGCTCTCTGACCATGCATCTGCGTGCGCCTCTGCAGTTGGCGCGGGTTTCTCAATCGGTCGGTATCGGCCGTTTGAGGGTAATGCTCGTTTTACCTGATTGCTGAGCCGCCACGTTTGTTTTGCGCGACTGCTCTGCGGAACTGCTGGATCCATGTTGCCTCTGGTTGCCATGGCGCTTGATGTCACGGCCAAATGACAGTCGCCAACTGTGTCCGAGGCACAAAGCGACCAAGACAACCAGGCCCTGTTTTCCCTCGTCAAGGAGCTCACCCTGATGAACAACAAGCTCAAGACCGAGCTGGCCGAATCTAAGGAGCTCTTGGACATGTCCAGAAACGAGATCACCGCGCTTCGCAGCAGCATGGAAATGTACGTCACCGCGTCCCCTCTTTCTCCTCGATTCGGAGCTGCTGGCTACGACCGCCACCTGCCGCCTGCCAACTGCCGACTCTGCTCGTCCACCATTGACATTACCTTTCTCTTGTTAGTGTCAAGAGTCCTGTTGCCACATCGGGTCCTATCAGTGCTACGCCACGAGGCAGATCGGTGTTTGGCGAACTCGAGTCGTATGTTCTCTCAACGAGTCTCCAGAAGCTGGCGCGCGAGAGTCGCATGCTGCAACGATCCAAGAGCGATGGTGGCACTGGCAAGCGAAGAAAGGTTCGTGCTCCGAGAGCAATGGGCCCGGTCCAGTCGACCGACTCTCAATCATGAAGGGCGGAGTTCCTGCAGATTTGCGTGTCTATCTTCTCTCCCCTATCCATGACCCCTTTCGACAGCGGATTGATGGCTTCGAAGCGTCGCCCTGCCGCGCCGTTTGTCTTGCCGCCTCGGCATTCGCATCAAATCTCGTGCTGACATTCATCACTCTATCACCGGATAGAACCGCGATCGCAAAGTGTCCGATGAACTGTCCATCGACACATTCGACCAAATGTCCATATCCTCGGATGCCATCGACGACACCAGCCACAGCGACGAGTGGGACATCAGCAGCGCCTCTGATCACGACTTTTCCACCACCCGGCGACCCAGTCCCTTGCGTGGGTCTCCGGTGATCGCCGGGACGCAGAGCATGCGCTCCTCTTCGCAGCTCAACCCTAGGACGAGATCCGAGCGCACTAAATCACAGCCATCGGCGATCAGCAACCGCCTACCCTCGTCGGTGTACATCTACCTTCGCACGCTCCAGTCCACGGCACACCACATCCACGGCCGGTTCCGGCATGCCGATACGGTCTCGCTGAACCGCCGGCTCAAGCGACAGTTCGATTTGAACGAGCTCTCGCGCCTCTCCAACAACGTGCTGGAGAACATCATGACTGAGGTAGAGAATCTGTCGAGCCGCTTTCCGGTTCCCACAGCCAAGTCTTCCTCTGAAACTCTGAAGCCTCCCACGGACGGCGGCTCTCCTGCAAAGTCGAAGCTGGCCAACGCCAGCATCGCTTCCGAAGCAGGCACCGAAGGCAAGGACGAAGTCAGCGCTGTCGTAGCGCCACTCGTGGAGCTGATCCAGGCTCTCCTGATGGACATTGGCTACCTCCGCATCAGCCTCAACCATTACGCCCTGGTCTACTTTGAAAAGGTCGTCGAAAAGTCAGCCGAGGTAACTGGGCCTGCGCATTCCGTCAGATTGCTCGCTGGATGCCGATCCCCAGGCGCCACTGGCGTTCCTTGAGGCTGGACTGGCTCTCGGGCATTTTATCCTGCCTTTGCGATGCTCACCCCTTGCCACCCTTATGACAACGCGCGCGACTCCAGACCACGACCGAGAAACAGCCTGAGCAGCCCAGCCAGCACTCGTCGTCATCGGACTTGTTCTCCAAGTGGATCTACCGGAGCTGGGGCAAGGCCAGCCACGACGACGCTGGCGGCAAACTGGCCCGCCAGAACTCGGCCGAGCCCGACGCCAAATCGCCTCTCGCACGAACCAAATCCGCAAAGAAGCTCGAAGGCGTCTCTCCCGTCGCCGCAGCGCTATTTGCCAAGAGCCCCGTCTACAGCCATTCAGAGCCGTCGCTCGTGGCGCCAAGTGCCTCACATTCTGTGCCTCCCGCTGCCTCTTCCAGCGATCCTGGAGCTCTTCCAACTCGACAGCCACACGCATCCGTCTCAGCGACGGTGCTGGTTTCGGCCGAGCCGCCGGCTCGATCGGTGGCACCGCCCGAGACGGTGCAAGCCGTCCTCGCGCGGGCACTTCCGACTCGAGCGCGAACGCCCCCTGTCTGGCAGCCCTCTGACTCGCCATCGATGAACCGAACGCCTTCCAAAGACACTGCCTGGAAGGACGGGGTGATGTCGATCACGGGCAAGTTGTGGCCGTCAAAGTAGCTGGCTTGGCGTGCTATTGCGGCGACCGAGTCTTCAGTCCTGCAAGCACAGCGACCACACCGCACCCCTTGCCGCACTCACGGCATGCACAAGAGGCTGCCCGACCGCTGTCGACCTTTGGCCCAACTTTCTTGCTCTGTTTTCTCTTGCTTCGTTGTGTTCGGTCTTGCTTTATATTTGTTAATTCCAAAAGCTCTAACAGTTTGCCACTCAACAGCCACACCAACTGCTTACTGCGATGTACCTTTTTGCACACACGTCCTCCTTGTACTTACTTTTTCAAGCTCCACTCCCACCCCCCTCGTCTCCATGTTTGAACTGCTTTGCCATCTGACGTTGTGCCAGCCATTTTCAGCGCTGCTGCACGCCACTCCCACCCCCCCCCACCGCCCATCGTATTCATTTCACTTTCATTACCTCCAAGTGCCGCTGTTCGAGTGCTATCGCGACCCAGCGCTCTGTCCTGGCCACCGCTTGTTTCTTGCCTCTGTGTTCTGTCGTTTCGGGCATCCCATTCGATATGGCGATCCCTGGCTCACGTTCCGCCCCCGCTTCTGCACGCCCGGCGCTTTCTCTGTGCAGCCCGCCATGCATGATACCCTTCGCATTCGCCACGATCCCGTGTGTCCCCCACAATGAAGGAATCTCGCCGGAGCCATCGTTGGGTGTTGAGTGTTGGGTGCTGAGTGTTGAGTGTTGGGTGTTGGCTGCCAAGCACGACTGCGCAGACTGGTTCTTGGTGCGGTCATGGCGCCCCGATCGCCCTTTGGTCCGCCATCAACCGCATCTGACGCAGCCGGATGGAGGCTCCTGCGACCCGCAAGTTCTTTATATCCCATCTGTTCCAGTGCTCTGTGCTCGGCGATGCCCTGCAGGTCTGGGAGTTTCGCGGCGAGAGGTTCACCGACGTCCACATCCAGGTGCGTCGCCGGCTCGTTGCTCCAAATTCGCCATCAAAGTCCTCGGACCAACTCTCCCCTCCCCCGAACCCATCGGGCCAGGTCCCTCCTCTGACCCGCAGCGCTCCCGTCGCTTTAACAGGGCACTGTCATCGGGACTGCCGACGGCTGGTTTCTTCTCGACGACTCCACAGGGGTGGTCCGGGTCGTCTGCCCCGTCGATCTCGGAGTAGCCGTCCGCGTCGGGTTAGAAGTCGCCGTCATCGGCCGTCCGGCTTTCAGCTTCCAAGACCACATCTTCGAGGTCAATGCGACTCGGCTCTTTAACAAGGGATCCGATCCAAACAGCGAGCTCTTATGGTGCGGATAATCAGCTGCCGCAGAGCCATCTGTCACTCGGCCCGTCTCGTCACGATCTATCTCATATGGCGGTGCTGCCTTGGCCTGGGCTGTCTGTCCAAAGGCTGTTCGGTTGAAAGTGTCTCCTCCCCCTTCCTCAGTCAAGCTTCTAATGGTCAAATATTTCTGTCTCTCTTCCCTCTCCATCATTTCATATCGATTTCTGAACGGCAGGATGATTGAGGTCATGCATGTCCATCGGCTTGTTTACAGCGTGCCAATATGAAGCTTGATGTCCTGCGTCGATGGCCATCGGACATCGCTGTTCCGGGTCATGGATGCGCTTGGATACACTCGGGTGAACATGGATGCATGCAACTGCATTCATTAGCCAGCAACAATCGCCAGATCCAACAGTCGCCCTCCACCAGCTCGCCGCACACTCAATATTGCCATCTGCCAAGGACCGTACGGATCGAGATGTCAATACGGTCCGGTGGATTCAACCCAGGACATCAGTCTGTCCCTGCCCACGAACATCATCCGCGAGGATCCACTCGATGGTTTCCGAAATCTATTTCTCAAAGATTCGACCAACCAAATGGCCAAGGCGAGCGACATTCCGAGGGCCAATGGTGTCCCCCAGGACCTCCCCTCCCCTTGATTGCGGCACCTCAAGAGCCGATCTGCCAAAGAAAATGGCCCTGGTTTGGTATGCACGCATAGCCCAATACATTTGGTCCTCGGACCGACAGACCACATGCCAAAACTTCTGTATTGCGTTTGGCACAAAGTGACATAGTGACAGGTCGTTCCTGAAAGGCTCGGGGCACCCAGGCAATCTAAACAGAGGCTCGGAAACTGATTTAGCGGACGCCCTGGTTGATTCAGAGTGCCGCACACCGACCACTCAGCTGCTCATAGAGATGCCAATGTCGCATCCACCCAAGGCCTCGTTCGATATCCGAGCCTTCTTTCCCCACCACGACCTGGCCTTTTCGATCATGCCATCGAGCTTTGCCCGCCAGGTTCTTCGGGGCGGTGGCTTGAAAGGCTCGATCCGAGACTCTTGCGGCTTGGGGCTGCTGGCGGGTACGCCGCTGAGAGGAAGAACTGTGTGCTTGGTTGTTGCCTTGAGAAGCAGGTTGGGTGGATCAAAGGCTTTGATGGACTCAGTGGGCAGCGCTGCCTCGAGATGGGCCAGGTGGCCACCCGACTCTCCTAAGACTGTCTCGGAGTTTCGCATAGAGTCATAGCCGCTGTCCAGCGTAGATAGCGGCCGGGGCATAGTCGACACTGCCTGTCCAAGGCGGAACTCGACGCTTGGATTATTCGCGAACAGCGATGGCGATGGCGGAGGCGGTGACGAGCTGGCTCTATCCGCAAAACGCAGGCTCGACGGGCTCGCAGATTTAGTATCCGGAGTAGTCGAGCCCAAGGCGGTCTGTCCAATGGGTCTGGCGGATGCCCCTGGGTCATAGACATGTGGGTGGACAGGCGTGGGAAAGCCAGGTTGGGTGCTGGGTGCGTGTGGTTCGAGGGGTTCGGGGTCACTGGCAAAATCCTCGAGCTTGATCAGATCGCTGGTGGACGGCTTTGGAAGGGAGATTGGCTCTCGCGGGTGGTCTGACCCCGAGAGAACGACTCCAGCCCCGGCTGGCGGCTGGGGCTGTATCGCCAGTATCGGCACAATGCTTCCTGGAAGAGACGTCATTGAGTCCATGTGCTCCAGCTGTCTGGGCGAGTCCCGGGGCTCGTCGGGGCGCCGTGCTGCCGGGGTTTTTGACGATCTTGTGAAAGTGATGCCAACCGACCAGACTGCATCGTCGTCTGGCGGCTTTGGAAGGAGAGCGACTCGGTTTTCGGTGACGAGGACTGAGGGGCGGCCGCCGACCGATTCGGTTGAGGCTGGAGGGTGGCCTCGAGCAAAGAGAGAGGATCCGCTTTTGATATCGTTGCTGGCGCCGCTGCTGCTCCGGCCGCTGGTGCCTCCAGGACCGATGTCTGCATTGAAGCCGTCGCCAGCCAGGGTCGTAGAGTGCAGCCAGCTCGAATGAGAAAGAGACTTGCACGGATGCGAGAACGATGCTGGCTGTGCAATACGGCCTTTGTTCTGGAACAGCGACTCTCGGCGACCGCCGTCGATACTGTCGTGGTCCTCGTCTTCGTCCGAGGCCTCGTTCCCGGTTTCATCGCTCTCTATCTTGCACGTCGAGAGCTCCTCCACATCCGAGTCTTCGCCGTCGTTGAACGAGTATCCGCCATGCGACTGGAACGAAGGATCAAGTTCGCTCCAGGTGTCTGCGATCGAGTCTGAGCTCGCGGCTGAGAACTGCCGATACATGATTGTGTCCGAGAACCGGATCTCCTTCTTAACGGCTCGGAGTGATGCGCTCGCGTTTGCAGAGCTCAAGTTCGATTTGGTCAGTCGGACTCGGGGCTCGTCCTTTCCACTCGCTCCAATTGGGGTGCTCCCTGCCGACTCTAGGTTTGGTGGGGCGGAATGTGCCATCATTTCGTTCCAGCGGCGGTTGACGGCATGGATGGGTTCGCGTCGCTGCTGGTGCTGAGAGGGAGTATTGCTTGGGCTGATATGGAGCACTGGCGATGCAGGCAGCTCTCCGGGTGAGCCGTGGGCCGGATGGAGGATTGCATGGTGTGAATCGGGAGAGGGCAAGGTTGTCGATGGGGCGATGATGCGATATGGGCTCGGCTGGCGAGACATAGCCGACGAAAACTTTGAGGCCGATCCAAAACGAGAGGGTGGATACACCATGACCGGGGCCGTGGACGGATAGCCCGATGGTAGCCTGGATTCGATTGATGGCGGCGACGATGGCAATGGCAATGGCGATGGCAATGGCAATGGCGATGGCGATGGCGAGCCGACCCACCCCGAGACGGGTGGAGCCGAGCCGCTGCGATATGCCGTTCGAATGGGTCTCAGGTTGGTGATGTTGAGGCCCGAATTCTTTGGGAACAGCGTCTGGGTGCTCTCCTTCGATAGAGCATGCGCGCTGGGTCCCAGAGCGGACGCTCGCGAGGCAGCCATTGACCCAGAGTGCGACTTGAGGTAGCGCCCTGACGGGCATTCGGAGACATGTTGCTGAGCGGATCCCGGAAGATTCAGCTCTGGCTCGGTTTCACCCGCGGACATGGATGGAGGATAGGTGTGAGTGGTGGATGTGTCGTTGGTGGTTCGGAGAGTGCAAAGCCGGAATCGCTCGGGTGTGGATGGGCAGCTGCAGAATTGCTTGGACGACAAACGCCCGCGCTGCTGGCCGCAATCTGGGACCGGGACGGGCGAGTAAGTTGCGAGGGCCTGCTTGCGACGAGAGCCAAATCGGAAACCAATATGGAGCAGGACCCTCGGCCGGGGTGGGCTCAGGCTGCAGTTGGGTTGGCGGGTCGGTGAGCCCGTGGGAAAGAAATACGAGTCGGGGTGTTGTGGAGCGCCCAAGTTGCAGACCGGCGACGTGGCAAGAAACGAATCTGATGCGGGGCTCTTGTTGTGCTTTTCGTTCGACCCAAGCCCGCTGGCTCTGCCCGAGCAGCAGCAGCATTGACTTCCCGCGAGGGCGAGGGCGAGGACATCCTCGTCGGCGTGCGCACAAATAGAAGCAGTGCAACTCTTCGGCAGAGTACGGCCAGCGATCTCGAGGCGCGCAATCACACAGGATCGGGCATCGGGTGACCCAATAATAGAGGCTGAGACCGACGATATGATGCGGTCAAGGGTGGAGCGCTGCTTGTGTGGCAATGAAGGGGCTGATTGCCAGCCGTATGCGTATGCAGGCGGTGGATGACGTTGAGGGGGAGGATTGGGGGCGGAGGCGCCCAGAGCAATATGTCGCTCTGCGGCAGTGTCGACGACAGAGACTCGCAGCAAGCAAGATTCGTCAGGCCACCGCAAGATTCGCCCCCTCCCTAATCGCTGCCTCTGCGCTTGGGTCGACTCTGGTCATTGTGTCCTCGCAGGGTTTGTCTCCCCGTGGTGCGCATAGAGCGATACCCAGGTGCGAAGGAAAGATCCATCGCCCATGGCGATCAGCCAGGTTTGTCCACGAGAGCGCCTTCCCACTAACCGATTGTGCACAACAAAAGACAGCAACAGCAACAGCAACAACGACGGCAGGACGGGGTAGCGGAGACGCCAGTGTGGTTACGATAATAGTCTTCATTTCCCAGGATCGTTGCCGTGAGGGAGAGGCCTGACAAAGCTCGGGAGTGGCATTCGCAGAAATGAGCAATCAATACAACAAGGTGATTTGAAGAGGCAAGACAGAAGCTTAGCGAGCGCCGGCAGCTATTCTCGGCGGTAGAGGACAAGCAAGAAAACAGAATACAACTAGAATAGCGAAAATAAAACGGGAGCAACCGCTACGGGCTGGGTGGTAGATGGGAGGGGTCAAATGGAAGATCAAATTCAACAACAAGCAAGCAGCAAGAGGAAGTTAAACGGGTTGGGCTGCGGGCGTGGCGACAGGATTGCAGCGCCGGTCGCTGCTCACAGGTACCGGACAGGATTGCCGGCGTACCAGGGGTTGGTGTTGCTGTAGTCCGACCACCCCTTCATGCCACGGGCGTAGTCCATAACGGTCATCAGATTCTTGGTGACGCTCTGGATGCTCCAGAGGCCAACCTGTCGTATCCGCCGGGAGCGCTCGTGCTCGTTTTCGACGAGCGCCGTGAAGGCTTTGCCAACCTCTTCAGCAAGAACGTCGACCATGCCAGCGGCATAAACATCCCAAGCGCCGTCGAACTTTGTCTGGATCGCGATCACCGACAGAGCCATGATTTGGATTAGCGACGCGAGACACATGAATGAGCTCCAGCCGTGCCCAGCACCCTATTCCGCAAGATGTACAGGATGTGCGGACGACAGCTTTGATCGGGACCGATGCGCGGCACGCCACTTACCAGATCCATCTTGGCCGAGAAGGCAATGGGCACAGTCGTTCGGTTATTGTTCATATAGGCGACGATCGGGCGGATCAAGGCGTTGTTCATGTAGGAAATATGTGGGCTCGACAGCGGCACCGAGGCCTTGAGATCGTTCAGCTTGACTTCCCAGAACATCAGCATCGACGGTGGTTCCGCCGGTTCTTCCTCCAGGACTGCGGGCTCGATCAGCTGCTCGTGACTTTGCTCCAGCTCGCGCGCAGATCTGTGCGAGCTGTTCGATACCATTGCCGGGCTTTGCTTGGGCTGCGGAGCAGACTGTTGGACCAGGCCGCGACGTATCAGAAGGTCTTCCTCACGCTCGTGTGGATACACCAGAATCGCCTCCTCGATCTTGTCGATGGTAAGCGACTTGATCTCGTTGATCTCCTCCTGGATAAGCTCTACAATGTCGTCTTCGAGGAGCTGCGGGATCAGGATATGCAGATCGATGTCGACCGTGCCATTCGTAATCCATCCAAAGGGACCTGTGGCACCCATATTCATGTGCGCGATGGGCAAGCCATTCATCTTCAAATGGGACTGTGAATGGCGAGTGGCAGATTTGTTAGTGGCTCGAACAGCAGCGTCTGTGAGCAACCAGCCGACATTCAGAACCCTGCCGGGCGGCATCGCTCACCATCTTGGCCCATTTGACTCCGCGTTCGTCCTCCTCGGGCACGTCGTGCTGTTGCGGCTTGTGGACGCTGAACAGACAGTTGTCAAAGGTACCAACGATCGAGTCGGCACAGAACATGTCATAGAGCAGCCACTGCTTGCGGAACAGCGGAAGCTCTGCGTTGAAGACCGAGATTTGATATGGCCGGAAGTTTGGATTGTGGACGGTCACCAAAAGATCTTCGATCACAAACTTGTCGAGCTCAAAGTCGTTGGGCTGGGGCTCCCGACAGGACGGGACCCAGTTTGGATCCCACCAGATGTGCCGTCGATCTGGCGGGGCAGAGAGTCAGTCGCGGCGACGGCTTCTCACTGCACACTAACCGAGGACTCTTTCCGATCGACGAGAGTATCGGCGAGCTGGCAGCGAGCACCGTCAAGAGAAAGAAGCCTGCGGCTTACCTACGACGCCGCGGACGCCCTTCATCGTACATTCCTTGACGAGCCCTCGTCCTGCATGCGGTCACGAGAGGTCAATCGTTGGAGGCCACGTATTCCAGCATCTTGCCTGTGGAATAGATAGGCCACTCCACACTCTCCAGCAAGCTCTCCTTGGTCGTTCGTGCAGCAGCAGCTAGGCGCCGTACCTTCGATCAGGCGCCAGAGCGACAGCGTCACATCGACGCTCCGGATGGTGAGGTCCCAGTACGTCCAGTTGAGATCCATCTCGTCGCGGGTGATTGGACCGAGACCCTTTTCTTTCCTTTGCGAGTTCACCAAGCCAAGGTAGCTGTCGCCGGTGCAGAGCACTTCGACGTTCTTGAGGCCAAGGGTGCCGTCGCGCCAGTTTGGAGCGATGGCCGATTCAAACGTGATGTTGAAACCTGTCTCGTGAGTCAGGTAGTCGCTGATCTTCTTGGCAAAGTACTCTGTATTTGTTCAGGGAAGCGAGATGGATGGGTGTCGGTGAGGTGTATTGGCAGGGGCGCTGCTCCGACTCGGATGCAGCAGAGGTCAGGCACGGCTGGATCGTAGAAAGCCCTGCACGATCTGCAGACATCGATTCGCAGAAGGGCGAGGCTCCTACCTTGGAACTGCAGGCTGTTGATCGCAAACACAAACAGGGAGACAAATGTCGTCGTCCCGGCCAGGATGAAGACCGTGTTGCCGACAAAGATCCACGAGAACATGGCCAGAATGTCATCCATTTTCCAAGGTCGGATCCGGCCCATCAAGAACAGCCGGAGCCGGAGCCGGAAACGTGGCCAAAAGTTTGGTACGGCCGACAGAAGCTGCTTCCGGGTGGGCACGAACGACTCGGCGTTTTCGATCGGAGGACGATGCGATGTCGGAAGACGATGCGACCGGCTTGAGGCTTGGATGGATCGGATACGGATCCACGGGAGCTGCTTGGGCAGCCGATTACCCAGAAGCACCCGGGAGTTCGGCCGAGGCCACGGCGATGCCGCCGCCAGTCCCGCCAGAAACCGTCGCGAGGTTGCGGAGATGAATCCAAGTCCCTGGCCAAGCGATCGGACGACGGTTGACCAACGCCCCGCAGCTGCATGGGGGCTTGGCAAACTGTGATGGCGGCGAAGGCCATAGAGAGCGCTGGGGCCCCGCCATACTTGCATCGGGTCGCGGGATTGCAAGCCGGTGCTGCATGTCCACGACGGCAGGAATGGTCGGGAGCAAATGGTCCGCAGGCTGGACTTGGCTGGCCCGCCGAGCCTGGGCGAACCGATGTGCATCTGCCTCGTCGGTGTCCAGGCGGCCTGGATCAGCGAGCGCAAGGTCGATGATGTGCTCTGGCCGAGCCGACAAACAACCGGTCCGCGCAGCAAGCATGGCGACGGGACGGCCATCATTGGATTGAAGGGCGGTGGCAGGGCTTGGGGAGAATGCCTGCCTGGGTCTCGGCCAAGTTGCTGCTGCTGCTGCTGCTGCTGCTGCTGCTGCTGCTGCTGCTGCGGATCGGAGGAATAGATGGATCGCAGAGCACATTCGCTGCCCTCGCCGCCCTCCGCACAACTTTTCTCCAGGCCGGCACCACGTGATCGCAGGCGTCGCCCTCGGATATTGGCTGGGCGAGACTGCTCTGCTATATGGGGCTTTGCATGGCATCAGGCAGCCGCGAGAGATTGTGCAAATGCGAACGAGATGCCTCTGGCTGCGGTAGCGATTCACATCGCCATGAAGCGAAGCAGAGGCGTGCTGTGATATGCGCTTGGGTTGGTTGCGGCTTCTCTCTGAGGAGCACGGAAAGAAGGGAGCCGGTGTGATCAGAACGAGCAAGACGAACGGCAGCGGCGTCGAGCAGTGAGCAAGTACTTACGGCACATGCTTCCAGGAAATCCAGGACCGATGGCGAAATTGTTTCCCAAACGGGCGACTCGCCGTACTGAATCCCCGAGAATGTATTCAGCTGGTACATCCGCGACGCAGCCGATCCAGGCCGGGGCGGATCCAGATCGACAAAGAGGATGCCAAAGTTGGCCGACGGATCCTTCAGCGCAAATAGCGGCATCCACAGGGCCGACTCTTCCGTGAGCCGGAAATCCTCGCCCATCTCTTCGAGCTCCAGGCGCCATGCCTCTGGAGTGTAAAAGGACTGGTCTTCGGGTGCGGCGTCGTGGATGGCCTGGATTTCCTCAAGCGGCAACAGCCGGTATCCACGGGTGTGCTCAGTGCTCCGGAACAGATAGTTTTGCTGGTCCGAGCGGTCGGTGTGGCTCTGGAAGCACCGCATCAGCTCGTAGACATCCTCCGGTAGATGGAGCGAGTACTTGCTTTCCAGCTCAGCCAGGCGAATGTCCGCCGAGACATCACCGTCGATCCAGGCGCGATCACGATCGCCAAAGCCATCTTCGGCTGAAGAGTCCTCTTGAACCTGCAGGTGGGTGAACGATGTCTGGAAGAAGAAGCGTTTTCATGAGTCCGGCGCAAGTCCAGAGCGAGGCAGCTCATTCTCGTGCATAGGCATCCAGATATGCATTCGCTGGGACGGCGGTGCGGAACGCACATCGATAAGGGTCAAGAGCGCTTTGCGGACACGGCTGCGGGTCAGCGAGCGATCCTCCCATCGCTCCATGAAAGCCCGTTTGAACTCGGTCTCGGTCAGGGCGCCGGGGACAATGTCGGGAAAGCGGGGGGTGCGTCTCCACTTGGTCTCGAAGAGCAGCAGCCTCCAGAGCGGCGCAGAAACCGTATAGCGAGCCCTCAGGCACCGACATGTCGATGAAAGTGCCACCAGTGCCCGGACGTCTCGCTGCAGGCAATGAAAAATCGCATCTGCGGTTGTCGGCCAGCGGAGGGTACGGTGAGTGATAGCCAGGACGACACACGCCCGCCTGGAGCTGGTTGATCGTTGATGGCGGCATCGGCGGGTAACTCACCGATGATCTCGACAGGGAGCCCGGTCAGTCCCTCGCTGCCCTCTGGTGCATTCAAGATTTGATCCATCTGTGGGTGGGCAGCGGGCGTCGCTGCAGCAGAAAATGGTTGTCATGACGAAAAGGCATCTGGCCGAGCAGATCGGCTTGTTGTTCGTTGTCTCAGAGCACACGTGCGGCAGGTGATCAGCACAAGCGATGTGATCTGGGATTGTGCAGCGATTTCACAAGTGGCCCGATGGATGTCGCAGACAGTATAGCCGACTCGATGGTCTCCGCGGGAACCGACCACGCAAGTCCAGTGTCCTATGACGTATATTGGAGAGCAGAGCGATTGCGTCGCAGCAAAGACGGGGCTCGGGAGGACGGCAGCGATGTACTTGTTCGTTGACAGAAGTCACGAATCATCCATGCAAGCCCATCCAAGCCCATGCAAGCCCATGCGAGCTCATCCAACGCTCCTGGCAAATGACACGAGCCGGGCAATCGCCATATCAGAGCAATCGATGGTCCTTCTTCAGCTTGCGCTCGATCGAGGCACGCATGAATGCCTGGATCTTCTCAGACGCAGCCTGGCAGAGCTGGTGGCATGCAGTATACTGGGTTGCAGATAGGCCGGTGGGTTGCAGGATGTGAGAAAGCGGCTTGGTATAGGCAGGCGAGCGACTCTTTGACCCCAAATGGCGTGCTCAAACCCAGTGCGCCCCATAAGCGAGCAACGCAGATGCTAACCTCTTTCTCTGTAAACGGACCAATCGACTCATTTGCGACCAGGTTGCCTGACAAGCTTTCAAAGGCAAAGATGTGGACCGACTTGGCCGTCTGAACGACAACAGCAGTAAACGCAGACGAAACACGGACCGCATCAGTTACCAGCACCCGAGATGCCCGCGAGGCTGGATCGGACAGCACGACGACACCGATGCCCACCTCGATCTCGCTTCGTGTTGGGTCCAGCAGAACTTGTCCGTTTGCAGTGACGGCACAGGTCGTTGAGGCAACCATGCACTTTAGCGGGATTCCAGAGTCGACCAGCGCCAACATTGTCGCATTTAGGGCTGCCGAGAGAATCTGCCGTCGATCCAGGGCCCAGGATCCCGAGGACGGTGTGAGTCGGCAATGCAGATCGACGCAGCGTCAAGTTGGTGGATGCGGGCCGCGACTCAAGAACGCTCAAGTCCCTCCCCCCACGAAGGCCCGATTGTGGCAAGCAGATATCGCCAGGCCGTCACCAGGTCGAAACGCACCGATCCATCGTCGTTCAGAATCTGGCAGGTGATGCGGATCAGCGTCCTGGGATGAAGCGCTATCAGGGCAACGGACTCGACAGTCTGGCGGATGATCTGCTCGTAGTACTTTTCTGTGGTTGCTGGTTGAATCGGGGTCGGATTAGTGGTGGTGTCGCCAGAGCGAGGAGAATGGATCTCTATCGCGCCGCATGAGATGCTATCGCTGTGGTGGAAGACTGAAGCCAGACCGATCCTTGCTGTCGATCCCTCTGCAGGCCTTGTCTGGACGCAAGTACGCCAACTCACATGCATGGCCTTCGATGGGCTGCAGCACGACCTCAACGGTGGCTTTATCCAGAAGCTCGTCACGGATCTTGACTTCCATGGGACCAAACACCGAAGCCATCACCGCGGTTTTGTCTGCCAAATCGAAGGACAATTGCACAGGCAGCTTGTGTCAGAGGCAGCACCGACAGAGCGTACATCAAACGCTGCATTTGGGCAACTGCTCAGCCAGTGGCCCCGCATGGCTGGGCTACGAGGCGGCCCCATCGGCCGATGCGAAGATGCAAATGAAGGTCGATCGAGACGGATTGCGTTGCCAGAGGGTCTATGCACGGGCTCTGGATCCGTACCGAAGCTGAACTTTGAGGACCCGTCGGCCCTCGAGAGCGTGCCCTGCAGAGTCGCCATGGGGCGGATCTGGCTCTCGGATCTGGAGTCGGGTCGTTGCTCGGGCATGGTGTTGGATGAGTGCTGGATGTTGGGTGTTGGATGTTGCAGCGCGGGGAGATGACGGACAGGTGCGTGGATATCGAGGTCGGCAATTCGCTGTTCGGCCTGGGGTTTGTGAATCCGACTGTGTCGCTGCGTTCTGCGCCTCTACTTGTTGCTGCCGATGCTCTGCAGCCCCGTCGTGCGATCTGGGGATGAGCTGCGTTTGTCGGGTGTGGATCGTTTTCTCCCTGGCGCTGCGCACGCCGGCTCGATCCGGCTGGCTGGATTGGCTGTCGGGGATTGGCGCTGGTGATCGGCGCGCTTTCCACAAGAGGCCCATCTATCGACGGCGACGGCGACGACGACAACGACAACGACGGCGAGCAGAGTGTCCCGGATTGTCTTCTTTTCGACACAGCACCCCGCTCTCAGAGCAGACCATCCATCTTCCCACCCCTGATTCCGCCCGCCGCAGCCATGGATGCCGCCGGTGCCGCCGGTGCCGCTAACGACTACTCTCTCCATCGGCTTGTGTTCCTCGACAACACCAGCGGCCTCAAAGACGCTCTTGAGGCGCAGAAACCCCATCCAGGAGTCGATGTTCTGTTCAGGGGGCAAACGCCACTCACTCTCGCTATCGCTCTGGGCCGCAAGGCGTGCGTCCAGCTTTTGCTGGATGGCGGCGCCAGCGTCATGCTCAAGAACTCTCAAGGATGGGATCCTTTCCAGGAGGCCATCAGCTACGGCGACCGAGAGACCATCCGGTCCGTGTTTCTGAAGCGAAGGGAGTACTTCCAGCTGTGGTTCGAGGACAAGGGCAAGAAGCTGCTGCAGGATCTCTCGACGGTAGAGTATCTGACGCTATCTGACGCTATGGTGCTTCTCTGGTGCTCTGGCGGGTCTGTGGCCTTGGAGGAGCGCGAGTCACCGCCCTGGCGCTCTCACTTGCGTCCATCACACGCATGCACAGCGATGCTAGGTGTGCTGCCGCCGCATGGGAGCCATTGCGGTTGCATGGACAATGTAACGCAGAATAAGCTGTCTGTGTCGATGCTGACCGATTATCTCCACGCCTCAGGACATCAAAGTAAGGCTCCGGTGTTGGCATTGAGTATCTCTCAGCGAAGCTCCATCGGCCGGTGCTAACCAGTCAACGTCCGTTTGCGCCCAGGACTTTTACTTGGAGATCCACTGGCAATTCAAGAGCTGGGTGCCGTTCCTGAGCTCGTTTTGTCCGTCCGACACTTACAAAGTGAGTATAGCTCTCGGGCCGATCCAAGCACAGATCGCTGGACTGTATCGAGCGACTGACTCTGAACCGCCGCCATCACCGCCCTGTCGGATCCAGATCTACAAAAAGGTGGGTGCGAATGGACAGAAGGCCCCCCCCCTCAACTTGCCATCATCATGCACTGTGGGACACACACATCTCGACCAACACTCCAGGCTCTCCTTGCCGTCTATCTTGCTAGGGTACTTCGGTCCGGGTCGATACCACCCTGGTCGGATTCGAGGGATTCTCGTGGGTGCGGGGCAAGCTCTCGATCATATTCTTCGGCGACAGTGACAATGGTAATCGCTGACTTGTGGACACTGACTCCAGCATGGCAGTGCATCTGGCTGGCCCAATCTCGGCGATGGCTCGAGCACTGGATGATGGGTCGATCGCACGTATCTTGGTTGGGTGTGCACGCACACGCACTATTGGCCTTCTCTCCTCAGAGCTTCTCTTTAACCAGGCAGTGGCTGCCCTGACCTCTTCCAATCACAGGAGAGCCGCGATTGGTGATCTGCGACCGCGAGCGCAAGGTCGTCCAGCAGCTCTACCCGCGAGATGTGGCCATCTCCGAGAAGGAGATTGAAGAGGAAATCTCGCTTGGACTCAATAGCCCACAGGTAGGCAGAGCGCCAGCGGCCGTCCCATGCATCAGATGGTCTGTGCCGTTACCTTTCTGGACTCTCTCTGGCTGGTGCGGTGCTGCATTGCTGCCAGTAGAGCGGGCGGCCTGTTCGCCTGACCTGTCTGACTTGGCCTGGTCTGACTTGGCCCGGTCTGGATGGACGAGAATAGTTTTCCGCGCCCGACGTCGACATCCAGGGATTCAAGTTCTCCCGTGCCCAAACCGGATTCTGGAACAAGTGCGACCGAAACGAGCGTGTCGGTTTCTATGAGACCCAGGTCTGGAATCTCAACCAGTTCCAGGTTCACACCATGAAGCGCACCGAGCATCTCGATGCCAACCCCAAGCCCAGCAAGCACGCCCGGTCTCCGGCCGATAGCTGCCCTCCACAGCACGAGCTGGAGGACATGCGCCTCGACAGCGAAGAGACGATTGCCGATGCACCTGAAGAGACCGAGGTCGTCAACTATATCGCCAAGGTTGCCCGGACCTCGATCGAGCTGGCGCGGGACGACGACGGGCTGGACTGGAGCAACAGCCACAAGGTGCTGGCAGGATCGACTCCGCAGATTCCGTACCGGCCCTCGCTCGATCCACCAGAGGACGCCGTCCAAATGTCGTACCAGGAGTACTTTGATCTCGGCATGAAGGATCGCTTTGTGCATCTTGGGCGGCCGCTCAAGGTCTCGACCAACTCCAAGACCTTCAAGGCGTCGCTGTGGATGTACGACTGCGATTCGGAAGCCTGCCGCTACATCGAGGACGAGAAGCATCGCCGGATGGAGGTCCTGGGAACGGAGTCGGAAGACGCCAGCGACGGGGCCTCCGTGCACTCGTACCGCACCTCTGATTTTATCATTCCGTCGCTTCAGTCGCCCGATTTCCCGCTGCAGGCCAAGAACATCGAGCCCCTCTTTGATCTGATTGGGCTGTCCAACAACGACGACGCCCACATTCAGTCGCTCCAGAGCTTCTTCCACTCAAATCTGCCCAAGGGGTTCCCGGTCCAGCTCGAGATTCCCATTGGCATGTATCCGCTCTCGGCCATGGTGACGTTCCAGAACATCCAGACGCTCAAGGGTCGCGGCCAAGGCGACGCCGAAGGCTTTGACATCGATGACTCGGTATTCGACATTCCGGGCGAGCGGGAGGGATACTCGGTCGGCATCGTCAAGTCCATCTCGGGAATGCCGGCCGCGTGAGGGGTGTTTTGCGTGGGGTCCTCGATAGCGGCCTTGTAGTTGTCCTGGTCCCACACATTGCAGACACATATAGCACGGCGGGTCTGGAAGCTGGTGGCGAATTAGAGACATGGAGTACCGAAGGTGTCCCGTTTCATTTGGGAGCGCTGTATTCACGAGCCAGAAGAAGAAGAAGAGAGAAATAGAGCAGAGCGACCATCGAAGATAAAATCCAGGGCATGGCGGTGCTGGAGACAAAGAGTTGACGGGAATCGTAGAAGGGACGAGAGACGGACAGGACGTGTATAGGCCAGAGTAGGATCACTAGTAGGGCATTTGTCCAGCAACGTTGCCGCTGCACAGAGAGAGGATCGAGGAGGGATTAGCCGGCGTGTAGGTGCTCGGGAGAGATACATGGCTGAGCGAGAGCAAGTTGCTGGGGGGGGGGCGCCAGGACCCAGGCAGAGAGTGCTCCAGCAGATCCCTCGATGCCCAATCCAAACCCAGGCAGCGAGGCGGCAGAGCAATCAAAACTTACAGGTCATAGTCACACACGGTGATAACACAGGAGCTGGTGGATTGTTGGGCACAGCCAACCAGTCGGGCATTGCACCACATGAGCTGAGCGTGAAGAACAGAGCGTCAGTGGCAACTCCAACGCAAGACGGGGCCCATTCGCCAGACGAGCCAGGACCATCAGCAAATCCCACGCCCGATCCGGCCCAGGTCCATCCGGTCGACCACATGTATGCTCTCGTCGACGGTGGTTGTGCTATGATTATCGGTTTACCTGACTGTAGTGGTTGTACTGGCATGTTCCGTCGGGGTTGAGCTGCAGTCCTTCCGAGTGCCAAGCGTTGATGACACTGCCGATGGATGGGATGCCAAAGAAGCCAATGTCGCCCGACATCATCGCCAAGTTCTGGAAGGCAAAGTCGTGGTCGCCAAGGTAGCAAGCGCCGATGTAGTCGTTGGTGTTGCCCATGGCCGTTTGAGCCAGGCCGTCGTCCCAGGAAAGGCCGGGACAGCCGTGCTCGGCACGGAAAGCGTTGTGGACGCTGAGGCACTCGTCAATGCTGACCGAGCCAAAGTTGCCCTGCGACGGCGGCGGCGGCGGCGGCGGTGGTGGTGGCGGCGGAGGAGGAGGGGGTGGAGGAGGAGCCGCCGACGTGGGCTGCGGAGCTGGCGCCCCATCGGTGGTTTGGCTCGGCGCATGAGCGGTGGAGGTGGAGCTGGCGCTTGGATTGGGCGTGGGCGACTGTTTCGAGATGATGCTCTGCAGGGCTGGCGAGGGAGGCGACTTGGACACGCACACGAGACTGCCGACCTTGAGCGAGTGGCAGTCAAAGTTTGGCGACGACTGGAGATTGTTGAGATCCTGCAGGGTGATGTTGACGGCGTGGGCGATGGACGGACAAGTGTCGTTGGCCGAGACAACGACGGCCACGGTGCAGCCAGGGATCGAGCTCAGGCCCGAGGTCGTGAAGGTCGGTGTGGGCCAGATCTGGCTCTGGGTGATTGCGCTGGCGTTCTTGCTGGAACAGATGACCGAATCGGGCTGCAGGCCGAAGCAGTTGATTTGCGGGTTCATGTCAAGCAACCTTGAGAAGGTCAAGTTGAGCTTGGTGGTGATGGACGCGCAAGTGTCGCCACGGGCGATCGGATAGTAGCCGTTGCAGCCGATGACGTCGGCCGAGCCTCCGTTGTTGATGGACTTGATCGAGGGATCGATCTTGAGACACACCGGGGTGCCTGCGCTCAGGCTGGCACAGGAGACGGTGTTGTTGATCTGGCTATTGAGCTGACTGAGTCTCAGCACGGTGACGCCGGCCGAGTTTGCGAGCGAGGTGCAGGTGTCGTTTGAGCTCGTGACGGTGGCATTAACGCAGCCGGGCAGGCTGATGGATGAGCCTGGCTTGAGGGGGACGACGGTGCCGCCTTGGCCAAGACCAAGCTGAGAGAGACCGACAATGACCGAGGGGATGCAGACGGACTGGCCGACCGTGGGCTGGTTGCAGTTGATGAGATTGGCGCTGATGATATCCGACACCTGGACGCCGTTGCGGTTGGCGATGATGTTGCACGAATCGCCGTTCCTGACAATGTCGCTGCGGGGGTGAAAGGAAAGTGTGAGTCGGAGAGTTTGCCTGCAAACATGGCTGGGACCTGCAGGCTCGATCCTGACGACATCTTGACGACACCAAGAGGCACCAAGAGGCGTGGCACTTACAGGTACACGCAGGTTCCGTTGTAGACGACGTTCTCGAGAGGTGGGGCGCTGAGGCAGACCTGCGAGACACTCCGCAGGTTGGTGCAGTCCAGCATCGGGTTGCGGGCCTTGAGGTCATAGACGGTGATGCCAGCGGCCTCGGCGATCGACCAGCACGAGTCTGAGGAGCCGACGGCGACATTCTGGTTGCAGGTGCTCTGCTGGAAGACCTGGACACGGGCCAGAGCCTGTGGGGTGCCGCCCTGGATGATCATGTGTCGTCCCTGGCCAGCGGCCTCGACGCTACGCAAAGCGGGCAGCACCGAGATGCCCAGGAACAGCAGCAGGCTCGTGAGCGGGGCCATCCTGGGTGTGACGGCGAAAGGGGGTGTGTGGGGGGGAGATGCGACGGGAGAGAGGACGAGAGGGCGACGCAGGGCAGAGCCAGACGGTTGATTGTTCGGGACTGCAGCCAAAGGCGGGCTGCGATGGCAGAGCGCCCAAGCCGAAGATGGAGGAGGAGATGGAGGAGGAGATGGAGGGGCTGGAGGGCGGCTTCTTGAGCGGGGGAAGGCAGAAAGACGAACCTCCTGTCGCCCTCCTGGCAAGGCGCCGCGGCGAGGCGCGTTCGTGGTGCTACGAGTCCGTTACACGGCTGCGGGCGTTGTTTGTGTAGACTGCGCTGCCACAGTCGCTGTGCGACGGCTGCCTTTGTTTCTGCTTCTGCCACCGCCACGCTGTCCCCTGCAGCCAGTGGCTTCACGGCTCTCTGTTGCACAGCATTGGTGCTCTGTCCTCGCTCCGGACCCAGGCGCACGATTGGCCCGTGGGGTCGCACAGCAGCCACGCGCTCCGTTGTCTCCAAGAAGCAAGATCACGCCTGCCGCCGCGATGGTGGCACACGCGCAAAGAAAGACGACGCGTCGCTGCTGCTTTTTCTGTCGGTCTGTGTCGTGTCTGGCGTGCGTGACCCCCTCCTCTTCGACACCACAGATGCATCGGCAGCGGCAGTCCCGTGGCTGTCTGCGGCTCCGGGGTGCAAGATGGGGCCGTAGAAAACCAGCGGCATCATGAAGCCGCGCTCAAGCGCAATGGCAGTCGCTGTGCCGATCGAGAGGGCCAAGCGCGCAGGGACCAGGGTCCCGCGCCGCGCCATTCTGGAATGTTCTGGTGGGCAGAGACCCACGCCGCCGCACGCTGCCTGGGCGATTCTTCTCGATGCGAATCACTTCAATCCGATTCCCAAAACACGCATCACGTCGCCACCTTTATATTCATATTTAGCTGTTATAAAAGGACTCCTCTCGCCAAGCCGCGACGAGGCCAGGCACAACAAAAAACGCATCTAGAGAACGAGATCCTCGTCGCGGACGAGTTGGTCGACCTTCAGGCCAACGCCGACGCTGGCGCGGCCGCCTTCGCGGGCCCAGTCCTGCTCGTACTTGAGGCCGCGCTCCTTCCAGATGGTGGAAAGGGCGCTGACGAGACGGGACTGGTGCTCCTCGGTGTGGCCAGGGGTAGGGGTGATGCGCAGACGCTCCTCACCGCGGGCAACGGTGGGGAAGTTGATCGACTGCACGTAGATGCTGTACTTGCTCAGGAGCTCGTCCGAGACCGACTTGCAGACCTCGGCGTCGCCGACAAGCACAGGCACAATGTGCGAGGGGTTGGGGATGACAGGGATGCCGAGGGCACCGAGCTTGGCCTTGACCTCGCGGGTATGGACCTGCTGGCCGGTGCGCTCGGCCTGGGACTGCTTGAGGTAGCGGATCGAGCTCAGGGCGCCCGCAACGACGGGAGGGGGGAGGGAGGTGGTGAAGATGAAGCCAGGGGCGTAGCTGCGCACCATGTCCACCAGGCGGGCAGAGCCGGCAATGTAGCCGCCAACAACGCCGTAGGCCTTGCCGAGCGTGCCCGTGATGATGTCGATCTGGTCCATGGCGTCGATGTACTCGGCGACACCGCCACCGCGCTTGCCGTAGAGACCGACGGCGTGGACCTCGTCGAGGAAGGTGATGGCATTGTACTTGCGAGCCAAGGCCGCAATCTCCTTGATGGGGCCGATCGAGCCGCACATGGAGTAGACGGACTCGAAGGCAATCAGCTTGGGAAGGTTGATGTCGACCGACTGCAGGAGCTCTTCGAGGTGGGCAAGGTCGTTGTGGCGGAAGACCTTCTTGGCAGCGCCCGAGTGGCGGATGCCCTGGATCATCGAGGCGTGGTTGGAGGCGTCCGAGAAGATGACGCATCCAGGCATCTTGCCGGCCAGGGTGGCCAGAGTGGCATCGTTGGCCACAAAGCAAGACGAGAAGACCAAGGCAGCGGGCTTGTTGTGCAAGTCAGCGAGCTCGCGCTCCAGGCTGAGGTGGAGCTGGGCATTGCCGGCAATGTTGCGCGTTCCGCCGGCACCAGCACCGTAGGTATCGAGAGCGGTCCTTTGGACGGTCGAGAGCAAAGACGCGGTCAGATGGGGGTGTTAACCGACGAGCTCTCGTACCTATCTATCTGTGACTGAACAAGTGGCTGCCGCATCTCCCGATGCGTAACTCTCGCAGGACCGAAAGCCAAGCGAATACAGGCAGAGGAAGGGCACCAGTAGGGCTTGGCTTGTCGTGGCACTTACTTGATGGACTCGATCACGACGGGGTTCTTGCTCATGCCGAGGTAGTCGTTAGCGCACCAGACAGTGACGTGTTCGCCGTCGACAGTGTGGGCCAAGGGGAAGGCCTGAGCGAGGCGGTTGATGTTGTTGAAGTAGCGGTAGCTCTTGTCCTTGTGCTTCTTTTCAAGCTCGTGCTCGTAGAAGCCCTCGTAGTCGAAGGGCTTGCTGGCCTCCTGGACAAAAGTCTGGCCCTTGGCTGTACACCAGCGTGAGCAAGCAGGACAGATGAGCAAGCGGGACAGATGAGCAAGCGGGACAGATGAGCAAGCGGGACAGATGAACAAAACATGGCGGGCACGGGGTGAAACAGGTGGATATGAACAACAGATCGCGACCATGCCGATCAATCGCTCAATGGCCAGCGAAACAGCCCACGATATGGCCGCCGGAGGACGACCGCGCTTGCAGATCGCAACTCACCCTTGGCAGCAGCGGGGGCAGGGGCAGCAGCAGGCTTGGCAGCGTGAGGGATGCCCTGAGGAGTAGGGATAGGGGGAATCACAGTGGAGGCAGGAGCAGCAGCTTCGGTGCCGGCAGCATGACTGGCGTAGGGGCACTTGGCAGTGGACGAGACCGATCGCTTGGCAATGGCGTTGGCCATGACGGGGCACGAGTTGGCATAGCCCAAGAGTTGGGTAGCGTTCTGGACGACCTCGGAGTCGACAGCACCAGCGGTGATGGAGGAGAGCTGGCGGAGCTGGTTCACGGGGGTGCGAGCCAGGAAGGGGCAGGCACGCTTGACGTTGGAGAGGATGGCTTCCATTTTAGCAGAGTAAGATTACTGCGGGCCGATGGAGGAATGCGAGTCAGCATGCCAGTCGAGCAGACGAATCCTCGCGAGCGAGGCAACACAGGAAACATGAGGACACAACAGGGTATGTGCGCATCGATCAGTAGCCTGGGGACCACGGCGAGCGGGACCACACACGCCAAGGAGAGGGAGGGCAGCAACTGACAACACAAAGGAGAGATTGTAGTCGGGCCAAGCAAATCGCCGGTCGGTCAGAGCATCGGCTGATTTCTTCGAGATGCTGGGATCGGCGACGGCGTGGGATCGGGAGAGGGAAAGGTTGCCAGTGCCAAGAAAACAGAAATTACGTAACGGAGGGCGAATGGCGAGAGCGAGGTTGGGAGGAAAGCTCGTGGGAGAACAGACGCCGGCCGAGCAAGATCATGCCAAAAGGCGAGAGAGTGAAAAAAGCGAGGATGGAGCCGGCCGATCATTCGACAGTGATTATCGGGAGCAAGAGGACGAGGAGAGGCAGAAGCGGGACGGTCGCGGGGAAGCATGATCACGGAAGCATGCAATCCAGCGATGGATGGACCATCACCGAGTACAAGGGGAGGAGGCGAGGGCGAGCGAGGCGGCAGTGCCCGACACGGCGGCGATCGGCAGAGAGGACGGCAGTGATACGATACGTACGGCGCTGAGTACGAAAGTCGGTCGAGGCGAGCGAGAGAACCGTCACGGGTCTGGAGTGGAGAACGACGACGAGGTTGGGTTTCCAAAAGAGGGAGGAGGGCCGACGCAGGGCTTAAATACGCCGATTGCGTTTTTTTCGTGTGGGAGCGATGTGTCAGCGCGGGTGATGTGTCTGCGTGGTGAGTGGTTGTGGGGGCGGCCTGTGTGCGTCCCGTGCGAGCGCGCAGTCGCTGTGTATTGCACATTGTTGCATTGTGCTGTGCTGCGTTGTGCTGTGCTGCGTTGTGCTGTCTGTGTGCAGCCCACTGTGTCTGCTGTCCGCGGCTCTGGACACACAGAGACAGTGTCTGGGGCTGCGGGCATGTGTCCAGCCAAGCCACCCGCAGCCAGCCAGCCAGCCAGCCAGCCAGCCAGCCCGCAGCCGTTCAGCCGGGCCGTGTCGCCCGCCAGCCATGGGCTTCTCGCTGGCGCCCTCGCTCCTCGCCGCTGCGCCTTGCTGCCGCTGTGTCTCTGTGGCCTCGCTGCTGCCGCTGCTGTCCTCGGCCGCTCCTCGGTCTTGCCTCAGCCAATCGGCACCTGGCCGGCTTATCGCAGACGCGTCCAAGCCAGTCGGGTGCCGATGCCTGGGGTCGTCTCCAGAATCCATCTCCAGAATCCATCTCCAGAATCCATCTCCAGAAGCCATCTCCAAAAGCCCACCCCGTCTCTCCGTCTCGGCTTGGCTGTCCCCGTTCCTAGTCTTACCCCTTCGCTCCGCCAGCCGGTGCACGATTGCCCCGCCGCCTCCCTGCAGCCTCGCACCAGGCAACCAAAGCAGGAAGGCAGCCGCCTGCCAAGAGACACAGGGGTTGTGGTGGGTTGGGTTGTGCTCGGTCGTCAAGGGGTGGGTGTTCATCCCAGACCCGCAGCACCACTCGGTGCGGCCCAGTGGCACCAGACAGTCGTCGCCGGCAAACGCCATGGGCGTCTTCGTGCCCAAACCGTAAGAGTGATTTTCGTCATGCCTCCTTGCAAGCACCGGCTTCGTGGCGGCAGGCGCCGTCCCGCGGACGGATGCGTGGGCCTCAGTGGGCCGCCATTGAGTTGATGGGGCGATGGCTCCAAGTGATTCCTATTCCTATTCCTATTCCCGAGCATTCTCGTACGTCGCCGGGATCGAGCATCTCGGTCGGCCCGCATCCCGATGCCAGAGGCATCCAGCGTCGATCCAGGTCGTCCTTTCCGCCATCCAGCCCCCCAAAATACTGCTGCAGGCAGTCGTATCCAAGAGGCGTCTCTCCTGTCATTCTCGCACGCGTTGGGTGGATCTTCTCCTGCGGTCCTTGCCCCCCAACCCTCATCGCCTCTTCGATCAAATGCCACTCGTCCTCGGTTGGTGGTCGCTGTACATCCAGCAGCAACCCGCCAACACCATCCCCTCATGCGCCAGGATCGCTGGAGAATGAGGGGGGGGGAAGTGTGCTGTGGGCAACTCCGTATCGCCTGCTTGCCTCCAGCCAACTCAGTCCGTGCTTGGGCTTTGAGATTTCGCCATCGGCGGGCAGGTGCACACCTTCAAAGCCATGTCCCTCGCCATCCTGGGCGAGCACCTTGATTTTGTCGGTCGGCGTGGCCTCCTGTCGTCTGGCTGTCCACCAGGCCCCGGCTCCGTGTCCTTCCTTGGTGCCGCCCATGTCTCCCCCTCGTCCTCCACCAGGGTCGAGCAGCCGGACAGGAGACGGCTTCGGGATCCGTACGATGCGGCGTCCCGTCTCATTCACCGTTGTTGAATTGCCCGTGGGCCGCAGTTACAGGCCAATGTTGTTGGTCGTTGGTCGTTGGGCGGGGCGGGGGAGGTCGGTGGGTCGAGGGGAGGAAGGGGGCGGTTGCGCAACTCCCTTTCTTCTTCGCACGGCCTCCCCTTTTCCTCTTCCTCCTCCCCCTCCTCCTCCTCCTCCTTCAGACACAAATTTGCAGGCCGTCCTTGTCTGGGCGGGTCGGCCCCGTCTCGCACGCAGCCATTCAGCAAACCTTGGCGACCAGCGATGCCAGCAGTTGCAGCGGCAGTCCAATGATTGAATCCGTCTCGCCAACCCGTTCAGCCAGATAAGGCACGATCAGATCTGCAGCGATGACAAGGGCGAGAACGAGCGCGGGCCAGGTTGGTCCAGGTCAGTCCAGGTCGGCCCAGGTCGGTCCAGGCAGCCTCTCCTCGTCTGCGATTCATGCAACCCGCCGCCTGGCTCCAGAGACCGGCCGCGGGAATCCTATCCGCTGAGCGGCGGGGTATCCGAATGGCAGCGCGGGCTTGGTCCGAGGCCGCAGAAGGGTCGTCGCCGTCGTCGTCGCCATCGTCATCGGCAGGACATAGGCAGGACCGTCCCTCTCCTCCCTCGCAGATGCACGAGCCGGGCCATCAGAAAGACCACCCTCGCCGATTGCACTCACCGTCGTCGATCAGGAACCCTCCGCAGCAATACATGACGTCGCCCTTCTCAATCAGCTGCTCGATCACGGCGTCAGGCACTGGATGAAAGTATTGCTTTGCAATGTCGACGCCCTGGAACCGCAGTTTTCGATGGAGATGTGTGCGGGAGGGGGGGTTAGCCCAGGTTGAGATTTGCTCAAGCCGTCACCTACCCAGCCTGCGTTTGCACCAGGATTGCAGTGCCTCTGGCCTTTCTCCCCCAAGCCTCCTCGAGCCAACAACAGTGAGGATCACCTCGGCGCGCTGCTTCGTTGCAGTGTTGACGACGACAACAGAGGAGTAGGTCTCTGCCGGCTTGGTTGTCGAGTACGAGCGCAGATACCGGCGGCATTCCTGGACAGGACCGTGGATCAGACAGAAGAGGAGCCACAGCAGCGCAGGGACGGACAGCATGCCCATCGTCAGTCCACGTCGTGCGGACAGACCACAGTAGATCAGTTTCTCGGGAGGAGAGTGTCAAGACCCATGAGCCCCGGGGTGATGGGGGCAGCCTCGGGAGCATCGGCAGCGTTCGGGTGAATGAGTGCAGCATATCTGCATTCCCTCGCAGCGACAGTCGTTGTCTGTATGCCTCGACAGATGCCAAGGCCATTACGAGCAACCTGCAAGCTCGCTCCGAACTCTAGCAACCCGCCCCATCCTCAAACCTACCTCTCGGTCCACAGGCTTCTCGCGGATTTGTCCGTCAAAGACTGTGACCTGATCACAGCACACCAGCAGATGCGGCGGGTTTTGGACGGCATCGCTCGAGGGATGGCTGTCCGTTTGCTGGGCCGGGGGTGATTTGGCTGTCGTCTCCTGCACCAAGAGCCGATCGGCTTTGGCATGGGCGATCTTCAGCACCAGCGCGGCTGGATCGGACTGGGCCCGGTCGTCCGGGTGAGTGGTGATGGCCTTCTCGTCAATGTCGGGCACTTGCACGGAGAAGGAGATGCCGTGGTCCCGCAGAATCTGGGCCCGGTACTTTGACGACGACCCGAGCACCAGTGGCAGCGACAGGCCCCGAAGGCGGGCGGCGGCATCCTGTGAGCTCATAGCGACCGAGGGAGGGAGGGAGTCGGGCCAGGTGGAGGTGGTGGTGATGTGCGAGCCGTCGCGGGGATTGAGGCCATGGCTGCGGCTTTTTGAATGCCCCGGCGGGCTGGGCCTGCAACGCAGTCATTTCTCCGCACCCGCACGCCACCACCACGGCGGGACCCCCTGCGAGGATGCCAGGGGCAGCAGGCAGTGTCCTGCATGTTCCCGGGGATCAACCAATGGCCCCGCCATCCGCTCGCGGCACAACCCACGGCACCCACTCATGGCACAATTCGAGCTGTATCTGTGGCTTATCCGCTTGGACGGAGGGGGCTTGATTCGCCCATCCACCCGGCATCCATGCAAGCGCACGGGCTTGTGGCCTCTGTCTGCTGTTATTCGCAGCCGCTCCGCGCTCACATCCGCTCGGCTCGTCTCCACTCGGGTCCATTGGGTCAGCTTGACTCGGATCGGCTCGGACCGGCTTCTATTGGACACGCTCTCCTCACTCGGCCGGTCGCTTGCCCTTGTCGGGTCCGGCGTGCACCTGTCCGAGCGAAACGGCATCGGCGGCGCCCGAGCCGGTTGTGGTGCCGAGGCCACCATCCTGCATCAGGCCCGAGATTGCTTCGAGGTTGCGGATCACGCTGTTGAGTTGGGTCTGAACTTTGTAGAGCTCGCGCAGTCGAGCGAGCACCGCCTGGCGCGAACGACCCTCGAGAAGCTGCAGCTGGCTGTCTGTAAAGTTGTCGAAATCTACCGAGACCGCTGCTGGAACAGAGGAAAGCCCGGTAGTGGATGAGCAAGCAGGCACGCACAGAACAAGAGTCGGGCAGTGGCCAAAATGGACGTCCTATTCCTCCACTGGTTCGGATAGCTCGCTGACTGAGGGAATGGGTCGATACGCATCCCGATATGCATCCCGATATGCATCCCAGATACGCACCGTCCTGGCCTGATGGGAGCAGCGGCCGCAGCAAGACGGGATAGGAGTTGGAGCCGATCGTTGCGGTAGCTTGCAGGATCTGGACCGGATTCGTTCGTCAGCAGCGAGTGAGACAAATGGAACATCGTAAGCACTTCTGTGCACAGTGTCGGTATCGACTGCTGGCCATGGCATGATATGCCTGTTGGCTCATCGACACACGAGCCGAGACTTACAGGATGTGCGGAACTCGATGAGGACGCTGCTGAAGCTGATGGGGCGGAATGAGCGGGCACAACCGGCTGAGTCGGTTGGACGGGACCATTCTGGTGCGGCTCTGGGCCGCGTGGGACGTTCAGAGGTGCCTGGGGTTGGAAAGGTGCTGCAGGGGGTCTGTTGTCGGGCAGTGCACGCCGTGCCTGCTCAAGCAGAGCTTGGAGGATATTGGCTGGTTGGGCAAGCGCTCCGGCGGGCTGCTGTGGCAGGACAGGACCTTGTGGGACACCCTGAGCCTGAGGCTGGGGGCGAGCACCTTGAGCAGCGTTGGCATTGGGATTGGCATTGGGATTGGCATTGGCATTGGCTGGTACAATGCATCAGAACATACAGTCATACCAAATGGTCAACAAAAGCCAAGAGCAACAAGACAGCGTTGCAGTGGAGTGGAGTGGAGAGTGCGACTGGAAAGCAACCCGAGGAATCCAGTCCCAACCGAGTACTCACCGGCATCGTCCAGCACCGAGCGGCGGCTTGAAGATAGCACATCGAAGACAGCCAAGCAAGAGACAGATATCATAGAGTATTGGCGTAAGCATTGTGCACGGCACAGTGTTAAGGGCATATTCAAGGGCAGAGTGGTTCTCATCGCATCGGCTCAAGTGCTCAGACCGACAAACCCAGTGGTTCTGAGAGTAGATACGGTACCAAGTTGGGCAACTCTGCTGGCGCTCGAGCCAGCTCCGCAGACAGCGGAAGTGGAAGATGTGTCCGCATGGCAACTTTTTGGGCAATTCCGACATGGACGCGCCGCCAGCCATAGCCCCAGGGGCAGCAACAGCAGCAGCAGCAGGTGCGGGCGCCGCAGGGTTTTCTCCCGCACCTGGCAGCGACTCCATCTCCTCGCGGCAAATGATACAGATGCGGTCGGTGGCATTGAGTTCCTCGACGGTCGCGGTGGGATATCGAGTGTGCATGTTGGCGGTCGCACGGCGATACTGGATCAAGTCCTTGCAGCGCTGGATAAAGTTTCGGAAGGTGACGTAGATGTCCCGGACGATGTGCAGAGGCAGGCCATAGTAGTTGACGACAATGACAAAGAAGAGGCTGTACGTGACCAGCTTCAAAAAGTCTGGTCCCAGAAGCAACGCGGATGCAGGTTGGCGAGTAGAGCAGCAGTCCGTATCGATGAGTGCTCGTGCGGATCGTCTCGAGGCCTGTACCAGATACACCGGACACACCCGATGTGCTCGATGCACATCCAGCATCGCTGCTGTTGATCGACGATGGGCACTTGCGACGGACTCACCAATGATCAGTTCCAGGTAAAAGACATACATCGACTTTTCTTCCCATGGCGTATCGTTGCGCAAGTCAATGGCATTCAGAATGTACTTGACAAAGGTTGCCGTGATGCTCCAGAGAAGGATGGTGTACTGGAACAGGTCGATGGACCATGATGCCAGGATGAGTTGGGCCCGTATGGGCTTCTGGATGTGCTGGGCGAAGCAACATGGGCCAACGAGCGGACGCTGGCTGCGAGAGAAACGTGCGTACCTCAAAGCCAAAGATGATCATCATGCCAACGCCCTGGGAAAGCATGCGATCGACGGTGAAGAACACCATGCTAAAGTCCACCACGGCGAGAATGCCGATGATGCCGATCATGCGTGCATGAAACACGAGCCGATGGTTGGGCGTTTGCTCCATCTATGCCAGAGACGCAGGCAACAGTGTCAGTGCTTTGATGCGCCGGCGTCACGCCCGAGTCTGTGACTGCCGTCGCATTTGTCGATCGGCGACATCCAGGCAGTAACGAAAGAGAGGGAAGAGGACAAAGATGTGCGTGTGCTCAAAGCAGTCGCCGCTGGTGCTGCTGGTGCTGCTAGTGCTGCTGCTGGTGCCGCTTACAAAGTCGACTCGATCTTGCGTGACCCAGTGGAAGATTTTGGCCAGCAGCAGGAGGGTAAACTGACTGAGGAAGAGCACATTGAACTCGTCGCGGAAGATCGTCATGGCGAGGCAGGTCTCGGTGACGGCGAACCACGATCGCTCATAGAGATGCTGGCGATTCCGGAGGGGCCGGAGGGGTGAGAGAGCACGAGAGTTAGTGGATCGCAGCCATCCAGCACGAGCGCAGAGAGAGCTGGGCAGAGAACATGGATGCAGTGCACGGCAGTTTCCCGGACAATGCAGTTGATGCGGTTGATGCACAATCGAACAGTGCGATTGCACTCCCGAGCAGTTCATCAGCATGCACATCAGCATGCCCAGACGGCCGGCGGTAGTATCGCTTTCCATCCCGTTGTCTTGCTATCCTCTGGTCCTGTTTTCTTGTTGCCCCCGTTGCGCTCTCGTCCTCTGTCTTGGCAGCAAGAAAAACAGGATCCTACCTCAATCTCCATAGCCCGCAGCTCGCCAAAGAAGATCCATTGTCCCATCCGTGCAAACACGATGATCAAAAAGAGGCCCATGTTGAGCAGGACCTAGATTGCAGGACAGAGTTGACGAGGATAGATAGACCGAGCAAAGGACAGCAAAAGCGGCTGTGTCAGTGCCTGCACAGTGTCGTCAACCAGGACGAGCGAGCCAGCGTGAATCCCTGAGTACGCTATGCCGATGAGGCTGCCCCTCGTCATTGCCTCGCTATGCAGACAAGCCATCGCCTGAAGACCTCAGGGGAAAGATGGGAGCGCAACCTGCATCCCGGACGACGATCGGTACCAGAAGACTCGAGTTGGATTGAACGAGATGGATGCAGGCTGAATAGAATTGCTCACGATCGGCCCAGGCGTTGGCAATGACCACCAGGGTCAGCGCCGTTGAGATGGCTCCGTATGCCGCCAGACGCATGTTGGATGGCATAGATATCCAGGCGTTGACAATGTCGGCTGGTGCCCCTTGCGGATGAAGGTGTGGTTGAGGGTGGAGGTTGGATGGGCGGCGTTCTGGAAAGGTTGATGCCCGAGCTGGCTGTAATGGCGTCTCTGCCCTCTGGGCTGCTTGGGATCAGCGAGGACGACACAGCCAGAAGAGATGGGGGCAGGGATGGAAATGAGGGAGGGCTCGCTGCTGGGAAGACGAATGAGCGGCGCGCCTCTCCAGCGCGCTGACGTGGCCAGCTCTGCCTCGCTGGCAACAACGACAGCGACGACAGCGACGACAACGACGGCGACAATGGGTAGCCGAGAGAGCAGCCGAGCCAGATACATGTCGGGAAGGAGGGAAGGGGGGAAACCATCACGCAGAACAGGACACCCACGACATTGACCGTGACCAATCGACGGCTGCAGTATGCACGGACTGCTCTGTGGCAAACACAACCAGAGTTCACAATCGAAAACCCAGTGTGTGCCTTTCGGTTTTCATTCTTTTTTATGATGTGTTGTCAGAAACAAATGGAAGCAGCAGCCAGAAACGGCTGAGACGACTGCGGAGCAAAACAGAGCGAACAAGGCTACCGACAGAGCAGACGAGAGATGAAAGTGGATGGGGAGAAGCAATCTGAAGCTATCTGAAGCAATCTGAAGCTATCTGAAGCAATCTGAAGCTATCTGAAGCAATCTGAAGCTATCTGAAGCAATCTGAAGCTATCTGAAGCTATCTGAAGCAATCTGAAGCTATCTGAAGCAAGAGCATTCAGGGCCATGGCCCGCCAGGCAAGGGAGTGGCAGTACAGGAACGGGAAACGCAGGCTCAGACGGTTGTGGACGCTTGCTGCTCTGCTTGCTTGGCTCGAGCGACCCACTTGCCAAGCAAGGTGACCAAGACGGCACCGCCGATCAGTTGCTCGGCATGGTAGAGCAGGAGCGGGGTTGACAGGATGCCGACGTTTGGGGCGTTGCCGTAAATGATGTTGATCATGGGAATGCCGAGGGCGACGGTCTTGGTGGCACCGCACATCATGATGGCCACCTGCAAAGGAGAAAATGACGATCCACATAGGCGTGAGAATTTGGAAATAGTGCACGACAGCGTGGGATGCAGGGACATCGGTGGAAGATGCCGAAACCAGCGATTGCACTCGCAGTAGCCCGGTTGCCACCCCCAACGAGCCGACACAGTCGCCATGACAAGACACGGCTTCCTATCGAGTACTTACACCATCCTGACGGGTAAAGCCAAGAGCCTTGATGTTGGAGATGAGGAAGGTGATCAGGTTGAAGAGAATGAAGAGCGAAATGTCCAGGACGCCGATTGCAACAATCGAGCCCGCATTGACGCCGCTGCCAATGTTTTCACTGAAAGTGTCGCAGAACACGTTCCAGACAAGCAGCAGCAGCAGACTGCTGTTGAGGTACGCAAAGTTGATTCGCTTGCCGAGCCACGCAACAGCTCCGGGTGTAAAGTACTGGAAGAGTTGGCCTGATGGCAACGAGAATGCGATGAGTGCTTTGCGGGGAAGGGTGCGACGAAACGGAAGCTGCTGGGTCGAGAATGCTGAGTCGAGAATGCTGGGTCGAGAAACAGACAGCCAGCACCCTGCGATTGCTTACCGACGATCAGAGGAGCGATAACCGTGATCATCAAGTCCCGGAGAACGCTGGTGTAGCTACCGGCATCGCTGCCGCCGCCGGCACTCGATCCAACGAGCCAGAGAATCAGCGAGGGTGAGATGAAGACACCAAGGATGTTTCCGATGACAGCGTTGGTAAGAGCCGCAGGCTCGTTGCCGCCAGCCTTGCTTGGTCATGAGCACGTTGGACGAGATGGTCGTGGGGGTGGAGCAGGCAATGATCAATCTGGCAGAGATGCAGAGGCGAGGAATCGTTAGCCGCAAGACCATACGTTCGTGATCGAAAAGCGAGGCTCGGATCCGCGCTTGCAGATGTGCCTCGGAACATGCCCTTACCCGTTGACCAAGTCGGCATTGAACGAAGCCAGGCCCAGGAGCTTAGCCACACCATAGCCGATAGCGGGGGTAATGACAAAGCTGGTGATTTGGACAGCTGAGACCGCCAAACCCAGAATCGGGCGAGAGAGGCAGACGGAAACGGGACGGACGCCGTGGGTGAGGATACGTGCAAAGCGGCTCGGGAGGGAGCGAGCCCAGTGCAGAGGGCCCGACACACAAGCACATCGTTCATCCAGAGCACGATGGCTCGAACGCAGACAAATCGAGAAAGAGTGCTCGGCGTACCAAGATGGATCTTCCACTGCAGGAACGACTTTGCCAGCACCGAGGTCTTCATCGACAGGCCAGAGAGGACAAAGATAAGGGCGACGGCGACATACTTGACGGTGATTTCTGCAGGGTAGATGCAGTCGAGTCGAGCCCAGTCCAGTCGAGTCGAGTCCAGTCCAGTCGAGTCAAAACGGATCGGGTCGGGTTAGAACCCCGAAAGCGCAATAGCACACGCTTTGCCTTACAAAAAGCCCTGCTGCCGAGCCAGCGGGGCCAGCGGGGCCAGTGCAGCCACTCCAACGCCGACAACGCTTCAGGCTCTCACCTGCATGGATGATGCCGTTTTTCTTGCCGAGTGGAGGGTATGCGGCAGCGAGGCCAATGACGAGAGCGAGACCCTTTGAAGACAAAACGCCAATGTTCCCATTCAGCGATGAGTCCGATTCTCGGAATGTCTGAAGCTCTCGAACCCACCAGGCGAACCCCACTGTGCTCTGACAGGCCATCCTCATGGACTCGGGTGTCCCAAACTTGCACGAGCGAAAGCCAACGAGGGCAGCAGCGCTGGACTACGCAGCCAACAGAGGCAGAGGCCGAGACGAATGGCGCCGACCTACCACCAGGAACCACTGCTTAATGAGCACGGCTTTGATTTTCTGCAGCAGAGTGGGCTTGGGCTCGGGCTGCTCCTCGATCTTTGGCGTGGGCGGAGATCCGGCAAGTGGGGCCAGTGAGTCAGCACTGGCCTCGGCGCTTTCGGGCACGGAAGTCGATTCTTGGGTCGCAGACGGGTGAGTGGTCATGACGACGATGCAGTCGGGATCGGACGGATGCGGGCGAGTGGATGCCGACGGCGACAGGGCCAGGGCAGGCAGGGCAGGCAGGGCAGGCAGGGCAAGCACGCTGGTTTGGCTGGCTATGGACGAGCGATTCGATGGTGGGCTGGATTTGAGCCAAAGGATTTATGTTGGGCGTCGCCAAAACAGTGCTGCGCCGGACGCCGACGGATGGGGCGCACGGAAGAACCCGGCGGGTTTACCCGGGGCCGCCGATGGCGTAACGCAACAAGCCCGTGGCCATGCGGCGGACACGTGTCGCGGGCGGGCTGTGGATGATGCCATCGGCGAAGGCCGAAATTGGCCTGGGCAGCAAGGCCCGATGCGCCACAGACAATCGGCAGGTCCATCTGGCAGATCAAGACGAGGAGGAGGAAGGACGGAGCAAGGCGAGAACAGCGCGCAGGGATTTCGGGCCTGCGCAGATTGCAGCGGGGCTGTGTTCTGTGGCGCCTGGAAGGACGGTATCAAAGCGCAGGCGACGGGATGTACCTGCGGTGGCCAGATGGAAACGCGCAGCTTGGCATTGCAATCGGAATTGCGGTGGATTGCAGTGGATTGCAGTTGGAATTGCAGTTGGAATTGCAGAGGCAGCGTCGGGAGATTGCCGGCGAGATGCATTTGCCACCGATGCATCCCATGTTCCGCCGCATGCCCCCCCCCCGAATTTGGTCGTCCTGGACAGTGTTCCGTTTTGATCACCATCGGCGACGCTTGCTCTCTGGTCGGCCTGGTGGTGAAGGAAGCCACCATACCCGGCCCGGCCATGTTCGACCCAGCCATGTTCGGCCCGGCTCAGACCCATGCGCGGTGTTCATGACCCCACGTGAAATCGATCCGTCCGCTCGCTCGCTCGTCATTCGTCCGTCCGCTCGCTCATCATTTGCCCGTCTGCATCCTATCAATCATCCATCTGCATCCTATCAATCATCCATCTGCATCCTATCAATCATCCATCTGCATCCCTCCGTCATCTGTCTATCTCTCAACCCTCGCCTGCCCGCAGTCGATCTCGTCAGCCACGCCAGCCAGCTCATCATCCAGTCCGTCCCTCGCACCTCGTCGGGCCCTCGCCGTCGACCAGGTGGCTCACAAGATCCACAACGCTGCAACCCGCTGCAATCCGTGCCGGCTCGCTTCGCTAAGCTATGGCACTGCGGTTCTTGACGCCAATATGCTTCCTACTGAGTCCCCTGGTGATCCTCTCGGGCTTTCTCAGCAGCTGGATCTTTGCCCTGGGCATCCCGTTTCTGATCGCAAAGTTCGTCTTAGTGGCCCTCAGCGGCTTTGTTGCTGCCCTCCTGCGCAAGTCCCTCTTCTCCAAGCTCTCGAGCATCCTTGTTCCCTCGACAGCATCAGACATTTCCCGTGTTCACTCCGACGTCGTCCTGTCGACTCCCAGCCCGAGAGGCACGCCCATGCTCACGCCCTTCAAGAACGTCCTGCTGCGGGCAAATACCGACTATGCCCTCCGTCACGCCGACTCCGATGCGGCGTACGGCCCCGTCTTTGAGTTCCACTCCGAAACCTCCTCTGAAGCCGACGACGATTTGCATTCCCACGCCGATCATCCTGAGGATTCGCCTTTCCTCGAAACCCACCACGACTTGCTCGCTCGCCAGCACTCGGCACCGCTGCTTGGGTCGCTGTCGTCGCCCCTGGCCGTCCGCTTTCACGAAAGCCGGGATCTCCAGAAGGCCCAGCTGCAGCTCTCGCCGAGCGTCATTGCACGCTTTGACCAACTCGACCGACGGCACAATCCACCACGAACTCCCTCGCCTGGCCCCTCTGTCCTCGACGCCGCCCTGATCAGCGACGAGTACCGCTTCAATGGCGTCTACAAAGTCTCGCATTGGTCGTCGGACGAGTACTTGTCCTCCTTCAATGCTGGCGAGTAGCGCCGTGATCCAAGCACGAATGCCCCTCCGTGCTCACTCTGGCTGGATGAGTGAGCGGCTAGGTTTCGTGGCAATACACACTGGCATGCAAACGTTTCTGCCGCGAATCACTAGAGCACCGGCACTCCTCCGATGATGCTGGCTTCTCCAGGGGTGCTGTTCCTCCTGAAGACACGATGGTTCAAGTAATCTCGCCTTTGTTGTTTTCCAGTTTGCCCATGATACATCTACAATTGCTGCCAGTGAGACTTGCTCCCTGGATACGAGTGCCAGAGTCTCGCACAGGGGCGGGTGTGGTATTGGTCCTGTGGAATCCCCGCGACTCACATGCCCACTGCCGAGTATCTTGGCTTTCGGGAGTGACTCTGTGCCCATTGTCTCGACGCCGACGAAACCGCTGGTGCCCACAGGAGCCGGCACGGTAATAAATTGGGTAGTAGATTGGGTGGCAGCGTCAGTCATGCCCCGTCGGAGATGCTCCGCGGACCAGTCCTCTGCAAATCGATCCTCGTATGAACCCGCTCAACCTCGCCCAACGGACACTGAATCCTGGGTGGCTCGGCAAACTGCAGACTACATACCCATCCGTGAGCTGGTTGACGACCGCCGCTCGGATCGCCGTGGCTCGTTGATGCTGCTGCTGTTTGCGCTGCTGCCTCCGCCGTCGTGGCTCGCATGCCGGACCAGTCCAAACGCCGGCCCAGTCGCCAGATCCCGACCTCCTCCAAAGCTTCCGTGAATCGACAGAGGTGGCAAATGGACATCGGTGTCGGGCTTGGACAGCGAAAGGCCTGCCGCAGAACTTCCAAAATGGTAGTTGTGAAGCTGCGTCATGCTGCCGCCCATCACTTGCGAATCCAGGGGGGGCAGCTTCGAGTCCGAGCCGAGTTCCCGGTAAGACCGTCGACATCCCGGTGCAGAATTGGAGTTGGAGCGGCTCGCCGGGGACGAGTTGGCTGTTTCGGTGGGATTGCTCCCCGAGTCGCTGATCGCATCGCTTGCTGGCCCCAGCGTCTCGTATCGCGGATCTGAGCGTTGGTCGCTGGGTGTGTCGGGTCCAGCGTTGCCATGTTGCCCCGCTCGTTGCTGATGCTGATGCTGATGCTGATGCTGCTGATGCTGCTGCTGAGCGTACCTGGAGCGGTTCGAGTTGTGGCGGTAGTTGTGTGGCTTGCTTCTCTTTGTATCAGCCTGCTGTGAACGAGCCATGCCAGTTCGTTCTGGAAGGGGTGGTACCTGATGAGTCGATGTGAGCGACATCCAGTGACAGGCAGGTCAAGAAAGACGGCCCTGTATCTAGCCGGCAATATGCCGCATCTTACGACCGATGAAGGTAGCATCTGAATGGATGCCGATCGGCGGCCAGGCGTCTCCCGTTGCATATGCCGTATCATGTCGCGGCTCTGGGCCTGCGAATCAGGCCAGTTTCCTCGGGTTGCTGACCTGCTGCTATCTGCTCCAGTCCGTACTCTCGAAACAGGATAAAATTGTTGTTTTGTGGCAAAACTGCCGCAGCCGAGAGCGATGATCAGTCGCTGTGTCAAAGAGTGAAAGATGAACAGGAACGGCACCGCTCTGGTATTTCTGCCTCTACTTTGGTGTAGGCTATCCAACTGCTTCTGCTTCTGCCGCTGCCGCCACCCCCTCCCACTTTCGCTTACATTCGGAAAGTCCATAGTACTTTTTCACAAACGATAGCAACTTTGGAGACGGCTTGTCGTACGCCAGGCTCGCAGCGGTGCAGTTTTCCATCTGAAGCCAGCCGAGGTAATTCCGCAAGCAAATCAGGCCCATTCTGCCATATTGTGCAATCTCCACCAGCGACCACTCCACAGCACTGCTCGGACCGGCTGGGTTGTGCGTGGTGCCCGATGGGGCAGTGTCCTGGAACTCGTACCGTCATCATAAAGTCGAACAGCCGCTTTCCGTAGCCTAGAACCGGCACCATGGCAATCAACATGAGATGGACGAGCTCTGGACTTGGTGCTGAAGCTAAACGGCCTCCTTGGGTGCAGCGATGGTTCCGAAGCGATTCACAGACTCACCTCTTCGCTGGAATGACTCGTGGATGTAAAAGTCGAGCACACAGAGCGGCGTCACTTGGAGTTGCCTATTGTTCGCGTCCTGGTCGCGATGGAAGCCATTGACAGAAACAGAGAATCATTCGTTTCATTTCGATTCACAACGAACCAGACACCGGTCAAGCGGGCACCAGTCAAACAGGCACAGTGAAGTAACGCTGTCTCTCTCCTTTTTCAACTGCCCCATCCTTCCTTCTGCAATCACAAACTGCGTCGCCCTCCCGTCGAGTTACCATCACAAAGAGATTCTTGGGGCCAACTTTGAGCATCCCGACGATGACCGATCCGTGGTTGGGACCGCTCGTGCTGTAGTCCAGTCCTCCGATGCTGACACCGCTGTCCATCAAGCCGCCGTCTTCCTCCCACCGCCGCGGCTCAGGTGGCGGATCCTCTTTCATGATGTAGAGCCGCTGATGAGTGCTCTGGTGGAACTTTGTCAGGGTCGTGACTGGAGCCCGCAACCCCTGTGCCTGCATCGGCGACGCCTCGCCGGTGATGCCGGAATAGAAATTGGGTCAAGTCAAAGACGAACTTTTCGTTAGCGCGGGTCTCGAATGGAGTTTGTCTCTCCAACTGGAACGAGGTGTGAGAGGAGGGGAGAGGCACAGAACTAATGTCCTTGCTGTCGTGTATCGTTTTCGTGGGACTCTGCAATCTCCACGAGAATCGCGATTCAGACAGCAATTTCGATCTCTCAGGGGTATTAAAATCTCGGTCGATACTGAGCGGTGGATTCGATGCGCGCCGGGAACGAGAGCGATGCCTGTCCATATCCAAGTGTGCGTGTGATATCGGACTTTCGGGGCTTGATATCGAGCCGAGCAATAGCCCCGACGCAAACGAGTGCGTGCGATTGTCTCGTCAACTCACCTTGGCACTCGCGACCCCAAGGCTGTCGACGATCCATTTCAGTCGCTCGAGTCTGCAAGCAAATGCCACGAGAGCAAATGTGACTAGATGCTTTCTGAAAAGTGCAACGACCGCGACTGTGACAAGTTCGTGCCAAGTTGGACGTGGTGTGCCGTTGTATGACTCCGACAGCGACTGCAAAGATTGGACGCATCGTGTGGGCAGCAGGAGAAGTGATGGAAGAAGGAGGGAGGGGGTGGTTGAGGGCTCGGTCGTCGTCGTCGTCGTCGCTTACATATGCGTGCTTTTGGGAAGATCATCAGGGCAGAATATTGATATGGGCTTTCGGAGACATGAGCTGATGTCGAAACTCGGATTCATGGGGGGGGGGAGTCACCGTTGCGAGCGCTGTCGTTTGCGTCTCCGAAATCGAAATGGTATGCCCGCCGGGGGGTGGGTGGGAACGCAGTTGAGTTGGGTGCTGGTCGGCAGAGGCGGAAGCGCAGCGCCCCGCTCGAATGCATTCCGATCATGTGTCGGTCACGCCTTGGTATTGCGCAGACCGACGAAGCACTCCAACTCATGTGCGTCGAGGCAACTCCATCCATCCAATCGCTGGTCAGTCTGCACGGGGGCCAGGGGAGTTGCTCTGGGTGCCATGGGCTCGGACTCGTCAGCCAGAAGAAAGAAGCCTGTTTCATTTATTCCAGGGAGAGGGGCGACTCGACAAACAAGCCCTGCAACAGCATCATCGAGGTCTTTAGAAAAACGACAAACTACGGGAGCCGGTCTTCGCAGAGAAACGAAAGTGCGCTTTGGTTTGCAGCCGACATGTCCGTGCAGCGTCCGAGCGTCGAGCGCTGAGCAGTATTGTTTGCGGCCTGTGTGTCTGGCGGCGGCGCCGCACCCTCCCCCAGCAGACTGGAGCCAAGTGGCGATGTGCCCAGGTGCGTAGACTCATGGTGAACGCCGTGCGAGGGTGCAGTCCATCTGCGTTTGGCATAGCCTTCGTCGTTGTCCATGGCCAAACGCCGGGGCACTCCATCCGGAGCTTGCTCGATCGATCCCAGTCCACTGACGCTGCTTTTGATTACGTCCTTGGACGCATACTGAGTACGCACCCGGCCCAGGGTTGACATGGCTTGGACGATGCTGGCCCGGCCCGATTCTGGCTCCTCGACTGAAAAGGCAAAGCCAGTGTGGGAAACGCATCGGTTGGTGGGCATCACCATGACGTTGGACCGTGACGAGTGGACGCGGTGGATGTCCCGCTTGTTCGAGAAGATGTCAAACTTGAAGCTCCTTGGCTTGCTGCTGCCCACCGAGTCACCGACAGAGTCCGCTCGGATGTGTGAAGCCATTGGTGTTTCCAGATAGGCGATGTTGCCAGAGTCGGGTTCCTTGGGCTGGAGCGTGATGTCCTTGCTGCTCGGCCGATACTCGTGCAGCGAATTGCCGGGCTGGGGGCTGACATGCATCTCGCGCAGGATTTCCACGTCGCCGGGCCGGAAAAACTTGGTGTAAAAGTCGCAGGTGAATAGAGGCAGCGTCGCAGCCGCGACACACAGAAGCAGGCCTGCCCAGAGCCTTGGTCCGGTGTAGATAACGTAGTCGATTCCGTAGAACGTCGACATGTTGAACTCGCACCAGATCATCATATACAGGATCGGTGAAATCGTCGAGAGCGCCATGCACAGGGTTCCGATGGCATTGAGCTGTCTCATCGACAGGCTCATCGTAATATTGACGCTGATGATCACCGCCACTGCGGCCAGAAGCCCAATCTCGCCCTCGCTGACGTCCGAGTTGCCATTGGCTGTGTCTTGGTAGACATAGAGGGGCAAGTATGCGCAGACAAGCGACTGATAGATGGCCCAGCCAAAGCCAGAAAAGAACTTTCCATATGTGAACAGCTTCTTTCTCATCCCGATGATATAGATCTCTGGGAAGGCCATCAAGCTGTCTTGGTTCAAGTGGCTGTCGAATACACCTGTTCAGGACATCAATACGCCAGCGTCGTGAGTCAGGCTTCCGGCAAGCAGCCATGAGCAGAATCACGCCTTACCTATCACGATAGGACCCAGGGATGTAAAAATGATATTGTATAGCAGAATGAAGGTATAGTCGAATATTATGTTGGCTGTGAAGCTGTGTCGATTGGGACCGGGTGGAGCGTGGGAGGCATTCGGTTCGTTCAGCATTCGCGCGAGGTGGGTCAAAGCAATGCATATGTCTGGTGGGCGAGCCCACACACGAGCCCAGACACTCGCAGACACTGTGAATGTGGGGCGCCTTCTCTCTTGGGAGGTGGGCTTGAGCGACGGCGGAGGCAGCCATGAGCCAATCCGATCCAAGATGGCTTACCCGCATAGGATTTGGTACCACATCAGAACCATCACCCACGTAAAGCTCTTGAAGAAGAACATCAGAATGCCACCCTGTTGGCCAAGATCATGGACACAGCGACACGAATCGATTGGTACGGAATGGAGCCAGGCAGTCGAGTGTGCGCCTCAGCCCCCATCGACAATGCTGGCTGACATTGGTGAGCCAGAGACGTACCGATATCCGATAGTACGACATGTGACCTTGGCTCAGCAGCAGCTTGGTCAGAAACCGAAACTGCGCAATGACATAATCGCTCGACATGGCCGCCTGCGAGCCTTCTTGTCCTGAGATGCCGACGCCAACATCGGCGGCCTGGATCATGCTGGGTGAAGGCAGAGACAGGGGCTGGATCAGCATCCGCACCGTCCGAGCGATTACGCGCTGACACCTTGCCGCTCCACCGACCAAGACCGCAGATCCCGGTGGCACTCTTCACGTTCTAGCACCAAGACAGTGCGTATTCCATGGCCATAGCACCACCGGCAAACAGCGCATCCCTACCTGACGTCGTTGGCGCCGTCGCCGATCGCCAAGCACATCACAGAAAGCCTGTGCTTGATGAGTTGCACAACCTCTGCCTTCTGCTTGGGCGAGACCCGGCAGCAAATCACGGACTTGCACGAGAGCGAAATCTGGACAAACTCCTCTTTGGTCTTCTCGGCCTCCATCACGATCTTCAAAGTGCCACCGTCGACCACCAGAGCAAACGACGCCGCGGACAGAGGGGCCTCGGCCTGGATGAGACTCTCCGAGTCCCGGATTTGCCGATGCAGGTCTTGGGCCGTCATGGCATTGAGAATGATGAGAGTCATGTCGGCGTCAAGGACCTTCGACGCGAAGCCGACATTGATTGCCGTCTCGAGCTTGTCTCCAGTCAGCACCCATACGTGGATCGAGGCCTTGCGGAGATGCTCGATGCACGTCATGACGCCGTCCTGCAGCCGGTCTTCGATTGCGGTGGTGCCTATCAGCTCCAGGTCAACCTCGATCTGTTCGGCGAGCTCATCGATCTTGGCCTCACGGTCATTCAGATCCCGGCAAGCCGCTTCGAAGAGGGTGAGCCAGGTCTGGTACTCTTCCGGTGGTATCTGTCGCTGTGCCAGACACAGCGTCCTCAGCCCTGTCCAAACGGCAGTAATCGCGCCTGCTCATGAGAACTATGCAGCAGCCAGACTCTGCTTCGCCGTGACAGGTCACTGACCTTTCTGAGCAAACTCGTGTAGAACTTCGTTGGTCGTTGTGACGGCAGCGTCTTGGTTCCGGCTTAGTCGTGGAAGAATCACGCTGGATCAAGGTTCCATGGGCCCATGCAAACCGCCACGGACGTCAGATTTAGGTTTCAGGGCAGGGTTGATGGGAGCACGTTTCATCAATGTCAGAGCATCGGCGAGCAGACGGCGCGATAGCATCTGCGCTGAACCCCCCCCCAAAATCAGCAGCTGTGCAGCACTGCGGCCGCCGGGCATGACACTCACTTGTCGGCTCCTTTGCATATCAGCGTCAAGATGCCATTCTCGTCCTTTGTGATGACCGACATGCGCTTGCGGTCGCTGTTGAACTCGAGAATGCACATGATCTCATACAGCCGGATAGATCCGAGCACGTTGAGCTTGACGATGCTTTGGTTCCGAGAGACAAAGATAAACCCGCAATTGCGGGCTGTTGTTACCAGCGCAAACTCGTCCGGTGACTGAGCCTCGTACTCGAGCACATGCTCGTCCTTTGGCGACACCACGGTGTGGCACAGAGCCAGAACGAGAAAGAAGCGCTCGATCTCGGATCGCCGTTGGGGATTGTCCTGGTAGTCGCGAAACATGTCCTGGTCCACAAAGGTGATATCGGCGGTAAAGTACGGGTTCGCGTATATGCCTGTCATCTGTGCCTTCATCTTCTCAAGGGCTTGGTGGCGCTCTTCCGGCTTCTCAAACTGCATCCCATAGACGCGGTCTCCGATTAAGCACTGCCGGAATTCCATCTTGTTTTGGGTGAGAGTTCCAGTCTGGAAAACGACAGAATCAAAGTGGCGCTGCTGTAAGTGCCTGCCCCCCCCGGCAGCGTCGTGTCCCCATGAATGCGTGACTGAGTTTCGCAAGAAATGACTGGTGTTTGGAGCCCTGGTCATGCCTTGGACTGAACGACCTTGGCGTATCACGAGGTTCACCAGATCTGGCCCCTCATTGAGACATTTGCTTGCGATGCAAATGCTGCTCACCTTGTCTGAAAAAACGTATTCAATCTGCCCGAGATCGTCGGAGAGCGTCCATGATTTCGGGATACAGCGCTCATCAGATACGCTGTAGTACATGTCGTCATCAAAGTAGATGAAGAGAGCCTGCCGATAGCCGAATAGGACATGAGATCAACAAGACCGTGTTACGATCACAGCACACATGCCAGCCTTGGGTATAGTCGCCCTCGTTGCCGACCATGATTTGGCCATACTCAAGCAGCAAGAGGCATTGCTGGCTCGCACCTGAGCGGATTTGATGACCTCCAGGGTGACATAGAGCGAAATGGGCACGATGTTTTGATACAGCATAATACTGGCACTGAACAGGCGGATGGTGTCAGATTCGGTACTTCCACAGCTCGGTACTTCCACAGCTCGGTCTACCCAGAATATGATGGCGCTCACCAGAGCGAAATCAACCTACATCAGCGTGAAAAAAGCAGTCTCGATTGCCGACTGATCGAATGCGATCCAGGGGGCATGCTCGTTGATCCAGTTGGTCGAAAAGATGTATGCACCGGCAAAGTTGGTGAGACAGATGACAGCAAGCATGCAAAAGTTGATCAGGACCTGCACGACAGGCAGTGGAGCACGAGGGGGGGGGGTGTAAGCCATCGCTGAAAGTTGCAATACCACTCGTGCTGCTGGTGCTCCTGATTATCGGTGGCGCTGAGTAGACTGTTGCCACCTGCTATCCCACCAGGTAAACTGCTACCACTGGCAAGACCCTTGTCACTTGCCGTACTCTTGCCGCCGCTACTCCACGCTCTCGAAAGCAAATCGGGCGACATGAAATCGGGCGACATGGCTCGTGTAGACGGAAACCCACCAGGTAGTTCATCAGCCGTTCGATTTGGCTCCGCTTGAACGGCGTCGACCCTGAATTCAGCATGACCTTGGTGTCGTTTCCGGTATACACGACAACACCGATGGCATAGTCGGTGCTTCGCAATGTCGATCCACGCAGAAGAAGGTTCTGGATACCAACCGGGACGGGCTCAGAAGGGTAGGAATCGGTAGGATCGCTTTCGAAGGCGATGGAGCCGTGGTACGAGTAGAGATTCATCTGCGGCGACTCAGAATCGATCGACATCTTGACGTTGCGGCAATCGTCGGCGGTGGAAAGATGCTGCGTGGCCGGGAGGGCAGCTCGAGCCTTCAGATTTGTTTCCCCATCGAGGTTCTTGGTTTCGATATAGCAGCTCCCGCCCTCCTCTGACGTCGAGAGGATGATCGTATCGGCCGGGATGGCTTCGTTATTGCGAATGTAGATCAGGTCCCCGACATGCAGGTCGGACCAGTACGTCAGTCTCCATCCAGGCAAGGGCACTTTCGACAGTCTCCTGCGGCTGGGATCTGTGGGCGCTAGGGTGTCAGCCAGAGCGGTTCCATTTGGCGTAGCATTGGTTCCCACGAACGCTCGCCAGAGCCCAACACCATCGAGTTCATCAGCCGCATAAGCCATTGGCCCTACCGTTGGCAGGATCTTCAATGTGTACCGTTGACGGCATATTGGTATTGTTCCAGTCGCTGAGAGTCAGCACCACTGAGTGATTAAGCTGGCGATCGGCTTGGTGTCGCCGATAGTCCTCGACACCATCCTTGATGCCATTGAGCGACAGAATGATGGCCAGCGGAACGGCGGAAAGCAGCGGGAAGGTCGACTGAAACTCTGGCAGAAACTGCAAAACAATGATCATCAAGAAGAATCTGTCGATCGGAGAACAGCGACGATGAGTTTCCGAGCAGCGATGCGTTGGGACGCCGGCGAATATGGAGCATGCCGGAGTGGATGCATCGGAAGGACGGCAAGAAGTGTGTTAGTTGGACTGTTCTCGCTCTGTGCACGGTGGTGGTCGGAAGCTCGCTCGGAGACCGATGGGAGAAGTGAATCGATTTCAAATCAGCTTACAGATTTGCAATCTGCACCACCCGGGCGAGGCGTTATCGATTCCGCAAAGTAGTAACAATTCCGCAGGTGTTCGAGGGACGATCAAAGAGTCAGAGGCGATCAGCATCCGCGACAGAGACACTGACAGATCCGCTCGGCGGGTAGCCACAGCGACAGCCGCAGCGGCGACTCACTCGGTGGAACTGCTCGAGAATATTCATCGGCAAAAAGGTCCAGACGGTGTATTTTGACGTTCGCACCGAGTTGTCGGGAAAGACAAGGAGCGGCTCGCCGTACGAGGTCAGGAGCTCGGGCGGAGGCTTCATGTTGACAAAGATGCGCCGGTGCTCCCAGCGCACCGAGCGCCTTCGGAAGAGCGCGAGGACCATCGCGGAGGGATGCAGAAACTATTCGGGGGCAGGTTGCGGCGTGCCGATCGCAAATGAGGCTGAAGAAAGCTGAAGAAAGCCGAGCGTGGCTGCCAGCGACGGTTCTTGGCGAACTGGGGCAAGCAAAGGGGCGCGTTCCGAGTCAAGGGGCGTCTTCTTGGCGGGGACAGCTTCAAGAGGCACAACGGGCGGTCCAGGCTGCAAGCGACAGGGGCCAGGCGACCTGTGGGCTGGAGAGCAGGGTGCAGGACGAGGGAGCCGCAGGATGGGGATGCTCTTGGCAATCCGTCGGACGCAGAGGGCCAAGAAACGGCCGACGCTTGGCGGGAGCACCACCAAGCACAGGGATCTCGGCGAATAGTCAAACCCAAGCGGGAGGGCGACTGGATCACGACGGCCAAATCCTTGGCATTTTGCAGGAGGTGAATTTAGCTGATCTTGTTGCAATTCAGCAGCCACATCGACTGGACTTGTTCAATTCAACTGGGCTGGTTTCCATTCAACTGGGCTGGTTTCCATTCAGCAGCCCACCAGCCCACGCAGCCCACACAGCCCGCACAACTCACACAGCCCGCACAACCTCCCACCCAGCATCAGATCGTCCCGCAATGCGCAGATCGCCAGAGTCACAGGCCTGTCGGCGCTGTCAAATGGTGCTGACAAACTCGCCAAGCCCATGTGCCCGTTCCCCAACGCGATCAAAAAGCGACGCTCCTTCGCCCTTCGCCCTTGGCCGGCATCTCGCACTCCCTATCGGCGATCCCATCGGCGATCCTGCTCTCGACGTCCGCCAGCACCATGGCCCACGCTGACATCGAGCTCCCGTCTCTGCAGCCAGCAAGTCCTCTTGTCCTCGTCGTCGCCGCTGCCCTGATTGCCCTCGCCTTCGCCGTGGTCTCGGGCCGGCTCGTTTTCGCTACAGCACGAACCCATGCCAAACCGTCCTGGGGCGGCAAGCACCCAAATGCTGCCAGCGAAGACGGCTCCGGCCGATTCGCCGATGCAAGCTATCCTCTGCTGGCCCACCCCGACAACCATCCGCTCGACGACCACTTCCCAGCAATAGCCACGACCGACCACGACGACGAGCCCGACGACTTTTTGCAGCTCTACCTTATCGAAAAGATCATGCTGGACTACCGCACGGCCATCCTGCGGTTTCAAGCGCCTTATGCCGACAGCTTCGCCTCGGGCTGCAACTTTGCCTTGCGCCTGTGCACCGGCAGCCGTACTGTGGTGCAGCCCTATACCGTCACCAGCTCGTCGCTCGGCGGCATCGTCAGCATCATTGTCCGCCTGCCGCTGCTCGAAGACGCCGTCAAGGCCACCTCCAAGCACCTCATCACTATGGAACTCGACGACACCGTCGAGGCGGCCCCGCTCGTCAACCTGTTTCCCCTCAACCCTTTCCGACAGCCGCGCATCACCCTCATTGGGGCCGGCAACGGCGTTGTTCCGCTCTTTGCCCTCATCCGCTTCATCATCAACCACAGCGCCACCATCCAGCTCCATCTTATCTTCTTCTCTCGGGACCCCGAGTCACCGCTCTTTGAGGAGTTCATGCGGATTGCCGAGAGCAGCCTCGGCCGCCTGTCTGTCGACTTTGCCCTGGAGCCCTCCAGCTGGGACGAGGCGGAGGCCCTGATTGCCTCGAATCTGCCGGACCTCGAGACTGCTGCGGCCGTGGTGGAGGAGCCCAGCGACGAAGTTACGGGGGGCCGCTCGGCTGTGTTTGTCTGTGGCTCGCTTCAGTTCGAGTACAAGATCGCCAGCATCATCAAGCGGCTTGGCTTTCCTCGGAGCCTGGTCTGGAGCTTTGGCCTCGACGGACGCTGAAGCATATAGCACCAGGAGCGTCCGTTTGCACCTCCGGTCGGCGGCGTCAACCGCCTCCTTTCGACGATCACTCTTTTTGGAAAATCGCCAAGCCATAGCAAACGCTGCTGCTTCCTAATCCATCAAGCTCTATGGCGACACAGCGCTGTGGCTCCCATGGCGAAGGCGTCTTGGAGATTGCATGGCTTGACGATATCGTCACTCTCGATCCATGATATCCGTGACATTCATGATATGCACTCTATCCTGCAGTCCTGGTCGCGCGTACCCACTACCTCCTCCCTCGACTGCCGTCTCGCTCTTGCACTCTCACTATGTATGTCTCTCCGTCAGCGATGATGACGTGTGGGCAATCGAGCCCAAACACCTCCCACAGACGGGTCTCTCGTTGGTAATACACATTCATTGGTATTGACGCTGTTCCGCATGCTCGAACCTGCCCAGGTGCCGAGTGCGAGATGAGCGGCAAGCCTGCATAGCGACAGCGGCACAGGGTCGCCGGCGAGAACTCGATGGCGGAGATGGAGGCGGGACGGGTAGAGGGCAGTGCCGTAGAGGAATCCACACGCACATATGGGGAGCGCTGAGCGGGACGGCACGGCACGGCAAGTGCAGAAGCGGGAGTAAGGCGTCGCATGTCGAAGAGCAGACGGAGATCGCTTGACTCAAAGAGCGAATGGACGAGAGGAGGGCACGCTTTACTCGAAGAGTGCGCTCTGCAGGAGCAAGTGGGAAGGGAATAGAGTAGAAGCAAACGTTAGTTATCTGTGTTGCCCGTGCATCCAGGGTGTCCGGCACTCGCCGGGGACATAGGCAAACGGATGCCTACCTTTGCTGTGATGGCGATGTTGCCGAACGGCTCGGGCTGGCTGACGTTGATCATATCCTTGGTCTTGAGAACGAGGAGTTCAAAGAAGAGACGCACAGTTTCGCTGCGGCGAGTCTGCAGGGGAGGAGAGCGATGTGCCGTGTCAGCACGGAGGAGCCAAGGGGCCGGAGAATACGAGAGAGGAGCGCAAAACGCAAAACGCAAGGCTAGCCAGGCCAGCGACGACCAACCTGTGCTGCCAAGGTGTTGAACTGGATCTCCTTGTCGTGGTCGTTCTCAAACTCGCTTTGCATCAGGGTGATTGTTTTGACGGTCGACTTGCTCAGACCGGTGCTCTCGTTGATTTCATCAAGCGCCTCGTCGTATTCGGGATCGTCAGGGAGCACCGGTGCACCCTCCAACAGGGGCCCGGCCTCTGTGGCTGGTTCCAGCTGCCAGGCCACAGAATCGGACTCGGCATCAGCATCAGAGTCTGGGCGACAGTGGTTGTGTCGGCCAAAGCCACAGCATAGTCACGATCGAAGTCGGAGCTTCAGGTAGCCGGGGACACTTTGTGCAATGTGCAATGTGCAAGGCCGTTACCTGGTGGAGCGACTCCTCTGGCAAGATATCGCCGGGCATATCGCCGCCATATGGCTGGTCAAAGTCAGCGAAATCCCCCTGATATTCCTGTTCAAACTCGCCCAAGGGAGCAATGGACACAGAGGCATCGCCTTCCTTTGCAGCCAAGGGCTCCTCGGGTTGGGGTAGCAGATCGTCAGGCAGCTCTGAGCAGGTCGATGAGAGAGAGAACGACAGTAGTTTAGCGCAGGCAGATGGATCGCGCTTGATCATGGAACCATAGCTCCTGGCGAATATCGAGGCAGCGGGCCAATCATCTCGGGATCGCTTCGGATGATCGGCGCTAAAGAATGGGATGCCGCATTCACGTCGGGACAGCATCAGGCTTACCGGGGGCACGAGAAAGCCGTCGGGCAGCTTCCACGTCGAGTGCATCGGCGTCGGCTTTGCGCTTGCCCAGGACACTGGCTTGCAGGAACACCGGGCGGATGGCGGACTGGCTCGCATGACGGCCAAACAGTCCATCGAGCTCGGGAGGGAGCTCAAGTGGTGAGTTGATGTCCTGGAAGTAGCCCATGCCCAGCCTGCGTGTCTGCATCAGCCGAGACATGGTTCTCGAGCCCGGAGCATAGTGTTCCTGCAATCGTTCCAAAGCGGGGGACAGACGACTGAATTAGAATGGTCACCAAGGATGGCGACCAAGCACGGCGGACCAAGCCGGACAGATCAAGCGGGGCACACCACCCGATGCCCACCTGAAGGACAATGTCCGACGTGTCGTTAAGGGCGTTCCGCATGTCGGCGTTCGGGATCTGTGTTCGGTCGTCATTGCCAATCTTGCGTCGCTTGGGAGCCTGACGAGCTCGTCTCTCTGGCTGGCCAGCCTCTGAAGGAGCGCCAAGGATCGTCGAGTCCTCGACCCGGCTGGGTGGTTGCGCCGACGGAGCGGATTCCGCGCGCGGCAAGACAGTCAGTACGAGCGACGCAGATCCCACCATACTCATAGCCCTGCGGCCCCAGGCCGACTCTGGTAATTTGTTGCATCTAGCCCCACCTGTCAAGATCCATGGGATCCAACACAAACAAATCACCGCCAGCCTCATGCTCCGGCAGTTGCTCGAGATGTGATGCGTCTCCTGGGAAGGGCTGGTCGTGAGGTGCTTCGGCGCCAGGGACGTCCATATCCATGAAGCCGTCGCCAAAGTCAAGGTCGATGTTGGAGGCCTCGGCAGGGTTCTCGGCCGGATTCTCGGCATTGAAATCAAGGATCTTCCCAGGCCGACCAGGGGAAAAGGGCCGGTCGGCGACGGCGGGGGCGTCTCGTCCCACTTCAATGGAGGTGGTGAAGCGGCTGTCCTCGCCAAAGTCCAGGACATCGGCCGAGATGTTGCCGCGGTCAAAGGTCTTATCACCGTCGTCGAGACCAAAGTCGAGGTCAAAGTTCAGGAAGCTCTCTTCGTTATTGTTGAGGTCACCTCCGGCCGCCTGGGCAAAAATGTCGTGCTGGTCCTCGAAGCTCTGACTCAGGCGACGTGACTGGGTGATGGTGATGTCATCTCTGCGCGAGATCGTTTGGGCTGTTGATGGGAGGGCTCCGGACGACTGGGCCCTCAGGTTTCTGTCGAGGGCAGAGGTACAGGCAGCGGGCTGAGCGCAAGTCGAACAGAGGCGGATTGCGGTCCTCTGGGAGCAGGGTCGCGTGGATCCAGCTTCGGCGGCTCATCGAACCGTGCTGCTGGAGCTGGAGCCGAAAGCGCACATGTCACGGCACAGAAACTCACTGGATGAACAGATCCAGGCGATCGTTTTCCAGAGCGATATCAAGCTCAGTCATGTTGGTAGCGATGCTGATGGTGTTGGCCGGGGCCATATCTTGCTCCTCAGGCATGTCGACGATTCCAGGACGGAAGGCCTGCGGCCGTGTGGATGGCAGCCGCAAGCGCATGTTAGAGATTCAACCAGGGCCGATTATGGCTCAGATCCGCCTGCAGCATCAACGACTCGGGACACTCGATCGATCGAAAGCATTTCGGTGAACACTGACCATCTTGATCTTCATCATGGCCTCGTTGCAGTCTTCGAGGAGATACCGGGTCTTGCGTGAGTAGACACGGACGACACCGAGAAGCAGTTGGCCCGATAGACGCAGAGCCATGGGAGCCTGGCCATCACCGCCGACGATGGCCGCTGATTGGATTGTGCATGAAGAATGGGCATCGATCAATACACGGCTGGAGCTGGGTCACCCGAGCGAGCCGAGTCATCAACAAAGTCGAGCCGAGTCGTCGACATTATCGAGCCGCAGTGCGATAGGGCTGCGAGGCACGCCATTCTGCATTTCAATGCGAGAGGGGCACGCACAGACGGATGACTGGATGTTTGTCTGGATGAACTGCGATTTGCTCAGCTTCCGCTCCCAGACGGCGGCCAGCCAGACCTTTGCCAGCGGCCCCTTCTTGGTAAACAAGTTCTCGGAGAAGAACATGGCTGGCGGGTTGACGGGTCGCGGGGTGGACGGCTGTCGTGGAGGAAACGGTGGCAGGCGGATGGGAGCAAAGGCGGCTGATGCCGGGGCATTTGGCGGCCAGGGCAAAGCAGAAGCGAAGGGCGACTGTGCATGTCGCGCGCCGTGGGCAATTTGTCCAGAAAAGGCATGGCACGATCCGCGCTGATTGGGCGGCCGTGTCTGGATGGCCATGTCTGGATGATGATTCTGGATAATGATTCTGGATGTTCATGTCTGGATGATCATGTCTGGATGGAGATGCCAGCACCGCACAGGTCCGGAGCGTGCTGATACAGCGCTTGTGTTGCAGCACCATCTACTCGCCAGCATCAGCATCTCAGTAACAGAGTACGGACACCCCCGGCTTTTCCATATTGCATGTGTCTTTGTTTCTCCCTTCAGCACAACACAGCAGCCGCATCCTCAGTGGATGCCTTCGATCCGACGGGTGAATTCGGCTCCGAGCGCAAAGTATACCACGCAGATCGCAAAGATGCACTTGTATCCGAGGCACTGCAGGTTCCACGAGCTGCCCAGACCTTGGAACTCGTCGCGGACCCAGCCTGCAATCGGCGTGGCGACGATCTGGGGCAGCACCATGGCGACCGTCCAGAGGCTGATGTCGCGGGCGGCATCCCGGCCCGAAGGCAGCACATCCATCAGCAGTGCAAACTCGACGCTGAGGAACGGGCCGTAGCCAAGCCCAAAGACGCCCGAGACCACCAGGGCACCGGTGAAGGATGTGGTGACGATCATCAGCAGGCACGTCAGGGACATGAGTGCGGTCGAGATGTACACAACCGTCTTCCTCTTCGAGGCCGAGATAAAGTAGGCGCCAACGGGCGAGATCACCAGCAGGGGAATCACGGCGACGGACACGGCCTTGGTCGGAGACATGTTTGAAGACACGCAGTCGCTGATCCAGCTGTGGAGGCAGAGTGGGTTCAGAGACAGAGTCAGATTGATGCGCCAAAATGCCGGATAAATGGCGCCGCCCAGGCAAGTCGCTTGCCGATGTGCGGAAACAGAGGATCGCCGTCGAGTCCAAGGCAGAGGGCAAAGCGACTTACTACTGGAGGAACTGCTGTACCGTCGCAACGCCGAGCTGGAAGAAGAATCTCGAGATGAAGACCATGCGAAAGTTGAAGCTCTGGAGTGGGCTGAGGACATCGGCGAGCAGTGTGCTCCAGACAAGTCGCTCGCGATGGATGGCTTTGTAGTTGTTCCTGGGCTCGTTGAGCTGGCAGGTAAGGCCTGCCGACAGCATCAGGGCCGAGCTCATGATGATGTACATCCCACGTGTGCCCAGGGTGTCGGAAAAGATGCCAACGACGGCCGCGGCAAGATAGCCGACCATATTGAAGGTGCCCATGACTGCCGAGACCGATCCCTTTTGATCCGGGGCCGACAGATCCGAGATCAGTCCGTTCATTGGGACCGAGGCAAGAACCCCACCCACGGTCACGAGCAGGTACCCGCCGATATAGGTAGTGAGGCTGGATTTGTCTGACAGCAGCAGCAGCGAGCTGGACATGCAGAGGCTGCCGACCACAATCCAGGGCTTGCGTTTGCCGTACTTTGAGACGTAGCGATCGTTCAGGGCCCCAACGAGAAGCGATGCCGGCAGCGTGACGGCAGCAGAGAGGAAGCAGACCAGAGAAAGGCCCTCGCCCTTGTGGTCTTCGCCCATGATGTTGCGGATCTGGTACGGAGAGATGACGGCGCCAAGCAGGAAGACTGGGCCGCGGGGTGTGAGTTGTGGAGGTGTGGGCGTGAGTGAAGGGTATGGCGGATGTTAGAGGAGCCAGAGAGGATCAGCATCCAAGATAACCCAGGAGCTTACTGCATGCTCGATCAGGCCACTGTCGACACATCGCACGATCGCAGCAGTCCGACGACCAAGATCACAGCTGCCGGAGCCGTGAGAAGACGCAGCACGCGATCGACGGCGACTTACAGAACGAGTGGTAGCCAAGCCAGAATGAGTTCAGCAGCACGATCTGAGCCGGCGACAGGTGCGCGAGTTGCTCTTTCTTGTGGTCTTTCTCGCACGAGATGTCAAAGCGGGTATCGACGCAGGTCTCGAGCGATCCAGCATCCACCAGCGTCGAAGGGAAGCAGAACGTGCGCTTGTTGGATATCATGATGATTTCGGTCGACTGGCGGGGACTGAAGATCGAGCCCATGATCCCCTATATCCGTGAGGATCTGATAGTGGATCGACTAATTTCACCCCGGAAGCGCAAGACGATCGCACGATCAACCCCCCCTCTGCCTGGAATGCCGCCGATGACAATGTGGACGCCGAGAGAGGAATTTGGGCGCGCTGGCGCTGTTGGCGGGATTTCGCAAGCCCCTTGCAGCCCCAGCCAGGGCTCTGGATGCTCGCGCCGTCGATACCGATCGAGTCGGACGAGCTGCTGAGTCGTCGTCTTGGAAGTCAAAGCGAGGCGTTGTGATGATGTATGGAAGGCGAGGATCGGGCGCTTGGTCATCTGATGAATGAGAAATGCTTTGGTGAGGATGATTGTTTGGTCCGAGAGATGCAGAACGCTCAGCCCAATGTCCCGAGCCACACGAACATGTTGCGGCTGGCTCGGCAGCGTCTCAATAAGACCAAGACGCATATCATTGCGCCTAATATCTGCCGTATCCTGCGCTGTCTGCACGGCCAATGTCCGTTGGCATCACCGATTCGATCATGAGCACACACACACACCGACTCATGCTCGGCCAATCAGCGCGCGCGTGTGTGTGTGCGCTCTCGCGAATGCAGCCGCATTCGAGCCGGCGATCGCAGCCAGCCGCCGAAAAAATCTTCTCAGCGACGAGAGAAAAAAAAGGCCATCCATCCAAGTGCGCTCGGGACAGTCCTGGATTCCAGATCGCCCTCCTGCCCAAGCACCCCGGACGGCGCCAGCAGCACACCGCGCAGCAAGCCGATCTCGCCAACGCAAACAGCTGGACTTGGCCCGGAACCGCCCCCGACTGTTCCTTCGTAGCAGAATAGAAGCACAACCGCAAACGCAAACGCAAACACACGTATCCTGCAGCCTCCATTTCATCGCACAGCTATGTCGACGCTGCTTAGATCCGGGCGAAAGGCGCTGAGCCTTGCAACGAGAACACCGTCCCTCGCATTGGCGACATCTCGAGGTGTGTGGATGCATTGCAGCGCACCTCCCATCCCGCACCGTCGGTTACGCTCGCGGCCGGACCGGCTCATGTGGGCCAGCCATGGAGACGGACAGAGATCTTGGTGCTGACTTGTCCGGCTCACGGCCCCACTGCAGGATCCCTCTTCCAAATCCCACGCGGTTTCCAAACCGCCGTAGTCGGTGAGTAACATCCCGGGGGCACATGCGCCCGAGGAGCAGAGGCGATCGGGTTGCTTCAGAACGTATTTTCTTGGAGCAGGACAGCGCATCGCAGATCCCGATTGAGATGCACTTTCACGCTCCGAGAAGGACATGGACAGCACCAAGCTGGATGGCCTGTGGCTGCAAGTGCTGGATTGGATCAGCCGCAGCTCTGTCGCATCCAATGTGCTGAGACAGCGTGAACTTGCCCGGCACTTGCTCGCGTTTGTGGAGCACTTGCGCCACTATCCGTCGACCTCTGCGACTGGACGATCACGACTCATGCATCTCTTGCTTCGTCCTTGCTGCGAACTATGGCGAAACCCTGTACACCTTTCAATTTGGAATTGCCGTCGTCACGATCCCAATCGGAACACTGCCAATGTGAACCACGACACCCCGATCGCATCCTTCCGTAATGATCACAATCTCCAACGACGACGTCTCATGGGTTCTGCGAAACGATGCTGTGGCCTGCTATTGCTGTCCTTGGTGTCAAATCGAACCTCCGTACCGGTCCGCATGCATCGCTCGAATGGCCATTCGTGCCGAACAATTCCTTGCTGGCGACCACTGTTCCAGCTCGCACTGAGGCCACCGTCACCGCCGAGAAGCGCAAGCGTGTGATCCAAATCTTCGATCCCACCACCGAGCTGATCGAGGCCAGCGAGATCAGCAAAATCGCCATCCCTGAGGGGGTCTCGACCGCTTTTGGCGAGCACTACCGCCGGATGGTCATGGGTTTCCAGAAGGCCGACTTGGCGCATAATGCCCTGCGAGTCTTTTCATACCAGATCGCCTCGCCGCGCGACGCCGAAATCTTTGCGACGCTTCTAAAGCAGTGGAGGGCCACGGGCCACTCGTTCTCGAAGGGAGACTCGCTTGTGGTGCTGGAAAGCCTGTGGAATGCCGGTGCCTACGACACCATTCTCGAACTGTGGTGCGACCGCCCGTCCTACAACATGGTCTTTGGCCTGGACTATGCCCACCGGCTGATGCGTAGCTTCCAAACCGAGGCCTTGGCCAAAGGTGTCTCTGAAGAAGCCCATATCGCCGCTCTCGACAAGCTCTACAAGACTTTTGCTGTGGCGCTCTCGTATGACTATCCCCCCACGAGCGAGACGTACGCCATCCTTATTTCGACGGGTGCGTACGGACGCACCTCCGAGGGCTGGAGACGCTCTCTTGTCACGGCAAAGGAGCAGATTTCCCTCGGCCTGCCGTTTACGCCCGAGTCGACCATTGCCCTTGTCGATGGCTACCTCAAGACCGGGCTGACCAAGGAGGCAGCCAGCCTGATCACGTCCGAGCGAAAGCGTCTGCCTGCCTTGCGCGCTCTGGATCTCTTCCAGATCCAAGTTGCTTTGGCCAGCCAGAACTATGTGCAGGCCATCGAGGCCTACACCCAACTGAAAGCCAACGACGCACCGGAAGACTCGGCTGTGTTTGGATCGTGGCTGTGGGAGTCGGAGGCACAGGTCGTCGACAAGCTGATCCAGGCTTTGGCCGCCGATCCCGCCAACGAGACCATGCTGAAGAAAGTCGAGAGCCTGAGATCGGGTGCTCGCTGAGAGCACAGCGTTGCTTTGGACGCGGCGAAGCGCTTACAACACCGTCCCTCCTCGCGATGATGTACAGCCAGAAAATGACAAGGCTTTTGGATGCCAAGGCGCCTTGCGATGAATCTCGAGGGGAGCTCCCATGACCAGCGCCGTCGGTCAATTGGACTGGCACTTGCATATTGGACGGGTGGGTCTACCGTCGATACAAACGGCAACTTGCGGATCGGGCTGATCGGCGTCGTCGACCACTCGTCCCTCTCATGATCAAATACATGTCACGCCAACAGTTGGCCAGTGACTTTGCACCTGTGGCTGCGTGCCCGCTGGGGGATACGATCCGATGGATGTCGATATGCAGTCGGGCAGCTGTGTTGTCGACTGAGTCTATTCTGCCAACCGAGCTTGCCCAACACACTGTCCCAGAGCGGCCATGGCGAGATGAGGCGGCGATCAAGATGCCTCTTCACACCTCCCCACCCACCAGCATCCTCTCGGACAATACAGCCGCGGGCCAGAACCAAAGATCGCAAGGCGCTGCTGTCAGTACTCCAGAATAGGCGCACCCATCTCCTCGATACATGGAATCGTACACTTGAGATCGAAGGCTTTGGCCAACACAATCTTGAAGATTTTCTGGACGTTGATTGAATGTGACGTGGAGCAGAACACAAGCGATGCCTTCATGGCTTTGGCGAATCTCCGCGCCTGCAAGATCAAAGCAACAAACGAGCGAGCGATGGTGTCCAAGGACAGCAGCAGAAGGGGTCAGTGCAGGGGCAAGCGCAAAAGTAACCGTGGGCCAGGCGACGCCCAATCGCAACGGACGAGTCTGCCAGAGGGTATCGCTGCATCGCTGCTCACCTGCTGGGTGATTTCTTCTTGCTCCTCTCTGGGAAAGGTCGCAAACTGGTCATACTTGGTGCCGATCAGAAAGGGGATGGCGGTCTGGATGAATAGCGCCCACACAGCGCGGTGCAGCGCGGTGCAGCGTAGTGGAGCCAAGGGATGGTGGTCAGGAGAGGCGACAGAGCGGATCATCAGAAACGAGCCGTGAGCCACGGCACAAGACCAAGGACGAGGAGCCGTCTGTGGTGGGAGCAGCGCCATTGATATGACTACCTATTCTGTACCACAGCGGCCGATCTGAAATGGCGGCGATGGATTTGGGCTGTACCTTATTGAATCCTCTGGCTTGTCTGTACCACTCTTTGATGCTGTTGAGGGTGGACTTTCGGGACAAATCAAACATGAACAAGATGGCCACGGCATCGTTACAGACGAGCGGGAGCATGTTGACGAATTCACGCTGCCCGCCAAGATCCCAGATGCTGAAGGTGATTTCTGTGTTTCGGATCGAGATGGTCTTTTCCATAAAGTTGACGCCTGTGATGCAAAGGAAAGGGTTGGGGCGCGAGCATGCACGTGTGTGGAGAACTCAGTTTGAAAAGCCGAGGCCAGAACGATGCGGCAGGCTCGACGCTGAAATGAATACTGTCCCCTTGGTCATCAAGGCATGACGACCTGCAAGACAAAGTTGCCACCGGGCACATCCCCCGCCCCTATACGCTCGAGGCAGCACGTCAACCCACCAAGGGTCTGGATATAGTCCTCATCAAACGAGCCCTCAACGTATTTGACCATCAAGCTTGTCTTGCCAATCTGGCTATCTCCCACCATCCCGACCTTGATCACGACGCTGTGAGGAGCATGGCATCGGATGTATGGCAGCAGGAGGTACTCTTGGGTTAGCTTCGCGCCATCACTGCCCATCAGCAAGGATTGCCCACCGAATTGGTATTTTTCCAGGCCGATAGACTGCGCTCGGCTACAGGGTGTGGATCTGGAGTGTGCGGCCTGGGCGATAGCCTTCACGGGCGTTTGGACGCGTCGAGCACCACTGCAAGTCGTGACGGAAGGGCTGATTCGAAGGAGGCCGCAGCCACCACGGAGGTGCGAAAAGCGGCTCAGGCCTCTGAGCTACTATCAAATTTGCCTACCTATTCTTTTTCGCTGCGTCCACTACGCTCTTTCCGGCGACATTGGCTGCGCTGGCGAGATGGGCAACATCGGCATTGCTCGAGCGTGGCGAGGGTCCCAACGGCGAGGTAGGCGGGGATGTAAAGACGGCGGGACTCGGCTCCGGTTTGGATGGAGTGCTCTGTGACGGGCCCGTGGAGGATGTCGACATCATGGTCAAGGGCGTGGGCACACGGGGTCTTGAATAGGCAGACGGATGCGAGACGCTGAGCGGGGCGCGTTAGGATGGATGCGTTGGCGAGAGCGGAGCAACGGGCCGCCGAAAAGGACAATGCTTCAGCAGCCGAGCCGAGGAGTACGGAGCGGCTTGGGTTTTATCGCTGGTGCCAATATTGCGCGTTGCAGATGCTGTGCAGCCGTGGCAGTATCGATGGCTGGATGAGGGGGTATGACCGACCGACCGTGGGAACAGACAACCAAGGCAGTGGGCACGACAGAGGACGTCGCTTGGGACCGCTGGCCACGCGCGGGATTCGAGCACAATGCAGCGGCAAGAGGCGGGCCGCGCTCCGGCAGTAGAGAGAGGTTCTGGCGGTGGTGGAGCGAGAGGATGCGGCCGAGATCGAGGCAGCGGTGCAGTCCCGGCAGCAGGCAGCACGGCGACATCAAGCCCGCGGGAAGACCAGCATGGCCAGCCCGCGTTGCGCCGACACGTGAGCACGGCCGAGGCGGTGGCGCGGCGGCGCTCGGGCCCTGCTGCGCACACGTCTCGCGGTCACACAGGACAGCGCGGTGCTGCGCTATCAGTTCGGGCGCCGCAAGCCGGCAGTCAAATTGCGGGCTGGTTGTCGGCTGCGAATCTCTGCCCCAGCACCTGCCTTGCGGCTCCATCCGGCATCTCCATCCGGTATCCATCCGCCATGTCTCTGCGTCGCCCAGACTTCAGCCTCGAGGCCGTCGTTCGTCCCAACATCTGGAAGCTCCAGGTGAGCCGATGAGCCAGACGACCAAACCTCGCATCAAGCATGTGGCGTGCGGTGCTGCTTGGAGGACAGCTCCGTTGTCTGCCGGCCAGCGAGCTCACGATCCCGTCTTGCCTCCTCCTCCAGCCATACCGATGTGCTCGAGACGATTACTCCGAGGGTATCCTGCTTGATGCCAACGAGAACTCGTTTGGCCCGGCCGTCGCGCTGGAAACCGAACTCGGCGATCTTCAGCTCGAGCGATACCCAGACCCCCACCAAGTCGAGCTCAAGGCGCTCCTGGCCCAGTTCCGCAACGTTCCTTCGCCCGATTACTTTTTCCTCGGCGTTGGCTCCGACGAGTCGATCGATCTGATCATCCGAGTCTTTTGCACGCCTGCCAAGGACAAGATCCTGATCACGCCCCCGACCTACGGCATGTACAGCGTCTGTGCCCAGGTCAACGACGTTGGCGTGGTCAAGGTGCCGCTGATTACCGAGGATGCCTCGTTCCAGCTGGACCTGCCTGAGGTCGGTCTCCACTTTGATGGTGCTGTCGGGCCAGGACCACACTTGTGCGAAGATCGGCGCCTGTGTGTGGATGTTGGTATGGCAACTTTTCGCCTGCAGGCGTTTATCTAACCACGACATCCCCGCATTCGCATATCCGCAGATGTTCAAAGCCATTGATGCGGATCCGACCATCAAGGCCATTTTCTTGTGCTCGCCCGGCAACCCCACCAGCTCCCTGCTCAAGCACGAGGACATTGCCGCTGTCCTGAACTACGAGAACTTTAGGGGCGTCGTTGTCGTCGACGAGGCCTACATCGACTTTTGCCAGGACCAGACGGTGTCGGAGTGGGCCAAAGAGTACCCCAATCTGATTGTCACCCAGACGCTGTCCAAGTCGTTTGGTCTGGCTGGTATCAGGTACGTGCGCTGAGCACTGGAGTGCGAGGGGAGATCCATGCGGCTCGAGAAGCCTCTTGGGGTGCAGCAACAGCGCCGAGCCCGGTCGACTCATCCACCTCACTCTCGGTTTCTTGGTTTCCACAGACTGGGCATCGCTATCGCACAGCCCTCGATCGCTCGGATCCTCAACAGTACCAAGGCCCCTTACAACATCTCTTCGCTGACATCCAAGCACGCCATTGCTGCCCTCGGCCCTGCAGGCATCAGCAGCATGAAGGTCAAGGTGGCCAGCATCGAGAGCGAGCGAGCACGACTGCTGCGTGAGCTCGGGGCCTTTGCCCAGATTCGGCTCATTGGCACCAACCAGGCCAACTTTGTGCTGGCCCAGTGTCTGAGCGCCGAAGGAGCCCCGGACAACCAGCTGGCACACTCGATCTACAAGAGCATGGCCGAGAAGAACAAGATCGTGGTCCGATTCCGAGGCAACGAGCCTTGGATGCCTGGCTTGTCTCCGAATCACGGTCGGCACTCCCGAGGAGAACACAGACCTGCTCGCAACGCTGCGGACTTTTTTGAATTAGGGCAAGCGGCCAGAGCGGAAGCTCATGAATCGGTGTGGAGCCAACCGGGGCAATCTGCCACACCGCGCTCTCACCAAAGCTTGAACTCACGGGGTGGATGGTGTTGCTGTGGATGTCAATACAAACCTATATTCAAGCGAGTGCTGTCGTGGTGGCCATGCCAATTGCAGTTGGGTTTGTGGGCGAGCAGCGCTGTCAAACAGGACAGCCACACCAACACCAGCAATACCATTCCGCCGAATAATAACAACAATACCAATAACAACAACAATACCAATAACAACAACAACTGTAACAACAACAATACCAATAACAACAATAACAACAACAACAACTGTAACATCACACCGGCCGGGAGTGTTGTATTGGTGCACTCGCCACTGCACTCGCCACTGCAAGTCCATCCACTGCCGCTCCCATTGGCTGTGCTGATACCCTCTTGGCGCCGCCCGGGGCTCCTTATTTCGCCCTCGCTTCTCGCCCTCGCTCGCTCCTGCCGTGTCTGCCCACAATCGCCCGTTTCTCCCTCTCGCTTGCCCTGACCTAACCCTCGTCCGCACTTCCCCGGCCACTTCGGCTTCCTGGCCTTGCCTGATCTTCCCCGCAGAGGAACATGTCTTCGCTTGTGGGAACTCCGGCCCACCGCCCAAACAGCAGGAAAAAAGACCGTTTCAACCTGAAGCTCAAAAAGGTGGGTGTGGCTCCCAGACCAGACCAGACCAGACCAGACCAGACCAGACCAGACCAGACCAGACCGCCATCGCCATGTCTCGTTCCCAACATGACGGGCGTCCCTCGTCCTGTCTGAGCCCTCGGGCAGCTCTTGACGCTCCGTGTGCTGCTTGCACTCTCCCTCTCACTGTAGCGGCTTCAAGACCGCTTCCAGGATCCCTACGACGAGTTCCTCGAGTGGCTCTTGGACGTCTATGCCGATTCCGTGGGCCACCAGACCCCCAAGCTGGCCCTGGATGCTGTTTTCGCTGCCCCTGCAGTCCCCGCTGCCCTGCTTGCCGCTCCTGTGGAGGACCATGCTGCCGCTGCCGCTGCCAATGTCACCTGCGCCGACCATTTCGGTGATGTCTTCAATGCCGTTCCAGTCGCCGCCCTCGCCGCCCTCGCCGCCCTCGCCGCCGCCGCTCCCTCGCCAGACTCTCCAAAGGGCAAGCCCAAATCCGACGTCTGGACCATCTGGATCTCGGACAAGCTCAAGGACAAGTTCCACGAGCTCAAGGCCCTCGGCTATGACAAAAGGACCCACGCCGATTTCGTTGAAATGCTTCTGGACAAGTTTGCGCATTTGGTGCCTGCCTCTCTCGCCGCAAAGTCCTCGCTCAAGAGCCATACGGAGGACAGCGTCCAGCATCCTGCATGCGTTGCCAAGCTTCCTGTGACCATCGCCCCCAGCCCTGCTTCGAGTGTTGCCTCTCCGTCTAGCTGCCAGCCCATTACCACGACAGGCTATCGACCCATCGCCCCGGCTTCCCAAGAACACCTCCCGACTTGCTTCCAGCCCTCTGTCGAGCCTCCCCACTCGAACGGTCAGGAGGCCACTCCGGGCCCAATGCTGACAACACTGTTTGACTCGAAGGAGATGTACTCCAAGGAATACGCGACCTTTTGCCCTCAGTTCGCCGATTATGGCTTTGCTCCAAATATGCTCGACTTCCAGCCAGCATCGCTCATCCAAACGGCCCCAGACAGCCAAATCGTCCATGACTTCTCGACGGGTGTCCCGGCCGATGCGATCATCGCAGCGTCGCCTGTGTCTGCAGTGATGCCCCCGTTTTCGATCCCGGACATCAACACCATTTGGGCCGAGCCAACCAGACCCCAGTTCCAGCCTCAATTCCAGCCCATGGTGTCTGCCCCCTCCTCCGTCAACGCCAACACGGTGGACAAGGATCAATACGAGCGCATCCACCAGCTGATGCAGAATGCCAATGCCAACCAAACCCCGCCCGAAGAAGAGTCTCTTGCATATGTCCCGCCCAACAACATCGTGTCTGGATGTGGCCTGTTCGACTCGGCCTCGTCCGGATATCTCCCGACTGCCCTTGCGAGCATGCCCATCGCCAACATGAGCTTGAATGCGCCTCTGGTTCAGGCGGTCCAGCCCATCAATGCGCCCGGCTTTGCCAACTCTGCTCTGCCCATCAATAGCCAGTACTCCTTCAACAGTTTTTCCGTCGCCGATCCTGCCATGTTCCGTCAAACCGCAGAAATGTCCAATCCCACGATGACTACCGTTGCTCAGCTTCCTTCGAGCAGTATCCTTGGCTCGACCGCTAGTCCGTTCCTCCCGGCTTCGACCTTTGTGTCGCCCCTCTCGACCTACGAAGGATTTTATGACGAGATCATACACCATCCTGCCAAGCGCTGCAAAACCTCTCCTTCGTTTTACTGCTCTCCGCCTTCCTCGACTCTTTCTTCGCTGCCTTGCACCGGCATGACCCAGGCCAATGTCCCCAATCCTGCGGCCTCGGCGATTCTAGCCGATTCTTTTGTGTCCTCCACGTCCTCCACGCCCTCTGCCGCTCCCCTGCTCTACGTTGACCCCCAGAACCAGCTGGCCGACCCTGCACTCTTTGATGGCTACTATCCATTTACTTTCACTGAATCTAGTTATTTAGGCGATGCAACTTTTGCTGTCCAGTCTTTGCCCGCAGAGCTTGATGGTTCCTTTGCCAACGGCCATGGCTTCGACCCCAGCTTCCTTCCGTTTCCCTCGCGGACTCTGAGACGTACCCACATTCTTTGTTTGTGCTTATTAGTTTATCCGCAAGAGCTTTGGAGGGATCGTTGTCCCGGCAGATAGTCAGAATACCCGATGACGGCGCATCATGCTGTCTCGGACTCTTGACCACAGTGTCCGCAAAATGGAAATGGAATGCCCTGTTTTTACAGTTGATACTTGCTTTCTTTGGGTGCATATGTGCACATGTCCATGGTCCAGCATGGATCATTTCCTTGGCCATCCAGCTGCAAGAACACCAGCTGACCTGGCCGCATGGCGTGGATCTGCGATAACAGCGCAACATCATCTTCGTGCACACGCTGGCAATGGTGCCCGAGTTGAGGTCTCCCTGATGAGACCGGTGTATTGACCATGGCCAGTTGAACATGGACTCTCCAAGCACTTGATACCAAAGCGGAAACATGAGTGTCGCAAGCGATACACACAGCCACTGCAGAAACAGAACGGAACAGAGCCGGTTGAGAGCCAGTCCCGATCCCATCGCAGCCACCACGACCTCGAGTCCAACGATCCACAGGGCGCATGGTCTCGACCACAGATTGATGGCCGACTCGGTTGACAATCGAAGTGCTGTTGTTGACTTGAGAGTGCAATCTTCAATACACCCGCTCGATCTCCTGCAAACGATCGACTGACACACCGAGATCATGTTCCGCGAGGCATTGCCATCTTGACGGAAGTGTGGAGCATTCGCTCTACTTGCTGGACAGACTCACATGGCGAGGCCCTCAACATTGATGTCGATATTGAGAGAGTCGGGGCAGGCGAGTCGGTTCGGTACATATCCCTTCCCCTGTTTCCAGGATGCATTCCCAAAGGCAATCACCACTACGGTCTCCTTTGGTGCCTGGTCGATGACTCGCTTGCACATCTCGTGGACAGTGCGCTGTCGCTTGCTGTGGAGATCGAGTCGCCTGAATCGCCGTCGCCGGGTCAGGCTGAAGTACAGCTGTTTCTCCAGCATGTCTCCATCGAACACATGGCGATTGTATTGCAGGAAGGAAGCCACCCCGGGGATCTTGGGACTTGGTGTGGTGCTCATCCATTCCTGCAGACCAAATGCCCACATTGGCGTCCTTGATTCAATGCCAGAAGCACATCATGCAAGTGATCCATTTGTGTCCATCTGGTCATTGAATGCAAGCGATGGCTCTCAGTGCAGCGATGCGGAAACCAATGGTGGTGTGTTTGACCATGAATGCGATGAGTGGGTGGGTGTATTCAGGTTAAAAACGGGGGTGTCCCATTTCATTTTGGAAACGCTGTATCAGCATCTGAGGTTCGATGAGAAGTGGGGTGTGGTTTGCACTTTGCAGACCCGCCTCTGTGGTCCGGCATCTCCGAGTTTGCTCCCTGTGCTCGGAAGAACATATCGTCTGATTAATCGGACGAAATCAACGCGAGGCTCTATGAGAATCGACTAGTCCCGTTTCGACGGGTATTCTCATATCCCTTCCAGGCGAATGTGCAGGTTTGGGGCAAAGTACGACTGACTCTGCAAGCATCTGGTGGCCATGTGCCTGGAGCATGGGTGTGCTGTAGATCGAGACAGCAAAGTAGCCGTCGTTATCTTCAAAGAACTCGCCAAAATAAGGCCACAGCGACAGCCAGTACCGGCTCGCTCGATGCCACCAGCATGTACGTGGCGTAGTCTACTGCAGAGTAGACTTGGATGGCGAAGGCGATGGCCATTACTGCTTTGGAGGCGCTGATCTGCTGGGTGTGAAAACCTTCATTCCATCGATGATGCGATTTCTGGTACGAGGGGAACGAGTATGCAGTCAGAGTGTACCTCGAGCGCATTCGTGAATGAATAAAACGACTCAATCGCACCATACCCATGTGTCGCTGTCTGAGTCTGTGTGTGGCAGTGCAGCTTGCTCGAGTGCAGAATGTGTGAGTCGCTTGAATCGAACATTGCCACAGAGAGATGAAAAGAAGTCACCGACTGTCCCAGGAATCATGGATACAATGCTGACGAGTGATACTGGAGCGGCGCAGGGCGGGAGTGAAGGAGCGACCTTCTCTAGGAAACGCTCACCCATGACACCAGTGAGGATCTTTGGGGGGGGATGCAAAAACCCCACGTCTCGCATGGATTCAAAGCCGAGACCCAGGGCATTGCCACACGTAATAATCAAAACCAGTGTTCAAGCACTCAAGTCAGCCCGATCGACTGGAATGCCACCAAGGACGTCTTATTACTTCGACTATGAAAGCGATGATGTCGACTCATGGGAATGCCGAATGCGGTGTGAACGCTGCGTGGTCACCAAGATCGATGGTCGACGCTGCACCCGCACGACCTGTATTGGGGTCAAGTATTGCTACTCCCATCTGGCGACGGTGAAAAACCTGCGCATCGACGACTCCACCATCCCAGGCGCAGGAAAGGGGTTGTTCGCATACAAGCATGTGTCCGCGAGTGTGTACGATGACGGTGAGCGCGAAAGACTCGAGAATGCAGTCCTGTTCAAGAGAGGCCAAGTGATCATCGAGTACGATGGGCAGCCCATCCCTGGCCAAGAAAGACAGAGCCGATACGGAAACACCAACGCCCCATACCTCGTTGAACGCCGAATCGGGCTCAACGCGGGACGATACGAAGACGGTGCATGTCGGAGAGGAATCGGAACTCTCGCCAACCACTCGGACGACACCAACGATGTCAACGCAAAGCTCGCCCAGGATAGGGGAGTCGGAGTGGTGCTGAGGGCACTGCGAGACATTCATAATGGAGAAGAGATATTTATTGATTGCGGGAGTGCCTTTGGGCTGGACGAAGAAGATGCCGTGTTTGGTACGAAGCGCAAGACCAACACACGCGAGCGACTTGCACGAAGCAGGACATGATTTGGGGGTGTCGGGCCTGGTACTCCATCGTCCTCGACAGGGGATCATCAGTGCGCTCTCGCTTCTCTCGCAATGGCAGGCAAGTGATTCGAACTCCCCATTGGGCTCATACTGCTGGAGCAGCCTGAGTGTCGTCTTGAGCACCACCATGGGGCAGTCGCCGTGATCGGTCGTGAGAGCTGGGCTGGTTTTCCTGACCAATGCAAAGTGTGGGTTCATGCCACTCGGGTTGGCGGGTTGCTTCGAAAAGTCAGCCAGGAAACGAAGTGACCATGCTGCCAACGGCCTTCTTGACGAGACACAGCAGATCCTCCTTGCCGTCGAGTTACTTGTCTCCTAGCCAGAACAAGACGAATATCTGGGTGCATGAGGCAAAGATCAAGCACAGGCCAGGAAATCCAGCAGGTACTCGAGGACATCCATTACACCCCACATTCCCGGACAAGAAGCACACCACTTTCACTGTGGATGCACAATCGGTATAGTCGTCCAAATACTCTAGCGAGAATGCAAAGGGAAGAGTGGAGGCAAATCTATCACCAGCACGAGCGGGACGGGTCTGCATGGTCATCAAGTCGAGCACGGTGCCATCGTTGAATACCACTGAGTTAGTGGCACTGTTGATCTTCTGCTGCAACCAGGCACTCTTGTGGGAAGGTGTGATCATTTGTCTCCACTCATCTGCATGTGTCTTGACGAATCTGCGATACAACGTTGGAGCCAGCATCATCCCCGCACTGCACACCTCGGCAACATGGGGGAGCAACTCCAGGCGATCGCGATAGACTGCCAAGGCAGAATGACCAATGCTCTGGAAGGAACCGCTGGGATCGACAAAGATGGCCTTGAATGCCTTGAGATGCGGGGCGATACGCCAAACTCCATTGGAGTCGCAGACCAGGCACGCTTCTCATCGAGCCCAAAGAGGAGGAGACTTGATCATTGTCCAGCACAACCATGAAGATACCCTCTCGCATCGCATCTTCCATCGCATATCGCAATGAAAGCCTCCTTCATTTGGGGCCTGGGTCGGGGAAGCACCAAAGGGGACACCATCGCTATCGGCGCGGGCCCACAGCGCAATGAGGCGATCAGACCCGGAGGACATGTTGAGGATGTGGGATGGGTTGGATCTCTGAGCACTGGTGGAGAGAGAGAATGAGATCTGGCCAGGGCATTCGAGGATGTTGCCGCGCCATGATCGATCAGCCCGAACGGCCATGAAAGTCGCAGTTTCGAATGTTCAATCGGGGTAAAATCATGATGAACAGCCCGAAACATTCCATATGGACAGCCGAGAACAGCCGGGGAACAAGCTTCTACAGCCGAGCTCACCAACCACACCAATACCATTGAGAGAGGATGGATGGCCCGTTACTGGCGACAACACATGGAAAGCGGGTATGGGCTGGATGGGTGATCGAAGAGGAATCGAACCTGCGACCATGGCATATCAATCCGGCTCCATTGACACTGGCTGGATCCCATTCGAGCCAGCACGAGGAACAAGGTTTGCCCAGCCCGATTTGGCATAGGCTGCGCTCGTATGTTGCGCACCTGACACCTGTGTCTCCCACATGATACCAGGTGGCGCGGCCAGTGCTTTGCTTCGCTTTCTTTTGCCGGCGTCTGACTTGCTTTTCCAAAAATTCCATCGTCGTCTCCTGTCCATCTCCAACATCCACTTGCCTCCAATCCTGTCTCCGTCAACATGGCCAGCATGATCGAGTCTGCTTCAAACACGGCATCATCTGCCACTCAGCAATCACAAGCTGAAGCCAGAACAACCTCGTCGATGCCCGATATCGCCCAGTACTCACTGGAACACAACCCAGATATCTTTACAATCGTCTGTTGCAACGACAGCTTTCAGCTCGCCCTTGATTTGAACACAATCAAGACCCTGCTCCGAGTGTGTAGGCATGCCCGACCCCTCCTGAGCTCCAAGCTGCCTCGCTTCCATAGCTGGTGTCAGAAGGCAGAACTGTGCAATCCAGACGGACAGCTATGGATCGGACTCACACCGAGCGACCAGATTGCCCTCTCCCTACACTGCAAGAATCCAGACTCAGCTGACCGGTCCTGGCTTGAAGATCAAGCCGATAAGGGCAATGCCGCTGCTTCCTATTTCCTGGCAAGGATCCTCCAAGTCGATCTCGACCAATGGAGAGTGAAATGGCCCAAGCGGCGAACCATCAAGCCGGAAATCTTCCAACACTTGCTGAATGCAGCCAAAACCAACCATTCAATGGCCCAGTCCCGCCTGGCCGAGTTTTATCACGATGAAAATTTCTACCATCCCGTTCTCTGTATCGACTCGGCCCAGGCCCACGTCCAAGCTTTCGAGTTATATAGAAATCTTGCAGTGTGCGGAATCACCCAGGTTCAACTTGCTCTAGGTCGATGCTACGAGAATGGCGACGGTGTCGATCAAGATTACAACACAGCCATCGAGTGGTACTCCAAGGCCGCAGATCAAGGCAGTGAAGACGGCCGTCTCCATATCGTGTTCCTCCAGGCCTGGTTCTCGTTCATCGGTCATAGTGTCGAACAGAGCGACGCCGACGCCTTCAACTACTGGCAGGAAGTCAGCACCAAGTCCACCGATCCAGTCATCAAACCCATCGCAACGCACATGGTCGGATGGATGCACTACCTCGGCCGAGGCAGCCAGCGTGACCAGCTGAAGGGAATCACGATCATCCGCAAGAACGAATCGGATGAGTTCAACCTTGGAGAGAACGAGTGCCTTGCTGCTTGGGGGATGACCCCTTGCCACTCGCCAGCTACTGGAAAGTTCTTCGAGTTGTGCCAGTTTGGATCGGATCGTGACTGGCTGTGCAGACATCTCGAGGCTGTGTGTCTGTTCCATGGATTCGGAGTCGCTGAAGACCAGAAGAAGGCGGCGGTCATCTTTGAGCAACTCGCCAACGACGACCACAGTGACAGTCAGTTATGGATTGGAGCGTGCTATTTGTGTCAAGCGGGAGTATCGGGGGACCACGACAAGGCATTCGAGTGGTATTGCAAGTCAGCCAACCAAGGCAACCCGTACGGGCAGTGGAAGCTTGGTGAGTCCTACTGCTATGGAAACGGAGTCACCCAGGACTTCACCAAGGCAGTCGAGTGGTATCGCAAGTCGGCCGAGCAGGGCACTCAAATGGGACAAGAAGCGCTCGGTCACTGCTATCAAAATGGTTATGGTGTCCACGAGAACATCGACACCGCCGCCTTCTGGTACCGCAAACTCGCTGACCAGGGTTTCCATTGGGCCATCGACAGCCTCAAGGCACTCGGCAAGTGGCCCTGACCCCCCGAGTTCCACTCCCGAACAACAAAATCGCAAGACTGAACATGCAAGCCAAAACAGCCAGCATACTGCACCCCACACCCATCACAAACACAATTATACCAAAGAGTGGACTTGCAAAGTTGCTCCGATCAATCGCTAAGTGATGTTGTATTTGACATCCGATACATCCAATACATCCAATACATCCAATACATCCAATACATCCAATACATCCAATACATCCAATACATCCAATACATCCAATACATCCAATACATCCAATACATCCAATACATCCAATACATCCAATACATCCAATACATCCAATACATCCAATACATCCAATACATCCAATACATCCAATACATCCAATACATCCAATACATCCAATACATCCAATACATCCAATACATCCAATACATCCGATACATCCAATACATCCAATACATCCAATATACAATAGTGCTGCCCATATCCGTTGCTCATATTGATTGATAGAAGGATCCCATGATTCGACAACAACAACTCGACCGCTACAATCGATACTCGTTCTGCAACCATGGATGGTGGAATCGAGGATGGTGTCTCCAAGGAGCACACCATCCGAGAGATCCTGAAGAACGAAGGAGTCGACTTCATCGCAATTCAGGAAACGAAACTGGCACCGGAAGCGCGGAACCCCTTGGCCAAGGTCACAGCCCATGAGGCCCGTCGAACAGACAGCCTGGGCGGTGGACTGGCGCTGGTGTTCAACCCCGAGACAATCGATCCCGACGACCTGAACATCGAAGAGACCGACGAGGGAAAGCTGTACACGTGGACCAGGTACGGCACCAGAACATACATCGGAAACTTTTATATCCCCCACCCGGTGAAGACCGAAGAGTTTGCGCAAGCGGTACAGTCGATTGAAAAGTATGCGCGGATGCCCAATGCCCAAGTCATCGTGATGGGAGACTTCAACCTGTCGCTGAGCGACCTCAACGGCGGAAGGGTGATAAACAGAGCCAAGGAGACCGCCCTCACGACCACCCTGCGGAGAGCCAGGATGAAAATCATCCCACCGGCAGCGATCCCGACCCCAACTCGGATCCGGGGTAACCGAAGATCGACCATCGACTATATCTTTGTGTCGGAAGCGGAAGCCAACAACGACCCGCTCCTCAAGGTGGACATTGAAGGACAATACCTCATATCCGACCACCGCCTGATCTGGACCACTGTGAAACTCACGAGGAGTGTGTACCCAAAAGCCGACAACTGGCAGTGGAACCTCAGACTCCTCGAGAACCCGGAGGTCTGGGAAACGTACAAGTGCGCCATTGAGCGAGTCAGCGGCCTAGTCTTAAACGAGATAGAGAGGCTCCTCCAGCCCATCCACGACGGCACCGAGATACCCATCAGCCAGGCGGAAACACAACTGGCCATGGACCAAGCATGGGAAGTCATCAAGAATGCAATCAACACGGTGGCAGATAGCGTCCTGGGTCGATATTCGGCCAAGACGGCGACGAGGGTGTTCAAGACCTTCGTTCGGCCCATGCTCGAGTATGGACTGACCCTCGAAGTGCTCACGAAGCAGCAAGCCGTGATACTCAGACGAGCACAGATGCACTGTCTGACCCGACTCTTCAGAGTGGTGCGGAACACATCCTACGGAGCGATGCACCTCGGATGCGGACTCATCACCCTGCCCAACCGCCTCAAGCAGCTGGCCCTCCAGAACCGAGCCGTCTGGGAAGACCGTCTGGACCACAACGACAAGATGGTCTCGATGGTGTTGAGATATTCCCGCATCCAGCCCAGTCTGATGGATGCATCCCTCGGCTCCCAGTTCTACCTCGACGAGTACTGGCGGCAGCTGATCGTGCTGAAAGAACAGTGCCAGCCGGACTACCCGATGAAGGAGCTGTTCAGGAACGGTTACTACCAGCTCACAGGACCACCAGTCAAGCTGCAGATTCACATCGATGACGCGCAAGGCTTCGACAGGTCAAAGGGACTGACTTCGGCCCGCACCGTGACGACGACCATGTCGGGACTGTGGGCCGAGCGAGGGCCCAAGAGAGATCGATACTATCACAACATGATGGTAAGATGGACCCTCGGTGCCTTCCCCGGACACCCATATGGCCACTATCGGCTGTGCATCTCCTGCACGAAGAGCCGAGGAGAGTTTGTCGCGATGTGCCAGACCCATACCCAGAGCTGCGACAACCCAAGTGGCAAGAAAGTGACACCCTGGCTGACCAGGAGAAGCATCTCATTCAGGATCAAGGGAGTGTCCGGCTGCCAAACTCTCGCTGGCTGTGTGTATCCCCAGTAGCACGGGCTTCCTTTCTCGCTGCTTATCCGAGGGACATCAATCCTGGCACGGCCTCCCCAGTCACTCCATTCTTGCATCCTGCGATCTGGAACCCCCTGATCTGGAACCCCTGATCTGGTTCTGTGGGTCGTGGTTGGAATGCGGCTCCGTTGCCAGGGGCAGCCAAGCCACACGCCAGCCCACCACTTAAAATCCGCGCCCGCTTCCCGCAGATGCCTCGTTTCATTGCAGCGAGATCTCCCTTTCCTGGGCCTCCGCCTGCTTGTGCAAGTGGTAAGTTTGCCTGCCACATTGGCTCTCTCTCTCTCTGGTTTCAACCGAGCCGCTCTGCAGCCAGCTGATGACCAAATAATCTGCAATACCGAGGTCATTTTGGCTGTGGCAAGCCGGTCGAGACGGTTGGATATTTGGTTCGCCGCCCTCCCTGCAAAACTGCCCAGTCGCTATGAAGACTCACCAATACATTACACTTGATCTGATGGCTGACCAGTGTGCAGCGTCTTTTTACTTCCTGGTGTCCCCTGCTAACAGTCACATCCGTCTCACTCGCTGCTCCTAGGTCCTTGGTATGCAACGATGGAGTGCGCTGAGGTTGAATCGGGCTAGATCGAGCTGGATCGGGCAGGTGGAGGGGAGTGAGGCTGAGGCGTCGGCATGGTGCGCAAGAGTGAGCCGGAAATCCCTGTTTGAAACATGGCCGGCGGTCTGAATATACACCGATTCATCCATGGCAATGTTCCGAAGCTTTGGGCCTGGAATCGCAACATCCGGTGACTGGGAGCCAAATGGTCGCTCGTATGATGTGCGAGATCGGTGTTTTCAGGATCGACTTCTTATTCCCAGACACGGTTGTTGATAAGCGAGTCTCCGTCGACGGCCGATGGTAACGGCGCTTACGGGGTTGGTGGAGGAGAGCTGCTCCATCGCAGCAGACGTTGCCAGCCCGGAAGCCTTGCTGGCCTGTGCAAGCCTTATTCGATGGGTTTGAGAATCCGATTTGGCTTTTTCTTGGGCACCGGCGCTGGCGAAAGTGTGGAGTGTGGACGGAGTCAGACTGGGACCGATCGCATGGCTGCTGTTGGGTCAATGGCGAGGTCGCCGCGGCCGATACGTACCATGGTCGTTCTCTCGCACGTAGAACCGCCGCAGCATCATGATGGCTTCGTCTCGCAGAAAGCCTCCTTCGGAGGGATAGGGCGGATCGTCGCCGACGGGACTGCGATGGCCGGCGGATTGGGTCGTCGGCCGAGTCAGCACACAATGAGGAGACAGCCGCAAGGAAGACAGCCGAGCCATTGTAGCAGGCAAGTGCAGCAGGGTGAGCGAGCAGGTCAAGCCATCCCGATTGACAGCAGAGCCAGAACAACAGGACAGGACGCCGCTTACTCTTGGTGGATTCGGAAAACGCTGCCGTTGCCGCCAAACTTGTCATTGCCACATCCATAGTAGACCCGCTGAATGCCCAGCTGACGCAACGCAGAGGCACACATCAGGCACGGCTCGACGGTGACGTAAAGGACGCAGTCGTGCAAGACGTCGATGGGATGGCTCTGGCGGATGCGGTCGATGGCGACAAGCTCGGCATGCCGGGTTGCGTTGTAGGTCTCGTTGGTCTCGTTGCGACCGCTGCCGATGACCTGCTGGCTGGGAAGGTCGAAGAAGACGCAGCCCACAGGCACTTCGCCCATGTTGTATGCCTCTTCGGCCTGGACATGGAATGGCGACATCAGACGATGCTGCGGCGATCTTGTGCGGGGCAATCAAGCAAACAAGCAGACAGCGACGGCAACTCGATCTGGGTGCATGTTGGATCTGGCGATGCCTGTGCGAATCGAGCATACCAGCGCGAGGGCTTCCCGCATCAGGCTGACGTGGCGGTCCTCGAGCGATGCATCGGACTGCATGGGGGTGCCAGAGATGGGACGGTGATGGCGATGGCGATGGCGATGGTGATGGTGGTGGTGATGGATCTGGGAACGAGACACGATGGAGGCCCAACCGGGACGAGTTCCACGTGGAACAAAGCCAGGATGGCTTGCACGTGACACACTGCCTCGGCGAGAGCCACAGCGAGAGCCACAGCGAGAAGACAGGGGCCAAAGGGGGCACACAGACGCGAGGCGGGGTCACACGGGACACGACCGGGCAGCGGGCTTGTGCAGACCCAGCGCGGGCCGGGTGCCACGGGGCAGCGGGCGCCCCCGGCCGTGTGACCGGCGGCCCAGGCGGTTGGTGGGTGCGCGCCGCCCAAGGAGGCTGCTGCGCACGGCGGCACCGACACAGACAGTGTGTGTGTGGTCAGCTGGACGGCTGCCTTGCCAAACCGGGGACGCGCACTGCCTGTTGGGGCAACGTGGCTGGTGGGCGCGGTCGCACGAGTGTGTTGAGTTGTGACGAACACACTGCTGTGGTGCGTTGCACATTGCATCCACATATGTCTGGCATCATGTCGTTTCCGCATCGATATTGCACATGCATTTGCATTTGCATATGCATATGTATATATAATCAATATGCACTTGCTGCGCTCCATAAATATATCATTTTATCGATATCCCGTCGTCGGCTCCAGCCCCAGCCTGCCCCGCACGCCCTTGTCCAGCCCATCTGCCTCTCTCTGTTCGCTGTTGGTGCGCCCGGCCTTGTCTGCGCGCCGCCCCTTGTCGTCGGCTCTCCCGTGCTCGTCCTTCTCGCCGCGCTCGCCATCGCACCGTCCATATATTCCTGGCTCGGCGATCGCTTCCCCCCCTGCACGCTCCGTTACCGCTCGCACATACCCCCCGCCTCGGCTCGCCCTCCGCCATGTCCACCGAACTCGCCCAGCTCGTCTATGAACAAAAGGCCGGCAACTTCCTCTCTGTCGCCTTTGCCAACTACAAGCTTCTGCTCGTGCTGATCGACGACGATGCCTACAGGTATCTTCTCCGAGACCTCCTCGAGGTAGGTTCGCTGTCCACGCATCCGAGATCCGCCATCCGGGATCCGCCATCGCATCTTTTCCAGCCCAGTGCCTCCTGTCCCTCAGGCGAGACCGGATCGGTGCTGTGTGCCTTGCGGTCTGGCGACGAGTGTGCCAACAGCGAAGCCGCCGTTGAATGCCATCGTGTGGCTGCCGTTTGACAATCCGCACTTTCGATCTGCCAGGTCTACAAAACCTTCGAGGAGGAGTATGAGCTCCATCTGGGCCACATTAGCAACCCCAAAGACTGCCAATGTGCTTGCCTGCGCGAGCCCTGGATCGGCGAGGCCCTGAAGGCTGCCTGGGCCCCAACTCTCAAGCGTGCTGGTCGTCTCGAGTCGGACGTTGTCCACTTTTTCAAGAAGAAGGACTACCGCACCGTCCAGGTCTCGAAGGAAGTCCGCGAGCATGAGGTGCGTCTTATCGTCCACTTTTGGCTCGAGCCTGCTGAGGAAATCGGTCGGAGGGGCATAGCTCGTCTGCGGGCAGATTCGTTTCGTCATCCTACTTTTTGCTCTGAGCAGATGTCGCTCGTTGAGAGAGAGAGAGAGAGAGAGGGAGGGAGGTGTGCCGATCCTGGCGGCTGGCCTCAACGGCTTTCGGCTTGGTGCTGCGTGCCAGCGCCTTTGTTCCCTGGGACTCATCCATCGGATTCTCTCCTGCAGATGGCTGTGCGTGAAATCAGCGTCAAAAACCCCGAGTACCTGGTCATTTTCCCATTCGTCATGTACGCAGGCGAGCTGTTTTGCACGCATCCCGGTGCGCCTACGGTCTTCATCCGCCGGGCTGTCGACTCGGGCTGCAGTTTCCGATCATTCCATCCCGTCTAATCTCATCTCCGAACTCGGCCTGCATCATCAGGTACTCCGAGACCACCAAGGGCGAGAACCTGGTCCGCTCCTTCCTCTTCCGCACCCTCTTTGGCTGCACCGCGGCCTACCCCTTCGACGGCCCCCAAAAGGATTCCACCAAGGGCGCCGCTTTCTTCGAATACAACATGAACCTGGCCCAGGTCCAGGCGGAGCGACAGAGCCTCATCACCAAGCTCAACTCGATCAAGGTGCCCCAGCAAGTCGTCCCGACCTTGGTTTCCCAGGCCAAGGCTCTTGCCGAGCGTAATCTCGCTGTCAAGCACAGCGCCCGGTACTGGACCGTCTCTCTGGTCATCTTCTCGGCCAAGGCCATCTTCTACACCATCATCCTGATCATGTTCACCATTCCCCTGTGGGTGCCCCGCTACTGGCACTGGATGGAGAAGAACGGCTACCACAACCACGACCACAGCGAGCTCTAAAGCCGTGCCCTTCCTCGCTCTCCAATCTTTCCCTGTCTTGTGCCTCTTCCCTTTTCTCGGGGGCCCACCCGGCCGGCGGTCTATGGCGCTTCCCGCCGCTCGGGGCCTTTCGCTCCCCGTTGCTTTTCATGTACATGACCTGTTGCCTCACTTTGGAGCAGCTGTCCTGCCGCCTCCCTGGCCTGATTCTTCTGTGTGCTTCCCCTCTCCGTTCTTCTGGCGACATTCAATCGCCATTGCTGTGTTATTTGCCTCTCCACCTCTCAAAGTTCACCTCCGCGTTGTCGGAGGTCTGTCGCACCTGTCTATGTACAGGACCACCTGGCGAGCGAGTCGCAATCTTCTCTCCAGTGTCCTGAAGCCGCCCCCTGTTGTTCGTCTGCGGAACGTAAGTTGGGGGAGGCGATCCCCGGGATTCATCAAAGAATAAAGCTGACTTTCGGTACATATTCTGTATCAGACACGCTCGCGCTGCCCATGCATCCCTGCGGGTCATGAGGAGCTGGATCCAATTGGCATGCACAGCCCTCGGCTTTGAACAGCGCACGCTGCCCATAACGGCAGCAGATGGTGTACTGAAGGACCCAGCCGAGCCATGGCCACAAACAACCAACGATCCTCGCAAACCCAATCCGAAATCACCGAGAACACAATCCAGGGCCATCCAACCGTACCGTCACCGGGTCCATGTTGGCTCCTCCGTGTCTCTCGATCTCACTGCCCCAGCCCCAGCCGCTTTCCTTGTCGATAGTGCTGCTGTGCGTTCAAGGCAGCCTCGAACTGCTTCTCCAGGTCATTTTGGATCTTTTGGCCGTAGCTTGAGTCGATGGCCGTTGTTCCGGCGGTGTTGCTCGTGGCCTGCGATGCGTTGGTGGAGTCGCTGTGCTTTTTGGCACCCAGCAACCGCATGAATTTCTAAACACCGACGGAAAATGGGGAGTGAAGTTAGAAGCGAAGCCGAGGCAAGGCGAGCTTCATATAGTGTCAACCACCAGCAGATGCACTCGGACATTCCCGCGCAACCGAACAGCTCAAGATACCCACGTTCTTCCGGGCCTCGTCGCCATCAAACGATGCTTCTGACCAGTTGTTCCAGCTTGGCTTTGTTGCTGTTGTCTGTAGGTAAGCGAGTCAATAGGACATGGTACGTCAAACAACAAAGGAAGGCTCTGGCGGGGCCGAGATCGACTTGCTCCCATTTCTGAGACACTGTCCGCCATCAGATTGGCACAGAGCCTCTCAATCCGAATGTAATGTGCACCGCTGTGGAGTAATGCCCACCTGTGTCGGTGCGCTCGTTGGCTGGGGTGCAGAGGAGGAACCCGCTTGTCGTTCGCTTGCCGGGGACTGACTCTCGGATCCGTTCCTGGTGTCGCTATCAGCGCTGTCCTTCTTCTTCTTCGATATGACGGGCTTGGCTTCTTTGTTCTGCTTGTCGGAGCGGCGCTTGCTCGGAGACTGGCGCTCGCTGTCGTCGTCGGACTCTACATCTGAGGGCCTTGTGTCTTTCTTTTTGCCTTGCTTATCCTTTTTATTGTGAGTTTTCTGATCCTTCGCACTCTTCTGGTCGGTCGTTTTCTTGCGAGGCTCTTCCGGGTCGGACGGCTCGGGATTATCATCGGCTGAAACGTGTTCCTTCTTCTTATCCTTCTTGACCTTCTCTTCCGCTTTCTTGCTCTTCTTCTCCTTCTTGCGATCTCCGTCGACCTCTTCAGCTAGTTCCGATTCGCCCGAGACGTCGTCGCTCTTGTTGCTCTTCTTGTCCGCCTTCTTGGTCTTCTTGTCCTTCTTGATCTTCTTGCTCTTGGCTGCGATCTCCTCGGCATCACCGGTTTGATTCTTGCGCTTCATCGCTTTGCTTTCCCTTTCCTCTTCCGATGGCGGACTGTCGTCATGCTTGCCCGATTTGGCCTTTGCAGCTAGTGACTCTTCGTCATCCTTGGGGCCCTCCTGGACCGACTCGCTCTTGGACGAGCTCTTTTTCTTCTTCTTGGGCTCGTCCTTGGCTGCATTTTTGCGCTTGCCCTTGATGGTGTCGTCGCTGCTGGCTCTCTGTGCGCTCGAGTTCGCCATTGTGCCGGGTGATGTCGTCGGGCTGTCAGCGGGATCCTCGGCCGTCTTGGACTTTCTTGCCTTCTTGCTGGGCTTGTCAGCCATGTCGGGCGAAATGACGTTCGAGGATCGAGTGCAGATCGCAGCCTCCGCCGTTTCGCCGCGCCCTGCCATCTGGATCGCATTTTTCTGTCTCGTTTGCGGACCGTCGCACAAGATCACTTGAACCAGCAACACCGATCTCTCCAGCGATCCCAGCAGGGGGAACACTCACTTGCTGCCTCTGGTGCACCACCCTCTCGTGCACCACCCACTCGTTTCCGGAAGCACACCAAGCGTAGTAATACTGTTTAGAACGGTCGTCGCATGTTACATCCAATTCACATCCGTCAAGCACACACGTCGCTCGGGCAGAGGGGCCCGGGCAGAGGAAAGCCCATGTGCCATCGGCCGGCACTCGGCTGGGCCGCCCAGCCGGGCATTCAGTTGGCATACTTGGTCGTCCATTCGCGAGCTGTTCTCGCCAAGCACACCGACACAAACGTATGAGTTGCAGTTAGCGGGTGGCGGCATTCAAACCAGGCCAAGTAATGCTCCGCCAGTGTGGACGGGCTATGCGACACCGCACTGACTTGCCCAGCACAGCAAGGACATCCATCCCAAGATCAGCCACCGTTTGGCGGCTCTCGACAGCCGCGGCCAAGCATACGCACCAACAGCAATCGCGGCCTTCTCGTTCTCCTTCCAGTGTTGGGCTACATCGTTGGCAAGCGGATCATCTGCAGTCGAGTGAAAGTTGAACGGTGGGAAGTGCTGGGTGAATACGGGAGCGCCGACCTCTATGATGGGTCGACCAGGATTGCCAGCGACAGAGCTGTCGGAGGGTACCGATTCAAGATAACGGCAGCCGGAAGAGCAGTCACAAAACCAACAGAAATAGCCGTCACAGCAACGGCAGCCGCAGAAACAACAGCAGAAGCCAGCACAGCAGCAATCGACAAATTGCAAGACGCACCAGGGTTGGGGGCCGAGAGCAGTGCCTGTATTGAGAGAAGCACCGTTCGGATCTGCAGGGCAGGGGACCACTTGTCTAGTGTCCAGTCGCAAAATGAGTTGGAGAGCATAGATCAGAGGCTGCCGTTGGTCCGACATGATCGCAAATCCATGGAATCCATGTTTGTCGCCCCTCCAAAGGGGTGGTTTTCCGGCTCCACTAGCGATCGTTTGCTCAAGCCCAAGAGGCCAGAGATATGCCTTCGCGCATCCCAGCGGGGCCCGCGATGATCTGCGGCACATACCCTTCAAGATGTCCAGACAGATGCGTCCCAGCTTGTCGATGTTGGGATGGTAGATCTTGGTCAGAAACCGGACCTTGGGAGGCGCCATGGGATAGTCCTCAGGCAGAAAGAGCTCGAGCTTGAAAGATCCGCCTTGAGGATGCGAGAACAGCAATGCATATCAGTAGGTGGAAAGCAGGGGGAATCTGAGAAGATCATCGGCGCTACACTGCCCGGTGCATGGCGTGAGTAGGGCCTTCTGCGTTTGGGCGCATCTGCCTGTCTGTTCCTAATGGGCCCGTGCCTGCTCTGCTGCTTTTGCATCCAAAGCCTCGTGGCAGATCGAAGGGTCAAGAGCCACATGCCCCATGCCAACACATATATCGATGGCTCCGAACTGGGCGCGCCATATTCTTCCATACAATCGCTGATCTCGCTCCAAGGAAGATCCTTGAGAGAGATGGCTCGGCGGCGCGACAGCGATACACGGAGCCAAGGGACAGGCATAGAGTAGTGCGCAAATGGGAAAGCCAAAGAATGTCCCAACGGGGGCGTCGGAGCAGCACCTCTCAGTGCCCACATTGAGGTTGGCTCTGTGATAGAGGGAAAATCGGGGTGGGGCTGCAACTTGCCTTCGAAAGGGGAGGAGGTAGGGCCGGCAATGATGACATCAAAGTATCGGAGGTTGTCTTCGTGGGGCACGGCGCTGATGCCGGGGGCGGGATCGACGATCAGGCGTTCGGTTTCCTGGGACGCGGAAGAGTTAGAACATGTTGCGTGCGCAAGCAGACCTCGAGGCAAGAGCGATTGACGAGATGGCCTCGGTCGGGATACGCAGAGCCTGCACCAGTGGTGGCTCAAGAAGAGAAGCCGAGGGTGGATATTCCCGGTGGTGTCCACTGCATTAGCATGTGTCATGGTCGCCGTGGGTGTGAGACTCTCAGTGGCCGCAATGCAGTGGATACCGGCGAGCGGGAAGGGAAGCGGGGATGCGGTGGACGAGTCCACGAGCTGCAGCAATTGACTGGGACCCGATTTTTGCGTTTTCTCGCCAATACATGGGACAGCGAGCGGCTGCCCGCATCGGTACGGCAACATAAGCCAAGTCTGCACAGTTTCCACTCGACCATGCCTGCAGGCGCTGGAAGTACCTTGATGATGCGTTTGGGGAGAGCCATAATGTGCACTTGGGGAGGCGAAGGAGGGATGGCTGGGAGATGGAGAACAGAGCGGCCAGAGCCCGAAAGTGTCGAACGCGGGGCATTTGCAACGGCGAGAGCGAGCGAGAAGCAGCGACCGCGCTCTCGGTCGCGGCGAGAGCAGTCTCGCCGGTGCGAGACCACAGCCAGTCGTCCGGCCTTGGTCTGGTGTCTGCTCTGGTGTCGGTTCTGGTGTCTGCTCTGGTGCTGGAGTGCAAGATGCCAGAGCCCTTGGCTCTCCTCCCTCCCAGAATAGTCGGTGCTGTTCGCTGGCAGGTCTCGGGCGGGGCTGAGCCAGGTCCGTCGTCCTCGGACACATCCCCTTTCGCGAATGAGTATTCCTCCTGGCCTGCTCGATCCATTCCCACCCCCGCAAAGTTGGGTATTTCAGCACTCGGAACACGGCAGCCTGGAAATGCAGGCGGGTGCGGGTGTCCGACAGTTGCACAGCCGCTCTGCGAAGCAGCAGATTGGTCGCACGCCACAGACTCGATCGTTCACCGTCGAATCACTACCGCCGTCGATACTGTCGTCGGTCTCCGCTTGAGGAATTGTGCATTAGATAGACCGGGAGCGGTATGGCACGAACAATAAACAGCATGCATGCATTGGCCACGATCCTGGGTGTACATGCGTATATTCGAGATCCAGAAAAATGGTGCCAGTGTCCTCAAACAGGATGTCTCGTTCCATATTCCGAATGCTGTGATATGGCAAGCAGCATCGCAACTGTCCATACAGAGAGAACAACAAACGAGAGCGCCAGAGAACACCATGGCCTGTGAATGTCTGTGCTGTCGTGGCCCTCCAAAAATAACGACGGTTGGTCCGGTCCTTCAGATGGGCTTGATCTGCCGACCCAGACGAGACGTGTTGGATGCCAAACCAGCACGGCGGATTTGTCGAGTCACCCAGTAACGTCCAAATGCCGCCGCAAGGTGGTCGGTGAATAGATGATCGGGAGGTCAGTGGAGCGGCTAGTATAGGGACGATGCAACCCGACGCCAGGGCATTGCAGGGCCATGCCGTGCTCTTGGTGCTCGAGCGCTTACCTTGAAGTGCAGGGAAATGAGGGAGAAGACCAGACACTTCAGGTCTTGGATCAGGTAGTAAAAGACGCGAAGGCCTTCTGGGTCGTTGCTTTCCTGGATGTCGACCAAGGATCCGATTTTGCTGGTCTGGGATCGGACGATGGTTGCCAGTAACGGAGTGAGTGCAAAGCATGGGAGGGTTTGCACGAGCCAGGGCAGATCGATCACTTGCTCAAAGACCGGCCGATGATCATGCCGGACGCAAAGAATGCTTCTTTGAGGGAGCGTTGATGCGCCTGTGACGGCCCGTGGCTTATCTTTCCGCTCTCCACAGCCTCGTACGAACCGTGAACGAGATATGCTCGCCGCCCAGGACGATCTCGAGTTCTTGCCGACCAACACGATCGGGCAGAGGCCACAGATTGTCATCTTCTCTGTAGAGTGCCATGAACAGAGCGGTGTCAATGACCTGAAATCGCAGCGTTGTGGCCGCCGGCCAGCAGGATGCCATTCGGCGAAGGGAATGCTGTCGCTTACTTCATAATATCGCTGTCGATAACAATCCGCTTCACTTCGTTCATCAGAGCCTGGCTTGTGTACACTGTAGCGGATTGATCACAGTTGGGATTGGGACGACGAACGACCAGATCAGTTCGGGCCCAGGCATATCTGGAGAGATCGAGGTCGTCGGGAGCGCAACCGAGCTCGCCCGTGGTAGCAACCAAGGAGAAAGCTGACGCCTGGAGCCCCTGCGAGAGATACCAGCACGTCCATGCTGGATCGCCCGTGCTTGAGCTCCGACGATACGCAGGCCTCGGAATACGATACGCCACCTTCCTTTCGAATCATGCTGTCGTTCTTGTAGTTGGAGTTGTTGGCGTAGCGCAGCTTGCCGTCTGGTCTGATTTCAAACTCAAGGAACTCATGGCCAAACTTTCCCATATGGCCGACACTGTCGTTGATCAAGTCAGACGTCCGACCCAGCACGAATGCAGAGGATGGAGGGAGTGCGAGCAACATTAGATCGTGGAGGCTGCTGCGGTGGTCACAGCCTGCACGGAACAGCTGGACGGCTTCCACCATGCCGCTGCAAAGTGCCGACCCTTACTAGTATCGAACGTAGAAATCCTTGGTATCCTCGGCAGCCATGGCGGAATTGCGTTGAGCGAACGGACCAGAGACGTGAGGATCTCGACAGCACACCAGGATTCCGCCTGCTTTTGGCGACGAGCGTGTCACGTGTGCTCTCGCTCCTCTCCTCTCCTCTCTCCTCTCCTCCTCTCCTTCTCTCTTGAGGTGCAAGCATGGCGATGTGAGCCGAGGAGCATGACCGGCCATGAGAGACGAGCTATGAGAGAAGAGCGGGCAAATGGTTGTATTGACCTGCCAAGTACAGCAGCTGCAGATGTCCGAATCGGGTGCCAATGCAAGCCCCGTGATCGCCTTCATTGGAGCCAGCAGGCACTTGGTCTCGAGCCCGAGCAGCGCCACTGCTCTATCGTTTGGATTTTTTGCTGCTGCGTTCGTCGCCGCTGTCTCCCTTGGATCCGTGGGTGCGCTTCTTGTCAGCCTGTAAGCAGAGCAAATGAGCGACACAGCATTCAGGTGAGCGGCGTTGCGGGCAGCGAGACAGGCGATCTCTGCCGGGCTTGGCTTCGCAATCGATGCAGGAGCCAGCCAGCCAGCCAACAAATCAGCCATCGAACCAGCCATCAAGCCAGCCAACGACACAAACCTTTTCAGCCTTGCGCTCGAGCTCATCCCAGCTTTCGCCCGACTCGCTCTCCTCAGAGCCGGAGTAGTCTGACGATCCAGATCCTTCATCGTCGTAGCTGTCGCTCTCCGACGACTGGTGAGGGGCGGATCGATGGTGTCAGACATGACTATGCTATTACAACGAGAGCCGTTGGACGGCCGGCACAACGGATATGCGCAGGACACACAGGCAGGTGCGCAAGTCACATTACCTCGTCGTCATCTTCGTATTCACCAATGTCAAACTCACTTTCTTCGTCGTCCTCGCTGCCGCTGTCGTTCTGACGGGGGTTGGGTGGATTGTCAGCAGATCGTCTGGCGTCCTCGTCGCTTGGGCTGAGCAGGCACCGTCTCGGGCATCCTGCACGCAATCATCACAGCGCCGTAGCAGAGACTCACATCGCTGTCGCCGCCAAGGAAGCTCCAGCCTCCATCTTGGAAGAATGTGATGGGGTCCTTGGTGACGGTCTTCATGATTTCGTTCCAGTTGAGGTTGACGGGTCCTTCGGTGACCTGGACGTCCACAGAGCTATGTTGTCACCAGATCGTGTACAAACGCATGCGTTAGCGCTACCGCACATGGTCGTGGCTCGTCAGCCATCTGTCTGAGATGCCCTTCCTGGAGGAAGGGTGTCGCTCGTCACATAATAAAAGTCGCCACAGACTTACTCCAGCCAGTCCTTGACAGACTCGAGGCTATTCGTTGGGATTGTGTTGATGTGCACAGGCGCTCTTGTAAAGTCCTTGAAGACAAAGACGAGATCAAAGTTCTTCAATCCGAACTGCACTCGCTCGAGATGCGCAATCTCCACCTCTTCGATGGTGACGACGGTGAAGGGCGGGTTGGTCAGGTGCACGACGCAGTCGGTTGTCGGCTGAAGGAGGACGAGTTCGCGGTGGGGGACGCCGTAGAAGCCAAGCTCGCGGAACGGGATGTCGACCTCGATGCTCTTTGACTGAATGCGAGGACGTGGTGTCAGTGAGCGGGTATGTCGATTGCGGCCGGAGGATACAGATGGATCCCGCACCTCGTGGCCACAGTCGGAGCTCGATGGCGTGGAGCACATGCATTCAGAACGGCGCGACTGCATCCATGTTCCAATCTTACCAGCTCTGTGATCTTTTCGGCAAACATCTGGAACTCTCGATTGAGCAGCTGTCGACGGCGACGCTCCTCTTGCTCTTGTGCCAACTCGTCTTCGTCGCCATAGTTCATGCGTCGACGGCGATTGCCCGTCTCATCAAAGCTGGCATCGCCAACTTCGCGGAAGAATTGGATGTCCTGGATGCCGATGCAGAGTGTGCGAACCGAGAAATATACAGTGTCAGCACTTGTGTGTGCCGCCAAGATCACCCAGCGGTACCGGCCGCAACAGGGCCGGGTCTTGATCGAATGAGGGAGGGTCTCAAAGAAGGGTACTCAGCTTGCGCACTCGCAGCCATCGTCAGTGCGGGGAACCCATGGGCGACAGACAAACCTTGGTTTTTTTCTTGCCGATCATGATAGGGTTCTTCAGGTGAACATGTATGATGACAACGAGCTCGTTGTCGCATGGCTGGAAGAAGAGATGTTTGATGTTGCTGAAGAGGATATCTGTAACCACAGGGGTTGTTTGTATGAGTCCAGGGAGTCCAGGGAGTGCTCCACACGATACCGAGTCCAGGAAGTGCCTTGCGCGATACTGGCACCAAGGCATGGCTGAGCGCGGGCAAGGGCCGCTCGGGAGTCATACCTATGCGCTGGTCACTCTTGAGCTGCGACTGGTACCGGATGCCATTGATGTGGATCTCCAGATCGCCGGGCACACGCTTGCTTTCGACAACGGGACGAGCATAGACTTCTGGAAGGCGCAAAGGACGACGGCCTTTGACTTCTACCAGCCGATCCTGCTCGATGAGATCGGCCTTTTCCTTGCGCTCCGCTTCCCTGCAGCGTCATCATCCAGGACAGAGTCAGTGTGGACCTCGTCGAGTGGGCAAAGGCATAGCAACGTCTCACCGCTTTTGGCTTTCTTTTTTAAGATCATTGATTTGTTTGAAGATCTCGTTGAAGCGGTAATGATCCGAGCTTCGAAATGAAAGCGATCGGATGAACGTGGCGTTTGGGTTTTCAAAGGGCTGGATGGAGCAGATATGCGCATTAAAGACAGGTCAGCTAAAGTTGGGCAGAGGAGTTTGCCGCAGCTCAGGAGAGCCCAATGCTGGATGAGGTACCGACCGACGTCGTGTCTTTCTTGCCAAACGATTGCCCGGGCGTGACAAAGTTCAGCCGAAGGTAAGTAAAGTCGGTTTCGTCGTTCTTGGACACGTTCTTGAGCGTAGTGATGTGGAAGGGAACGGCAAAACCGTTGATAGGCAAAATGATAGACTCGCTCCTGCTGTCCACAACAATCTGGTGCCGACGAGAATGATCAGTAGGGATGGTCAATATCAGCGAGATCCCACGGCGTCTGGCGCATGGTGGCATCGGTGGCACAGTTCCCCGGGTCGATGCGCCTCTGATTTGCTCGGCAAGGTATCCGATCGCCGATGTGGACACACACCTTGCAGCTCTGAACTTCTTTGGGCAGCTGCGCTTCTTTGCGATAGCTTTCGAATTTCTTGAAGATGGGTGCTTCAGTGCCATCGGCATTCTTTGCCCTTTCCGCAAATCGGGCAATTCCTTCCTTGCGCTTCTGCTCAGCCAGCTGCTTCTGATGTATCTTGCGTCGCTGCTCGGGGGCGATCTCGTCCTTTTCCTCGCCACGAAGCTTGCTCTCGAGCACGGCCGACTTGCGGACCATGCCGTCGTTCTTTTCCTTCTTGACTTCGGTTTCACCTTCGTCCTGTGGGTGTGCCGACAGGGTATGTGTCAACAATCAAGTCGCGGTATAGTGGAGCGCGAAAACTATGAGCAATGCCGCAGATGTCTACGGAACCGAGGGCTGCTTCGCCACTTGCAGAAAGCGAATCTAGGTGCGCCGATCTTACCGCCAAAACGTATCGAATCTTGGACAGCTCCTTGCTGGACTCGGTCAGGACGATGGGAATATCGCGGGTAACGCGGATGGTGTCCGACAGCAGCAGAGAGTAGCTCTTGTCGCGGGCGTCCGCTGCATCGGGGTTCTCGAGCCCCTCAAAGCCCAGAATCAGGTTGAGGACCATGTCTGCCTTGAGCTCGCGCGGGTTCTTGGGCGAGAGCATGTAGTTGGACTCGCGGAACTCGAGTCCCATCTGCGTTCCACGCAACCGCAGAGCGGTGAGCGGTTTAGTGTCAGCGTGACTCTGCAGTGCCGAGATGGGCAGCATCGACCTTGCAGCATCGCCTCGCTTGTGTGCTCGATGGTTGTACCACCAGCACAATAGCATTGTCGCACCGCTGGATCCAGTTTTCGAGCGGTCTGGCCGCAGATCCCGGCGGATGAGTCCACTGAGCGATGGAGCGAGCTATGGCCAACTTACACCAAAACCACAGCTCTTGACAAAGAAGCTCTTGAGATCCGGGCGCTTCTTTTCTATGTACGACAGCAACTTGGCATAGACGTCGCGACATTGTGCTCCGTCCTTGACGACACTCAAGGCGTACTGCTGCAGCTCCACCAGGAACTTGTAGTTTTTCTCTTGGCCCTGGCAGTACGCAAGAGCGATGAATGCCATGTAGACAGATCGAGAATCGCCCCGCCCAGTACAAAGAATTCGGCTGTACCTTGGTGGGGTTGACCAAATAGGTCCGTGAGATATTTGCACAGTATTGCTTGTATCGGAAGCCGAGGGATGCAATAATGGTTCCCTCATGCAGGAACTCCGAGTCCGAGACTGCGCTGGGCTTGAGGTTAAACTTGCCACCACTTTGAATGATGGGCGTGTAGCATATGTCGAGGTTCTCGATATCGGCCTGGATCCCGATCGCGACAGGTGCAAAGCGAGTGGCTCAGTCAATGGATCTGGTCGCAAGGACTATGGCGCTTGTGGCCCAGCGAATGGGTGGGAAGCACGCACAGCAGCGAGGTGCTGGCCGACACCGCCCTGCGCTTACTTCGCTTGGAAGCTTCAGGCGCGATTTGGCCTTGGGGTCTTGCAGCATGTTTTCGGTGGCCGTGGCAATATCGATGTGCGTAACTTTTCGCTCTTGATCCAGAATCGACTCCATCTCGGTGACAAAGTATTCGTTCAGGAGGCAGCTGGTCACCTTGCTGGCGAGCTTCAGTGATCTCTGGTGGTATAGTGCAGCCACGTGTGTTAGGAAGAGATCGCACTGCCAATACGCTGGATGGGAACAGGGCTTCCGAGTTGATGGATAAGCATCATACCAGCTCGTCCTCGTCCTTGATGGCAAGGACGGATCCGATGCCGACAGAGATATCGACTTGCTCAAATTTGGTCGGCGCGTTGCCCAGTGCCTCTTTCCACTCCGTATAGAACTTGCTGCTGTATTGGTCCTTGGTAAGGACGCCGATCCTCTTCTATTGACGTGAGATCATGTCAGCAAAATAAAATGGACCATCGAATGGTGGACACTGCCAGGGCACTGTATTCGACCGTCTGCATCTGCGGGCTGATGGGTGGGCGCTTGCATCCGAGTCAGCCCCCGCCGATATAGCCCCAGTCGGTGACTGTGCAGCCACTAGAGAGAGCCACTTACTCCTGCCTTTGAGCCTGCCATCACCTCAAAGAGCTTCTGGAAGCCCTCAAGGTTGCTGCCGGCCTCTTTTCCGCGGATGAATATCTCGAGGGGAACTCCCCGCTCGTACTGCTTCAGGGGCTCAAGATAGTTGGCTGATCCACGGGACAGATTAGCCTTTTTCCACAGCGCACTTGGGAATACGGGTCGCCTGGACATGCCAGTCCGGGCGACGCTCTGTCCGACGCTCGACATGCCCTAGATCTAGCAGGACGCAGCTCGAGCGAGGATGTTGATGCTACCTTTCTTGGCTCCACAGAGAACATAGATTTTCTCCGGGGTAAAGACAATGATGGTGTCCGAAAACTCGTATCCAAGCAGCCACATCTGTCGACAGAGCTCGGTCAGTAACTAGCCATAAATCGAGACTCAGGGCTCTGCCAAGGCACCCCGTTGCCGTCCCGACTGCTGCTGCTGCTGCTGTCGCATTAGCAATCATTCGATAGCAGTCAGCAGCGCAGGGCCAGTGCGGCCCATTCTTTCAAAGCTGCTCCGATGGACACCGCCTCGTCCATAGCAGTGCCAGCGGCTCTAATACAGAGCCGATCCCTACTTGAACGGCAGTGGACTTGCTGAAGGAAGCCTCGTCATCGTTGTTGGCTCCGACGGCGACCAGGAGCGCATCTGCTTCGGCAAACTCTTCAGCGGAGCCGACCCGCCCAGCGCCTTTCCAGGTCGCCAGCAGGAGCTTGGCTCGCTTGTGGAAATTGCGAGCATCGATCTTCACCGAAGCCATGGCGCTGAGAGTCCCGCAGCAGCGATCAAGACCAAGAGTGCCCAGAGACCAAGGGCAGCCGTGCCGGCTTTGCCGACAGCGCACCGCTCATCTGCCCGGATTTGGACGGTCACGTGCGTGATCTGTGTGTGTGTGCGCTGCGACGGATTGGCTGCGACGGACCGCGAATGTCTTCATGCGACCAGCGCCCGAAGCAACAGACACGACGAGCGATCCGATCGATCCGATCGAAATCGCACCAGCGCAACCCCGTTGGCAGAAACTCGGCGCAGCCCGCCTCTCCGTCATCACCCTTGCATCGGCAGCACTGCGAATCGCAGCGACACACGTCCGCCCACTTGTCTCCAGCGCCACCATGTTCGCAACCCGACTTCCCAGAATCGTGCCGTGGTCCAACTTTGACGAATGGCTCGAGACCTATCAGCTGCTTTTCTCCGATCCGTCCATGCCTGACAAACGGGCGGAGGGCGTTCGAAGGGTACTGTCGCCTCTTCGTCTCGCGCGCCTTTGGACAGCCGGCAGACCATCCCAAGCGATTTCCATGGCGATCGGTGCCGGAATCGTCTCGTAGCCGTCTCGGTATCGCTTCGTAACCGCCTGCACTCGGCGGCGCTAGATCGGGGCTTTGCTGGTCATATTCACTGCTGACCTGACGGCCTTGTGCCCTGTGCCTTGCTATCGCAGGTGAAGGCGTGGTCATCAAGAGGCAAAGTGCCGCATGCCGTTGAATCGACCGCCGGTCTCGTCGAGGTCTGGCTGAGGGACGGGTGCGGCGGTGCCTTTATTCCGTCGATCAGCGAGCTCGAAATCCGGCTTATGTACACCATGGTGTTCATTAGGTACAGTACGTCGGATCAATCCATATCACTTGGGCCTCAAGCCACCCGGGTCTGCTACGATCTCCGGAATGCCGGGTACTTGGATGTCTCTCCGACGCACCACCACTGACCAATCCGACGGATATCGAATGCCCATGGACCAGATTCGTCAACGGCATCACCGACGTTGCCCAAAAGGGCTCATATGCCTCCTCTGTATCCTATCTGGCGGGTTCTATGGGACTCCCGTCGTGGTTTGTGGAGCTCCGGCATTCCGGCACTCACGACCAGCTGCCGGGCTTGACCATTCTCAGATCCGGGTGTCTTCAGGTTCGTTCTGGCCGGGCAGCAATCGAGCCGCAGGCGCCAGTGCAACTGAGCGCATTTCCGATTTTGCTTCTCGGGCTCTAGGCACTCACTTGGCTCGAAGAAAACTACTGGAAGCTGCAGAAGACCGAGGAGACCAACACAGCCGTTCAGATCCAAGACATGTTGGTCCAATACAAGTTGAACAGAAAGGCACAAATCAAGTCTGGTACGGTATCCAACCCACACACTTCTACAGATCCGACTCTCATGAGTTCCGAGCATGTGCATATCTCGACCCAGCCGCCACTGACGCCAGCGCTCACTCACTCGTTGGCCCGATTTAGGACGAGGAGTCGATTCTCTCGATAGCACAGCCTCTGCTCTGCTCGTGGACATATCAACCGTCCTGATCTCCGACAGCTTTCAGTCGATCCTCATTCCTGCTCTCATGGAGACAGGCACGCTGGTTCCCACAGCAGTAAGGTAGGCGGGAGTGCTTCCTCTGCCTTCTGCTTGGCGATTCGGAGCGATGATGATGTGTCGACAGGCTAACAGTGTGCACAATTCAGGAAACGATGCCCGTCCGATGACTGCGTGCTACCAACCGAGCTCGTCCAGCTCTGGCACCCTCTCCTCGAGCGCTATGACCATCACTGGGCCGATTTCACGCAGTCGCTCTTGAGAGCTATTATTGAAAGTTGTGGCAAGTCTGGTACGAATACGCCCTGGCGATGAACTTTTGTCGCTTCCCTCACGGACTGTTTGCTCTATTGGCATCCGCTATGCTTCGATTGCTGGGCAGCCGATGCAGGCTCTGCATGACGCCCCAGCCAGCGCATGCTCATCATCCTATCTCACATCGCCCCGTCCCTTCTCGAAGGTATCGCTACAGCACCCCAAGTCGCACCAGCCCCGTCGGTTGATGAGGAGTCGGGCACTCCAAACACCGATGACAGTGCCTCCCTTTCATATGCTCGCACGCTTGGTAAGGCAGAGCATCCCCAGCTGCGTTTCCCTCGAGCTCGTGCTGGATAACTCGCCTGAGCCAACCAAAGGTCTCTGACCGATGTCTGATCTTGGTCCAGCCGGCTGGGGCTGCCATATTGTGCAGAGCTTCATTGCCCCCAAAGCCGTCGATGACGACCAAATTCAAGATCTAGTCGAAGCTTGTGCCCGAAACTCCTCTGTGCAGTAAGTCCCACGCTGTCGAGCTGGATGGCCGCTTGAGCAGGAATTCTGACCATGCCGCGGGGTTGTGCTGCTCAGCAACAAAATGATTCTGCAGGAGCTCGCCAAGGCAGCGCCAGCGATTCAAGAACGTGTGCTGCCGATTCTCAAGTACATGTCGGTGCAGGACACTCTGAGTGAGCTTGCCGAGACATCGGACCAAGACATGAGCACCAACGATTCGATGGACGACGAGCTCGACAGCCAAGAGGGCATTCACCATCTGTCGGAGCTGCAGAACGTGCTGCCCGATGCTGGTTCTGCCCCTGAGACAGCGGCCAATTCGTCGCTCGAGGTTTGTCTTTCATCTCGGCCGTTGAAGAACAGCTGGCTGACGAATCGCTGCCTTCCATTCCGTGCATCTCCTGTAGCCGAATTGAGCCAACTCTCACACCCACTCATATCCATCCACACCCATCCACAATCATCCACGCTTCTCACGACGGCGCCGCTGCTGGGCTCGTGAGCAGGAGAATACCGAGGCTCCGGGTCCATCCGTTTCGAGTTGGACACGGATGCCAAAAACCTGGCGACCCAGTCCCATCGGGACACTCTCGGGAGGCACATTCCCATCACTGGATCTTCCAGCCGAGTTCGATGACGTTGCGTTCCTGCAAGAACAGGGTTCGTACGCCTGTGGATGCTCTGGCCGGCTGTGCTAGTGGGCTCGGCGATCGTCTGCTTCCGCAAATGCCGTTCGACTGGGTGGTCTGACCTCGGGCCTATCCACACCTTAGGTATTCTCTGCATCCCGCTGGATGAGGATGCCAAAGAAGCTGCAGCGTCCGAAGCGAATGAAAACCACGAGCACCATGGGAACCAAGGGTACGCTATTGATGCCACCGACGACTCACAACCTGTCTGTCGGCGGCTTGGATTGTCATCAGCATACACACACATGCGGCTGTTCGCACAGAAGCTGGGTCGCTTTTGTAACATATCTGTCTTGCCCCGCTTTCCCAGGGTCGTTCCATTGGCATCAAACTCGGCAGCTCAAGTTCATCCGCATAACAGCGAGCAAAGCCTCCTGGCGATTTCCAGCAACATTTCGCTCTTTTGAAGCCAGAACTCTTCCTTTTCTTGCCGTCGAGCGCGAGCAGTTCGGATCCAGCCGGCCTCAGTCTCTTGCGCTGCGCTGTCTGCCGTTGGCCGGGTCGGAGGATTGAGCGCTGTTGTCGCTCGTGCTTTCGATCAACCCCTCGATCGTTCTTTCCAGGTCGTCAAGACGCTGGCCCATACCGTTTACTGCATGCGTTTGGGGGTGGATCCGAGAGATGGAGTTAGATGCAATAGCAAGAGAGGCGAGTTGAACGCCCTCGATCACCTCCAGAATAAAACCAGCGTGCAATCGGCGGCTGCTTCATACTTTTGCTGAGGACACTGCGGGACATTTCTTCGAACTGTCCTTGCTAAATGGCCCGGCGGATCAGCAGCGAACTTCTTCCGTCTGGTTGACGTCGGGACGAAGGTATGCATCGCGGTGCTTACCATATTGCTCAGCATCTGTTCGACCTGGATCGGAAATGCAATGATCAGGATGGAGCACGCGAGCGGCGTGCCGTTGCGGGCGCGAGGATCGTTGGATCTGGATCAACTGCGACATCGAGCAAATGCGCTGGTCTGAACGGCGATCGCCGGGTGGCCATGCACGCTGGAAACTCACAAACGTGCCCAGATCATCAATATCCTGGACCGGGCGCTGGGCTGTGCTGCCGCTCGGGGACGGATCGGCCTCGGCTTCGATCTTGCTGGCATTCATGGCTGGACGAGATGAAGGCCAAAGCCAAAGAAGGCGGGGGGAGAATCCAAGGCGGGCAGTGGCGATCGCAGTGCACCCAACCCGAAGCGGGGCGCTCTGGTCTGAGTCTTGTGTGGCGCCGCGATGCTTGCTCACAGGGACCGGGGCCATGAAGGAGCGAGAGGCAGCGCTTGAAACATTGCCGTGATCCAGCTCATCAAAGTCTACGATGTGGAAATTACAGGCGGGAATACACTTTATTCAAAAAACGGGACAATATAGCCGTTTCCATGAACATGTAGTATGTGCTGTGCTTGCGTCTAGCAAAGCCACAAGAAATAAAACAGATCACTTTGGCAGCCTCCGAGTGAAGACCGCCGGTCGCTCTCCGATCTCCACAATCGACCTGCACACTATGATCATGTTGCGCGCCGCATTGACATCGCGATTCCACACTGTCCGGCAGCTGGGATTCTTGCAGCTCCTGACAAAGTGGGAATTCGCAACACTGGGCGCATCGAGTCCTTCCAACCGAACTGGCTCCAGGCACTTGGAGCACACTTGCGAGGTGTTGAACTCGTTCGTCGAGGCCACCTTGACGCTTCCATGATGGTGATTGGGACGGCGTCGGTGGTGCTCGAACTGCTCAAAGTACCGAGCGAACCGCTGCCTCCGAGGGCTGGATGCATAGCCCTTGCCCTGTCGCCATGACGCATTGCCAAAGGCGATCACCACATCGGTCCGTATCGGGGCGTGCTTCAGGACGGCCTTGCACATCCTGTCGACGGCCACTTGGCGTCTCCTTGTGGCCCTGTGAAGCGATGGTGACGAGGCCTTCTTGCCAAGGTGGAAGTCGAGCTGCACTCGCAGCTCCGGTCGCAGGACATGGGTGAGATGGACCTTGAAAGCCTCCGAGGACGACACCTTGGGCGAGGGAGTGGTCGCTATCCAGGTCTCGATGTCGAGGCGATACTTCATGATAGTTGTGCCACCTGGTAGTTGGACGTATGGCCACACATGTGCTGATAGTGGCCATTGGAGAACGAGACCACCTCGTCTTGGTGGCCCGGTGCTTGGATGACCGCCGTGAAGATGGAGCCGACTCCAGGATCGATGCCAATCCAAGTGGTGCGATCGGGGTCTGGGTCAGCCGATGTGGGCCTGGATAGCGCTGCTCGGCAGTCGGAGGAGGCTCGATGGTCTCGGTGTGATCGGTTCGAGGCACAAACTTGACGAGACCGATGGTGCATCCAATGCCATCGGTGCTGATCTCGTAGTTGAACAGCTTCTTGTTCACGTCCCGCTCTTGGAAGAGGGAACTACGCAGCTTGAAGCAACTGCGCCAGAGACGATCCTGGTTGTTGACACCGTCCTCACCTTCTTCCTTGAGCTTGTCCCTGGTGAGTCCTAAGGCGCTTCTTTGGACCCAGGAGATTCCCAGAGAGTGACCGTGTCAATCTTGACATACTTGGCCTTCGCAGTGCACTAGAGGGACCTATCGTGCACACGGCCGGAGGAGTGTCAAGAGTGAGCTGCTTGAGTGCCCAGTTGAGCCTGGATGCCAGCTTGTTGATCTTGGCCTTGGTGGTGCCGAGCTCAGACTTGGCCGTGGTGAACCTCTTGTCGTCGGAGGGAATACCTTGGGCAGTGAGCTCGTCCGGCTTGGCCTGGCGCTGTAGCTCGGTGACTCGGAGGGCGGGCATGTCACAGTCGATCCACTTGTGGACATTGTCGACCATCTTGTCCCGGGCAAGGATCCCCACATGGTGTGAGAGGCGATGGAGGGCCCGGAAGCGGTCCTGGTCGTTGCTGTACCGAAACTCGTCCAGGACGTGGCCAAAGTTTGGATAGAGGAACTCGAGATCGGCCTTGGGTGGAGTCTGCCCTGGTTTCTCGAAGAGCTCGAGACAGGCCTCGATGGCTTCGTGCTTATGCTTGTTGGCTGGGAAGACGGCAGCGCAGAAGCGGCGAAGGAGTCGCCAGTAGGCCAGGTCGAGGTGGGTGGTGCAGTTGGTGGCATAGGCATTGACAGCCAGGGTGAGAAGCTGACTGTGAGCACCATCAGGCAGACGAGGGGCCGGAGGCAGGTCTGCGTGCCGAGTGGTCTGGTAGTCGCGAAAGGAAGCGACCAGATGCTCGTTGTATTTCTCATTGTCCCCGGTCGGGGAGAGGGCACCAGCCTGGACGATCGTGAAGCATTGGCGGATGAAAGCAGGGGTGGACTTGGAGATGACGGGGACGGGAATATCCTGCTCGATGCACCGGAGGATATGTAGGTTGAGCAGCCTGGATGCCTCGAACTGGATCTGGGTCATGGCCTCGACGGTGGCCTGGATCTTGTCGCGGAGAGCGGGATTGAGACAACAGCCATCCATCGTCTGCTTGAAGCAGCTGTATTGAGGGGCAGATGACCTTCCATCCACGAGTGGGACGACAGAACTCTTGAGGGGCCGGTATTTTGGACACCTGTTGGTGTTGCAACGTTCGTGATCGGTGCCATCGCACTTGGGACATCGCTTGCCGGTACTCGAGGAAGTAGATGGACCAGGCTCGGTGGGATCGACATCCATTGGATCTGTAGAAGCAGTGGTGGTGAGCGACGGAGCAACAGACGACCAAGCATGCGTGAGGTCAGAATACGAACCAGAGACAGGCTCCGACTGTGACTTGGCTTTCTTGGGCCTGGGTGGCCGAGGCTGGCCATCACCGGTACCCTTACGCTTCGGAGGCATGGGGGCAGAGGATGCTGGATGCCTGCCAGTGGTACTGGTCAGAGCAGAGACTTTTTTTTATCGTACAATAGCGCGATGATCCGATCAAGGCGAGATGAGGGAAGAAAGCAGCAGGACGAAGGTGTGGCATTTATACCCGAGAGCAGGAGCCCGTCTTTGCGGGCTGGTTGGGGAAGTGACCCTGTTCAAAAATCGCCGAGAGGCTCAAGCCAGGGATGTGAACGTGAGAACGGCGGCTTGATTGGAGGGAACTCAACCCCAGAAGCGCATCGCTCGCTCAATCAGCCGTGGGAAGACATCTGGAAGCACCCTCCGCACGACGGACTCAAACAGGGTCACCATCCCGACCCTGAACCCCTCGGACGCATTCAGCGCTGCCGCCTTCCTGTACTGATGCTTCACAATCCCAAAGAAGTTCTCGATGGGATTGAAGTCGGGCGAGGCAGGTGGGGTGAAGATCACTGACCATCCTCGGCGCTCGATGCAGTCCAGGACAGCCATTGTCTTGTGCATGCTGACATTGTCCATCACAATCACAGAGTCGTCTGGGAAGGTCGCTCGCTCAAAGAACTCGACCATCGAGTGTGTCTTGAATGATGTGGGTATGTACATGCGATGCAGCACACCAGAGTGGTTGATGGCAAATGCAGCCGAGACGGACTTGTGTTTCATGTGATTGCGCTGGCGAAGCGGAGCACCCTTGGGCGAGTACCCGTAGAGCGGAAAGGTGGTTCGTCTGATCCCTGTCTCATCGACAAAAACGAGCCGTCGTGGGTCGATGGAGCGGACCTGGTCCCTGAACTGTGCCACTCGCTCATCCAGTCGCTTGGACTTATAGAGGTGTGTTGCACTCTTGTGTGAGAGACCTGCTCGCTGGATGGCAGTGTGGCAGAGTGAGAGTGATACTTTCCTCTGGAGGATGGACTCGAGCTTGCATCGCAACACAGGACCAGTCTGCAACGGGTCCTGTTCAATCAGGGTGCGAATGACTGGACATGCCTGCTCGAAGAAAGTGGATCTGCGAGCTGGGACCCGGGATGGGTCATCCAGCTTGCATCCTCGGTGCCATCGATGGATGGTGCTCTTGGATACACTGAATATGGAGGCGACCTTACGCAGGCTATGGATGAGGGCGTAGCATCGCAATGCGGCGGTGCGAAAGTCGGATGTGTGGCGAATGGTCATGGCCAGCGCGCGATAACATTGGGTAACAAAATATTTGATCAATGGTCAAAAACCCGGGTGTCCCGTTTTTTATTGGATTGCCTGTAAAAGACAGGGGAGTGTGGTCTCAAGCCGCGCCCGAATCATAGTCGCTTATGGACCATCACAATGATGGCGAAGTGGGAATCTTCCAGCTTCGCGCACATCTTGATCGAGGTCCCGATGTTTTCTATCTTGCCCGTGCCCGTCGCCTTGATGCCTTGGTATCTATACCTCGGCGTCTGCGCCTGGCCGGCATCTACTCGACTCTTTCCACCTGCCATCGCTTTCAGAATGATTCCCGCAACCATCACCAAGCGGTCTTTGACCAAAATCCTTGCTGCCATTGCCACCATGGTCGTCTTGGTCCTCTTCATGAGAGACCCGCAACTGTCAACTCAAAATGGCCGATTCTCCAAGCTCTCCACAGAGTCGCACCCACTTCCATCTCCGGCTCTTCCGGTCGATCCGTATATCACCACCAGGTCCACTGGCACCCACAATTACATCCATCTGCAGCGCCAGAGCCCCGTGAACAACTCCTCCCTGAACCCTTACCGCGACGGAGACCTCGACAAGAACATTCTCATCCTCTCAAACTTCCACAACAGCCACTCGTTCGGAAAGAACCGTACCTTCACATCCTATCTCCAGACTATCGAGTCCATTGACTATCCGCGACATCTGCTCAGCCTGGGATTCCTCATCTCCGATTACGAGGACTATGAGGCCTTCATTCCCGAGTTTGAGCAGTTTGTCCGCCGGCACAACCTCGCTGCTGCCTCGCTCATCCTGTACATCAGGGAGGAACCGTTCTCCCGCAAAGACAGACACAGACCGGACATTCAAAAGTCTCGACGCAGCTTCCTGGCCCAACTGCGAAACAGACTGCTCATGTCGACTCTCCGCGATGAAGACGGGGTCCTGTGGATCGACTCGGACATTATCGAGATCCAGTCCGATGCCCTCAAGCAGTTTGTGCGGTCGGGTCTCGACATCATCACGCCCTTCTGCCGATTTGGCACCGATGGCATGAGCAACTTTGATGGTGAGTGCTTCTGCTTGTGTCAGTTGGGTGAGGCCGCATGCAAGTCTGGGAATGCTCTCAGGCCACCAAGGTGCTTCCCGCTACTGAAGTGTCCCTGGTT